CCCCCCCCCTCCCCAAACCCTTTCAACCCCCCCCCCCCTCCAACCCACAGGGCTCCTAACCTTCCTCCTCATAACCCTCGTCGTCCGTCTCCTCCTCGCGCCCTCCCTCGGTCTCCTCTTCTTCGCAGCATTATACGGCTCGTTCTGGATTCCGCAGATCGTGAGGGCGGCGAGGAGGGGGAGGGGATGTGGGTTGGAGGGGAGGTATTTGGTGGGGACGACGGTGGGGAGGGGGGTTTTGGCTGGATGTGAGTGCGATTTTGTGCAGAGGTCAAGGACTACCATCGCCCCTTTCCATCATGACTTCTTGCGGACTCCCTCAATTTGTGCGATGAAGAGTTACTGACAAGATCCGTTTAGATTATTTGATCTACCCAAAGAACGTGCTAGATGTCACGCCCCGATGTGAGTCCATCTTCTGCACATTTCCTCCCATGGTCAAGCGAGCACTGGAACTGAATGCCTTTAAATTATGATTAATTGACCAGCATGGATGCTTCCCCTCATCCTCTTCATGCTCGCCCAAGTCGCCTTCCTCAAAGCCCAAGATATCTTCGGGCCAAGATTTTTCCTTCCCAGCGGCGTACGTTCCTCCCTTTTCTCCACTGTCTCTGTCTTCACACCACCCGCTCAACCCGCCCTTCGTTCGTACATCGTACATACATGAACAGATGTCCGAAACCCAGACCTACGACTATCACCCCCCGCTCCCCGTCCCCGACGCCGAAGCTCCCGAAGCGAGTCTCGGAGATTGTGCCATCTGCGTGGACGCCATCCTTCCCGCCCGACACGCACATACGCCGTCTGCGGAGGAAGAAAAGGGACTGCTCGGTGGCGTGAGTAGCATCAACATCAACATTAGCAGTAGTGGCGGTGGCGGTGGAGGTAGTGGTAGTAGTAGAAGAGGAGGAGGAGGAGGGCTGGCGGGGTTGTGGAACGTCGTTAATGGGAGAGCGAGGGAGAGGACGATGAGCGGGAGGGGTGGGGGTGGGGGAAGGAAGAATTATAGTTTGGCGCCTTGTCATCATTTATTCGTTCGTACCCCCCTTGCTTCTCATTCGTCGTTCTGGCTAATCGATGTCATGTCATGGTTGGCGGCGTTTAGCATACTGAATGTCTTGAACGGGTGAGTCTGGGGCCTGGTTCCATTGTTGCGTTATTATTGGGGGTCACTGACAGAAGGCCTTCGTTTTGTATTTTTTTTGTAGTGGTTGGCTATCAAGGTAGGAGTCTCCCTGAGTCTTTGCTAGGATGCCGTCGTTTCTAACCGATAGCTTATTCTCCAATATCGCCAAACTTGTCGCGTTGTGCATTGCAGAACATCTGCCCACAGTGTCGAAGACCGTTACCTCCGCTCTAAGGCTTTGGATGGTAAGTAACGCCACATTGCGTACCATAATCTGTTCCGTCTCGGAGTGGCGACTCGACTCTATTATAGCGGAGATTGGACGGGGTGATAGATGGACGGACGGACGGACGGAACGAATGGGGTACGACGGGATCTCTGTAGTGTACGATGGATTGGGGATTATTTATGTATGGTACAGTATGGATAGGTTTGGGATTTAATCTGTTTTGTTTTTCTTGCTCGTCGGAGTCCGTTGTGAACGTCTTCTAATCTGGGTGGTCCTATCTGCGCAGGTGCGACGCGATCGCGTCGAACAGAGGGTGCGCAGGGATACGTAGCCTGCTCCCACGCGAAGTAACAACCACTCGAACAGGAAAAGGGGTTGCAGGATGATCTACATGGATCGAAGATCTCTCCGTAGCGAGTAGTTGCTGTGCCCTGGTCGATGACTATCTCTGTATGTTTCCATCTTGGTGGAAATACGTCTAACGCCGCCTTCAGTTCGGAGGCTTGGAATTCGTTGACGGTCACCCTATTGATCGGCGTCCGCTTGTCGGACGGACCTGAAGGCCTGACCATCCTCTATGCCAGAAACAGACGCACGAACTTGTCAAAGCCTAAAGGCAAGAATAGTTCTTCCAGAGGACTCACAGCGTCGTCGCCTCGTCCAAGTACTTCTGCCTCCGTATGGCTTCATTCGCTGCGAGGCGCCTGCCATTACGTTCTTCAGCTTCGACCCCCCGGTGGAAGTTACGGCGACGGGGACTCACTACAGACCCCTTTTGCCTCTGCCAAAAGACTTCTCCGAGGGTCATTCCCCTTGTCATCCATGTGCTGCAAGACAGCTGCTACAATCGCTATGTAGTTATTGGCACCTCCAACCCTTCAACTGCGATACTTGGCCCAACAGTTCGACGGGCGCTTCTGCATGTTCGATCATAGGATTTAACGACTGACGAACACGGAACCATTCTCCCTTTCGCTCATCGCCACTCATGCGGACTCGCGCTCTGGGACAGCTCGCCACTCGGGACTCAACCACTACGTGCGTCTTTATCCCTCTACAGAATGGTATAGCGCGCTCGGCTGATGCTTTCAAGTTGATACACAGTGCGGCAGAGATCAGACTCGGGCTCTGCGTGGACATCTCGGCACGATGTACGTTCAGTCCATGATACTCCCTCGACTTGACAGCTCACAGAACATCGACTGCAGCACTGTGGTTGTACGACTACGTCCAAACTTTCTCTACCGAGGTTCAAGCGATCTGGCTGCGCAAGATCTCTGCGATGTCGGTCATATTTCTCCTGAACCGATATCTCATGCTGCTCGGGATTATCGCGGGGATCTACGAGGACGCGCCTGGGACGGGGACGACCACTAGGTGAGTTACTCTTTCATTCCCTCTCTCTCCTGTTTATTGTTCAGGGAGCTCAGGTGGGGTTGTACGCTCAGCTGTAATTATGTACTCCATGCGGGATTCTTGTGTGGCGTCTTCTCCGTAGCATGTACCAACGGTCAGTTCAGTTTTGCCTTTGCCGGATAGTTGGAAGGCTGATGAGCCCCATAAAGCGTTGTTTATTATGAGGTTGTATGCTATATATAACGAGAACCGGTGGATTGCCGCGGTCACCTCTACGCCGGTGTTGGGTAGGGTTGCGATCGACTTCTGGGTATGCATCAGTCCCCCCGGCGCGTTGTCACTACCAGGTGAGATTGACATATTGAACTCATTGCACTATGAATGCAGGAATTCAAGACAATACATGCCACGAACGCTAAAGTAGACGTCGATGAATCTTGGAGCTCGCGATGTACGGAACAACTGCTATTCCACGATCCGAGCATCTTTTATTCGTGAGTTCTGGGAGTTCGTTGCTTACCACCCAAAGAAATGACCTGACGTACTATTTCCTCTATAGCAGTAAGATCTTTCACCCCATTACGAGTGTCTGACTCCTTGACGTCTGATTTTAATCACAGTGACCGCCGCGACAGCATGTCTAGCTCTTTTATTCGACACAATGATCCTCGTACTGACTGTAAGGAAAACATGGCACCATGTTATGGAGATGCGACATCTGGGACGGACAGGGCTCATGGAGGTCTTTCTTCGCGATGGTAAGCCTCGTATTCTGATCCTCTGCTCATCGGCGCGTCGAAGTAACTGACCTGAGCTTTTAGGCAGTCTGTACTTCTTGTGAGTCTTGCCTCCGTAAACGCACGGAAATCGTTTCTGATTCTGGTGCGTTTCCGATGTAGACTCGCTTTTATTATCACGGTCATTCAATTATCAACGAACATCGTACGTCTCTGACCCAGCTCTGTCCCGTCACGGTGCCTTCGTTGATGGTTTCCCCCAGATCTCCAGCATGCATGATCCAGATGTCCGTGTGATAATCTTCCTAGTCGGGTACAAATTTTCATGCTAACACTACACTCAGTCAACCTCATATCTCGGTCAAATCAGCTCGATCATCAACGCATTTTACGACGTGTAATCGTCCTCTTTCCTGTAAAATCTCTAGTCTCTGACGATCTTTCCCGTGTATAGCACCCCGAATATGCTCGTCAACAGACTAGTCCTCAGCCTTCGCATCTATCGCGCCCCGTCCGATCCAATGCTCGCAGGTACACCATACGACCATGAAGCAGCCTCAGGAATAATATCCAACCTCGAGTTCGCTCCTGATCTTGCTTCGAATGAACAGAAGAGCAGTCGTATTCTTGGGAACATCGGGGTGCCTTTGGACCATGGCCAGTGGGATTATTCCTACGAGGTACCGAGGGTGGTGAGTGCGTTTTGTCAATATTGTATGAGTCCAGTCTGAAACAGTGTTTTGTTTTTTGTCTTTTGTAAGGGGCCTCCTGTAGGCGTGATTCCGAACGTGAATGTTGATGACGTTGAGATGAATTACTTGTGAGGACAATTCGTGATATCGGACTACAGCAATAAATCCTCGTTCGTCCGTTCGAACATTTTATTAGCAGCGCTGAAAATCGTTGCCTCTATGTTTCAGTACCCAGCATCGCTAGTCGCATAACGATAGTCAGAGATTGAACCAACTACGTTGCAACTACGTAGTGTAGAAGGGTTCGTAACTTTTGGTTTTTGGCCAATTGACTACGATGCCTCAATATTCGTAACGCGCTTGCTTTCGACGGTGCGCTCCTTCTTGTTGGTAGCCAGATCGAGCGCGTTCAAGATCGACTGCTCGGTATCTCGGCAAATAGCATAGACGCTTTCGACTGTACGGTTGTAATGCTGAAAGCGATCACTGAGGGGCACCGGTTGCGAGTCAAGGAGCATAGCGCGGGAGATACGTGGTTCGTAGCAAAGAATTGACGATGCTCAAGCCGAGAAATCCCGAAGCCTTCCGAATTCAACACGGACAAACAAACGCGTCGCGCAAAACGTTCACTTCCAAATTCGGCTTCTCCGTTTTCCCCAACCGCAGTCGAAAGCTGTCATCGACCGGGGCTCACTTGACACCGAAACCAGTCCTCCACGCTTGCTCCGCCCTGCAACTTCTGCCGGATTCGTTATGGATGACGTTGCACACGATTTCTACCAGGCTTTGTGCTCCAGGGGTTGTCGACTCCTGAATATCCACGACCAGGGATACCTGGTCTACTCCTGCCTCGATTTAGAGGTTGTGCTCTTGAGTATTCGAGGGCTGAGCGATTACTACCGAAGGCGCCCTCGACCTTGTCTAGAAATCGCTCCCACACGCGTTCGCGGCCTTATAGGAACCGAGCACGACCTAGCACGACGCCACTTCCTGTCAGGTTCCCTCCACAAGCCCCTAACTGCGCACTAACACTGCCTCTTGGCAATCACGTATACTACGTCTTTTGTGGCACGACTTCCATCTGCTGACGTCTGGGGACGCCTGCGCATCTTGGATCGGTAGAGTATAAAAGGTTGTACAAACTGTTCTTGTTTTGTTCATCATCTTCTCTCAAACTCGAGGTGCGTATCGATTCTGCTGCCTTCCACGCCCACTACTTACCCTCCCACCTCGCATCGCTCATCTACTTACATCTTTTCGAACAGACTATCAATCTAACACACACATCCAACCCACTCACCCCATCCCACCCCATCTTCTCTACGCAATGTTCGGACACGGCAAAGACCACCACGACGGGCCAAATGGCCAGGGAGGCCCTCACGGCGGACAAGGGGGTGGCCCTCCCCAGCAGCCCTTCGGCGGCCACGGTGAAGGCCAGCACCACGGTGGACCTCAGGGTGGAGGCCCTGGTGGTCCCGGCGGTCAACACGGTGGTCAGCACGGTGGTCCCGGTGCACAGGGTGGTCCCGGTGGTCATGATGGAGGCCACGGCGGCCCAGGTGGTGACAGGCCCCACGGCCGCTAAGCTATAGTAGGGACGAGGTTCATAGGAAGAACGGGTGAAAACGGAAACGGACTTATTTGAACGGACAGCGATGTGAACGCAATGTAATATTCTAGTGCTTGTAACAGATGAACGAGATGATTGTCGCCGTCGAAAGCGTATCGAGCTTGGTCTTCGCGGGCTTCCGAGGAGTGCGCATATGGAAGAACGAGTGCGGAAAATTGTGCGAGATTCAGAGGGCCCCTTGGGCCCTTGCGGGGTGACCTGAACTGGATCATTGAAGCCCCTGTCCTCCGCGTTCGTCGATGAGGGGGGAAACTTCCAGTACCCTCCAAATTAAACAACGCCAAACAATGTAATTAGCCCACCGGAAGTTGTATTGATCACGCCACACAGCGACTTCGATATGTTTTTGCTCATGGTTTGCTCGATTTCTCATGGTTTGCTCAAGAATGTCCTTGCAGATTGTTGTTACGCCTGGCAGACTCGGATACAGTATCAGTGCTTTCTATCTCGTCGATGTGGCGTGTACTTCCAACAAAAGTACAAGCTTGTATATCTTGCCCTGAGCGAGTCCCCCAATGCAGCACGCTCTGGCGATGTTTGTCATGTGCGTTCTCCGATCCTTTTTCCACTTCCAACCTGCGTGAGTACGTGCGATCGGACGGCGTCACTTTTCCCAGGACGTGTTGGTGAACAACACCTGAATTTGCATAGGCCTTGACACTGCTGCGCCGCTGTGGTACCAAAAATAGCACTGCAATTCTCGTTGTCCACGGAGTTCTCATTATCCCAAGGCCCAGATTGCCTGCGGCGCACGCACCCCATAAGAATGAGCAGTCTTCTATCATGATACCCTTTCACTTTCCTCCTCCAGCGCCCGTTGTCAGTTGTTCTCTCCAAAGTCATCGACTGACCTCGGACTGATCTCTGCTTGAATAGCCTCTCTTCGCACTAATCGGGCCCCTCTCTCCATCTTCTCTCTCGTGGACTCCCCTTATACCCCTCGTCCCCGCCACATATACCAGGCGTATAATGGGCCACGCTCACTCCAAACACCGCCATACCCATAATCACGCCCGAACCTTCTCCTCCGACTCCCATTCGGACATCAGGAGATCCACCAACGTACGCCGAAAACCTACCTTCGCTCCGCGTCCTCGTCGTCAACTCTCACAGTCACAATCACAGCCATACAATCCGTTTGCAAAGGACGCCATATTCGTTCCTGTAGCGCCTCCGCCATTCAAACAATCACTGGACGCTACCAACGACCCGTTCAGGGATCCCTCTTTGGATCGTGACGCAGCATCTATCGCCCGCGACTCGGATTCGATGACGACTATACCTATAACAGAACCAGAATCAACACCAGCACCAGCACCAGCACCAGCACCAGCACCAGTACCGCAATTCGAGGTTCGTCGCCCGTCGCAAGAGATTTCACTGACGAGGAGAGTAACAAGGACTCGGTCGTCTCGGGGCGCGCGAAGTTTTTATGGATATGGGCCACCGAAGAGTGGTGCTGCTGCGGGCGCCGATGGCGGGGTGGCGCGTGGCGAGAGTAGACGGTATGGGAAGCGTGGTATGTCGACGAAGGATAGGAGGGAGAGTGCAAAGGATATGCTAGTGGATATAGGACATTGAGCGCTGTGCGCTTCCGTGGATGGAAGGAAATAACGGGTGATGGTCAAGAGACCGAGAGAGGAGGTGATTGGAAGACGTTCCTTGTACATACCCTGGGGCTGATGGCGGACACTATATTCGGACTCTTCGCTCTTTATTCCAATCCTTCAGGATGGCTTGTCTTTCTTCTCTCGATGATAGTAGTATACCGGCAGGATCCGTCCATAGACCTATGTTCATGAATGTAGTGGAGTCAGTAGCAGTACTAGATCGCAAAGACATTCGTACAATTTTGAATATGCTCCGCGAAGCAACGTCCATCTGGCCCATACGGAAAAAGAACGAAGAAATGGCAGCGTCCAATCTCCGTTGATGAAAGCTGCCCATGAGAGTCCAAAGAGGCTGGCTATAGAATCCGAACGAGAAGAGATGTTTTAAGGACGTTTCTGCTTTGTATATGGTCCGAAAGAGCCCTGAAGTTCACTGAAGTGCAACGTACGAGTCCATATCTCTGGTCAGACTCACCAACCCGAATAGACCTGACGCACAACCGACATTCTCTGATCACTAGCTTGCAACTTCCATTCTCTCCTTCCCTCGTCCGTCACCATCTCCGCGGACCCTCAGCCCTCCATCTCCTACGCCGACGAAGTCCCTGTCCCAGCTTAGTCCCAGCTCCAGGAATGCAAAAAATCCTTCCAAACCTCCACCTCTCATCCGAACTCGGATGCAAACTCGTCAAACTCCCCCTCGACACGCTCTCCTTCAACCTACTTCCCCCATTCCCCACCTTTCTGGTCCCCTCACTCCCGTTCACGTCAGACCCAGCCACGTCCATCCGCCTCCGCTTACCCCTAGTCCTCGACCACGAACCCCTCCAGCTAGCCTTGGTCGTACTCGCGCTCGCATGGGATCCGCTCTTCTTGGAATTACTCTGCTTCGTCTCGCCGTTGAACTGCGTTCTGCTCTTGCGACGGGAAAATGCTAAGCGTAGAGATTCAGGGATACTAACAGTATTCTCGCGGTCGGAGTCGGATGAGGGAGCACGGTGTTTACGGGCGTTCGGAGGTATGCTGACGGCCAGGATCGGGGTTGGGTTGGAAACACTATGCGATGACGAAGGGTCGAGCAAAGAAGGGCCGGGTTCGACGGGCGAGCGCGATGGTTCCAAACCGAGTAAGGCATGAGAGCATTCCGGTTCGATTGAAGTGCGAGAGTAGTCTGGTTCAGTTGGCGCGAGGGTGAGAGGAGTGCCGACTGGGTGGATCGTCAGACTGCGCCTAGAAATCGGGACACTCGGCTCTGAATCGTCGATGCTGGGGTGAGGGTAAGTGGGATGTTCTTGGGCGGGTGTGGTTTGTTTCGAAGAAGGTTCTGCAGGGCCAAAATACGGGAATTCCAATACCATGACCAACGCGAACGGTGTATCTATGCGATGGGAACGTACCGTCTTCCTCCAAGATCGCAGGCAAAGAAGAGTCTGCATTCGACCTTAGCGCGAATTGAGTAGGAATCGAGGTCTGTGGTCGGGTGCCCGTGTGCGTGTCTTGTTCCGCTTCAACGGAGGAGTTGTCGGATGAGTGATCTGAGTCGTCGGGATCGTGCCGGAGGATTGCGACTACGAAATTACCGTCATTTAGATGCCTATCTGCGACGATTACTTATGAGCAGTTTGACGACAATTGTGCTTACGAATGGCGCTCCGTGGCATGCGAGGTTTTTGCTTGATAGCGTTTGCGAGGATTGAGGCTCGAAATAGCCAGGTCTTGGTGGGCGTGGCCACCTCGCCGTTTAGAGTGTCAAGCTCGGCTGGTATGACGGCGAGGTTGCGGTCAGTTTAGCTGGAGAGGAATAGAGGGAAACGCGTACAAAGCATGCGGTTTGGAAGAGAATTACTCGCAAAGAGCTTTCCGGCGGTCATTAGGATCTGTGAGAGTGCGAAAGGCATACACGGCTCAGTGTTCCGAAAAAGTATAAACAGGAGAGACTCAAACTTTGATATTCTTTCGGAACAGATTCATGAGCTGTTTCTCCAAGCAATTCAGCTCTTCCAATTCTGTCTTGCCTGGTTTCAGGTTCAGCTCTACGACAGAAACATCATAATTTGCGTTAGTATACTCGAAGAATGATGACAGGAGAGCACAGGAAGACTACCCGACAAAACATTACCTTTTTGCACCTCGCACAACCGGACCAGTTCGTCCAGCGTCGATAATATAGCGAGAGCTTCATCTCCATTCAAGGGGTCAAAATCACCGTCATCAACCTCGCCACCATCGGAAGGAAGAAGCCTAACGGCAATGCGTTATATAAAGTCCACTGAGGAGTAGTAGAAAAAGATAGATTACCAGTTATGCTGGGAGACAAATGTAGCACTCATATTCCTATTCCAGAGGTCGTACTCGGAACAAACCTCTGAAGCTGGAGGTATGTAATCTTCTTCGTAGAAGAGGCAAAAGTCGAGTTCGTCGTCTGATAAGAGGTCGTTCATTATGGGGAGGAATGGTTCCGTGTGGCGCTACGGTGCAAGACTGGGTCAGACAAAACGGCAAAGATAAAAGTAAAAGAGAATAAAGAACACCGAACCTCAGCTAGATCACGCGCAATCTCAAGACTTGTATCTTTCCATATTCTGAAGCGCGTGACCGAGTCCGACAAGACTGTAGTTTGGCGGGCATACGAAGAATATTGTCGGATAGCCCGATCCCTACATAAACGGAGGCGTCAACGTCAGGGGCGCACCTAGGTATTATGGGTGTGAAATAGACTTACGCAAGCCTAAACGCCTTGACCGTGACTTCGTGAGTTGGACCCGCAGAACTAGGATGTTCGTGCTCGATATATTCGTGCAATCGGCGTAAACTTCGGATATTTCGAGTTGCCCAAAGAGCAGTTTCCTCGAGCATAATTTTTAGTACCCATTGAAGATAGAAGAGCTGAGTAAACCCGGGCAACGAGGAAGGAATAGAGGAAACAAGAGAAGACGCGGCGGCGGGGACCATGGCTCAGCGCACGATGAGGCGGGGAGGGGGAGGGGTGGCGTCGTCAGAGTCATCACGTATGCTGTGGATTTATAGATGTTCCGGTTTCGCTCTGAAATTTGTCTCACACAGCAGACGTGCCAGATTCTGTGATCACCTTGTCAATCGAGGTGGAAGAACAATGAGAGTTCGTTTTAGGAGAGATCAACCGGACCAAGCCGGGTCGGTCGCTCAATTCGGTGTGGCACTGAAGGGGCCCGGCGTCGGTGGCGTCGTCGACGTCTGCTTTGCTTCAGTCGTCAACGACGTCGACGGCCCATACTTGACAATTGGAGCAGGTTCGAAGGGCACCTAGATTCAAGCAATGCTCACCGTGATTGTCTACGGTTGATAGCTATGTGGCACTATTGCTAGCGTGCAAACATGGCGCTCACTGTGACTGTCTGCTGCGGTACACACGTTGTCAGAGTCATCGTCGGGACCACCCACGAAAAGGCCATGATTAGGGTACCGAACGGTGAGTGAATATTCTCTGTGTTATCCTGGGAATTCAATGGACGTTCAGTCGACTCACGCCACGTGCCACCAGGTCAGAGCCCGCTTCCTCATACGTACCTCCCTGCTTCCTACCACCATGTCCGGTCTTCCACCAGTCGCGTCTTCGTCTTCGTCATCGTCGATCTGCGGACCTACAAGCGCATCGTCGTACGCATCCCCCGCTCCCGCTCTCTGGGCACACCTTCTCCGCAGACCCCTCCTCCGTGACTCCATCTCCCAATCCAAGTCAAGGACGAATGCTACCGGTACATCACTACCCCCACCAGTTCAATTAGCCCCTGTGGACAAAAACGCAACTTCAACGAGAATTCTGTTACACGATACACATGCGCAGTTGGAGATCTTTACGGAGAGGAGCGGGAAGCTGATGGTCGAAGTTGAGCAGGCGCGGAGGGAGTTGAGTAAGGTGGGAGAGATGTTCGAGAGTGAGAGGGAGGGATTGGTCGACGATATGGTTAAACTTGGTACGTGAGCACAGCTGCTCGACGTTCATTTTCTATGACGGCCGTTGAGCTGACTATATGCGTATTTCAACGACTGACTTTATGCTTTTCTTTCTTCGTCGCAGTCAACAGATGCCAGACTGAACTGCAGAAGTCAGTAGGAGAGCCAGCTCAGAGCCGTCCTCTCGAGGCTATGGACGCGAAGATGGGACTTGTGACCCAGTCCCTTCATTCTGTCAACGACAAGTTGAGCTCCATGAACTCCAAGTTTGATACTCTCCACATGGTAATCACTACTCGTACTTCACTCTTTCCCTTCTTTCAACGCATATATTGACTTCTTTCGGCGCATACATCCGCCAGACTGCACAAACGCATACCCAAACTTTACAGTCGCTCACCGATCAATCCATCCGCACTCAAGATCAATACGCCAAGATTGTCTCTATGCTCTCTCCCATACTCCCTCTCGTCGACTCCCTGCCTCTACGTTTCGACGTCGCCTTCAGTACCGCTACTGAAACCCTAACTAGTAAAATTACGGACATTATCAGGACCGAACTCTCTAAGATGCCTAAACCCGAATGCCACCCTCATACCTGCTCGGTTGCCCAGTGGCCGCCTCATCCGCCCTCTCACGTGCATCCCCAGGAAGTGTCTACTTCTTCTTCTGTCGACTATACTTCTCCTCGAAAGAAACGTCGTCTCGCCGATCTGGATTCAGCCCCTGCTGCGCACGATGGTCCTCCGTCGAAGCCAACATTATCGGGCGATGATGACCCCCTTGACCGTACCACTACTGTCCCTCCGTCGAGCCCTCCCTCTTTGATTGACCATCAACTTCCTGCCGCTGCGACACGAAAACTGTTGACCCTCAATCAACATCAGCAACCACCATCACCACAACTGCGACAACCATCTCGTTCTTTCGTGGCGCTAGATTACGATGGCCACAAGCCTCCAAGCTCTCATGGACACAGTGCCGCCATGGGAGATATTGATAGCACTCCTGTCGTTTCTCTCGCTCAGTCCTCTAAGCTTTCCTCTAGCTCTGTTTCCGTCTCTGCAGCTTCCCCTGCCAACGTCTCACCAGCAACTTCCGCTCGTACGAAGACGCATGCCCAAATGCCTCTTGCTTCAGCTCCTTGGTCTCCGACCCCAGCCCCTTTCCGCTCTGTTCCTCCACAAGCTGCACCCTCTACGTCTGTTTCGTCTACTTCGGGATCTACACCTCGTCCTATTGCCGCTGCTACTACATCTGGTTTGCGCAATCCTCCAGCATTCGCCAATACAACGAACACGTCTCGACCTAACGTTGAGCACTCGGGCTCTCGCACCAGAATGAATACGCCTGACCAGCTGCGGGAGCGTTCGAACCCGCTGAAACGTTCCATCGCCGGTATGAGTGTCTTCACGTCTTTATGCGCTCTTCTTCATCTTGACCTTCTCATGATATATGAAGACGCCATGTTTACGCCGCCAGTTCCAGCTTCCTCCGCCGATCCTCACACTCACATGAATATGAATACAACCAATCCCCGCCGAACTCCCTTCGACGCCATCCTCGTCAACGCCACACCCGACGCCACGCCATCCTCCACCATTTCCACACGCACACTTTCGGCCAAACAGGAGTTCACCCTCGGCGGGGGCTCCCGACCTTTGACCTCGACGTCGTCCGTTGGTGCTGGTGGCGGAAGTGTTAAGGCTGTAGGAGAAGGTCGACCGAAGCCTGCGCCGAGTTTGAAGGATCGGAGGATGCAAGGGTTGGCTGGGTCTGCGGTACGTTTCCGTTTCCGTTCTTGTTCTTGTTTCTTCGATGGTGGTGTTCGTGGTGGCATATTTGGTGGGTTACGTTACTGACGCTTTGGTGTTGGTCTGGATAGGCAAATACGGGCGGGAAGAGGTTCATCGTGTTGGATGAAGACGAGGATACGCAGGAGGATACGGATTGACCGTGCAATGTGCTTTGTTAGAATATTGACCGGTTGGAGGCAATCGATGGTGCAGTTTTCTTGGTCGTTCGTTATGTTGTATTGCTTGACGGAACCAGGGAACGTCCCGTGGGTTTGTTCTCGAAGCCTGCAATTGTGGCGCGCCACCACTTTCCCAGTGCACGGGAGGAACAATTACAATCAAGTCGATCGATATCCTTGTTTACAAGGTCTACTTGGACGTATTTCGAAGCTATCATCATCGCTTGTTGTTTGGAAGCAGATGATACCACATGCTTCTCCGGCAGCCACAGCCAACTGGTACGTCGCACCACCCGCACACTCATCCCCTTCTGACACCACTATGATACTACCCTCCAAAGTTCGTGGCAACGAACGACCTGCCGTAAGACAACAAATTCTGGAAACTCCCCGACCGATCCAGCGGAAATCGTGCCTGGAGTATGCGTGTTTCCCAGTACCATATAATACAGCGCCACCCATAACCACCCCTAAGCGCCCACACCCTTATCCCTTTTGTGTTCTTGTTTTGTTTCTGGACTCTTTTTGTTTCTCCCCTTTGTTCCGCAATAGGGACTTGACGACGACCTGTGATGGAAGGCGAGGTGCATAGCCATGCTCTGGATACATAAAAAGTCTGGGGGCGCATGCGGAATAAGAGCCTATCCATTCACCTCCACATTCGATCGCAGTTTTCCTCTGGATACAGCTCTCTACATTCTAGTGGACCCCTCTCGCATTCACCAATTTCTATCGATATGGCACACATCCTTCCAAGGGCGCCATCTCCGAGTCACTGGGCCTACGAGACACCTTCCTCCACGGAGGCGCACTCGGACGGCGGTTCATCTCAGCCGGAGGAGAGTCGCAGCCAGTCACCCGTCAGAGACTCGGATACCTGCTCAGCGACTACCGCCGCTTTGTTAGAGCAGCTGGCGACAGGGTACCGGGAACTATGGGATCAGGCGCTAGACGTCTTGGTCGCCCACCATGCCTTCGAGTCGGAACAGGGGCGGAGGGATGACATGCTTATGGGTGATGCTTCTTCACTGTCCGAGTCGTCTCTGGCTGAAGTCATCGGGAAGATGTGAGCCGTTTGCTTCCCGGATGATGATTTAAAAGTGCGATGCTGACAACATTCCGTCTGCAGAAACATTCAGCTGGACGACGCGAAGCTATCAGCCGAGCGCCCTTCAGCCTCTGTGAACCTCGACTTACGCGACCTCCTCGCGTTGAAAGAGAAGTGTCGGATGGCTTGCTACGCTGTACTTTCCGGGACTATTTTCACCCAGCAAGACCTCGCTCAGAGGATCGCCAGCGTGGGACAGGAGAGATCTATAGGATGGGCCATGTATGATGACGCCACCGTGGCCCACGAAGATGCGGACATGGACGGCTTGGAGAGCGAGCTGGAAGTGTTGAATATGCTACGACGCCGTACGTTTCCTCTCTGCTCTGCAGATCCTCTTCACCAGTGCGTTCGTGACTCATAATTCGCACTGCGTACATTCACGTTCTCGTCCCCAGGTCTGCATGAGGGTGCACTGCCAATTCTTCCCTTCCGCCACGAAGCAGTGCAGAAGGCCGAAGAGTCGGTTTTACCATTGAATCCCGACATATCACAGGCCTTTAGCTCCTTCGCTCATCCATGTGTACCCTTGGCTCACCAACCGATTCGTTGCACCTCTCCCGACGTTCTTCAGGAGGAAGGCAAACCCGCCGCCTTTGCTGCCGATCAAGATTTCAAAGACTGGAGGCTCTATAAAGCTAGGTTTCCCGGGATCCTTCGCTCCGGGACTGGGTGCAGCCTTGCTTCGAGCGCACGGTCACGGTCCTTGGATAGTATAACCTACGTACTTCGTAGTCGGCAAACGACTCAGACCGAATGGGATGGAAAGATGAGGGCCGAAGGATTGGATAGTCTTACGGAGCAAGTGAACTGAGATAGGGTGCCGCTGAGTATCGATATCGGACAAGGCGATGATAGAGTGTCTGTACGATATGCTTCCTAGTACGTGTTTGCTGCATCTGAATATGACCTCCTGCCACATTTTTTACGATAACTCATCCGTCAGCGCCTTCGGCAGGCTGCAATGCTTCTGGCTTTCGAACCTATATTCAGGTAAGTTGACGTGGCGCCATTCTCGATGTCGACTTTGAAGGAACTTGCATCACACATGTCACGGTTTAGAACACAAACAAGCTGAATTTGTGGGTAGTCACGATCGACATGGACTACACAAATCGAGCCTGGTACCGTAGCCGCCAGACCAAATGGAACGCATATCACAAACATTTCTGTAACTCTTCAACCCTCTGTCGAGCCCTATCCATCTCATTCTTCCTCATCCTTACACCGTCTGTGTTGCCCGAGAGACCTTCACCGCACCTGCGGACCTGTAATCTTTGGCTTTGGCAAGATCGACGACGTGGTCCTCCCCACGCCGCCTCACGCCCCTGCTAGATGACATGCCACTTCCGTTCTTTCTCTTCTTCGTACCACTCGCACCGAAATACCTCTTCCTGATGTCCTTCTGGCTGACTCCATCGTCCCGACAGTGCACGCAGAGGCAACGCCTGGTACCCCTCTTACCTTTCCTCCCAAGCCCCTCGATACCGCCCCTCATGGGCATACCCTTCATCAACCACTTCAAGTGGAGCCCGAACTCCATCGGCGACCTGAAGTGGTTCACGTACCTCGACCCATAAAGGTAATAACTCACATCCGCATTCATCTCGTTCTTCGTCGTGCCGCTCTTCAACATATACAAGACATAATCGTCAGGGAAACGAGAAAGCATCAGTGGGATGCCGTCCGCTTTGACTTGCAGTTTGAGGACATGTTTGGCGATGAAGGTACCAAGACATTCCCTCCAATGCTTGGATATCTCGTGCGCGAGAGGAATGCGCTCGAAGTAGATGAAAGAGCCGTCCGGGTTGATCGTGCGAACGGTTGGGTGATGCAGCGGACGGCGAGTCGCGAGGGCGTCGGTGGTGTGTACGGTGATGCGGTTGTTGTGTACGGTATAGTTGGGGTTGTGGACGGACCTACTGGCAGGCGGCGGCACTTGTGCATCAGGACTTGGACTCCTACCGAAAAGCGAGCTCATCGTCGACATAGGTGAGTCGGGGCGGTCAGTATCAATCTCAATACTCTTCTCTTTACCCACATCTTTAGTAGCTTCAACACTGTCTTGTCCATTGCTCAACTTCGACTCATCATCCATAGCTTCGTCAGTAAGGTGAAGAGCTTCCATGTCTGATGTAAGGCGGCGTACCATTTCGTCTGTGAAGATCTGACCCGCATTCTTGGGCCCTACGGCAAGGTCTTTCTCGTAGTTCGTGCCTCTACTCTCAATAACACCCGTAACACCCATCACATGCTGAATTCTGTTGTTGCTCTCCTGATCAGTCGCTGTCAAACTCAAACCATAAACATTATCTGTGCGCACCACCAGTTGGTGATTACCGTTACCTGCATCTGAAAGCTGTTCCACATTCGTCTCGTTCTCCACGATACTCTCGTCATCGTCCAAATATCCCAACACACCTTCACGATATGTAGTCCAATTGACGAGATCTCCTCTGAAAGCTTCACCCTTGTTATTTCCTTTCAATATTTCTTCCATTCCTTGCTCACCCTGTTCTACAGGGAATACATTCTCACACATTTCAAGAGTCGCATACTCTCCCTCGAGCCTGGCGATGCGTGCGTCTCCGCTAGAGTCGTATATCTCAGAAACGGGTCGGTCTGTACCGTTCAGGATGACACGCCGGTCTGAGCCGTTCAGGATTATACGGTCTGAGCCATGCTGGATAATACGGCCAGAACCGTTCAATGTGACACGGTCAGAGCCGGCAATGTATACGGGTTTGTGCTGAGCACTACGCATATTCCCGACAACGTTAAGATGATATACGCTCTCGCGTGGAGTCAGATTGTGCTGTTGGGAGTTGTTGACCATGATGACGGTTGATTGTAAAGTGGGGAGAAAGCGACGCGCAGCCGGGGTGGGGCTTCTTATATACCCCTCGCACCTCAATTTAAAACTCCGCTTCAACCTTAATCATGCCGACTCTTGCTCAGTCATCCAGGTTCGGGGTCGGTCGAGATCTGGCTAAGACCGCGTCCATCATCACGAGGACGTTGTCCTGACGATAAATTTTATTTTTGAGGTGAAGAATCCGAAGAGCTGAATAGGTGCGTCGTGAAAGATGAACGTTCAATGCATGTTGAATGAACCACCTATATCAGGATGAACTCGATCAAAACTCGATCAAAGAACATCGTGGATTCGGAGAGATACGGGCGGGCCGGCGAATATCATCTAGAGTACAGTCCGGAAACCCGGCTTCTGTGTCTTGATCGCGCGCGTCTTTGTTTCAAGCAAGGTTGCCATTTGGCTGTCTCAGTGTCTGTCACTGCCTTTTTGTGGGTAACATGGAGTAGAGCTACTATCATTGCGATGGTATCATAAAATGCGTAAAATGAGATAAATAATGCGCCAAAAAAAGCAAAGCTCCCTCAAAGCAAGCAAATAAAACGAGCAGGACGTGTACATCCATGAGATATAGAGATAGAGATGATCGAGACGAGACGGAGATGGAGATGGAGATAAAGGAGCGACTTCCGAAAACGAGAGAGAAAAATTGACGTATCCATGCTTATGTATCATAGAGGAGATCGAGTATTATCCACCAGTGAGTAAAATTGAACTTGCTTGCTGTGTGTCTGTCGAACCTGCCGATGTGACTGACTGAGACTTATGACTACATCTTCCCAAGACTCCGCAACTGGGCCTTCATCTTCCCATTCTCCTCCTGTATCGAGTTCAGCTCTTCCAACAATGCGATCTTCTGCGTCTGCTCCGCGACCTGCATCGCCGCGAGCTCGTCCTGCGCCGCCGAGAGGGCCTTCTTCGCCTGCTCGAGCTGAGTCTCCAACGTCCGTAACTTCTCTTCCATCTCTCTCCGTATACTCTCGCTCTTCGCGTCCATCTGCTTCCGAAGTCCGTCGCCGGTCGAGGCGGCTTCTGCGGCGAGAGTGAGCGTCTTGGCGCTGAGGGCGTTGTTGGCCTCGGTGAGCTGCCGACATGTCTCTGCTTGCTCGGCAGCCTGCATCTCCACGTCCCGCTTCTCCTCTGAAAGTCGGTCAAGAGCCGCCTGCAACTCTTGTACCTCTTGTTGCCTATAGACACAAGCCAGTCGTCAGCAAAGCCACGACAGACACTCGACGAACCAAGTCAAACAACCGGAAAGAAAACGTACATCCCCGCCTGCCTCTGCGCAAGGCTCGTATTCCGATCCTCGAGCGTCTTGACCTGCTTCGAATACGTCTCTAACGCCCCATTGCTCTCCTGCGCCAACTTCTGCGCCCTCTCCGCATTCTTCTTCAACAGATCATGCGCCTGCGCGAACCGAATCAACCTCTCGATTAACGCCCTATCGTCCGACATCAACGCCTGCACCCGCGCAGCGAACGCCTCCGCCGTGAACGTCCCGACCACACTCGCCCCGTTCCCGTGCCCATTCGTCGAGCCAGCGCCGTTTGGTTGACTGTCCCGCGCTTTGGTCGTGGGCGTCTGTGGCGAGTAGAGCGTCTTGAGCGAGCGAACGTCCATGTCGGAGATGGACGCGTTCCCGACGCGGGGGCTTCCTGGACCGATGGTGGGAGAGCCAGTGCGGAAGGGCTTGGCGGCGCCTGTGATGCGGGAGGCGCGAGCCTCGGGAGAGGGAAGGATGGCCCAGACGGGTTGGAGGATGGAGACGATCTTGGCTGCGTCCCCAGTGTACTCGATTGGCGACGTGGGAGCGCGCTGTGCGAGGAGGTTGGAGAAAGTGTCGGCTTGTTCCTACATCGTATGTAAGACAACAATGTAGAAGGTGTGCAAATGTGGTGTGGCTCACCTTGAAACGAGCATCGACGGATGCGAGCTCGGCTTTGGCTGCCTCGAGCTCTTGTGTGAGAGCAAGACGCCGTTCGGTCTCTGCCTGGAGAGTTTCCTCCATCTGCCGTTGGGCATCCGCATCCAGACCTCGTTTCGCGCCACCACCGTCGAGATGCTTGCTCAATGCCGACACGAGCGTCGTCATCGTGAGCTCTCTCGAATAGACTGGAATATCGTGCGACTGGATGAGTATCCGCAGATCCTCCCTCGCAGCGTCGATCTCGTCCTTCGCCCGTTCCTGTAAATCCTCCTTCTGCTGCTCCCAATCCTGTCGCTCCTCTTCCCACCGTGCCCGCTCAGCCTCCATCTCCGCCCTCAGCTTCGCCACCGCCACCTCGCCCTGCTCCCTCGCCCGCCTCACCATCGCCTCCAACTCCGCCGCCTCTCCGCTCTGTTCCTCCAACACCTCCAACCGCCTCTCCAACACCTCCACATTCCTCCCCCTCTCCTCCAACACCATCCGTTCATCCTCCCACGCCTGCCGCTCATCCTCCATCTCCCTCAAGCGCATCTCCAACTCCTCCGCCCTCTCTGCCCCCCTCTCTGCCGCCTCTTTCGCCTCGTCCGCAACCATCAACGTAGCCTCCGTATTCTCCTTCTCCGCCCTGATCATCTCCAACTCCTGCACCGCCGCCACATGCAACGCCTCCGCCTGCTTCAACGACTCCCTCGTCACCCTCAACTGCTCCTCCATCACCGCCACATCCGCCAACGTCATCGGCGGACGCGGTCTCTTCGGAACGACGGCATTCTCATGCCCCGCGAACAGATGCGCACCGTCGAATCGCGCTTTGGATGACCCGCCGGCACTGGTAACACTCGATGTAGGACTCAACGGCGCCGTACTCGTCCCCGTACCGGTCACGGGCGTACTCCACCCTGACGTACTCCCGTCCCCTCCTCCAATCACCGTACCACCTCCACCAAGGCCGCCAAGACCACCACCACCCTGTCCAGCCTGGACCTTCCTCTCGAGATCCCTCACGGAATGTGACAGGACCGCCGCGCGATGCTGCAGTAGCTTATTGTGGACCTCGCTCGCGCGCTCCGAGACGCGCCAGAGCTCGCGCTGGGCAGCCTCGACTTTACGGTTCGACGTCTCGAGTTGGTCCGAGGATTGTTTGGAGACCCGTTTCAGGTTCGAGTTTATCTTTGCGAGGTTCGCCGCTGCGTCTCGGATTTTGGTCTCGAGCGCGAGCTTTTTGGTGCAGGCGGTGAGGCGGGAGGAGAGGACTTGGTGTTCCTAAGGGATGGGAATGAAGAGGGGGATGTGAGGAAATGGTACGAGGAGAGGGGGAGTGGCGGAGTTGCTCCGCTGCGAAGGAGAGCATTGTGTGTATAGGGGTCGTAGGAGAATATAGTTATATGTAGGGCCACCGTGATGACCACAGCGCAATGGGCCACACCTGCCTCCTTCTCCTCAACCCAGAGCATAAAAAGTCAAAAAGACACACCTTCTTCAACTCCTCAACGTCCTCCGCGCTCAAGACCTCATAGCCCCGACTATCCACCACCGCCTCACTCGAAAGCAAACTCATCAACAACTCGTCCCTCGTCCCAAAGAACCCCGAGCTCCGATCCACCGGCGGCACCGACTTCCTCACGGGCGATCTCGATTTAGAACTCGACGGACCAGCAACAGGAAACGGTGGATTCATCGCTCTCGTCGACGTGAACGCCGAACCGTGCGGTAATGGCGGCGGTGACGATGCCGATGCCGACGGTGAAGACGAAGAACCGTTGGTGAAAGCAGCAGCGACAGCGTCATCGAAAGTACCAGTGGACGATGAAGGCTGTTGTCTGTGCCTGTCCTTCCGTATGAAAAGTCCTGCAGTGCCAGTTGACGGTCGTGACCCCCCTGCAGAAGCAGAATCAAGCGGCGACTCTTTCGTCGGACTTGTTGATGGAGATGCGGAATTCGGTGAGGAGGAGAGATTGAGTGGGGGGATTTCAGGGGGTGCCGTCGTCGCCGTCGTCGTACTTGTCCCTCCGCCGCCGCCGCCACCGCCGAGAAAACGACGGACGCCGTTCATGGCTCTGTTTCTGGCCCTCGGGTTCGCTGACTATAATAGTGCTGGCCGCCGTACGACTGAGATGTTAGAAAGGAAAGAGAAAACGATCCGAGAGAGAAATAAAATGTGATGAATGGAGGTGTGTGTGTCTTGTTATTGCAAAAGGAGACGAACCGCGGAACTGAAGGCAGGCTGGGAATGCGGAGAAGGCCGAAGATGTATGTGGTAACTGGGCCACACACAATGCGCGGTGCGGATTAGGTAGGAGAGCGGTCATCGGAGGCGGTAGCGAGCTCGTGGTCTTCGGGTAGGACAAGGTAGTCTTACGGTTGGAGAAGGTGCGTATCTCGTTCAAGACGGCGGCACATATTCAGCAGCCCTTATGCTGCTCGCACCGGCGATAGACACAAACCACGACGGGGAAATCACTATTTAGAGCCCGCTAAAGTGGAATCTAAACGTTGGCCAAAATATTATATATGGATGCCAATTTAGCGCTGTCTAAAGCAAAGCTTTAGCGAGCTCTGTGGTGAGTTCCATTGATTATTCTCTGAATTACCTTTAGAGGGTGCTAAAGAGATTCGGGGTTGCCACATAAGGCAAGCCCGAGGTGCTCGACAGCCTTTAGCGTCCTCCAAAGTCAATATTTAGCGTTTGTACGGCATTTCTAAAGAAAATGCATAGAGTCGCCTTTGGAGGTCTCCAAAGTTTCTCTTTAGTACTTCCCAAAGCGGAGCCCATATATAATATATAGAAGTTACTTTAGAATCACCTTTAGAGCACTCTAAATAGTGGTTCCCTGGCCGTGAACACAGACGTGGGCGGTGATCGCCTTGATATTCCCCAATTCGACCTAGTTACAAGTACACACAACACAGCGAGGATAAAGAAGAAAAACGAAAAACGGAGCCACCGGAAACATTTTGCAAACAAGAGGACCGATTATGGGATGCATATATTAATGTACAACTGCCCTCTCTCAAATGCCACAAGTCACGTTGGAGCGAAAGTGAAAAGGACAGGAAAGGTAAAAAGATCCGGACAGCGGCAAAAGAATATCTCATTATCCAAGTAAGTTAGGGAAAGGCATACAAGGAGGGGGACAAATAAGACTATCCAACGAAGAGTCCCGTCTACTTCGCCACCGCCACCTCGATCGGCGGAAGCCTGTCCAGGTTCGCCTTGCCCTCATCTATCCACTTCTGCTTCACCAACTTATCTTTATCCGCGCAGTACAGCTTATACACCAACTTCACCGTCCCCTCGCTCACTCCCGCGACCGTACAGATCTCGCGCAGCGACTTGGGTTTCCCGAGCAGGAAACAGGTGAAGAAGATAGCGCCGCCCGCGATCGAGATCGGACTCCTGCCGTCTGCGATACCACGGTTACGCGCCTCGACGACGATGTCCTTGCATATCCCATGGAAATACGGAGGAAGATCGAGGTGGTTGCAATAACGTATGAGGAGATCTTCGGGGCCGGTGGAGATGACCTGGGTACCGTTGGTGCTGTTGTGGTTCTGCGCGCCGGGACTGAGGTTGAACGCCTGTTCGAGCGCCTTGTAACACTGCCCGAGCACCTTCTTGCTCACGTGCGTCAGGTTACAGATCTCTCTGAACGTACGGGGAACGTGCGCCTGTCTGCAGGCGATGAAGATGCAAGCCGCGATGACGGCCTCGAGTGGCTTTCCACGAAGGAGCTTCTCCTCGTCGGAGCGCTTGTAGAGCTGTTTGGCGATATCGGATATCGTCTTGGGGAGAGAGAACTGGTCGCACCAGGAGGATATGTCGCGGAATGCGGAAAGGAGATTACGCTCCGAGCGCGTGTTTTGCGCACGGGAGGCGGCGCGCTGCAGCTCGCGGGCCATGCCGGAGCCTCCGTCGCGGAAGGAGATGATGGTATCCAGTTGCCCTATCCCTTCAAGGAGGGGGTCTGAGGGCCCACCGACACGCGATGGGTCGTCACCCTCGTCGTTCGCGAACGTCTTTCGGCCGATAATCAAGTGTAAATCGAGCGAGCAAAGGCGGAAGACAAAGGGAGAGGATACGCACCCGCCATTCGCTACGCGTGTCGACGACGCGATCACCGAGTACTAGTCCACACGTACCACACACGAGGTCTCCACTGCCGAACTCTTCGATGATGTTTGGGTTCGGGTCTCTGCAGTCGGGACAGATGAGTCGGACTGCGAGGTCAGGCCCGTAAAAAGTCTGCTCAGGTTTAGGGGGTGCGGCGAGGGGGAAGGGTTGGGCGTAAGCCATAATTGTGGATACGATCTCGCGTGTGGGTGTGAAGTAGTTGGCGGTGGTGTGCGTGAAGCTTTGAAGGCTCGTCGGGGCTTGGAGTCGATGCTCGACCAGAGAAAGAGTGTATTAGGGCCTAAAAGACCACGCTACACCGCTTTCAATTCTGATTTTCATTGAGGAATTGAACCTGCTATTACCTACGGTGAGTGCAATTTAACCAAGCCTGTTCAAACGAGGAGCCAGCAAAAGCTACGAATGACGCGACGAACGGGGACGAGAGGGGGTGGTGGTGGTCGAGGAGAAAGGAAGACAGGCGTTCAAAAGCTGACAACACGCGTTCCTTCACAGCTGTGTTCAGGCTCCGCACCCCTAGTTTGAGGTTAGGGCCACTTTTTGGCGCCACACGCCATCACAGAGAAATTTCGTTTTGGCGCCGCATTTCTTTTCACTTCACTTCACGTTCCACCATGGACGTATCCGACATTCTTGCCTCACAGGCCGCAAAACAGTATGTTTTTATGTCTTTTTCTGCTCATCTGTGTCTGACCCATCTTTCTGTTACATTTTTCAATCAGCCAGGCAGTCACTGTCGAAAAAGACATCCCTCTCGAGGTCGATGCAGGCTACCTCACCGTCACAGATCTGAACCCAACAGATCCCGAACTCTATTCGTACGCTCACCTCCCCAAACCATAACCCATCCATTCCTAACACTCATTCGTCTCACACAGCGAAGACGTAGAAGCCTACCTGCAAGCCACCGCCCGCGACGGCGTCCAAGTCCTCCTCGCCTCCCTCTTCTCCCTCCCCACCCTCCCCTCCCCCACCGGCGACGGTCCCCTCGCCCAACTCCCACCCCCTTCAACCCAACTCCCCCGCTCGAAACCCCTCCCTAAACCGAAACCGCCGACCAAATGGGAACAATTCGCGCGTGCGAAGGGGATCGGGAATAATAAGGGCAGGAGGGACAGGAAGGAGTGGGACGAGGAAAAACAGGACTGGGTTAATCGGTGGGGATGGAAAGGAAAGAATAAGGAGCTCGAGACACAGTGGGCTGTTGAGGTTCCTGCTAATGCTCGTACGTCTCTTCCTCCATGTTTTTTTTTCGCATCAAGAATTATTGTATCTTGCGTGATATCACAATACTGACTGATGGTGCGCTCTATGTTATGATATACAGCGGCCGACTTCGACCCGTCAAAGGATGCACGCGACGCACGCAAAGCCCGCGTCGCCAAAAACGACAAACAAAAGCTGGGAAACCTCGCCCGCGCACAAGGCGCCAACAAGTCCGAGCGCGACGAACGCAAGCAGGACATCGACCGGACGCTCGCGACGACACGGACGGCGACGGCCAGCATGGGTAAGTTCGATAAGAAGCTCGATGGGGAGAAGAAACTCAAGGGTGTCAAGCGGAAGGTACGCCTCGCATACATATCTCCTCCTCCTCCTTTCGTTAACGATGTCGTGGAATGGGATTGTAGTTCGAGCCCGCAGAAGCTTCGGTCGCGGAGGAGAAGAAGGCCAATCTGGCACTTCTCTCCAAGCTCGGTTCGGGCGGTGATTCGTCGTCGAAGAAGGCGAGGAGAGATGGTGGTGGTGATGATGGAGGAGAGGTGCTCAATGTACGGAAAGCGGTGCGGTTCGCATCGAAGGGTGAGGGTGGTGTGGCCATGGGACGTAAGGCTGCTGGTGGCGGTCGTGGTGGGAGCAGTGGCAGGGGTGGTAGCAGTAGCAGGGGTGGTAGTAGTAGCAGAGGTGGCAGCAGTAGCAGGGGTGGCTCGAGGGGCAAGGGAAGGGGAAGACGGTAGTACGTCGTCCAATTCTTTTCTCGCCTTTGGTATGTTCGTCTGTGGTCGCGTTCTTTCAGCGTATGGCCGAGGAGATGGGGATGTCGAGATCTTGTGTTTCATCGGGGCCGCAGATACAGTAGGGTCTGACCTGATGCAATGCTATCATCCCTGTTTGTGAACTTGCCCGAAGATCTATATGATATGTGACTCAGACAGACTACTTTGCGCCCATCCTATTTCGCGCACCCCAAGTTTTTTTCCGGTGCCGCATCCGGCTTCACGCCCAAGTGGGTGGTCCATCGTTGCATAATCCAATTGTCTACTCCAATGTTGAATGGGGTAGTCGAACTCGTCAGATGGTACATCAATCACTGTGCAAAGCGAAACCATCAGAGCCTTTTGTGGTGTTCTCTCGAGGCATAGCGCGGAGTCCTACCGAGGGATCGACGCGTAGTTCACTTATTTGATCCGCGAAGAGGCATCGTTGAAGTCGCCAGATGCGGCTTGCAAACACGAGGTGATCGACTCATCCACATTCACGAGTCACAGAGCAAAGCGGACGCCGGAAGCATCAGAGGCTCTTGTGGCTGTGTCTCGAGGGAGTGCTATACTATACTGAGGGATCGGCATCGGACCGTGAGGCTCGCATTTATCGCCGGTGGGGGTATATAAGCAGAGGCTTGCGCAGGACGCGTGAGTAATTCCCCAGAACTTTACACAGACACAGTTATCACAGGTGAGTGCAGTACACGCGTACCCTCATCGTCCATATTGACTTTTTGGCACCAGAGAACAACAGACAGAATATCATGCATTCAGACGTAGACGTATTCGACACTGGACAGCCCAGCCAGCCTGGCTCACTTCAAGTCGATTTTAACCCATCCAATGTATGTACAGTACGACTTTTTTGGCCTCTCTTTGCCGACATCGGAGCTCATAGTAACATCTAGGGTAACACGACTCGTGCTCCTCTCGAAGACATAGTCATCACGGACACCCGTGCTGCCCTCGACACCGAAGGCATACACACGGACGATATCGAGGATGCGGAGGATGCACTCGAATCGCCTCCACCTCCTCTCAGCCGCAGCCCAAGCCCTGGCACAAGTCCTGCATGGACAGTACTGTCCGACCTCCCTCCCGTTGACGAGCCGGGAGAGTTCATTCAGATCCAGACTGAGGTCATCCTGAGCGATGAGGACCCGCTTCTCGACGCCGCATTGCAGGATCTTCCCGCCGACCAACGCCGCGAAGTCGATGCTCTGACGACGTCGCTAGACCTGCCTCGAATTTCGACTGGTCCCGTTGTAGTCTCTGGCGACGAAGTCGGTGAGTAAGAGTTTGGTGGTGGTGTCCACCTCGTGCGGTCAACTGACGTATCGTGATTTTGAAGATCCCGATGAAATCGCTAGGGGTACGCCCTCGATGGACCATATCATCTCTCCGACGTCCTTCGTCGACGGTAGGAATCATGCTTACTATATGCCTCTCGCGAACTGACCGACTAAGATTTTTGTACGGCAGCAGACACGAGTAACGGTGATCAGTCCAAACACGACGGCAGGAACTCTCTGTTCGATTTTGAAGCGCAGCGTCCGCTCTCACCCATTATCATTAGTGACGAAAGTGAGAGCGAAGACGAGGAGGACGACGAGCAGCCACCGCCGTCCATCGCTCTACCACACTACACGTTGCGCCACAACTCCATCTCTCTCCACCTTACAGACGCCCTCCCCACAAACCGACCCACGAACCATCCATTCGGCAACGACATTACCACCCGCATCGTCGACTCGGACAATAAGTTCAGATACTACGTCCCCCTCGACCCCTCACACAAGCGCTTCACCCACTGGCTAGAAGTCATCGGCAAATGTCTCGCTCGCCACGGGCTCGACCTCACCCTCTCACCCTCCTCCATCCCCATCCGGCTCTCCGACTTTCCCTCCGACTACCTCCTCGTAGGCCTCAACGCCGTCACCATCGGCGACGAGAACAACCCCCGGGTGGATCCATACCTCTATGGCTCGAAATGGGTTACGGCGTTTCGGTCGCCGTTTGAGTTCGCGCCGCATGCGCTGTGGTTGTTTAGGGGGATGCCGATGAGGGAGGATGGGAAGCCGGATTGCGGGTGTAAGTATTGTAGGAGGGATGGGAAGAGTCAGAGGGAGGTTACGAGGATGTTTTTTCCGGAGAGGGAGAGGGAGAGGGATGAGGGAGGGCTGTGTGTGTTGGGGAAGAGGAAGAGGGGGAGTCAGCGGGCGAGAGGGAGAGGGAGGAGGGAGAAGGGGGTGATTGATTTGGATAAGGCGAAGGATTATCGTCTAGGAATGCCGGCGGAGTCGAAGGAATAGGTTAGCGTGACGTTTTTTGCGGATGGTGGTGCAGGGTGTCAGATGCGAGTGGGTAGAGGGAGAAGTGAATGATGTGGATAAGGCGAAGGATTATCGTGTAGGAGTGTCGGTGGAGTCGAATGAGTAGGTTTCGCAGATTGTAGTAAGTACGGGGTGGCAGATACGAGTGCGTAGAGGGCTTCAGTCGTGGATAACATGGGTGTTCGAGTTAACCCATTGTAGTATCACGACTGTGGCCTTCGAGGTCATGTATACACTTGTATTCTGTGGTGTTTGTTCATTGTGTGATAAGTGCAGCGATCAAGTATTCGTTCGACCAGTCTAGGCATGGTCCATATCACAGGTGGGCAGGTACTCTAACCCCGGCTCCTTACTAGCCTCCTTCACAACTTCCCAAAACTTCGCACAGACCTTCTCCGCCGTCGACTCTAGTACCACAGGGTTCGTCAAGGATGCTCTTCCTCGAGCCATTAATCCATCATGAAGTACGCGTTGTATGTCGCCGTCGGGGAGTATCTCGTAGGGCTCGGACGGAAGCCTGAGTATGCCTTCTTTTCGACACAAGTCATGCAATTCTGTGTCTTCCACTCGCGTAGTGGCGCCTCCGCCCTCTTCGAGCTGAAGGAAGACCTAAGGCTACTAGCTATGAATGTCCCCACTGGGGACGAACAGGATGGCCACCGCACGGGATGGTCGGTATATGTACTTCGCTACGATGCCTGTCAGCAAGAACCTCAGAGCGGGGAAGATGAGCTGCAATGATCGCCGGGATAGGGTGGTAGGAAGCCCAGCGGTGAATCGTGATAGCCAGCTCAGAACAGTACAGTCATGGATTGATACACAGAACGCAAGAATACACGTTTCTATAACTTCTAGTATTACCTTCAAGGATACATCGTTTTGGGGGTTCGGGAACGTCGTCTAACTTGAAGAGCTGGACGGTTTCTCCGCGAGCAACTCTTGATACTGCTGCAGACGGAGTCTACATTCCACCAGTCAGCATGCGTGCTATAGCGAGACAAACAAGGGGAGGTCACGCACAAGTTCCGCAACAACATCAAGATCGTCACCTTTCCCACCGCCGGGATATAAAGCGACGCCTAACACACAAACAGCGGGCATCAGTACTCAGTACTCCGTCCCCAGATGCCCAAATGCCCAATATCACGAACAACGCCCCAGAGAAGAGACAAAATAAAACAAAAGGTAAGCCACCACGCACCTTCTCCCTCACATCCGCCTCGAAATTCTTATCCGCCGCCACGTTCACACAAACACACCCATCCTTCAACCACTCCGTCTTCACCTTATAGCTCGCGCTCGGCACGGCGCTAACGACGACGTCGGACTGGGCGAGACATTCTTGGAGTGAGAGGGTGGTAGAGTGGGCGACGTGGTGTGGGTGGTAGCGGCGTGCGGTGTCGGAGTCGGAAGAGGAGTCGGAAGAGGAGGGAGGCCGTTTCGTGTATTCCTGTTGGGGATTGGATGTCAGCCAGCGGTGAGTAGAGTTGTGATAGGGATAGGATGGAGGTTGAAAAAGCGTGAGCAGTACCTGGATGGAGTCGATGTCAACGGAGAACACCCGTGCGCCGTCATTCGCCAATAATGCAGCCAACGGGCGTCCCACGACTTCCGACCTAGTTTAAGTTAGTTCTCTCACTCATGAGCATCACCCCATCCAGCAGTTTCACCATGTCCGTGCCTATGGGATTAGGGATCCGCTCACCGATTAATGACAGTCACAGTCTTTCCGTACGCGCGATCACCGTACGGTAAGATCTTATTATACACGCCGATGTTCTCGAGGCATTTCACGATAGCGAGCGGCGTGCAGGGGAGGATGGACTTGATGTGGCCTGGGGGTGGCGTGTCGGCTGTGGTGGTAGGAACTGGGGCGGCTATGGAGGGGTTGGAGGTCGTGGAGGAAGATGGGGCGGAGAGGAAGGTGCGGGGATTGACGTATCGGATGCTGAGAGTGGGTTAGTAAATGTGTTTTGGTAATAGGGTATGAAGCAGATTTCTTTTTATGTGATGGAGGTGAGTGGCGAAGAGCGAGGTAATCAATCCAACGGGGACAATTGAACGAGGGATCACAACAATAAGTGCGGTCTGTGAAAGGCGTGATGCTATAATCACAAGCAGATCTGACCATCGACAGTTGAGCGAGGCGGATCCACAGTGTGTGGCCTTTTATTTGTATGAACAGAGGTCCAACTCGCTCTTATGGCATCCAGCACATGTAATTCCTGTCTTCCGCGTGCCATTCATTGTCGAATCAAGGAAAAGACGGAAGGACGTACTTGTGGTAGAGGTTATAATGAAACTTGAAGTTGAGACCTTCGACATCCTTGAACGGCGAGACGATCTAACGAAGCGAGACACTTTAAACTTCAGACGGAGCTGATCGTCCAGAAAGGACTCGGGGGCGTCAAACCTGCTGTAAATAGTGATCCTTGAAGCAGCACGCTATTCAGTGCTAACCCTAATAGCAATGCCAATGCTGAGTCGACCCACCTGCTGTGCCCCAAAAATCGGATAATACACCTTATAACCCCCTCGAATCAACGCCCCTCCCTATTCAGAGATAAAATAAAATAAAGAAAACCACACACCATAATCCCATCAACCCCCTCATCCCCATTCGCCTCAATAATCGCCTCCTCCACGCCCTCTCCCTCCCCCCTCTCGCCATCCCCACCGCCCACCGCCGCCCCGACCTCCCTCAACACGAACTCCAATCCCAACGCCTCACACTGTTTCTTCGTGAACGCCGCATAACTCCTGCTCGGCGCAGAACTCGTGGATAGGATCCCGACGAGACGCGGTTTGCGGGGCCGGGAGGAGATGGCGGTTTGCACTTCGGAGTGGAAGGGGGTGGCGATGGAGTCGGCTTTGAGGAGGAGACCTTTGGGGGGGGTGGTTGGGGTAGTCATTTTTCTGAGTTTTTTTGGGGGGGAAGTGAAGATGCGATGTATGCGTAGGATGCTGGATGAAGATCGAGGGAGAGAGGTCGAGAAGCTAGAGTGTGCCGACGGATTCGAGAGCAACTCGAGTCAAAAATATTTTTTATTCCCCGCAAACGCCATCGACGCGAAAGACGGACGCGTCAAATTGATGGCTCGCGGCTCACGTGCTGGGTAATTTGCCTCCTGTGGCGTGCCTCTTTCTATCTTTTTCGTACAGTTTCGTACACGGCTCTGTGTGGCGGACTGACTTGTCCTTCAGATCTTAGAGTTGCATGTCGTCCACAAGAAATCAGGTAAAAGCAACGATCGATTCGATCACAAACCCCAAGACGGTACAACATTGCAATAAGTACTAGAGCGACGCTCCCGAGCCCCAAGAACGGGTATACAACAACACCATCACCCTCTAAACATCCTTATTCCAACTCGTAACAGGCCACCTCCTCTTTTCCATCTCCCCAACCACGCCCTCCTCCCTCTTCCTTCTCTCACTCTCCGTACCATTGGTGGTAGCGTTGGTGTTGGTGGTCGTAGTAGCATTCCACTCCCCCAACCACGTCGCAATATATCCCAAAGCCGCCTGCTGCACCCCCTCCACCGTCCCATCCACCTCCGCATTCCTCACAATCAAATCCGAACAATGATACCCATCTCCCACCCTAATCGGCATTTCCTCCGTTCCCTGCCCCCCATTCACACTCGCCGTCGTAGTATTATCCCCCGACACCGTCGCATCCCTCCACGGATCTCTCTGCCCATTCGCGAAAAACAGACGGGGGACGGAAACGTTCCAGCCCTCATAGAGGACGTTCGTGAGATCTACGTCGGGAGAGGCGGGAGAGGAAGAAGTGAAGGCGGAGGGGAACATTAGGGCGCATTGGCGGAGGTCGTCGATTGAGGGTTGGACGAGGCGGGAGACGAGGGTGGGGTAGCCGGATGGGGCGCCGTCTTGGAAGAATCCGACTGTGGTGCAGCTGGGGGGTGGGGTGAGCGGGTTGGGTGGGGGTGGGGGTGGGGGTGGGGGAGGGGGAGGGGTGAGTAAGGTTAGGTTAGTGAGGAATCAGGGGAGGGTGAGAGGAGGGAGGGAGGGAGAGAGACGTACGTGATCCAGGTCCAGGAACGGCCGGAGTTATCGACTTCGGTGGAGGTGTAATATTCCGAGCTGGCATTATACGTGCCCAGGCATGTCCTACATACCACCGTCAGATATTTTCACGTCCGTCTACGTCAAAAGAACAGCACGTACTCGGCATCTTGATCCCCACAAACTAAACACACGTACAAAAAAAAAGTCAGCCAACGCACACAACCATCCAACCACTCAACGACCACTATGCAGTCAAAAACAAGGAAAAAAAGACTCACGGATCTCATAATACGTCTCCCTAAAATAATCTCCCCAAGCTTGCACCGCATGCTCCTGTCCCCACCCCGTCTCATTCGCGATCGCGCCCGTTTTATTATCTACTTCCAACGCGTCGCAGAAATTGAAGAATTGCGCGCCGGGGCCAGAGTCGGGCGAGAGGGATTGCCAGTCCCAGAGATTATTTCTCACTGCATACCACACCACACAATACCATACCACAATCAATCAGTCCGGGTGACCAAGAGGTATGAAGGGAAGGAAAAGAAAGCAAATACGCACACGCCCCCGCAACATCATCGCTATGCGCCAACCCCTCCATCCCATACAACGTCTTCAACTCATCTATCGCAGTCTGGTTGTCACCGCTGAGTGTGGCGTCGAAGAAAGACACGACGGCTTCGACGTCGGAGGAGCAGTTTGAAGGCATGTTTTGACGGATGGGTTCGAAGTAGGCCCAGAAATCGCTGTGCAGGTGGGAGGGGGGAGGTCAGGTCAAGGAGAGAGAGGGAGAGGGGGAGAGGACTAACACGATGCTCTCGACGACAGCAGACGACGCATATCCGATATAAAACGTATCCGGTTTCTCCACCATAGTCCAACTAGTCAACGCCCCCGAATAACTTCCCCCCACCAACACCCACGGCGCCACATCCGGTCCCACCCCATCGCCCCCCGGCATCGGCAACACCACGTTCCTCGCGAAATAGTCCAGATCTTCGATGGCTTGCGGGATGGTGTGGTAGGCGAGGGAGGAGACGGTGAGGTCGGGAAAGGGGTTGGAGAGGCCGTAGAAACGGTGTTCGATGACGATTGTGGCGCCGGAGTGGGCTTGGGCGATTAGGCCGTTTATGGTGGAGTTGGTTAGGTAGCCGGTGTAGGCTGTTGGTTGGGGGTGAGAGGGGAGAAGGGTGAGAGGTGAGATGGGGAAGGAAGATGGGAGGGGTGCGACTTACGGGCGGCGTTGGCTTCGCCGGGCGTCATCAATATGATGGGACCGCCTATACGACAACAACAACAACAAGAAAAATCAGTATCCACTCCACCCTAAATCCCAATATCGAACGAGAACGAAAACCCACTCACCCTCCTCATAAAACTCCCAAGTCATCCAATACCTCTGCTGGAACGTCCCCAAGCTCGTATCATTATGATCAATCAACTGGTCGAAATAATACGTCGTGTTGTACGGCGGGATCGTGGCGCCAGTCGAGGCATGTACGGGGGTGTGGTCGTGTGCGAGTACGGCGTGGGGGATGGGGAGAGGGGGGTGGATCGTTGCTGACGCGAGCCCGACGAGACCGAGGGTAAGAACGAGAGGCAGCATCGTGAGAGCCTAGAGGACCGGACGGGTGCTAGGGACCACCGAACAGAGCACAACGAGCGAGCAAGCCTGGATTGATGGGGGACAGACGAGCAAGTGGGAAAGTCTGCCAAGCAACGAAGGGTCGATACTTATAGTTATACCTCGGTCGGCAAAAAAGAAGCAGAAAGCAGATCAGAGATACATGATTCGAAGCCAAGCAAGTCGATGAAATAGCGGCGCCCTGACATCTTCCGAGGATGATAGAGCGAGCAAGAGAGGAGACGAGGGGTCAGAGATCGCGTGGAACATGCATCGCTGTATCGTCGACTTCTTCTTCCGGCCCTTGCACTCCCTCGTACCCGCATGCAACACTTCTTCTGACCCAGATGGCGATAGGCTGTCCTTGACCGTCCCTCGTCCCCCATTACCTTTTATTTTTGGGCATGGCGTCAGGTGGGGCGCGCTGATAAGCGGCTGGCGGGGTACATACGGAGCGGGCGGACGGTTAAAGAAGACAAAGAGAAGGCCTGCTCGGGACGAGGACCTGATATAGATGATGTAGAACACATGTTCGCCAGGAGTCCTTGCTCGCCTGATCGACCGGGGCCTTTGCGATTGCGCGTATTTTAGAATGTTTATCTTGTGAGGATCCGGAGCGTATAGTTACAGCTGCACCATCTGCACAGGGTCGACGTCTATCGTCGCAGACGCCGAGTTCTGTTGGCGAGAGGTGACCAGCAGGCCATAGCTCCCTGTCTTCGATACGAGCAGTGACGGAAAGACGTCTCCGATGATACACATGTGCATTGTGCAATCGCCCTGGTACGAAGACCATCCCTCGTATCAGGCTCTGACTGAGGCACGAACCTCCTAGTCATTCGAGGACTGGCGTGAGGAGTAATATAAGTATAGCGACGTGGAGGTGATCCGTCGTCAAAGACCAACCTAACTCTTAGTCTACACGGTCTCATGTAGGGATTAAATCCGAAGATATAATTGACTGGGTGGGCGTACTGGTGAGGAATCTGGGTGGTGGTGGTGGTGGTGGTGGTGGTGGTGCGAAAGCAAGAGTTAGTCGATGTGGCGGTGGCGTTCCGCGCGCCATTCATCCATTTCAAATTGAAATTTCAGGCGCCCGTGTCCTCCGAAATGATACATCACAAGTACTTACCGCCACTCAAGAGACAGAATTAACCCTCTCAGCACGACGGGCGAAGAAAGCAGTCAAGCACAAGCACAAGCACAACAAGAACAATGGGAATGGGCTACAGTCGCTACACGCTATAGTCGCTACAACATCAACATCCTACTCGATCTCGGCAAATACAACAACAGCAACAACAACAACGACAAGCAAAGCATTTATTTCACCCGCTCTGCGCACACTCGTGACCTTCATCATTTTCGTCGTGCCCGTGTTCGTGATCATGATACACGACTCATCCTGCATCATCCCACCGACCCGCACCACGCCCGAAATCCACATCTCCAACAACCAAGACAGACAGCGCAAAACGTTCAAGCAGCAGCAGCGTTATTCCCCTGCGACTGCGATCCCGCGATCGCGATCGCCGCCACGCCGTCCGCGATCTCTTTCTCGTCCATCACGCCCTCGATCAGTTTCGTGACTTTTCCGATTGCGATTGTCCGGCCTGTGAACATAACCACAGCGTCAATAAGTGAGCGAAAGACTCAACGATAACGCAAAGAAAGAGAGGAAGAGAAAATGGAACCCGGACGAACGGAGAAAGGGAGGGAAAGGAAAGCAAGCAAAACATCCCAAACGAAACTAAAAACTTACCTTCATCACGCAGCGTGAACCTCCCCAACTGTGGATAATCCGCAAAGCGCTCCACACATACCGGCGCCGCTGTCTCGATGAGCGCTACGATGCGCTGGCCTGGAGCGGGCGAGCGAGCGAGCGAGAGGATACGGTAAGGTTAGCGAAGAGGTGTGAAGAAGAATAAGACAGGAAGGAGGGAGGGAGGGGGGGGTCAAGGAAACTCACCCTTCTTAGCGAACTGTGGTGGTTTCCTCGATTTGCGGCCGGTGGCTTTATCGAAGTAATGCAGCAATGCCTGTACGTCACGTCAGCTCAATAAACACAGGAATAAAGGGGGTTGAAGAAGGAACATACCACCAACGTAACCTCCTCCGAAAGCGTATGCACATGCATCACCGCCGAATACCCCGCACAAATAATATTCTTATGCTCCAATATCGCCAACTGCGCCTCGAACTGTCTCACCGCCCTCACCGGCTTCTGCACACTAGTCAACACGAAACCCGGACTGATATCCTCATCGTCCACGCCCCTCAACCGTATGCGCACGTTGTCACCGGATACAGCCATGTTCACCTCGTCGTCCATTTCGTTGTAGAGTGCGGAAACTTCGACGGTGACGTGATTGGGCATGAGGATGAGTGTGTCGGATTTTTTGATGTGGCCGGATTCGATCTTGCCGACGACGATGGTCCCCAGGTCTTTGTATTTTTCGGAGATGGGCATCATGAGCGGGGAGGTCATTTTGCGGTCGACCATGGGCATGTGGTCGAGGAGTTCGAGGAGGGAGGGGCCGCTGTTAATTCGTACATACCCTCGTCAGACTTCGAATGAAAGCATGGATGGGAGAAGAAGAAGAAGGGAAAGGACACTCACTCCCACCACGGACAGATAGATTTATCCACCCTATCCTTCAAATTCGCCCCCGTCTGCGCGCTCACCGGCATCCAATTCACATCCGTCTTCGGGTTGAATCCCGCCCCCCTAACAAACGGCGTCAACTTATCCTTAATCTCCTCAAACCGCGCCTTCTCCCACTTCACGGTTGCATCGTCCATCTTGTTGATCACGACCACGACCTTATTCACCCCCGCCGTCTTCACCAACATGATATGTTCCCTCGTCTGCCCTCCCTTCTCAAACCCCGTCTCGAACTCGCCCTTCCTCGCCGAAATCACGAGGATCGCGATATCCGCCTGCGCCGCGCCGCTGATCATGCTCGGCACGTACGTCTTATGCCCCGGCGCATCGAGGATCGTGTACCGTCTCGCGGGGGTCTCGAAGTACGCTCTCCCGACCTCCACCGTCTTGCCCTTCAAACGTTCTTGGGGCGTGGAGTCGAGCGCCCAGGAGAGGTACCACGTCTCCCGGCCGGCCTCTTTCGCTTCTTTTTCGTATTTTTCCATGGTCCGTTTGTCGACGGAGCCGGAAAGGTAGAGGATGTTGCCGCCCATGGTGGATTTGCCGGCGTCGACGTGGCCGATGAAGACGATGTTGAGGTGCTCTTTGACTGTGATGATACCATACACAGAGCATAGAACAAACATAAACATAAATCGAAGTGTGAGTGTGAGTTTGAGCATGGGAAGGGGTATAGTGAATGGAGGGAGGGAGGGAGGGAGGGAGGGAGGGAGGGATGCGTGAAGGGAATCGAATCGAATCACGTACTCTCCCCAAACAAATCCTGCAGAACAGCAGAATCCGCAACCTGCTGCACCTCCTGCGCGATCGCCGCCGTATCCGTCTTCGCCTTATCCATCGTCCAAGTCTTCGAAGACGGTGCAGGCGAACTCGATCCTCCAGAAGCCTTCGGTGTCGACGCACCACTCCCCGCAGCAGCACTTGAAACATTCGCTGTAGTTTTTGGTGGTGCAGCAGCAGCAGGTGGAGGAGCCTTTACTGCCGGCGCTGGAGCTGGGGTAGGAGTAGGGGCGGCGGCAGGAGGGAGCGGAGGCTTCGACCCCCCGATGTTGAGCGAGATTGTCGGTGCCGGTGCCGGTGCCTCTGTCTGTTCTGGACGTTGGACGGGCTGGAGAGGAGGTGCAGGCCTCGATGAGCCGCCGATGTTGAGCGAAATGGTGGGTGCGGGCGCGGGGGCCTCTGTCTGCTCTGGTCGTTCGACGAAGTGTTGTTGTTGAGGTGGTGGGGGTTGTTGGGGGGAAGCAGCGGTGGGGGCACGGAAAGCACGGCCGGGGACGAACTCGAAGGCGCCGGCGTTGAGTCTACTCATCGTTGAAGATAATGTGGGTGGATAATGGGGGAATCGGAAAGATCAGAGTGGGTATGCAGTCGAAGAAGACGGGCGCCTGAAATTTGAAGTGGCTAAATGACGCGTGGGGCGCCACCGCCACACGGACTGCCTCTTACTCGCGTGGGATTATGTTGGGTGGCGCCGGTTGCCAAACATGATCAAATACGACCAAAGAAGTGTATACAGTTGTTAGAGCGAGCATGTGTTTTTATATTCTCTCTCTCGTATACTCACAAACTCACACACTCACATTACATTGTAAAATTCTGGTAAAATATGGCCCAATAAACCATGGACATCATGTTCTCCTGTACACAGAGAAAAGCATTGTACCTAGGATACAGGACCTCAGGAATAATCAGGCCTCAATAGACCTCGTGGGCACCAGCCAATTTCGCTGACGTCAGCGAAATTGGCTGGTGCGTACTTCTCATGCAGAAAATGGCCATCCCTGTTTGGTGAAATTCGTTCTCATAGATTATTTTATAATTGAATTTACACGAATTTAGATACCCTTGATATTCTGTCAGGATGAAATGCGGGTGAGCAATGAATGTCGGTGAACCGGCCAATTTGGCCAAGACGTGCGCCAATTGGCTGGTGCCCACGAGGTCTAATGATCTCATCTTTTCTAAGGGTATGATTATTTTTCTCAGGCCAGAATTTGCGCTGACACTGAGTCATGCTCTCTTCAAGACACCCATTTCAATAGTTGTTATAATGGTCAGGCTTGAGCTGGGCGTAAGGGTGGCCTCAGCCTAGGATTATGACGAGGAATGTCAGGAGTAGCGGTCCGTACAAAATGGGAAGGAGTGTGTATGGACTCGGGGAAATTTTCATTTTGCATGTCTTTGTGTGTCCAGCTTTGGGAGGAGTATCATTCTGTGTTTTCAACTCTCCTCATTGCACATCAAAGTTTGCAGCTGTATCCACATACTGTACTTTTTCGATCAACTGTTCGTCACATGTCATGGTCAAGAAATTCTGAGGGTGCCGATGAGCTCCAATTAGAAATCGAGGTTCATCAGCCAACCCCAGCCCTAAGAATTTCCTAATCGGGCAAACAGTTGGTCGAAAAACTACAGTACAAGACTTATATTCTACTTCCCTGTTATGGACTTATTTTCGTTTTCTTATGACTCGTTGGGGTATTATTTCTTTATTTAACCACATATACATCATCCACTCATATGGCCGGTTGATGAACATTTCATGGACTAGTAGACGTGTCTCGACTCCTTTGTATTCTCGACTACGGACTACATAGCTTCTCATAGCCTCGGACTGCGACTCATAGGTTTCCGTACGTTGTATACTATAATTATTAGGTACAGGTCTCCGCAGCGACTACGGACTGGGGCACAGTGTTCATACAACTCAGACTGACTTATTTAACTGTCTCATAGCCTTTAAAGCTGCGCATGTATTTAGTATATAAGAACGACCCTAGTAGAGGGGAGTTCTTTAACCTATTCATCTCTGTTTTATCTGGTCTCTTAGCTTGCACTTGAACTAGTTCTTTCAGCAGGACTAGCTTCCCTTATCGACATCAAGACCCTTTGACTGTGTAGAATCACCACTACACCAGTTACTCGAACCAGAAGTAAGGCTTCTTAGGACACGGCCGATCGCACTTGTGATAGCCATCACGCCTGCACTTGAACGTGTGTCCACTCTTGGATCACTATCCAAGCCTGGACATTACATTCCCTCACCTTTTCACTTCCTACTTCCCGCTTTGCACTTGCATACATCATGTTTCTGTAACGTCTCAGAGAGCCTGAGGAGTGTTGGAGTTTGTGTGAGACACTACAGTCACGTGGCCAGATCATTGTACATATACAGCTCATTATGTAGAACACAAGTTGTTGACTTCCACCATTCTGTCTGGGCACGTTAGTCCCCTAAGGGCCTCAGGGCATGGCTACAGTTTCAATACAACAGGCATCAGGGGAGGTGGTGCTGGGCAGGCAAGGCTTGGATGTGGGGTAGTCTTCTTCTATGGCTTGAATACAGGTTTTCTGTCCAGTGAGCATTGGCAGAAAACTTGTTGGGAGACCATCTATGCCTTGGGGTTGGTATAGGGTGGAGTTTATAGTGTTGTAGAAGTCGGATAGTGTAGGGAAGACACATATTGTGACAGAAGGATTGGGGTGTTTGTTGTGATGCATGGGAAACTCGTATCATGACACTTCCTTCCACGTCCAGTAGACTTGATCACTACATCCACAACTATAAAACCAAGAAAGCAGCTCCATAGCATTATGACAGCAAGACATGTATATACATACAACATAATTTACGAGCGCGCAAGATACGTATAATCCTTAAACATAAGCTCCGGTGATCTGGCCCTCTGTTCCGCCGGCTGATGATATGTATTATAACCACGGCTATTCGCCAAAACCGGTGGTGGTGGAGGAAGATGTTTCCGTAATTGCACTGTAATCTCTGTCTGAGATCGATGACTGCAGTATTTGCAGCCACAGCGTCTTCGGCCATCTCGGGTCATTGGCATGCCTTTGGCGAGCCAGATTAGATGAAAGGCAAATTCTTCAGGGGATCGAAAGACATTGTCAGAACCTACAAAAAAAACCAATGTCAGTATACACATAATGCCAAAGAAAACAGGAAGGATAAAGGTATAAATAGTACAATGTGCCTAATTATAGAATCATAAATGAAGTCAAGCTATATATATCTACGTAATTGTGTAAAAACTGTTATACTCCTTCACTACAGCTTATTTCTTTAAACTCGTTTATAAGAATGTTGAGATCTATACATGACCTGTTGTGAAGTGCAATTTAGACCACAACAGTCTAACATGGGTTCACAAATAAGGCAAGTAATATATGCCCTATTTTTAGCTCATGATGAAGGCACATTGCACGTGATCTGGATAATACTACACTACACAAGGATAATATTCTGTGAAATGACTCACCGTAGAGGTAGTAATCTTTTCTTGCATTAAACTTATCTCGCTGGAGACCCTTAACATGAACATAAAGGTTATATCCTCTCGGGAATTTCGCCAACATCCATGGCGGTGAATGGACTAAAAAAAAACCATCAGAAACGGAATGAAACCCGAGTCAAAGAAGTCACACACCTTTGCGTTTCCTCTTTAATCCCTCTCTAGCCAAATACAACCCCAACTTTGCCCTCCAATGCTTCGATATGTCATCATGTCGCTCAACAAGGTGATATTCATTAATCTCATCATACTCCGCAACGGGAGCATTAGGATAATAGTTCCTCCCGTCTGACTTCACCACTACAATCCTATTATCTGCGTTGATCATGTAGTGTTCCTCCGAAGGAGTGGGTTCCGGTTCATCCACGGCCATAGGAGGCGGCGAAGAGGATGGGGTGCTGTGGATTGAAATGACTTCGGGTTCGTCGGATATGGAGATGATGCTGGGTGATGGCGAAGTAGGTGGCGTAGGACGGTGTTCTGACGAGGTCGATGCAACGGCGTTATTGTCGTACGCTGGACGTTGTGCGACAGGCTCATGGATACGTGGAAGTGCGGGTCTTGGGCGACCCAGAGCCAAGCTCTTCTCGTTCGTTTGGCGAATGGATGTATGCCACTGAGTAGGTACTGCTGGTTCGGCGGGAGGTGGAGCGGGAGTCGGTGCGACCGGAGTAGGGCGTTGCAAGCGAGACGCGAGGATGCTTTTATGGAGGACGGAGAAGGATGACGGTGTAGGCCGCTTGGAGTGCGATTGGTCCCAGAAAGCGAGAGGCGATAGCGTCGACCGAGTTTGCAAATTAAGCTTCGTGGGTGACCTCTTCATATAGTAGATGAGAAACCGCGCAACGGCACATAGCAAAAGAGTACTGTCTGAGACATACCATGTTTATATACTCAATGGTGGGTGACGAATGCTGGACTTGCGGCGGAACCTGGAAGCAAAGAGCACATACCGGAGTGAGTATGATACGATCATAGATAAAAATCTTGATAAGGAAGCGGACAAGAATGAACAAGCGAGTCAGAGTGAGAGAGGTCAAGGTACCGACAGCGGTGGCGAAATGACTCGACAAGCTACGTCGAGGAGAGCGTGACTACGGAGTGGTTTCTTGCTCCCACAACTGGAGTCAGACGTACAAGAAGCAGAAAACCACGCAAGGTGGTGTGACAGAAAAGGGATATCGGGCGTGTAGAGCGCAAAGAACGACGAGCTAAGGACTTACCAAGGGAACATGACCCGACTCCCCTCCGTACGCCATCCGAGCCAGAGGTGTTTCTACATCCAGCGACGCGGGCTCGTGAAGGATACGCTCGTCTGTCGCAGCTTCCGCACTCGACTGTGCACCCACACCGTCAGCCTTGACGTCTAAAAGACATATCGGTCAGCAGGCCGGCTGTACAAGCACACTCAGGGAAGGCACACGCACTTCCAAGATCTCCAATAAACCTGTCATCCTCACTCGCCCCAGAGTCCACAAGGGTCTCATACTGCAATCGAACGCGCTTGGTGGCGTGTTGTGAGCGAGGTGAAACGGTTCGTGGGGCGATTTGCCCTTCCTCTTCGTCGTCTGAGTCGAAGAATAGGGGCGTTGCCTTGCGCTTGGGAGTGGGGGGAATAAAGTCTGCGCTCATGAATGACTAGGGTTTCGAGATTGTGTCGACGAGATATGTTCCAGTGGCAGAAGACAAGAAAAAAAGCAGAACAAAGGGAATGTGAAAAGTAAACGCGGTAGTCCTGATTCAAGTGAGGAATTGAGCAGTCTTTGACTTTTCGAGAGCGCAAACAGGGAGACGAGTGATAATATACGCGTAGAGGACAATAAAAACAAGGGAGCCCAGAGAGCAGCGTGCAGCTGAAGATGGGCGTTGCGGACAAAGGAGCTCGAGAAGACGTGGACGCGACTACGGTTCTGGCGGCAATTCGCCCGGCGCTTCCGGGAGATGCCGCGGCGCTGAGCTCATCGGCGAGATCCATCCATACATCCCGCACTCCAACGTGCTCGCTGTTCGCAACGGCGACGACGCCTTTCTCTTTCCCACACCTTTACTTGTCTGCTTTCTGAAATGGACCCAGGACCACCACCACCACTTCCTGGAGAGATTGATTTTGAAGATTATCCAGTTGACCGACAGTCATGTCAACTGCTAGGCCCTACTGCGTTGGTTCGTTCGTCGCTGTATCGCTATTATGCAAACATGTTAAGACTACATGATATTACTCTGGTTAGATCGTACAATCGCTTATGGGTGTTGTTGTGATACTATCTCTGCTATACAAGCGGCAGCGAGAGAAACCTAAACGTCCATGGCGCATCTGGTTGGTCTATCACGCACACTCTCCTCGTCCTGCGTTGACTTGAAATCTCGGGTGTTGCATATACTTCTCCCGAGGATAGGCTTTTTGACGTGTCAAAGCAGGTTGTTGGGCAGATGTTCGTCCATGGGGTGAATGTCTTGATTTCGGACGTGGGCTCGCATCGGACGGCCGGGAACGCTTGTGTGTTCTATTTTCTAAACATTCTTGTCGATACCACGCTCGGTATGTCTCCTATGCCTCTTTTTACTGTCAATTTGTGCCCAGACAACGTTTTGCAGGCGTCGCATGCATCTACTTGATTCTACGTGTCACAACACACATCCTCTCCGAGCGCTTCCAGTTCAAAGGCTACGAATCTGGCCAGTATGGCACTCCTCCGTCCGTCATATACTGGCTTCGCCAAGCTGCAGTCTACGTTTTCGCCCTCACGTCCATGAAAATCCTGGTCCTTATTCTCTTCGCTCTCTTCCCGGGGATATTCAAGCTGGGAGATTGGTTGTTAAGTTGGTTGGGTCACGGAGATGCCGTCCAGGTCATATTGTGCGTTTCGACTACTTTTGTCTGCACTTGCGCTTTGACTGGGAAATCTAATCTTCTTTGACAGTACGATGGGTCTATTCCCCATCCTTATGAATGTCCTCCAGTTCTGGCTCATCGACTCCATCGTCAAAGCCTCCACCGCCAACCCCGCACTCACCCTCCCCTCTGACGCCGAAGCTGGTTCATCTCCGCATACTTCCGAAGACCGCCAACCCCTCTTCCGCGCCTCTAACGAGTACGACTCCGACTCTGACAACGAAGGCCTCGATACTCGTCACCCTCATCACCACACCACCGACCTCGAATCCCAAACCCAAGTCACCCGTCGTTCCAACCCTCCTTCCCGCTCCAACTCCGCCGAACCGAAGAACGCCCGTCGACTATCGACCGACTCGGACCCTAAAGACACCTTCGAACCTTCCTCCACCCATTCCTCATCCTCCCACATCTCCATCTCTCACCCCACTCCGAAGGACGCCGACCCTCACGCATACCCACCCAGTCTCGGCTCGTCACCATCTTCGTCATCGAGAAGAACGATGAGTTGCTCGCCGGGCTCGAGGATGCTTTCGGGCTCGATCAGTTCGATTTCGGCTTCGACGAGGAAGAGGCGGTCGCCGCCGCCGCCTTTGTTACCAAGATCGCCGATGCAGCCTGCGATTAATTCGCCGTCGATTACGCAGGCGATGAGTATGGGTGCTGGGGCGGAGATTGAGATGAAGGTTGAGGGCAAGGGCGATGTTGGTGCGCGGCGGAAGCATAGGAAGAGTGAGAGTGGCGGGAAGGATGAGTGGGGGTGGGATAGTGACGGTGAAGGGGAAACCGAGGCTGGTGCTGATCGTCTCGATGTGAAGGATCGTAAGGAGAGTGCCTTAACGGCACACGATGATGACTGGGCAAATAGGGTAGGTGAAGAGGATTGGACGGGACGGAGGATGGAGGCGAGAAAGGGGGAGGTGGAACAGGTCTGGAAGAGTACCGCATAGCAATAGATCTCCTTTTCTCTTCTCTTTTTATTCCTTGGTCTCTTTTTTATTTCTCCTCTTCTACATCATAAGACACTGGCCGGACGCCTCACACATTCATTCTCTTTCACATATTGTCTAATATCCTTCTGTTTGTTGGTTCGTGCACGTACACATATACATCCACACGCCACACGGCGCGTATTTTTATACATAGTGTACTTTACTTTCATTATTGATGTGTACTCTGCAGTCTGCATTGGCTGTCTTCTGGATCGCGCAGCGGTGTGCATATATATACCTTTCTTTCTTCGACTCTGTCAATGAGCCGCTCTCCTGGCCAGATCATCCTACTCTAGGCTGACCCGCTCGAGGCACCCGAATGTGCTGGCCGCTTGCGGCCGTTGTCGGTTCCCACCTCCACAAAAGTTGCGAACAGCGAAAATCAAACATGCATGTATGCATGAGGCTCCCTCTTCACCTCGAACGTTGACACGTTTCGTCCTCCTGGTCTGGCTTGTTTGTCTTCTGCTGTGATGGTTGGTCTTGCGAGGGGTATCGCGATGAGCATGACTCGGACTTTCAACCTCGAGGTGAGTACATACAACGTTGGAGATGACGAGTATCGTGATTCGTGATGATGGGCTCGGTATCCTCGAGGCGAGTGCATGCCGGTCGTCGTGCAGCTGGATTCGGCTCCGTCTCTGTTTGGATTTGAATGAATCTGATCAGCGGTGTACCACGATACTTTCCAGTTTTTTGTGTTCTCCAGAACTGCAAGTCACTGTGGCGTGCTCGGACGCCACTCGTTAACCGTACATACGTACACTTGATCAGACTCCAGAGCGTGGGCCATGATATCAGCCTACATATCCCTAGCGCAATCTCGTCTCGCTCCAGAATTATTGTCCATTATTTCGCTTCACCTCACCGTGGTCACTAGGTCGTCGCGCGCGCTCATCGCCCGCCGCGCCACACCCAGTCCTCTATCCTCGCGAACGCAAAGTCCCGACACCGCGATGCAAAACACCTTCCTTCTGACGTCACCAGTTCACCGCGCATGAGGGAGCATGGCCTGCGGGGAGGTCCAAAAAGGGAACCTTCAGACGAAGTGCTGCATCATTGCATGCCCTGCAGAGCTTCTCGGTGTTGCAGCGCCAGCACTTCTAATTGCTAGCATCCTACCGTTTGGCGAAGGGGTCGATGCGCCGCGCACTGTGTTTCATGCTACAGAACGTTCTTCTTCAAATAATCCGGATTAGCCTTGTTCAGAGTGCAAGAGGCTTTGCCGGAGCTCATATCAAACTCATATCGAGCTCATATACGAGCTCATATACTGCGTTTATGAGGGCTCGAAATGAGCACTCTGAACAAGGCTAATAATTGGAGTGGAAGAACGGTTTTGAGGTTATGAGGTTATGAGGTTATGAGGACCAAGCGCCTAGCTCCGGAATCGAGGATGTTCGACCTTGTTCGACAGGGGGTTGGATTTGAGTAATGAGTTCATTTCGAGGTGAGCCAGGTGAGCTGCAATAGTATATAAAGAGGCTGGGCGACGGGGTTTTTTTTCCTGCATTCCAAGTTGACCTGTGTCTTCCGGTCTCCTCATACCCGTTTCTCTGCCTCTAGGCAGAGCAGTTATACCCACTCGCCTGCGGAATTTTTTGCGTACTTAGTAAGCAATATTATTTTCTCTGTCTTGCGGAGGCAAAGTAGCATCCCCTTTCCAACTAAAGCGCGCAAATCTCGGATAGATTCTATCCCTCTCTGGTGGACAACACATATATAAAGACCACCGGTACGTGCTTCCTCTTCTCATTTCCCTTGTCATCCCCATCCGTGCTGTAAACCAGCGTCGAGTTGCACTTGAACAAGGACGGCGAACGCGGGCGTCAAAGTGAAGTGAGACCGGCTACTCAATCAACCGCGACTTTCCGTGCACGGAGCTTATCAACCGGTCCGCGCGGGTGGCTCGCTCTTTTCTTGACAAATTTGATTGGCAAACGCTATTTTCGCGCTGCATTTGCCGCGAAAAGGCGCGCGCGGTGAGATAATCTCGAAATCTAATTGTATGTCAAATACTTCGCCCCCTGTCGAGTGGCTCGACACACCTCCTTCTTCCTTCCCCCCTCAGACTCTTTCACCGTCCGTCGTCTCTGTTTGCTTTTCCCCGCCCTACGTACGCCGGCCCAGACTAGACTCCAGACTCGACGACGGTTGCTCTCCAACGTCGCCGGTTGACAGCTTGTGCGCTCTTTTATATTCAGTGAGTCTGATATCAATAAATCAGAGTTAGACCCTTTCGGTCTGTCTGGGCATGGGCCATGGCGTACTGTTTTTGCAATTCACTTCAGTAGGGTGGTACGAGAGCTGAATATATTGAATACTGACGGCCGTTGTCGCCCTTCCGTCTCTTGCAGTACACCTTCGAACGAGCGACGACGATGCCCGTCGCGCACTCGAACCACTTGAAGGACATGGGAGGAGAGCGTCGGTATAGGCCTTATCCTGCGCCGCACAGTCAGACCGCGAGCAGCAGTTCGCGTACGAATGCCAAGGTGCGTCCTCTCACTTTTCTTGAACGCGTCGCGCGATCTCATTGTTTGTCCCTCCTACTATCAGACCGCCGACTTCTACCCTCCACGCCCTCTCTCACCACCCCACGCGCTGAAGGACCTCAACGAGGAGAACCGTAGGCTCTACCCCGATATCGCTGCCCAGATGGACGCGAATAAACGGAAGGAAGAGGAGGAGGCAGCTTTTGCCTCCAAATTTTCGAAATCTCGCAACGAGCCGTCGTTGTTGTCGCCCAAGGAGGAAAAGATCGTCGCTCGCGGTGTCTCATCGTCGTCATTCTCTCCGGGATCCGCACCCACATCCGCACCCGGCGTCGACACGCGCCACCCCCGAATCGAGAAATCACCGCACCTAATCCAGCAACCATCACACCCAATCAAACAACAAGGACGACCCAACCTCGGCCTCACCATCCCACCAGAAACGAACCTCGACGACCTCATCACTTCGCCCCACGTCCCGCTCACCCCACGACAATTGCACGCGCTTTCGCAGTTCGTGCAGCATGCCAGTGTTCGTTCGCCTTCGAACACTGAACTACGAAGCCCAGTCGAACGGACGTGCGATCCGAGGAAGAGGACGGTGGATCCGAGGAAGCGGCCGCGTTTGTCGAAGGATTCGCAGTACATTGTGGATGAGGCGCAGGCACGGGCGAAGATGCAGAATATGGCGATCAGCTCTCCTCAGGCGATGTCGAAGGCTTCGAGCAACAGGTGCGTTCCCTTAGTCTCTGTTGTTCTCTCAAACTCATCTCACGAAATTCGTATTTCACCTATATTTAGTGGACAATGGTCGAAGCCTCTCACGTCGCCCTCTCCGTGCAAGGAATCGCGAAAGCGACCTCGCGACGGAGAAGATAACAATAGACCTGGCTCGCCTTCGATATTGGGGAACGTACAGAAGATTTCAAGACGAAGCTCGTGTTCGAACGCAAGCGCAAGTGGAAGCTCAAACGCGTCGGCGGGGCCGTCCAGGATCGTTAGTGATCCTGTTCCCCAATCGTCGAAGCCCTCGTCCTCCGCGGCTTCCAAACCATCAAACACCTCCAAATCAGAAGCGATTCCTGCCTGTTACGAGCGAGAATCCCCGGGATCTCGAGGGCGGACGCTGTCGCAGCTACGAGAACACTGTCGCCGAGTCAACAGTCCTGTGGGCCACACGCCACCGGCTTCTCCGGCTCCTCAAGACTCTTCCTTCTCGTCCATAGGCAACAATGCAGCGAGCAGCTCGTCGTCGGCCGCCTCAAGGCCAAACACATCGACTTCTTCAAGGCCGCCATCGTCAACTTCTTACCTCCCCACTCCTCCAGCTAGTGCCTGCACGTCGCCAACCATCCCAGCACGTGCCAAACTCCCTTCATTCAAGAAGAACAAGGGAGCTTTGTCCGCTCGACCATGTCCTACTCGTTATGAGTCGATGTCTCCGATCGTCGAAAGGAGACAGCCCGAGGAGCGGAGACGTGCGTCGATGGGTAATATACAAACACCTGCGACATCAACATCGACCTCAACCTCGAACGCCCGCCGCACCTCATTGCCTGCGTCCGCCTCCACCTCGGCCGCCTCATCAGCCCCTCTAGCCACATCATCCACGTCGACGTTCCCTGTACCTTCTTCGTCCACATCAAACTCTCCTACATCTCCCTATCCTTACAATTCCGGCCCAAGACGTTATTTCTGTGGTCGGGAATCGACCCTTCGGCCCTCACATCGCGAACCGATCTGTACTCCGCATTTTACAGTCGTCGAGAACTGTATCACGATTCTCACGACGGACGCGGATGTGAGGAACAGGCCGGGGGTGCATCCGATTCGGGAGCGAGAGCGGAGGGACCAGGGGGGTCGAGGCGAAGCAGAGTCAGAATTCGAAAGGAAGTTGGAGTTTGAGAAGAGAATGGAGATGTGTGGTGTAAAAGGGAAGGGGATTTATTTTGAGGAGGTGGAGTTGGCGAGGAAGATTAGTTTGGAGTGGAGGAGGGAGGTCGGGGCGTTCCTTGCGAGGGAGGTGTTAGGGCTCGAGGCGGGACGTACGTTTCTTTTTTTTCTTTCTTTCCGTTTTTGTTGAGTGGTCTCGATGAGTGCTGACGCATACCCGTTATCGTTTTTTGAATGTGAATAGCGGACGAGAAGCGGTTCGTGCTGTCGAAGTATCCAGAACATTATGCGATGTTCGTGCTCAATAACGAGCCTGACGATCGACAAGATTATTATCTCTATGGTGCGTCTCCTCTATCTTCCCCCCACCTCTATCCCCCCTCTTCCCTGTCCATCATCGCACAACTTACTAACCCTCCCCTTTCCACCACAGGCTCCCTCTCCGTGCACTGCTTCCGCTCTCCCCAAGAATTCGGTTTTCACGCCAAATGGCTCATGCTCGGCAAACCCCTCACGAACGACGGTCGTCCCGATTGTCGGTGCACTTATTGTTCTGGGGTCGAGCAGGGGAAGATATCGGAGGAGTATTTTGGGAGGAAGAAGCCTGAACGGAGGGGTTCTGGGACTGTGCAGGGGGATGGAGGGGGCGGAGGAAGGGGTGGGAGGAGGGTCGAACAGAATAGGATCGAGATTGGGAAGGCGAGGGATTATAGGAGGATTTCGGATCATTGATCTGTGCGTGCCTCTTTCGTCCTGAATCTGCTCGTCGTCAAAGTGTGGGGGAATTTTCTTGAGCCTGTTGGCTATGCGCCAACCGTGGCGTCGTTTCACTGTATGTTTCATTATGCTTCCTCCGGACGTCATTAATCATTGTCCGCAGTGTTGTGTGTGGGTGTGTTGTTGGCGCGTTAACTTCGTTCGTTGATCATCAGATATTTTGCGACTGTGACTCCGTTTTGTGCTGTAGACTTCCAGTTCCGTTATACGCTATGCTGCTTATTACTATAAGTCCGCTCCTCCACTCTAGTACTGTATCTTACCTGTATCATAGATAGTAGCTGATGCTGATACGGTACTTTACAGACGCTTATATTTGTCTTTTATGTTCGCAGACGTTCATACTTGACTTTGTGTTCGCAGACGTTCATACTTGTCTTTATGTTTTATGCCTTGTTCTAGTTACGCGCTCTCCGTGGCGTAGGAGACTGCACATTATGATGTTTATGTGCTTTAGTGCAATATATGATATACCTATTCTCTTTCATTGTATCGTTTACAAGGTTTTGGGTCTCAAGTTCGAGCGGGACGCCCGAGATACATCCAAAACGTATACATTATTCCATCGTTACTGACCAAAAAGCGACATCGTAAGTACATTTGAGTTGTGGTGAATTCAAAGTCCCAAGGATACGTTAGCACGACCAAGTCCAACTCAAAGCCCTCTGTACGCCCCCTCCATGTTTCTCTAACATGCCCCGTCGTCAGTCCAATCGCCGGCCGCTCCACCAGGGGCATCAGCCTCGGTCCAATACTTCGCGGTCCAGAGGTGTCCATCTACGCTACGAACAATCAGCAGCCATTTGATCGTATAGACATAAGAAAAAAGTACTGACTGTAGGTAACTTGCGAGCCGCCGACGTACGCCGTCGTCGATACCCAAGCCGCCACGCCTGAACAACTACCAGAAGATGCGGTCGTCGTCGTCGCAGGGGCAGTGGTGGTCGCGGAGGTAGGGGCCGTAGGAGCAGTGGTAGTTGCGGTTGTTGTAGTGGTTGGGCTCGTGCCGGATGAAGAAGGAAGAGCGAGAAGAGCGAAGTGACCTCCGACGACTGGCCTACAGCAGCATCATATTTCAGTATAGCATTTCACACGGAGAAAAGCCCGAAGGGGAGGTATGGTGGCGAACTACGCACCGATCCCTAAACGACTCATCGCCCACAGTATTCCTCACCGCATCCCCCGTCTCTGTCTCATAGAAATCCGAAAACGGCTGATTCGGTATCCCATCCGCCGCCCAAGTCGCCAACCTCCCAATCAGTAAATCCCTCACCGCCGTAGTACTGGCAATCGCAGCCGTCCAGATCGTCCAGTCCGATTTCGTGTACGTGTGGCGCGTATCGAGCGGGATACCGTACGTGTTGACGTGGGAGGAGTACCACGAGGTTTGCATCTCGAAGACGGAGTCGGGGAAGAGGGAGAAGCCGAGGAGGCGTTGGGCGTAGAGGTTGTAGGTTAGGCCCCAGGAGGAGGAGTCGCCGTAGGAGAGTTCGAGGTGGTCGTTTGTGGATGCGGTGGCGAAATTGACGACTTGGGGAGCATAGGAAGCGGCGATGCTCTGCAACGCGGCGAATATTGAGCAAAATGTAGGTGAGGGAGGTGGAAGGAGGGTATACGTACGGCGTAGTTGGAGGCATCAGACGTCTTCCCGAGGAGAGTGGCAATCTCGGACATGGCCTGGATGGCGATTGTGCCCTTGATGGCAAGATTAGTCTGGTTCGCCAAGCTACCAGCAAAGTCATCCGTCGAGATCCTGGAATACGAAGCATAAGATACTCCACACCCGCCGATACAAAGAGAGCGATACACACTGATTGTCAGGAGTGAGCGAGTCGTCGATCAGGTACTGAGCCCATTGAGCGAGAAGATTATAATTATCGCTGATAAGCGAAGTGTCACCACTCTTCTGCGTGTAGGAAAGAGCCATGATGACCATGTTTCCGGATTCCTCGACGGGCATGTTCTCGTCGTCTCCGCCGAGATGAGCGATAGCTTGAGGGTAGGCGGCACCGACTGTCACGAGCACGAAAGGTTCAGCGATTTGACAAAATTAAAACCCGGAAACGAGAGGAAGCCTTACGATCGTGACAAGAGAACGTGTGTCCATACTGTCCCGTCTGCTGATAATCAAACAACGGCTCCAGCAAATGCCTCCCGTACTCAGGGTTCAAATAAAGCAAGATAGGCCAAGCTGGAAAAATAACATCCACAGTATTCACGTTTCCATCCGACGAGATCTCCTTCAAGAACACCTTGACATCCGACGTATCGGGTCCAGGTCCGAGGGTGATCTCCATGCCGCCCATGGCTTGACGGGTGGAGAGTGCAACGATATTGGCATAGTCGGATGAGATGGCGCCAGCGTCTGAGGCGATTTGGGAGTCGAGGGCGTCGGCTGCGGAATTGCTGTGGTCGTACTCGGCGGAGGTAAGCATTTGAGTGAGCTAGCAGAGCGAAGAAGATCGTCAGTCTTTGAGAACACCCAAGTCTCTAGTACAGGTGACTGCATACCACATCCATAGCCGTGCTGTATGTAGCGGCCCAGTATGGCCTGCGGTCCTCAAATTGTGCATTCGCAATAACATATTTAACTGTAAAAGCCATGTTAATGAGTGTTCTTTCCCTAACGAAATGTTTACGCACTCATAGGATCTCTAGCGTGACCAACGACAAAGACAGCAGGATTGGTCGCGGTCTCAGTCACGGAGCCGTAGTCCTTGGCCAAGGCAAACACGGGCCAGTCATTCTAAGTGTCAAACATACTGGTCAGAAGAGTTCTGCAGAAAGGTTTTATGGCCATAACACGTACATCAATCGCGCGGTAGTTCGTGTCCTGAGAATTGTCGAGAACACCGTTAGAGATGAACTTGCCACGAACGGATTCATCTTGACCGGTGGCGTAGGTAACGCCATCGTGCTGGAGAATGCATGAGAGAATATCCGTAAGGAAAGAAAAGAGAGATAATCAGGGCATACGTAGGTAATCCCATAGTAGGCCTCGCCATATTGAATCTGATCCCTGTTCTCACTATACTGGGATTGAGTCTGAAGACCAACTTTGTGGGCGATCATACTGTCCGTCGCGGTCGTACTCCAAGTCGCAGTGAGACCACGATCACCAGAGACCCATTCTGTCGTGAGAGTTCGTATCAGTGAGTGGAGATACACGTTGCATACAATGTAATATATTTACCTGCAGAAATATCGGTATAGACTTGAATGCTGTGGGCATTGCCATCATTCGAGGAGACTGCGACCGTCAAGTACGAGAACGGATAAGATTGGCGTAGGAAATCGGTAGGCTAAGAGTAACATTTCGGCGTTAGCTACGTCACCGCGATAAAGGGCGCAGAAAAATAGGTAGAAGCACTGACCTCGACGGGAGACAGGAAGGTTGCGGTGATGGACACAGGTCCGGCGGTTAAAACGAAGATAGAACGCGTGGCCGTGAACTAATCCAAAGGAACTCTGTCACTCGAACGATACTTTCGTACTGAGGTCAACTGTGAAACGAACCTTGGACGAGGTTTGTGTGGCCTTCGTGGCACCCGCAGTACCAGGCGCTCCAAGAAAGTTGTACACCGTCCCATCGACTCGAACATATCCCGCCCAACCAGTAACCTGAGCAAACAAATTCAATCAACCGACACTGTCAAGGGCCCAGAACAACTATACTCACTTGTCCTTGCCAAAATGCGGGCCAAGCACCATTCAGGTTGCCACCATTGCTACCTCCTGGGAGCCAGGTCGAGAGGTAAGGAGAGCGAACTGCTAAGGGGTAAGACTGAGCATTGAATGGAGTAGCTGTCCACGTCACCGCCCGAGATTCCAAGGTGGAAGGATCAGGTTCAGCGTGCGCGTCAGGAGCTGGGAGTGCAGAGGCGAGACCACTCAGAAGGGCCACCAGGCCAAGGAGAGACTTCATGGTGAGCATCCCAGATCGTAAGAGTGAGCTGCAGGCTCTTGTAGTCCGCTCATGTAGGTATATATACGTGGAGCGGTCATGAACGTCCGGTGGCCTGTTCCAGGGCACAGTAACAGCAGGAAGGACGCGTTCGAGTTTCGTAGAGTGGCCACAATGCGAGCATTCACCTGATGTACCCGCAATATACGGGACCTCATGCGACCTTGATGAGCTCGTCGAGCCTTGTGACACATAGGCACGGTTGGGGATGAACTGCAGCGCATTTCGGTTTCAAGAATATGGTAGACATCTGTACGAGATGAAAGGCGTGAGTTCAAAGGCCCTCTGAGAACACACCCGGTTCCGAAACGGATGCGAACAGAGGCAGCCATCATCCTGCAACATCGTACTTCGGTGATCAGCACAGAGAATAGCGCTACCGGCGGATCATCAACCTTGCGCGTGTCTCGGACCAGGCGTAGGAATCCGGATTTGTGCTCGCACAAGTCTCCCAGGGGAAGCCTACGGCTGCAGTTTCTAACCCGTCGGCGTGGACGAGCGAATGTCTCGAAAAGTGATCCATCATAGGCACGGCATATATGAGAGCACAAGGAGAGGGGCACTGTGAGGATAGTTGAACACACACGACCGTGATGTGGGATGGACCTGGAGGTTGTATGGGGGAACAAGTTCCTGTAGATTGCAGTACAAGTCCTAGCAATGGCATGCGTGTTCGTAGACTCGAAAACCCCATAGTTCGGGTACGGCGGCCGTGGCAATCATAATGCCAACAGAGATTCACTTACTAGGAGGGTCCACTTATCGATATACGAGCTGAATCCACAGATACGTCGGGGACCGATATTGTTGGGGGTAGGTCGGCACATTTAAGTATTCCACAAATCTTCAACAGATCGGACCACCGTGGTTGTTATACAGCTTGAATGGAACGACAAGTGGGAGTATATGCATGGAATGAGCCTCGGGCAGATGGGGAAGCACATAATCCAAGCGTCAGCCGTTCACGGCTACAAGGACTGGCATGGTGGTGGTACGGGAATGACAGAACTTGAACCAAATCGTCAAAGCATACAGCCGACGCCACGACAAGGGGTTCCCACAGTCGTTACATCCGCGCCACTGTGGCGAGGGGCGTTGATGACGCAAGCGTGCTTATCGAAGCTTACTGGTCTAAAAAGTTTGGACAACACCGAGGTCCGACGGCCGTCCTAGACTTTGCCATCACCCCTCCCTCCTGACAAAATACTCAACAAATAAACCACAATATATTCCTACAATAATCTAGCTCGCTGGCGTCACTCCGAAAGCTATTTGTTCGGAATATGTCAAAAGCGTCGCTAGACAGCAGCGCTGAGACGAGTAGTGCCGCTACCACGGACGCTGGTGCTGGAACAAAGTCTACGAACGGTTCACTCGCGGCTTTCTCGCTAGCAAATATCTTGAGTGGCGGCAATGAGAATCTGGAGCACCCGGATGTGAACCCAGACATTCCGGCTGAAGGGTGGGATGAGGAACAGGTAGAGAAGGAAACGGTGGCGGGGTATTGCGTTGAGTGTGAAGGTGCGCCTTTCTCTTCGCTTACCCTTACTGCTTCGATTTTGCTGTTAGATAAAAACAACTGACACTTGGTATGTGCTCTGGCTATGTAGACCAGCCTGCCCAGGTCCATTGCGAGTCCTGCGAGGACGATTATTGTGAGGTGTGCTTTGCCGCTCAGCACAGGAAAGGCACGCGGAAACGGCACGCGTCAAAAGCTCTTGATGGCCAGCTCGGTAAGAAGACTAGAATCGCGCAGAATGGGAGCACGGTATCGAACGGTGCTGAAGACAAGGTAAGTCCGTCGCTGAGTGGCCCAGGTTCTCGCTCGCTAGGCTTCCCTCGCCGTTGTGGCCCACTTTAGCTTCAATCCGTAAATGTTGTATTGACGGGGCATGGGTCTCTTTGTCTGTTAGATGGACGTTGAAGAAGAAGAAGCTGACGACGAAGACTTCGTCCCAGACCCAACTCCCGACGCCTCTCTTTCCATTGCCCTCTCCTCCCAGCCCGTCCTTGGCTCCAATCCCGGCGAATGGTTCGTCGAGCGCTGCAAATATATCCCAGTACGCCTTACCCTTGCCGAACGCAAATTCCTCCGCCTGCTCGACGCCGCGCTCCAAGTGTCCGAATACACGGATAAAATCGACACGCTTGGTTTCGGACTCTCGAAGGCCAAGCGTATCGTATACCAAATCCGTGAAATATGTGCTGTGCTCTCAGGGCTGGTGTTGGCGGCGGATTATAAACAGGGGCAAGAGTTGTTCGAAGATCGGGATTTCAAAAGTAATGAGGATTTTTATAGAATGATTTTTGAGTTGGGGAGGAGACATAAGATTATGAACCCGGATAAGATGAGGACAACGTACGGGAAGTTGATTTATATGCTGCAGGTGCGTCGTCTTCTCTTCCCTCGCCTTCCGATTCTTTCAGGATGATGGGCTGCGACTAATTATTGGCGTTTAGGACAGCCAATCGCCCGAAGTGAGGGACATGCTCGAATTTTCATGTGTTGCTCCCATCAAATCCGTACACACCCTCCTCGACTCCCATTCTGCTCTCGACATGCTTCGTGACCCTCTCATCACCATTGCCACCCAAGAAATCAACTCCGAGAAACGTTCCCGCCGCGAGATCCAGAAAGATATCAAAGCGAAGGAGCGTGCCATCGAAACATTGTCTTCGAAATACCAGACGTCCAACCTTACGCAAGAGAGCCTACGACAGGCTTTGTACTCTATTGGAGATAACCACGCGTTCCTGAAAACCAATAGGGACCCATGCGAGAAGATGATCGGATGGTTGAGGCAGTATTTCCATGCGACGCAGGTGAAGGACAAGAAGGGGAGGGATAGTTTGGCTATCAGGAGCGGAAAGGGAGGGGCGAGGTTGAGTCATGATCATGCGAAGCAGTATGCTTACGTGCTGCAGAGCTTGACGCTATGGAGGGAGATTTTACACGGTTCGTAGGCTTCTTTCCTTCCGTCGAACTGAATCTCTTTCGATGCGATGCTGATGGGTCGGTCTGCATAGATATGTTCCATCTTTGGTCCCTCGCGGAGCAAGATCTTTTGTCAGAAACAGTGCAGTACCGTTTGCGCGACACGGGTCAGGGACTGAACCGTGTTCAGGCCGCGCCGAAGACTTCACGTATGATGCATGCTATCCTTCATCGCGCGCAGAAGAGCGTAGGGTCTTGGGTCGGTTCCTCTGTTGTACACATGGGTGACCACAACGTTCCGAACGCACTCATGTTCATTGGTGCGTTCCTTCACCCAAGACTGCCTTGTTCTGATTCTCACGTCCGCATTATCCGTCAAACAGACAAATACTCCCAAATCTACCGAATCCTACTCCCTATCTGTACAACCCTCTCCAAACTGCCCACCATCTACCAAACGCCCTCTCTCCGAACATACATCGATGCCGAATACGGCTCCCTCGAAGGCCTCTACCTCGAGATACTAGGCGACTTTTTCAGGCACGCGTTCGACGGGAGCGGGGCGGACAACTTTTTCGATGCAGGGAGCTGTATCGATGGGAGGTTGACGAGCGCTTGGAATTGGTGTGCGGGGCTGGAGAAGAAGGCGTATTTTCACGTGTTTTTGTTGACTGGTGAGTTTGTGCCGCCTTTTGATTTGATGGACACTTTGATGGTCTTTTTGTTGGTGGTGATGTGGCGCCGCGTGGCGCGGGGATGCGCGGGGATGTGACTCTGGTCTCTTTTGTGATTATTTTGCTGATCATTTATTTTTGTGCAGGTTTTGTTGGGTTCGATGGAGAATGGTGATCGTCTGCGTTAGCGTATGTATTAGACAGTGTCATATTCACTCCTGCATGCACGCATGTGTAGAAAAGCATCTATTTATTCAGTACTTGTCGTCTTGTGGAATCTACGCCTTTATTCTTTTCTGTCCCAGTTGTGCGTCCAATCATCGCCGCGGTGTTAGATAGTTGGAGGCGGATCAAGAAGACGGGGAGCTGTGGTAATTAAAGAGTCCGACCCTAGTATTGATGATGCTGATCATAATCGTTCTTCTACCAGGTTCACAGTGGCGCATCCGAGGACCCGATACGCCTCACCATCCGCCACATCAAAGAGCGCAGTATCAACGCTATTCACCCATCAAGCACTGCAGAGTTAGCCGGGATCAAGGCATCATACAGTCATCCTGCGAGCGGGAATCAGGACACAGTACGCCCTTGCTTATCGTTTTTTTCTTGATAGTTCTGTGTGCTGTGACGGTATGTTTGGTTTGTATGAGATAGTTTTCGACTGGTCCTGTATTCTAATACCAGGTGAGTGTTTAGTGGCTAAAGGAAGATAAATGTGACGGTGCATCATATTAAGCACGGAGGTCGGAGGTCAGTTCTAGTTTCGTTGATGTTGCTCTCCATCGTTTTCTCGACTGACTCATGCATGGCGCCTCCTAGGGCCAGACCCGCTTTGGTCCAATGGACCACATCAGAGAAGGGCGTATCAATGTTTTCCACACATCAGACACCACAGAAGTTCGTCTCGGCGAGGATCAAGTATCATACAAACACCTATCCCTTAGCAAAGCTCAGAATGCAATATACTCACACTCATTTCTATTTGACAGTGCCTTGTGTGGTTTTGTAGCATGCTCGGCGTGCGAAGCACTTGTCGGCCCTGACCTTCTTTCGAGAGCAAACGGATAGCCGTCTTTACAGCCCAACAGAACCAGTGCTCTACTTACACTATAAAAGACTTACCACATGTAAAATTCAAAATACCCATTCTTCTCCTCTCGACTTACAATGTCTTCAGGCTCGAGCATACAGCCGACGGCTCAGGACGTGTCCCTTGAGTGAGTAACTCGAGCAATTTGCATCTCCAAGAACAAAGACTAATTTTCGACCGTGCTGGCGAAGCTGGATAGCAGCATATGCAGAATATTCCGCATCCGCCTTGTGGACGTACGACTATCTTCAAACTCTAACCATGGAGATCGACGCCATCTGGAAGAGGAAACTGACGGGAACGTCGCTTCTGTTTCTCGTCAATCGGTACACCATGATTCTCTCCATTGCTGTCTATCTGTACGAGAACGCACCAGGCTCTGCCTCTGAGACTACGTAAGAATTTATTTCCGTTCGGTATGTCGGTCACCTCTCACTCTGATCCAGCTGCAATTACATGCAACACCTCGAGTACGTGTGTGGCGTAATCTCTGTTCTGTGTACGAGCCGTGCGTGCCATGGACATTTGGTCTTCCCTCAAAGAACTGACATCAGGTTTAGTCCTGTTCACCATGAGGGTATACACCATACACGGCAACAATCGAGTTATCCTCTGGATTTCCGTCACTATCATACTAGCACGGATGGGTTGTGACTTCTGGGTACGTACCGCAACTCAATCTCCCGCATACACAGTGCTTATGGTCCGGATGAGATGTTTAGATCGCATACGTGATGGATACCGAGACACAGACATATTCAGGTGTTCCAGTAGGACTCACTTCGCGATGTGCCCAAGGTATCCGACACACTAGCCCAAGAATATACGACAGGTGAGGTGTGCCCAGTTTGTACATGCTAAGTACTCTGACTCACGATACTTCGTTCATTCCACAGAAGTAAGCTTTTCCAAATTGTACGATGTCTGTCGGAGTATTGATAAATGCTGTCAGTGAGCACTGTACTTGTCGCTCTCGCTTTGGCCTTCGACACTTTCGTCCTCACCTTGACCGCGAGCAAGACTGTGCGGCATGTACAGGAATTGCGACGCTTCAAACGAAACCACACCATTGCTGAACTACTTCTTCGTGACGGTGAGACTACGCATTTCTGAAGATCTTAGAGACCACGCTCACGAAAGATCCCAATGTGAAGGGGTGCTATATTACACGTGCGTATTTGGACGGTACTTCAATGAACGTCGTGACCGACGAAATCAATCCTCTTCTATACTATTACCTCTCAGTCTTGCCTTCGCCTTCACAGTCGCACAAATCAGTCTGAGCCTGGTGAGTTCTATCCTTATCTAATAGTTATATGACATGAACTGACCTGAAGTGGTCCATAAGGTTTCAGATATCTCTGACGTTCGTATCCCCGTCGTCGCCTTGCTCTACGAGAGAAGACTCACAGTGACTACCTTTGCTATATAACAGCCTTCAACCGACGATATTGCGTTTATCGCTTTCAGCTCGATCATAACACCATTCTATAACTAGTATGTCGTGGCCATCAGTCTTGGCTTTTCTTTATTCTTACTGATTCCCATCCCAAAAGTGTCCCGAGCATGCTCATCAGTCGCCTAGTTCTCAACCTCCGAAGCTACGATGAACATTCTGCTCAGGCCAATGGACCCGATCTATCACTTCCTCCTGTAAGATTTACCCTAGTTGAAAATCGTGTGCTTGGGAGCATCGGAGCCCCCGTTGACTACGAACAGTGGGAACCGGGAAGTCGATTTGATGTATCAGATGATACCATAGAGCAGGATGAGAGCCAGGAGCAGGGTGGGACAGTGTCTGAGTGAAGGTCGCTTTTCGAGCGGTCATGATCATCGTGTCGTGGTCTTTCGTGAGCTATCTTTGCTTACTTGGCCCCAACTTCGTCCACAAACAATGACCGGGCGACATAAAATTACAACGTCTTTTTCGCAGTTCAGCTACATCGCGTCGCACTGGCTTACGGGGAAGTACCGATATGTGAGGACAGATGTCAGTTTCTTTCTAAGCTTCGAACAAATTTACAGTGGTATTATTTATGTTCGAGTGACCTTGTGTTCTTCTGCACTCCACAAAGGCAATGACGCTATGTTGTCCTGCCGGAAGGCAAGGAAATCCGATTGACCTTGCTGCTGACGGGTGGCCAATTTCTCGTCTTTGTGTGCTCCGGATCATCTCTCTACCTCATGATTGTTGTACTGTATCTTTCCAGAAGCTGGCATTTGGATCCTCTCGTGCTTCTCCATGTCTCTAGCGCCGTGTTACACCGCTTAGTCGAGCGCTTCATCGAATCAATATACTGTAGTGCACAGGTGATGTAAAGAAGACAGAGGACCGGAAGAAGAGGGAGCCCGCGAGGAGTCCTGGTGAGCAAGAATCGAACTTATCAGAATGGCCGTGGCTCACGGGCGTTTCAGTATCAAGCACAAGTACTACGGCACAGTCGCGACACTGACATCTGTTCGACCTATCAACAGACTTAAGCACCCGATGTTATTCTACGTCTTCGTCATCAAGTAGAAACCCCGTATCATTGGCGTGATAGCTATGTTCGTAGGCTTTTCAGTGGTGCTAACTAATTGCTCTCCGTCTGCTAACACAAACCGGAGAACTTCGGGCAGGGAGAGGGCTTGCTTCAACAAGCACAACTACAAGGTGTTTGGTTGTGAATGGGTGGAAAGCATGCCTCGGCCGAGCCAGGGTTTCCTCCCTGCTCGTTGAGCCATCTCCATGGAAAACCTCGGGAGATGCCGATGCACGCTTTGAGCTACAACCACGTGCGGGTGAAACGAACTCAAAGGAGAACACGAGACACCCACACGTGAATGCGCTACAGCATGAAGGGAGGCGGGCGGGCTGAAAAAAACAACTGGGCGAGACAGCCCTTGGTCTCTCCTTGAGCGTGAAGATGGTGGGAGAGGAAAGGCTTGAAGTTTTCCTCGCCACTCGCGCTCGCTCTGTTCGCGCTCACGGCGTTTGCCGTCACTCCGACGAACCCGCTTACTTAGCTCACGTAAGAGCTATTTGCCTCGTTCCTCGGCATTGCTCTTACACCCACAAAATACCGAGGCTGCAACTAATTGTTGATGGTCTCAGCCCGATGCTTCCGACTGCCATGTTTTCAGACTCGAGCACTCAGCTCACTGCTCAAGTTGTGTCTCTTGAGTAAATTTCAAGCACCGGATAAGTATGAGAACAAACACTGATCAGGTTCTCAGGTTCTGCGCTGAAGCTGAAGTTCGATGTATATGTTCTATTCCGCAGCAGCCTTGTGGGTGTATGACTACTTACCTTTAAACCCTGTGTATCCAGATCGGAGCCATTTGGAGAAGAGAATTGACCGGAGCATCGCTTCTGTTCCTCCTAAATCGATACACAATGTTGGTCTCCATCTCCGTTGATATCTATACGCAAACCCCTGGGTTTGCGGTTACTAGGTGAGAATGAGCGTCTCTGAGTACACTGCAGGTACGCTGACCTTTAGCGTTCGACACCTTTGTCCTTATATTGACCGCTATGAAGACCATGCGCCATGTACGGGAAATGCGACGCTTGGTAGGAAGTCACACTATTACTGAAACGTTGCTCCGTGACGGTAAGACCAGTCATTTACATCCCTCTGAAGACTCCACTCACAAATTATTTAAACGCCGACTCAGGGTGCTGTACCACACGTGCGTATAAGAGCTGTGTATCAATGAAATCCGTAGCTAATGATACACCTGATTTCCTCTCATATCATCTCCCAGTCTTGCTTTCGCTATAACGGTGCTCAAATCGTCCTAAGCCTGGTGAATTCGTTCACTCCATCAGTGCAATGCGGAGTTTTCGCCACTATCCGATTCTACGGAACCCGAAACCGCAGCATCATCTAAAGGCAGTCTTCTCCATCCTCTAGATGCATAATGCAGACTTGTTTAAGCCTCTCAAGTTTAGTTTTAGCGCTGCATAAAGAGACGTCCATGTATTCTCTTCAGAAACGGCCCTGAAATATACATTGAAACCCAGCGGCCGTCCAACATCGCCTTCCCAGTGTTTCTCGAATGAGCCTCTGACGATATTGTTTTTCGCGGATGTCAGCCTTCAGCTAATAACGGCGACTTGCTGACTCTCACCCCGATCGTCACAGCGTTCTTTAATTAGTATGTACTGACCATCCGTTGTTTCGCAGTGCTGATTATCCTTTATCGCACCAGTATACCGAACATACTCATAAATCGGCTCGTCCTCAACCTCTGACAGTACGATGAAGCTTCCACATTTTACAATGGAGCTGAGCCGTCGCTTCTTCCAATAAGATTCGCTCAAGTTCAAGGCCGTATCCTAGGGAGCATCGGGGCTCCAGTTAACAACGAACAGTGGTACCTAGTGACTCGTTTTGACGAAACAGATGAGGTGACGGAAGAAAACGAGACTACTCACGTGGACCTTGAGTAGAAATCACTTCCAATAATGATGTTTTATGCACCGTAATATTTGGTGAGTAACGTTGATCTCTTCGACTCGGCCTCGTTGATGCTTGGATTACTGTAAGTGGCAATATCTGCAGACATACTCTCCAGGGGTATCCTTTTCGGCGCTAGTATACTTATAATAAATTCTCCTCTAAAGTCATGATCGTCATTGTTCCCGTCAGCCTTGATCCTCGTCATGATCCCAGCCAAGCGTCTTCACACAGCTTCACACCTCGCGCTGAGATTAGGTTCGGATAAGTATTCCACAGAGCTTCTATGTCATTTCTTTGTCGCCTACTATCTCGCTTGGTGGTACATGCTATACATGATTCGGAGACGGTGGGCGACCGATAGAAGAGTGGTTAGAGTTGGGTCAGAGGCTATGCCTAGGGTGAAACCTGGTAAGCGTGCGCTTTGGATATCGGATTGGCGCCTAATAGAAAACTCCAGCGCTTTTGCACAGATAGTGGTATTCACACTCGTCGCCGTAGGTATTACAGGGTGCACTGCTTGTCGCCTATCCAGCAGTGCAACCCCCTGTCAACGGTGTATATACAATCGCATGTCTGTTCAACGTTCAGTACGACGACTCTTCTCTTTTCTTTTTTCACCCTTCATGCAGTCTTCAGATCCGAACGCGCAGCTTACCGCTTATCCCGAGCTTATGGAGTACGTTTTCTGAGGTACTCTCAAAAACGAAGGCTAATCGTGACTACCGTCAAAGATGGATTGAAAGATGCACCTTTTATTCTGCCTCAGCCCTATGGTTCTATGAGTATCTACAAACTCTTCCCATGGAGATCGAAAATATCTGGAAGAGGAGAATATCGACCCCATCTATTTTATTTCTTATCAACCGATACATGGCGTCCATTTCCGTCGTCGTTAGTATATGCGGTGAAATCGGTGGACCTGCCGCAATCGCCAGGTATGACACGATGGATCCTTGTTTCATCCACTCGCTTGCTAACCTTTCTTTTAGTTATAACGATTTGCTTCACGTGCAGCGTGTATGTGGCATAATCACCGGGCTATCTACGAGCTGTTCGTATTACCTGCTCTCCCACGCCTTACCCTCTTGACAGTTCCATCTGTCTGCCAATACAGTGCTTTTCACCATAAGAGTCTATGTTATTAATGGCAAAAGGCGATCCATCCTCTTGTTCGCTGGAATCTTGATAGTGGCGCGCGTTGGCTGCTATATCTGGGTAGGTCTTTTTATCATTCAACTCTGTCATCACAAAGGCGCTGATCATGGCAAACGTTGTAGTTAGCGTGTGTGATTTATGCTGCAGAAGTGCAAGCAGTTCCACTGTCGATGCGTCCGCTCTGTCCTGCCGACCTTTGGCGCCCATGTTTATCAGTGTCGACTGCGATCAACTCCCTTGCTCTGGCATTTGACACTTTTGTTCTTGTCTTGACTTTGAAAAAGGTGGTCCGCCAGGTTCAAGAGATGCGCCTCTTTGCGCAGAGCACGAGTATCGCTGAAATAATTCTTCGAGATGGTAAGTCAAATTTCGTTCATTGGAACTCTTGTACTACGCTCATTGGTCCTATCGATATCAAGGGATTTTATATTACGCGTGCGTCACAAGGGTTGGTATCGAAGAAGAGCTCAACTGAGGGAGTATTCCTTTAGTCTTACTTTAGTTATCACTGCGATAGCACTCGCGAGCGACCAAGTAAGTTCTACTGGCCCTATCGAGATTTCTTTCTGCTCTCTGCTGACTACTATGTCTTAGGTTTCCCAAATTGAAACTGTGGGTATTATCAACGGTACGAGGGCTGAGTTAGGGCTGCAGATACTGATTTATCTTTCTGCACGAATTTCAGCCTCCAGGCAGCAACGTCGGACTCAACAGCTTGATCGTCGTAGTCGCTGCGTTTTCTGCCTAGTATGTTCTCGTCCATAAAACACAGTCTCTCATCTAGCTAATGACGCTACACTTATGCCAGCATACCGAACATACTCATCAATCGCCTCGTCCTCAACCTCAAAAACTACGACAAATCTTCCGCCCGCACCGATGCAGCCGAAATGTCACTTCCCCCTTTGAACTTTGCTCCGGTGGAAGATCGTATCTTGGGGAGTATCGGCGCCCCGATAGACTACAATCAATGGTCCCCGGAACGATTCGACGAAGCAGAAGAAACCAGGCAGCAAAATACTGGGCAGTGGGGACGTGCTAGTAACTTCGAATCGAATGTCGAGTGAACTGAAGCTGTCTCTGCTGAGTCCAGCCGTTCGTTCGTCGCTCTATCTCGTAAGCTTTTAACATTCATTCCAAACTTTTTTGATTGAAGGGCTTACGTCTCTTCTGCAGATCAGAGGTGGTGTCGTATCATCATCCTCCCGGTGTAGATGCAGGCTGGCTGTCAAGAGATGATTGTCGATAGGCAGCCTAAGCACCGATGCAGCGTCCTTGACTACTTATGGGTAGCAGGCATCCAGGACACTTCACTGTCCTCTAGTGAATGACAAGAGGGCGGGTGAAGACATGGCTCTTGCAAAAGTATATCCCACGGAGTCGTGAGGTTGGGATGACTTTAGATACAGGCCCGGGATATTTCGTGTGGCCCATCTCGGTGCAACTTCAATTGAATACTTATACGCGTTAATTGCGTCAAACAATCTAACTTGATATGACTTATTCTCGTTCCGAGTCTGAGCCAGACTATTCTGCAAAAGCGATCCTGTCTGGTCAGATGTCGCTTTGGATAAGGCCTGCTAGAAGAGCGGAAGAAGATGGATGAAGACGGCGAAACTCGGAAAATACGGGTGGCCGCCACACTGCCGTCAATCTGCCGCGCCCCGCATCCCCACGCGAGAAAAACGCGAGAATTATTTCGTTTCATTTCTCAAGCCAGTCTCAGTCGTCATCGTCACTGACGGCGTTGCCGGCTTCTCTACAAATACCTTATAACTACCCACGACACCGGGTGGACGATGCCCTCACTACACCAACCGTCATAACTTTGCCATCATATTCTTTTCGAGTCTCGGCAACAATAGCGGTCATCATACCTTGTACTAGAGGCGCACTGGGCAGAGCCTTGGAGCATGTCTTTCTCGTTCGAATGGCCTCGATTCTCGGAACAATTTCATGCGGAAGCGATAGAGATGCTCAATTCGGCGTTGAATAAGGGTTCGAAGCCGCCGGTCATTGCAGACAAGATTGAGGTGGTTGAGCTTGAGATGGGGACGCAGGTGCGTTCTACTCTGTAATACCTATTTTGAGTTCTTGATGCCCGCCTCTGACCCAGCAACACCTATGCGGAGGTTCTGAGCGGATGCTGACTATCTGTTTGTTTTGCCTGATGCTTAGCCACCCGAACTCGAAATTCGTGATATCGGAGACTTGACGATGGATCAGTTCAGAGGCATCTTCAGATTGACCTATGCTGGGGATGCGCACTTGGTTTTAAGGACGAAGGTCCAGGTACGTGCTGTCCAATACTGAACTCAGATGTTCGCGGTATCGTGCTGGACTGTGCCTTTTCGACGAAGGATACGACAGGGCATTAACGTCTTCAGCTACAATACACCCTCTCGCCACAATACTTGCACCCAACGCCCCGATGTATTGATTTTATAATGCTACCCCTTTGCCCAGGCAAATCCCCTCAACCACAAGCAAGACGACATCCATCTCATGTCCGGTACCCGCGGCATGCTCGCCGCAAAACAACCTCTCGTTGTCCCCATGCTTCTACGCCTCTCTCACTTCCGCCTAAACTCCTACGTCGTCCTCGTCGTCTCAAAACAGAAGGGTATCACCCTCGTCTTCAAGACCGACCCGCTCCAGAACGTCGATATCAACTCCACATTCGATTCTATCGCCGTCATCCAGAAGTTCATACAAAGGGAGATAGAAGGGCAGTTAAGGCAGATGTTCAGGGAGGATCTGCCGGGAATTATCCATCGATTGAGCCAGCAGTGGGTTAAGGCGAAGGTAGAGGCACCATATTTGAACAGAGAGAGGGAAAGGGCGATGGCGAGTAGGGCGGGACAGGGACAGGGACAGGCGAGGACGACGATGTCGTCGCCGTTGAAGCGGGAGCATAGGTTGGACCCGATGTCGATGTCTGTGCCCGACTTGCGCTACGCTTCGCCCAGACTACCTCCACTTGGTATGCAGCAACCGGGCCTTCCATATCCCACACCATATAACCGCGCCCATTCGTCTTCTGGGATTTCTGTGTCGAGCACTGGTAGACGTTCCGCTGCGACAAGCCCTTCACAACCCATACCTCCTGCACCCGACCCGCCAGATTCCACTTTCCCTGATATCGAGAACTTTGACCCAACGTATGGCCTGCGTCCGGAAGGACTTCCCACCAAGAGCGTATTCGGCAGCTTCGGGCGTCTATTCAGCAACAATAAAGGTCTTGCAGATCTGGCAGAGGAGCCGAGTGATGAGGATTACGAAGAGGCAGGCTCGTTCGACATGGTTGAGTGGGAGGACACTGTACCCGAACCTTCAGTCATGGAAGATGAACTTCAACACCACGCCCCTGAAGATACGACGGAGTACGAGACAATACCAGCCGTGGGTGGAGGCACGATCACTCGACCTCGAATACTACACTCGCAGTCACACGTACCGAGACCAGTTGGGATGATGTCACGACAATCCTCAATTTCACCGTCTTCAATGATCCCCCCTTCGCCTTCGCGACTCACTCAGGCAGCACTCGAAGGTCTGCCCCAACTTGGTGCGGACCGATTTTCCCAATTGTCGTCGCCCGGGATGTCGCTGTCACAGCTTACGCCAGTTGCACCGACTAAACCGCTTGCAAGACGCGCGTTGTCTGCCACGATACCATCTGTGAACCCTTACTTCCCCACCATGACACCATCACCACTCAGTTCAAGACCTCTCTCCCCACCGACGCCACCTCTCTATCGCTCCCCACAGCAACGACCTGTCTCTCCGGACAGTCTGCAGACTCACCCTTCGCGTTCGAGCCATTCTCTCTCTACGCCACCCTCGATCGATCTCTCGCATACACATGCGTCGTCGTTCCATCCGCCCCGCGATAGACGGACGCCACAAGCTCTTTATCCAACACTGTCTCGCGCTCCTCACCATTCAACTCAATCTGTACCTCACCCATCATCATCTTCACCTGCTCAACATCTACCTCAACCTGGATATCAATCTCAATCTCAACCCCAGCACCTTGCGCAACCTCAATACATTCAACCACCCTCCACCCCCACACACAAACGAACCTTCTCCCATTCCTCATCCACCTCTCCTTCCCATTCCCGCGACTACGACCCGTTCAGTTCCTTCCCCTCCGATGTTCTATCCACCTCTCCCTCTTCCCAACAATCTTACCTCCACCCTTACCCACACGATCCCTTCGCTCCCTCATCTTCGTCGCCAAAGATAGTCCTCCGCCCACAATTGAACAATTCGATCTCGCAATTGTCGACTCTCTCACATTCCAACCATACGCTCTCGCCGTATACGAGAGCGCTTGAACACTTCACCGTCAGGAGTGGGCCGCCCACCGGCGCACTGGGACTCGCTGGAATGGGCAGGACGGGTAGTAGCACGGTTAGGGGCGTTGGGTTAGGGATGGGTATGGGTATCGGCCTGGGTGTGAATGGGGCGGGATTGGGAATGAACAGCCCGGCGAGTGCGAGTCAGGTTCCGGTGCGAGCGAGGCGGAAGAGGACGCACAGGCTTGGGGGGTCGAAGAAGGGCAAAGAAAAGGCCAAGGTTAACACGCCGGATTCTGTCTTCGACGACGAAGAGCTCGCTGAGGACGGAGAGGTGGACGATTTAGACGACGGGTTTGCGAGGTATAGGTCTGGACTTGGAAGGGACGGGCTGAGAGGTCCAGGGCCGAGTTCGCCACCGCCACCGAGCGAGTTCGATGTGGGAGATATGGACAAGTATTTCTTTCGGGCGAGGGATGTTGGGGATGGAGGTGTAGACGGAGACGAGAGGGAGAGTGGGCCACCAGAGATGCATAGGTCGCATGTGAGGAGGAGGAAGGGGTTCGGGGTGCGATAATCATGGTGAGCGGTATAGAGGAGTCGTGCGGACAGGTTATCTTCGTATTTCGTTTTGCGCAGCTTGGCGTATTGTGGTGTGACTTTTTTTCGGCTTATTTGTTATATGATATGATTTAACGATACATACGTTCACCCTTTGGTTACATCGGCCATTCCTCTTTTTGATTTTTCCAGGCTGCGTCGAGAGCGTTCTCCGGTTTCACTTTCGCATCCGTTCTCGTATCTTCTGCATTTGCGCCCGCATGTCCCCTCGAACATCACTCTCATTGTCATCTTTCGTTTATTCATGTCTCACTTCCTGTCACTCGTCCAACCTTCTGTATGTATTTCCCCGTGTTGTTGGATACTTAGATGGAACACATACATACCGCGCAGCTAGATAGATATATATTCATCTATACACTACGCCTAGCACACTTTGCACTCGAAGTCCCGCTGCCTAATCCTCCGATGACAGTCACTGAGTGCCAAAGGGTGCCCCAAGCCCACCCATAGCACTAGGATCTGCTCCAAAAGGATTCAGTGGTAGACCGGGAAGAGGGCCAGGCAGCAGCGGCGGCGAGGGATCAAACGCCTAGCGAGTGGACAGAAGATGAGTTATCGAAACCGAAACCGCTGAAGAGGGAAGCACCAAAAGATGGGGAACGTACATCGACATGCGTACTCGGCAATCGACTCGTATTCAACCTCGCACTCGGGACAGCCCTCAACTGCCTAAAATCATTCCCACCATACGTCTTCGTTAAACCTGTCACCGCCGGACTCCTCAACAACGCCGTCGGCGGCGAAATCATTACCAGCCCAAGCATATTTTGACTGTATTGTGGCGGGGTGGTTCGTTTAGGTGGCGGCGTCGAAGGAATGGGGAAGGTCGAGCGGATGACGGTATCGAGGGCATGAAGGGAAATGTGCACGTTAGGGGAGGATGACCCTGAGAGGATGTGGAGTGGTTGGATGGGTGGGTCGTCGGGGGTGATCGAAGCATTGAGGCTTTGACGCATATTGTCAAGGGCTTCGGCGTGTGTGGGTGTGAGGAGGACGGCTTCGAGGGAAGTGAAGAGACGGGTGAGGGTGTCGCTCGATATTTTGGAGAGGGTGGTGAGTTGGGGGAGACCGGCGTGCGATTGTTGAACTAGCCATTGGAGGATGGACAACACGATTTCTGCTTCGCCTTCGGTAAGAGTCGAGTCATCCGTGGAATCGGGGACGGGTGTGGAGAGTGTGATAAGAGCATCACAAAGCTCGAAGCAGAGCCTGTCAGGATTGATGGTCCGTATGGGCGTGACCTGAAGGGCTTGCAGTGCGTATGACAAGGAGGACGCGAGCGGAACAGCTACTTCGTCGTCTTCTGTGGCAGGATATTGCACCGCACGTAGAAACGTCAACGCCAGAGCAAAAGACAATCCTGGATCCAAATTCGCAGGGTCCAAGATAATGGCCTCGCCAACGCTGAACAGCAACGGCGAGAACGAACGACTAGCCAGAAGGGTGTTGAGAATGACGGTCATCGAGCCGGCAGTTTCGGGGCTCCCGCCACCTATGAACGCAGCTAATATCTGCGCCAGCGTCGTCGCCCCTGAAGGCCCCGCCATCAAGTCCGACAACAGCCGCAAAGAGAACGAGACTTGGTACTCCCTCAGCGTCCTCAAATCGTCATCAGACGTCGCGCTTCCCAGATTCCGTACGGCGAGTTTCAACATCTTGATCTCTTCTCCAATCAACCATTCCGCGACGCCTACCACGCCCTCGTCCAGGTCTGCCAACCTCCTCACCAAATGCGCCCTATTTTCCGGGTCCAGCATCCGGAAGAACGAAGTCAAGTCGTTCAAAACGCGGGGAACGACCTGCTTGATCCAAACCGCGATCGCCTCCTCTTCTTGTATGTCTCTCATCTCCATATCGCGCTGCGGCATAGGTAGCAGGTGGTCGATGAGGCTGAAAACATGGAGAAGATGGTACGCCGGATCCCGGTCTCCAGGCTTCGCTCCGTGTAGGAGTAGTGTTCGCAGGACGACCTCCGCGTCTCTTGGCGAACCGGCCGCAACACGAAGGACGTCGATACATGCCTGTCTCGCGCTCTGAGCCGCAGAACATGCATCACTGCCTTGCGCATAGATCATATCCGCAGCATCCGTCGACCCGAACAGATCAGCAAGCCCACCCGTAAGTGTTCGAAGCTGACGCCCCGGTAATGGGTACACGGGCACTAGTCGTTGAATTACGCGTAAGGCTTCGTCTGCGGCGGAGAATAAGTCGGCTACGAAGGCTTGGGATAGGCGGCGTGGAGTTTGCAGTGTGAAGAGGCCGGAGAGGTCCTGAGATATGGAACTGAGGGTGTCGACGAGATGCATCCCGAGGCCATGGCCTTGCCTTTCCCAGAGAGCGTTCAAAGCGGTCCACTCTCCTTCCTCGCCCTGTGATAACTTCCGCGCGACGATTGCGAGTGCCACGCGTAGGGTACGAACCGACTGTGCATCCACGGGACTCTGGAGTGGAAGGAGAAGCTCGTCCATCGCGCCTGGAAGACCTCGATCGGTCAGGCTTGCGAGTGCGTAAAGCATCTGACGTTCCTCTTCGTCGATGACGGAGAGATCTGGATGGAGGTCCAGGAGACAGTTGGTCAGGTTCTGCGAAAGCAATGCCGAGGGTGAACGAGCAACATCGAGAAGAATACGCTCGGCATGGAGCGCAGAACGCGTAGGTTCGTCCCTCGGGTCCATCATTACCTCTAATCGGGACACCATTTGCGGTAGAAGCATAAGATGGTTTACGATCTGTCGAACATGTCAGCATCTGAAGACTAAGCGTCAGAACGTCACTTACCTCGCGGTAGCCCTTGACGCCTTGCCACGTTCTAAGGATACTGAGAACCCTTTCTCTACATTCCCAATGCGGCAAGCTGTCGGCCCATGCATACACCGCAACGACGGAAGAAACGCCGACGAAGGCTCTCATGAACGAGATGAATTCGTCATGCGAAACCGAAGGTTGAATTTTGAACGTGTCCGTCTCGACCAACAATGCCGGCGGAGACGCGGTGGACCCTCTAATGACCGGATTCTCTGTCAATCTAGTGACGACCTCCGTATGAAGTACGAATGCCTGCAGGACCGTGCCAAAGGATGCTTCCTTAGAGCTGGCGACGTGGAGGAAGGAGGATGCAGAGGCGAAATCGCCTTGCGTATTCCATAGGGAGTCTACGAGGATGTCCCAGCCCTGTAAACGGTCGACAAGTTGTTTGGCGATAGCCTTGGTGGCTGAGGGAGCGCTGGGGGCTTGATAGATCGCGGTGAGCTGCTCGATCAATTCCATCGATTTGAGATGACGGGCAATGTCGGGGTTGGAGGATGCGGCGAGCAGACGGGTCAGGGTATCCTCGTCCATTGTTTTCGAGTCGAAAATTGCGCGAAGGTCAAGTCGGTCCTAAGAATGCCTGTAAGCTGGGTCTTGCGAAGTCAGCATAATGAGACTTACAAGTAAGACTCGCGCCAGTTCGGGGTTCTGGGATGCTGAATTGGAGAGAAGACGCGCCATGAAGTACGCCTGGTCGCTGTCCTGGCAGGAGGTCAGACTCGAGGCTATTACTGCATAATACATGGCACAAACCTTTGGACCCACAGCGTCCGCTACCCGGTCGGCGAACCGCTGCAGCATTTCATAAGATGCGTCGTCGGCCACAGGCGTGCTTGTCAATTCGCAAGCCCTTTCCAAATCAAAGTCCATGACATCCTCGTCGAGGTCCGCATACAGGTATGGGAACTCGGGAAGGTCCCAATGTTCGTTCGAGGGCTTGATACAAAACATAAGAGGGACGACGAGCGCCAACGGCGGTGCATCCGGGATCAAATCGAGAAGTCGTCTGGCTAACTGCGTCGGATCCTCTGAATTCGCTGGATCTATCGCAGGTGCAAGCGGGGTAGGCTCGATGGTGGGCAGCGAAGACGGTGTATAGGAAGGTGGAGATTCTTCCGGTGGGGCGTCGGAGACGATGTTGCCGTAGATAGCCATAGACACTTTGGTGAATGCGCCTTTGACTATCATCAGACGGGTCGCATACTACAGTAAAATTGAAAACAGTATGTACCATGGTCTAAACTTCGAGGAGTTGGAGATGATGTACCTCGTCTCCCATTTCGATTGTGAAGTCGACATAACCACCTGGGTAGGCCATCGTGGAGGGAATTAAAGCGTTGGATGCTTTCTGTTTCTGTTTGGGATCCGTTGAAACAGTAGGGTGGGCATTGAAAAATACGTCGAGGAAAAATGCTTCAGGCTCAGTTTCCCTACCAGCAAAAATATTAGTGAAAGTTTCATAGCCTGAGTTGTTGTGTTCACGACTGCATTCGCGCACACATCGGGCTCAAATCAAGAGCCAAAGTACACATTGGTTTTCGAGAACGACTCTCGATCTCTTTCATTGAACAACGCAAGTGACGTGTGCCCGGCCATATTCCAGGTCCGTGGTGAACGCATATGTGCGTGCTTTTGTGAAAGCACACAACTGTCTTACCACGCACTTATTGCTCATATAATCTTCGGTGCCGCTTACTCACTTCGAATGAGCATGGTCCTGCTTGGTACAGCCCACGAGGATGTGGTCTACGACCGGCCGGTGACCACTGGGTGGCACCATTCCCAGAGGGCACAAAAGCCCCGTCTCAAGACATGACTAGGCGCCGCAGTCCATTGTCAAACAAAGTGGGCAGACTTACGATGTGACCTCGGGCTGCTTAGCAAAAGGCTGCGCGCCCTTTGGGAATATCCTAACAGAGCGGACTTGAACAGGGGATGAGAAGCGGATTGCGGCCAACTGCGAAGAACCAGATGGTTCAAGAGTGCACCACTGCAACAGCGTCATAATGAGCCAGTATATATGTTGATAAGAGCCAGCTCAAGCAAGAGACCAGATATCACGACGAGCAAAATTGTGGCGACGTCGCGGTCGATGACGAAGAGCAAGACGCGCTCGTTGAACGCGGACGCGCCAAGAACCCACGTATGCACTTTCCGTAAAAGGAAATTTCATTGGGGCGGCGCAGCCAGCGGATTTCTGTGCTCGCCGCCGCATTTGCTTGTCTCTCCACTTCCACCTGCAATCACACCACCCTTGTGTTCTGCTCATTCATTTTTTTCTTCGGCCCTTCAAGCGTGCAAATGAGTCGAATTTCTCCCCCAAATATCAACCTACCAGCTCTCAGCATTCAGACATCGAGATCGGGCATGAGTGCGGATAAAGCAGCGCCTCGGCGAGCACGTAGCGGGAGCTTGGTGAAGGTGGAAAAGGTGGACAGTACGAATGACCAGATGCTGGATCAGGAGGTGTATCCGAATGTCAATGCAGACTGGGTCAATCTCAAAGGTGCGCACACCAGTCTTGGGTTATCATGAAAGCGGAGACTGATATGAGTCGGCCTTTCACCACCACAGGCGCTTGGGTCATCCACGTCGTGCTCATCGTTATGGGCAAGATTATCATCGATTCCGTACCGGGGATGACACAGGAGATTAGCTGGACGCTTGTGAACCTTACATACCTCTCGGTACGCCACTTCTACTCTTGCTCTGAACATTCTTGATTCATAGGTTCTTCCTGTGACTGTAGCTCTCGTACCTTATGTTTCATTGGGTCACCGGCACGCCATTCCACAGCGAGATGCACGGTGGCGCATTTGATGACTTGACGCTATGGGAGCAGATTGACGAAGGCGCACAGAATACGCCAGCAAAGAAATGGCTCTTCTCCGTCCCCGTCTGCCTGTGCGTGCCACTCCCTTTCATCCATCCTCCTTCTATGTCTATTCATACCTACTGAACATATGAATGTGATCATTGTTACCAGTTTCCTCGCTTCAACGCATTATACAAACTACAACCCATGGTCGTTCGCCATCAACATCACTGCTCTCGTTCTCTGTCTCATCCCGAAGCTCCCGATGGTAGTGCTTCCATTCCACATCTACTTCCGTATACAACTAACCACGTCCTGTTGGTTTGTGTCAGGCTCACCGCCAACGCGTTCGCTTCATGTCCGATGACCAGTCAGGCATGGCGACCCCCGTCACACCCTCTTTCACCGTTTCGGGAAGGAGCACCCCCACAGAATCAGGACCACCGCCCGCCATCCACGTCACGGAGGCTCAATTCCGTCGTCGGTGACCTGTTTAGTATATGGATCGAGTTCGTGCATAGCTAGTGTTACGGAGGCGATGTGTGAATCATACTGATGGGCGTCAAGGGGAGAGGATGGGAGGGAGGAGTGAGCGCTGATGCGTATCCGCATGCATGGGGTCATATCTGGCATCATATAGAGGTGCGGGGCGAGCAAGAATTGCTGTAGTATCTTTCCACCATTCACCACACGTCTCCTTCCTTCACTCCTTCAACTATCTCATCTCCTCGCACACGTCGTTTTATCGGCTCACCTTGTTGTGTTGTTGGCATCCATCACTCAGCCCATCCATGGTTCTGTGGAATCATACAGTATTGAAAATTATCCCTCATAATATTTGCTTTCGATACAGCACGGTTTTGAACACGTATATAGGCATTGAGCAGACTACTATAATGCATGGACTCGAACTCCCTTCTCCCCGATGGTTATAGTGCCGTCGCCTAGTGGACGACGAGCCACATACGCAGTGTGGCGCGAGGAGTGTTTTAGTGTGGCGCAAGTAAGAACATGTATCAACGAAACGCTACGCCGTGTTCCCTCATCCAGTTTTTGTCTTCTTCTCTGAATTGTTACATTAGTGAATCGCATCTCGCGAGGCATGTTCCCAAACTGAGACATCCGCATGTGCAGCCCAATGGGCCCGTTCCCAATCGCTGTTGAGTCTGAGTCCGGTAATCAATTTGGTTGAGGCTTACTCGACAGATCTCATCCTTGCGACGTATTGAAGCGCTCTTTCTTTCTCACCGTAACCCACAGCCGCTTGCATCATACACGCGCAGAACCCATCACTACAATGATCACGACGTGCTCGAACACGAAATCGAGTGCTCCCACCATGTCGTCCTCACATTTACCTGAAGAACTGAGACTCAGGGTGGTTCCCAAGACCCGCTCGAAGGATGCACACCAGCATCCTCCTCATTCACTCTTCAACGATCCTGCTCGGCCTCCTACGCTCGCTCAGCCTTCCGATACCAACCGTCCACCAGCGTCTCAGATGCCAATGCCCCAAACCGCCGATATGACCCCGGACGAGATATTCCGCACCATCATCGACTACTTCACCAACCCCTTCAAACCATCTCTTCCCTACACCTCTGGCACCAGCACCAGTAAATCTCACACATCCCTTAACAACACGGCACAACAAGTATCGCTCTACACCGCCACGGCCCCCCTCGTCCTCTTCTTCCTCTTCGTCCCACTAGCCTGCGCACTCTTGCATACGCGCGTCTCTGTTGGCCAAGGCCCGAAGAGTCAGAAGAACCGTATCCTCAGTTTTACGAGGGATATACATTTTTATCTTCGTGGCGTTTTTGGTATCGCTGGTGGCGATGGTGATATGATCACGCTGGTCGACGTTTTCCTAGTCCTCGGCTTAATCGTGCTCGTTCTGGTACTATGGAGGATTATTCTCGTATTGGGAGGATATACCGCTACGTGGATAACGAACCAGCTCGCGGAGGAGGCGGAAAGGGAAGGAGAAGGCGGTGAGGAAGTGTATGGGATGGGTGTGAGAGGATTCGGGAAGTACGTTATGATCAAGGATGGAGAAAAGGCGATGGAGGAGAGGGAGAGGATGTTGATGGCAATGGATTTTCAGGGTGCGGAATCGTTTGAGGGTGTGGTGGAGAGTGGGAGTGTGAGCGATGATGACGATGAGGAGGAGGAGGAGGAGGAAGGCGTGCAGCGGGCGAGTGGATTGACCGCTTTAAGTTTTTGTTTGTAGCGTGCCGTACATGGTCCTCGGTATCGAACCCGGTTCTCGGTATGAGGGTCTATCTCTTGCGGGACGTACTATTTGTGCGCCCACGTACGCTGTGACGATTGGAGCACCAGAAAATAAGACAGCGGACGACGACAAACAAGCAGCCTGAGAATCCAAGAAATTCAGAGCGACAAAAGCGACAAAACATGGAACACACAAAATTATATAGCCACGTCTATAACCAACTCGACCATGCCCTCCCAAGATCCGCCCCCCTCGACTTCCAACTCCCGTCCACACAGAGCCCCCTCACGCACGCACGTTCCCCTTCTCACCGCTACCCTTTCTCCTTCTGACCCCCTCCACCTCTAGCCCTTACCCATCTCCCCTTCCTGACCTCCAAAGCCCACGCATCCAAGACATCCTTTTCCACAACAACCCCATGTACGGCGCTCAAATGTCTCCTCAAATCATACGCCCTCCCAAACACATACTCGCACTCTATCTCTCCCACCGCGATTTGAGCCGCCCGTTTGGCGGTGACCGTCTCTGGGGTTTCAGTGATGTGGATGTTGAAAGGTGTGAGATCAGGGTGGGGGCAAGGAAGGAGCAGCGGGCGGAGGGGGGTGGTGTCACGTGTGACGGTGGATGGAGCGGTGCCGGACTGGGCGTTGGTGGTGGGAGGAGGAAGGGAGCGGGAGGAGGAAGCTGCGGCGTTCGCGTATGCGAGACCGGTTATAGTGTCGATGCCTAGCCCAACATTACCCTTCGAACCAGCCTCAATCTCAGTCCGCTTCATCCCCTTCTTTCGACCTTTCTTGTTCGCCGTGCGCCTGGGCCGAGGCTGCAGGTTTGGCGCGTCGCCTTCCGCATCAGCATCACCATCCATATCGACCTCTCCGTCTCCGTCGTGTTCAACTTCACCATGCACGCGCGCTGAATGTCGCTGTAAAAGATGCTTATAACCAAACGTTTCACCGCAACCATCTCGTTCACAGACGAAATCACGGCGGCCGAGATGAGTTATGGCGTGGTGGGTTTTGAGAGCCTTTTTCTGCAAGATTCGTCACGGGATTAGTGTGTGAACGCAGGTTCACGATCAGCACATAAGGAAACTCACGGATTTGAAGTCCTTTATACATCCTTCCTCCTCACACTTCCAATCCCTTCCGACCTCTCCTCCTCTCCTCCTTTTCGTTGGACGCTCATCGTCGCCATCACCCTCTCCGTCCTCTTCTGCGTCTGATTTTCTCGTAGCCACCGCATCGACGGCACCTTCCATCTCCCTCTCTTCATGAAGCTTTAGATGCCCTCGGAGTCCGCTCTGAGTAGTGAAGGTCTTGCCGTTGCAGGTTGCGTGAGGACAGGTCGGCGCATGTGCAGTCCTGATATGGTGTTGGAGAGCGGACCAGGTGGGGTAGTATGTAGGAGTCCGGGAGGCGAGGCAGGTGCCTTGAACACACGTATAACGTTTATCTGTAGGGAAGGCATAAATCGTAAGCAGCAACGGAGGAGGTGCTAATGAAAGTGGACGCACCATCATGCACCTTGCTGTGTGCACGGAGCTTTTGATTCGTGGGAAAGGATTTCGTGCATCCTTCATATTCGCATTGGTGGGGCTGCGTCCCCGGAGGTGCATGAATCTCGGCGAGATGAGCTCTTAGTTGGCCATGCTTCACGAAAGCGGCATCACAGCGGAGTTCGGTGCACTATATGTAGTTCGAAAGAGGTGTCGCATGTGGTGAGAGACCACACAAAACACAAGTTATACACGAACGGTATGCGCACCTTCCACGGTTTCTCTCCTTTATGTATCACATTCGCGTGATTTTTGAGGTGTTGTGAGGTCCAGAACCGTTTATTGCATCCGGATTCGGGACACGCAATGGGACGTTCGGATTGTGGTTGATGTGAGCGTGCGTGGGCTTGAAGATGTGAGTCGCGGAGGTAAGATTTGTGGCAAGTTGAGCAGACGAATGGACGCTGAAAAACGCAGAATTATGGTGGTGTGATATCAGTTTACGATTCGTCTATTATACGTTCATACCATACTGGACTGTATTCGAAATCTGCAATGGAGAAAAATGAACGCACCTGGCCCGTATGCGACCGCTCGTGCTCCTCCAGCCTCGACGGCTTGCTATACGCCTTCCCGCATCCGTCGAAAGTACATTGATACCGCCTTTCTGTTCCAGGTGGAACAAAATTCCCATTGACCAGATTCGGGACACGAGTTCTCGAAGGTCCAGCAATAGGTTTTCCGGTGTCCAAGACAGGCGAAGCACTTGGTGCATATTCCGAGTCTGAGGCGGTATCTGAAGTCGCCGAAAGATGTAGAACGAGAGAGTCCCGAGTTTTTCGTTTCCCTAAGACTGTAACTGAGTGTTCAGACTGGGCCATAATATTGACCGTACGAGGCACACCGATCAATATTGTGGTGGATGGTGGAGAGCAAATGTGGCCGTGAAAAATCTGGGGAAACATGCACGGCAATTTCCGTTAGGGGGGCTCTGAGGCCCTTCGACGACCCTGTCCTCCTGCCTTCGCACCATCACGTCCTTGATCATCATACAGTACCGTATTGACCTCACATTTCTCTTACAATCATTCCTCCGAAATTTCACTGAGCCATGGGTAGATGGTGGATTATCATGCGGCCTCTTTGACTATGGCATCTATGACCGGCATTCCGAACAAATTCCGACAGAGATGAGGGTCAATGTCCTCGAAGGATATGGTTCTCTCTGCGCGTTCTATAACCAAATTATGATAGGTACGTTTATCTGACTTATCGTGACAGTATGCAGTCCGACGTGATAGTGTTTCTCCACTCTTCAACTCCAACATATACGCCATGTAATAGTAGACCGCAACTTTTCAATGCGGAGTACCGGGACGTACACATTCTCGTACACTGCTACTTTTCCGTACCGTACGCGACATCCTCGTGCTTGTCACGACTGCTGTGCCCATTTTCCCATGTTTTCTCGTACTTGCTCCGACTCGAAATACAGGACATTGTTCCGCCATCCAACTCTCCGGGTCATCCGCTCCCAAATCGTGGCCAAACATTGTCAGGTACTTATCTCTGCTTGACCTTTCGGCTCATGTTCCCTTGGGCCGTCATGACATGGGTGCTCATGGGTGGTCTATCATTCGAGGCACTGGGTCGTTCGCTCCAGCCGACGGATGCTATGAATCTGCAGTCGAACGTCGTTCGAACGATTTGTGCAAGCACAATACACTCATACGGCTGCTCCGACTTGATGCCAAGCTATTCTATACGCGTATGTAAGTATTGATCATGGGTCGGTAGCGCCGCAAAGTTCTCCATACCGATCACCCAAGCTGTGTGCTGAAATGATAGTACAAGGGAGCTCCCTCTGTTCGCTTCCGTTTTCGGATCCTGGTGAGCTCTCGATGGGCCTCTGGACTCACGCCTTCGACCTCATACAGATATTTATCATGCTTTGAAAACCTTAACGCACCTCCGTTTGTTCCCATAGTGCCTATGTATCACGAGGCGCGATAAATCCATCAAGGTTGCATGACATCCAGGTTATTGTGAAATAGATCAGGTGAATAACTGCATTGTGGCTTCCCTATGAAGATCGAGGGTGGAGTCGGTGTCCGCCTGCTAATACCCTCGAACAGGTTACCGGACATGGATGACCGCTCTTCGAACCTATATAAAACGCCTTGACGAAGGATGCGTAACCTCATCCAAGTCCTGCAACCCACTTTAACGATCTGGGATGCTCGCCATGAAGTCCTTCCTTGGTATAGCGGCCCTACTGAGTGGACTCGTCTCTGCACTGCCAGCTCTTAACGCTAGCGCTGAGCGTGATTCAACCACCTTAGAATCTCGGGCAGTGTCATGGACAGCTACTCCGTTCAATGCTCAGTCGTACCCGTTAGCAGTTCGCTCTCCCTACCTCTCTACCTGGCTCGCGGGAGGTAGCAATGGCGGCAACTTGAATGGCGCTTGGCCCGCATTTTGGCAAGGACAAGTGAGTAGATTTGTCATGAGTACTCGACAATGTCGGTTGGTTGACATAATCTGGTCAGCCTACTGGTTGGGCGGGATACGTTCGAGTTGACGGAACCGTGTACAACTTCCTTGGAGCCCCTGGTACCGCTGGTGCCACAAAGGCCACACAAACCTCGTCCAAGGTGCGTTTCGCAGTTGGCTTCAGTACGAACATATCGTTCGAATGACCGAGTTCATCTGGATTAGTTCACGGCCACGCGTTCTATCTTCGTTCTAACCGCTGGACCTGTCTCCATCACCGCAACCTTCCTGTCTCCTGTCGAGGTCAGTCTTTCAACCTAATTTTTCCGCCCCCTTTATCGCGATGACGTAGCTAACGCCGAAATGTTACTCTAGCCTACCGATTTCCTACGCCAATCTTATCCGTTCTCGTACTTGACAGTCGCGGTCACCTCGAACGATGGTAATGCCCACAGCATCCAAGTCTACACCGACATTTCTGCAGGTAAATGCACTTCATTATATGCAACGTGTATGTCCACTCATGCGTCCTCTCACGACAGAGTGGGTCTCCGGTGACCGTGGTCTCACCGCGACATGGAGTACGACCGCGACGGATAGTATGATCGCCCACAAAGTCGGTCTCCAGACTCAATCCCAGTACAGCGAGAACAGGGATCAGATTCAATATGGCGAGGCCTACTACGGAATCACCTACGTATGTGCACTCTGGTACTTCGTTCGGCTTGGCTCAGTGCTCACTGGCCAACTCTTCCAGCATGATGGTGTCACCTACGCGACCGGACAAGACGAGTCCGTTCGTGGCAAGTTCATCTCTAATGGTGTTCTCGACAACTCGCAAGATACGAACTATCGCGCGATCAACGTACGTGCTGTGGCCATATTTCTCCAAAGCTCTTCTGACCGGTATGTGCGTCACTTAGAATGACTGGCCCGTGTTTGCCTTGGCCAAGGACTACGGCTCCGTGACTGACACCGCGACGAACCCAGCCGTCTTCGTCGTCGGTCATGCCAGAGATCCCATGAGTGCGTAAACACCTCGTTAGGGAAACGAACACTCATCAACATGGTTTTTACAGTCAAATATGTTATCGCGAATGCACAATTCGAGGACCGCAGGCCATACTGGGCCGCTACCTACGACACAGCTATGGATGTGGTATGTGGTCATACACGTTCGTAGCATTATCTCCTAGAGGACTCACTCCCTTTGTTAATTAGCTCGCCCAAATGCTCACCTCTGCCGAATATGATCACAGCACCTCCGCAGCCGACGCCCTCGACTCAAAAATCGCTTCAGATGCCGGCGCCATCTCATCCGACTACGCCAACATTGTCGCTCTCTCCACCCGTCAAGCCATGGGTGGCATGGAGATCACTCTCGGACCTGGACCTGATACGTCGGATGTGAAGGTGTTCTTGAAGGAGATCTCTTCGGATGGGAACGTGAATACGGTCGATGTCATTTTCCCGGCATGGCCCATCTTGCTTTATTTGAACCCTGAGTACGGGAGGCATCTGTTGGAGCCGTTGTTTGACTACCAGCAGACGGGACAGTATGGACACACGTTCTCTTGCCACGATCGTGAGTCTCTCTCTTCCTTGGTTTGTACCTACTGAAATTGCTGAACCTTTCGTGCTCGTGACAGTCGGTGCCGCCTACCCTCAAGCTATCGCCCATCTCGGCGCAGACGACGAGAACATGCCCGTCGAGGAATCCGGAGATATGGTCATTATGGCGCTTTCCTACACGCAGAAGAGTGGCGATACTTCTCTTATCAGCGATAATTACAACCTGCTCGCTCAGTGGGCTCAGTACTTGATCGACGACTCGCTCACACCTGGCGACCAGTAGGTATCGTTCTCCGTGTTGCATGAATGTTAGCTTATTGCCTTGATTATATTAGGATCTCGACGGACGATTTTGCTGGTAGCTTGGCGAACCAGACTAATTTGGCGATCAAGGGCACAATTGCCATCCAGGCTATGTCGGAGATTGCCACTCTCCTCGGAAAGACGTCTGATGCTTCGAACTACGCCGTACGTCTATCCTCTTCCCACATCCCTCGGCGATTTCTCACTCATAATTCTCCCCATTGCAGAGCATCGCCGCTTCCTATGCTCCCCAAGTCATCAATTTCGCCACTGCATCCACAAACGACCACCTTGAGCTCTCCTACGGCGACTCCTCCTCCTGGGGCTTAGCCTACAACCTCTATGCCCAACGCCTCCTTGGCTTCTCCCTCTTCCCTGACTCCGTCTTCGAGATGCAAACGTCGTGGTACTCTTCCCACGTCAACACGTACGGCATCCCACTCGACACACGCCACACGTACACGAAGTCGGACTGGACGATCTGGACGGCCGCGATTGCTAGTGATACCACGACAAGGGATTTACTAATTGGGAGGTTGGCGACCTGGGCGGCGGATGGGATACCGAACCAGCCGTTTTCGGATTTCTATGAGACAGAGACGGGGGATGCTGTGAGAAACAATGTGGGCGATGAGTCTTTCAGGGATCGGTGGGTACTTTCTCCCCTTCCCCTCTCTATCCTCTACTCCAGTCTGGGCAAAAGAGTTACTTACTGAAACTCATTGCCGGCACTACAGGCCGGTTGTCGGAGGCCATTTCGCTCTCCTGGCTCTATGAGTATGAACTACAAAACATGTTCGCGATATCGTTCAGCGTTTGATACCGCTACAGTGGCACGGTTTCTTGATGTTTATTGGGATTTCTTGACGGACAGTTATGATCGCAACATAACTTATCTTGATTGAGCTGTTGAAAATGATACAGTATTTGTTTCTAGTCATGCACTACAGTCTTATTGGCCGACATTCTCGGTCGGACTTGACATGGGCGTTATCCCTGACAGATCAGCACCATCATCATGAAAGCTGTGCAAGCAAAAACCCAAGGGCGCACAGGAGCCGTCTATGCTCCGTTGTTTGTTCATTGTGCGCCCTTGATAAGAATGACTTGGCAGCACATATAAGCCGACCACCGTCTTGATGAGTCGGTCTTCATCAAGCACCTTCTGGGTCTCGAGCAGCCTCAAGGTAAGTGATAGAATATGTAGATGTCTGACTTGACTCCTGGGGTACTGACTGACATGGTGCTCATATAGGACAATGTTATCCACCGACCGCAAGACTTCATCTGGCCGACCGGAGACAAGTTCTCCGTCTGCGAAAGGCGACTACCCCGAACTCTACCAAGAAGTCTCCCTGGCTCCAAACTTCGAGGCTTTCGATACAATTCTAACGCGGAACGACAATCTACTCACTCCCTCGCCGTTGCAGCTCTACAGATCATTCGTAAAAGCAACTCTTTTCGCTCCTTGCTTCCTCAAATTTGCCGATCTCATTGACATGGCTAGAGACGACAGGCAAGGCGCATGGGCTCAACTTCTCTCTTCTCGCGGAGAGCTTCAGACCATGAAGCAGGAGATCCTTGGAGAGATTTCCCTAGTTCAGCGTTGGAAAGCCATGGGTGGATACGCGTCCGTCATTTCTATCTCAGAGAGGGCTATAGAGAAAGCCCGCCAGTTTCCGCTCTTTCTCGAAGTCCGGTTCTTCCAGGATATCCTTGCGACATCACTTTTCCTCCTACGAGACGGTAATCACGCTGACAACGTCGAACGCGCTATCGCCGTTGTTCAAGAGGCTCTAAAGCCCTCAATGTTCGCTCGAGATTCTGGTCTGCTGACTCGTTTGGGAACGTTCTACTCAGAGCGCACATACGGTGATTGGAACACCAACGCCCTAAAGTCCATCGAAACGCTCCGAGACGCACTCGAAGCTCATGGTCCACTCGATCCTACTCAGCCTCCGTCGGTCAACGACAAGAAGGCGATGATCCATACGAACCTTGCCGTCGCACTTCTACGATATTTCGCGTCAGAAGACGATGGCTCAGAAGGCCAGTTACAGGGCGTACAGGAGGCTCTCTCTCACTGCGAAGAGGCATTGAAGATTCGCTCGCCTGATATCAGCCTCATCGACTGGGTTTACTCCCAACTCAACTTCGCCCAGGTCTTGGCCGGTCTCGTCTCTCTAGGCCAGAAAACCGTCCGAGATGTCGAAATCGCATGCCAGCCTGTCATCGACCGACAAGCTTCATTTGATACCCCAGCCAATGCTCACTTCGTTGCTATGGCTTACGACGTCCGAGGTTCCGCTTTGAGAAAATCTGCTCAGCGTATGATAGACGAGGCCCGAGCCTCTGACCCTTCTTCCTTCTCGAACTTGGAGAGGGCACCTACTCCAGCCGAACAGCTCCTCCTCGCTCAAGCCTGTAAGGAACTCACATACGCCTGCACCTGGGCAACCAAAGCTCAGAATGACCCTCTCAAGGCACGTACGTCCGCCGCCCTCTTCCATACTCTCATCGAGGTCGGTTTCAAGGAGAAAGCCATGCAGTTCGGCGATATATCCATGCCGGTCATTCAACAGCACGGCCTTCCACTGGTACGATTCGAGTTTGGACAGAAGTTGGGACGCATGCATGCGGAGAGGAAAGAGTGGGATCTGTCGGTTGTAGCCTACCGCGATGCCGTCGCTGCGGCGAATTTGCTGTATCATACAGACGTTGGTGCTACGGGCCAGCGGCAGCGAAGCGAGTCGTCGAAGTATTTATACCGCTGGGCAGCTTACGCGTTGGCTGCGTCCGGAGATTTGGAGGGAGCGATGATTGCGTTGGAGGATGGAAGAGCGAAGGAGCTCAGGCAGCGTTTCGCTACTACCTTCGTAGACGAGGAAACCATGAAGTTCGTCCCAGAGGCCCTGAAGGAGGCCTATTACTCTGCCGCAGAGGCTCTTGCGCGCTCTCCACTCCTGGCCTCGGACGTAGATGCACCGGCTGCTCGCACTCTCAATACTGTAGTGGATGCTATACGATCGATACCTGGGCATCGAGGGTTCGCGACTGGGACGCGCGCATCTGAGCTCACAGGGGCTGTGGAACACGGTTGGCCGTTGATATACGTCAATCCAACGGTATTTGGAACGCTTCTCTTGCTTGTCCGAAGGGTCAAGGGAGAGGTAGCAGAAGGTCAGGAGGAACTCCGGTATTCTTGCCGGTTCATTGAGGGTCTTCCGAACGGCCAGATCACCAAGACGCTTCTCATCGGGCAGAAGAGGAAGGACCACGAGTCTGATTTTTACCTCTCGATTTTCAACGACCGGAACGACGCGACCTTTCCTGAAACTCTTGGTAACGCTTTGGCTTGGGTGGGTAACCGACTCGCGAAGAACATACATGAATTTGTGATGGATTGTTCGGACGAGGTGGATAAGGAGCCATTCCCGGTCGGAATTACACTGGTTCCTTGTGGCCATATTTCGCTGATCCCGCTGGATGCTGCTACCTGGATTGACAGAAGGACGCAGGAAAGACGATGTCTCGCCGATGAGTTCTTCGTTCGTTACGCTCCCTCCGGCATCATTGCCGCCGCCTCAATCCGCAAAGCCAAGGCCTTCGACAATTCTTCCTCTCCTCGGGTTCCACACTTCTTAGCCATAGGTGACCCGCTCCTGGGTCTCTCGAGCGCGCGTTTCGAAATCGAGGGAATCTCGCACCACTTCCCCGCTGACTCGCGCCACATCGCCTACGAGGACGCTGCCACACTTCCCTTCATAACCACCCACGCACCTCAAGCAAGCCATATACACCTAGCAACCCATGCTTCCTCCTACATCATACCCACACTTTCGGCCTCCCAAGCGTCGATTTATCTCGCCGATGGACCCCTCCTCGCCACTCAGATCCCCGCCACCCTATCACTCGGTCAGACGAGATTGACGGTCATATCAGCATGCGAGAGCGCGGTACGCGGGTTCGAGGGTGTGGACGAGGCATTTTCGATCGGGACGGTGATGTTGGCTGCGGGGAGTGCATGTGCGATTGGAAGTTTATGGCGAGTGGACGATGTTGCGACTTCGCTTTTGATGGTTGGGATGTATGAAGAGATGATGGGGAGGGGAAAGAAACCGCCGGAGGCGTTGGCAGAAGCGAAGAGGTGGTTGAGGGAACTGGATATTGACGCAAATGGAGAAAAAAAGGACGAGGATGGAGCTGAAGATGCGTTTTGGGGGAGATACCGTGGGATGAGGAGAGAGATAGAGGAGAGTGGGTTTGTGGGAAGGGCTTTTGAGCATCCGTTTTATTGGGCTGGGTTTATGGCGCTTGGGGCATAGGTGGCCGCACCGAACTTGAAGAGCAATAACTCGGATTAAATTTGCTTCCATACGAATTCAATGTGTGATTTCGTGCAAAGGAAGAGACAAGGCATTAGTACACGCAGACAACTCGAAAGCACTGAACAGACTAGAGAGCAAATAATGTACAGATAGCTGACAACAAGAAATGGAGTAGAGATTACGTGTTAACACACCAACATATCGGACACGAACGCTTGTCCCCACCAAGAAACATTGACCACTTCAGAAGAACATATCGTCGTCATCGTCATCGTCCATCCCACGGGACAGAGAAAACTGCGCCTTCTGTGCCGCGCTCCACTTCGTTAAATCCCACTGCGGCGGACCTTTCATAGGCTTAGTCGGCACACCCTGCAAGTACTCCTTGTACTCTTTCCACGCCCTTGTCAACTTGTAGTCTTTGTCGTCATAGTCCTCGTGCAAGGGTTTCGCACCATGCCACCAAGGTTTGTCGTCATCTTCTTCTTCTTCGTCCTCATCCTCATCCTCGTCATCAGCTTCAGCGACCACTTCGCCTTCCTGCTGAGGTAGGCCCATCATCTCCCTCGCCAGTCGTCTTTCCTTCGGAAGGTCAAGACTTTGAACCCATGCCTCGGCCCTCTTCTTCTCAAGCTCGATCAAAGCGTCGCTTTTCTTCGCGAAGAGCCTGAGCCCGATAGCCTTTGTGGTGAGATGGTATGTGGAGTCCGAGAACAAGCCCTGAACGGCCTTGCCGAAGCTGCTGATGGCGCGGAGAAGGGACTCAAGTGAAGGGTAGTTGTTAGGGTTGAGTTGGTCTGGGTTAGAAGTACGCAGAGCGCGGAGGATCGAGATGACACAGGCGCCGAAGACCCTGTTGGTGAGCTCGACGCGTTCACCGTCATCGACGTCTGTAGTAATAAAGAAATATGCTCAGTAATCTGAACCCAAGAGTAAGGATGTGCGATGGATGCTCTCTTGACGTACTTAACCACGCGTCTTCGCGGTCGAGGAAGTGAGCGAAGGCCTCGAGGTGGTGATACGCCTCGTCCCACTCTTTTTTGACGATTTTCGTATGGAGAGTGGCGAGCGCCTTGTCAACAAGATCAAGAATCGCGTAGCCATAGAAATCTACGCGTCGAATTAGGTCAGTACGCTTCTCTCAATGGCACCAAGCCTACGTAGTACTGGTGAAAGCAGCGCGACGTACCGTTGTAGATGTAAAGGTCGTGCGCGTCTGGGTCCCGTGCTTCAGCTTTCTTGGAAAGATTGCTCAGTATTTCTAACGATTTTCTATCGATGAGCGTTTTGGGGTCGATGTAAGTGTGAGTTGCCAGGAGAGGAGACTCGGGCTATGATACACAGCGCGTTTGTCCAAGGGTCGGTCAGTAAGTAGACAAGACTAAGGACCGGTTAGATTCTTACGGTATTGTCCGAAGAGCTCATTATTTTGTAGAGGAAAATAGGTGAGTTGATTGATGTTGACGGTCAGAAGGAAGGAAGACGGAGGAGAAAAGCGCATTTGGGAAGAGAGCGCAGTTCGCCGTCGACCCTGAGGGCACGTGACCGTGTCTGGCTCCAGTTTTGGGGTCCTCCCTCTTTGCTCTCGTCGAGTTCTCGCCTAGCAATTTATCGCCTCAAAGTTCTGTACCGAAATTGTTCTCAGAGCTGAAGCAAACAGGAATCTACGCCATATCACCATCCACTCCGGGTGGTGGTAGTACTCAAATAGTAGTACTATGTCGTGCACAGTCCGTACTCTTTGTTTATTTACCCCTGCATCTCTTTGGCACTCGATGCATGCCCGTATGTTTACTGTTTTGTCTTCCGTCAAGTTGGGAGAAAATAGCTAATTTTTTTTTTTGCGATAGAAGACGGTGGCTTATGTGCAGGAGATTAACGAGCAAGGCGACAAGCTGGTGATTGAATTTATCCAGGGATCCAGGATTCTGTCGTGCTTCCCCAAGGCATTCCGATGCGCAACTTCAATAAGTCTTTGAGCTCGTGTTTGGTACCGGCGATTTTGGTCTTGACTTCGTTGGTCACACCGCCGGTACTCGATCACTTCCGTATCTCTGTCGTTCCGTAGCTGAAAGTTACTGCGCTCCTTCCTGCTCAGCTTGCGCTGACTTGAGCTGTCCTCTGAATCGTATTCCTGCTACCATCCCATGGTTCATCTAACTTGAGTAAGTAAACATTTGCATAATAACCGTCAAACTCTCTCACAGGTGCTTCCTTGGTATGCGCCTCGACCTTTGGGTTTGAACATCGCCGCGGACACGATCATCTTGGGTTATCTTGGATCGTAGCCCGGAACAATTGGAACCAAATTAGGACGAGGATGAAAGCGCTTCTTGGCCCGCACCTACCTTGTTCGGTAGGCCGGTTTCCTCACAAGTTCGTTTGGTTTTCCTTCAGACCCCCTCGACCGCGGAGCTTTTGGCCGTGATCTTGTCCTGTTCGATCGTGTGTCTGTTGCCGACATTATTGGACTGCATGTTGACGCCCACGAGTCAACGAAAAGTCAATGCGTGATTCACTCACGTTTTATCTTCTTCTATATATTTACCGGTGATAAGGTCGCTGACATGTCCTTGTATTTCTACCGGGTGAATGCCTTGATATGGTGTCAGCTCAACAAACAAAGTTGAGCACACATATCGCACTTCTCCTTCCCCACTCGTAGGAGAAAGACTTCGTCAGAACTTCGCGCAACTTTTCCGCGACTCAGTCCCGCGGCCTCCAGACTCCGTATCGGTCAGCCACGTCCATGGGATCGGTGACATGCCTTCGCCTGATAACAGTGTACTAAGTATAAAGCGTACTTTCTACTTCTTCTACTTAAAGAACAGTGCAACGGCGTCTAGCCGCCAGATGTCTTCGACGTAGAGACTGGGTAGAATCCCTGTCAATGAGATGGTTCTTACGCCGGAACTTGTAGGAATGCACGACATGAACAATATCGCCGTGACCAGTCGAAATTTTGGTATAAAAGAGGTACGTTGATACTTCTACCCTTCATCTTCTCTTTACCCCCGACACCCTCCCGATACAACCGCAGTCATAATGTCTTCTACGACAGACCAACCGCTTGATTTTGACAACATACAGGGCGAAATCTTGTCTGTCCATCTACATTAATTCTTGTTCGTATTCATATCTGATGACTTTGTTTCCCGCTCCTGCAGGCCTGGTTTCCCGAAACCGAGCTTGACATACGTCTTGTTCCAGATCACCAACGCGAAAGCCTTTCGTACCGCACTCGCCGACCTAGTCCCTCTCATCACTTCCACAGCTCAGGTCATGGGGCACCGCCAGACCATCGCGCACCACAAAGCGAAAGTAGCGCAGAACAAATCCGAGCCTGGAATGTTGGACATCGTCTGTGTCAACGTCGCTTTCTCGCAGACCGGCTTGACTACTGTACGTCACGTTATCAGACTTTCCTCCATGTTTGTACTGAGTCGGAACTCTGTTGCTATTATTTGTAGATGGAGATCACCGAAGACATAAAGGACCCCTCGTTCGTCAACGGCCAGCTCAGTGATGCTAATGATCTTGGCGACACAGGGTCATTTGAGTCTGGCACCTTCGTCCCCTCTGACTGGCTCGATGCGTTCAGGAACCCCGTTCACGGTGCTATCATCATATCCGGCCCTACCCCTATAGTAATCAGAAACAAGGTCAATGACGTCGAGAATATGTTCGGCGTTCATAGCGGTCATAGTAGCCTGAAGGTCGTGTTGGAACTCGTCGGTCAACCGAGACCGAAGCCCCACAATGGTCATGAGCAGTCAGTGTTACTACAACATTTTCTCTTGTTCTCTAAGAACAACTGCTGACCTCTGGGACCCGTATTTATCCGTCAGCTTTGGTTTCCTCGACGGTATCTCCCATCCTGCCGTCGAAGGCTTTGACATCACGCCCAACCCTGGTCAACAGACTGTTCCTCAGGGTACCATACTGCTTGGACGACTTGGTGACGAGATTATACGCCCGAAGTGGGCCGTTGATGGTAGCTTGTAAGCTTTTAAATGTATCTTGACATTATAGAGACCCGTGGATTAACGATCATCTTGTATAGCCTCGCTCTTCGTCACCTCTCCCAGCTGGTTCCTGAGTTCGACGAGTTTCTGATCGACAACCCGATCAAGGACTCGAATATGCCTCCAGACCAGGCCAGTGAATTGCTGGGTGCTCGGATGGTCGGTCGTTGGAAGAGCGGTGTGTTTCTCTCTTTGCTCACTGGAGACGTTCATCGCTGTGTTCTCTGTATATATTTACAGTGATTCTTCCTTTTAGGTGCACCGATCGACATGACTCCTTTCGAAGATGAGCCCAGCCTTGGGAAAGACCCCACCAGGAACAATAACTTCCGCTTCGAAGGCGAAGTCGATTCGCAGGATCGCTGCCCCTTCGCCGCTCACATCCGGAAGACGAACCCTCGCGCAGACCTCGAGGATCATGGCACTCTCATCGGAAAGAACCGTATTATCAGGCGTGGAATCCAGTTCGGACCCGAGGTGACGAAGAAGGAGAGAGAGGAGGGGAAGACGATTGAGGACAGGGGTCTCATCTTTGCTTGCTACCAGAGCAACATCGGGAATGGATTCAAGTTCATTCAACAAAGTGTGTTAAAATGACCTCGTTCCATCCTCGAGTCCTGCGTATGCTAATCATATCCTTCTTACGAACTCGTGTGACGACGGCACGTTCTCCTCTAGGCTGGGCGAACGAACCTGACTTTCCTCACAAGGGAGCAGGACTGGATCCCATCATCGGACAAACCAACAGCGCCGGCGTTCGACACATGCCGGGTACAGACCCCTTATCTCAAGGGAAAGACCTCACAATCCCCATGCAGTTTGTAGTTTCGAAAGGGGGTGAATATTTCTTCGCTCCATCGATCTCTACTCTGCGCGATGTTTTCGCCGTGAATATGCATATTGAGGCGCAGAAGTAATGAGCGTACATCGTGGGTCGTGGCTGATGTAAGCCGCGAGGATGTTTCTTTGGTCAATGACGATTGCATTTGTATTTGTATTGGTAGCGTACGACGATGGTCTGGAATGGAATTTGATCTCAGTTTTTTTACTGGGCTTGGGAAACGTTTGGCCCTAGGTGTTCCTGTTTTTCTGCTCCTTTTATTTACAATGAGGAGTCCATGCTGCTCGTTTCATTTCCCCCTGAATCTTGTAGCGTTGTGGGTACCCGTAATTCTAGGTTCTGAATTTGTTCTGAATCGGCCCTCTGGTTTGTGGCGGTGGCGTGACTCACGCTTTGTGGCGGTACCGGTGCATAAACTTTGCGGGCGCCTATTTGTGGCCGCTGTTGCATTCACATTTTTCCTCGCTATCCAGCCAGCCTTCATTGTTGCCATACTATTCCTCTACTACCATGAGCGGTACAGTTGCCTGCCAAAGTGCAAAATGCCCGAACGGCCACCCTCCTTCTAAACTGGAGTGTCCCACCTGTCACAAGTACGCTCACTTCAAAGTCAAAGCGCTATAAATACGCCTCACTCATGGTTAGGGAGCAAGACTAGGGATACAGGGCTCGTTCTTCTGCGGACAGGAATGTTTCAAGGCTGACTGTAAGTCTGGGCAAGTAATACGTACCGAATCGCACTGTCTGTTGATACTCTTACCTGCACGTTAGGGGTTCGTCGATTATCTTGGGTGTCTACGCTACGATGGCACTGATATGTCTATAGAAATCGCACAAACGTGTGCACGACATTGTCGCTCCACGCAAGCCTTTGCTGGACGATCCTTCCATTAGCAAAAGTCCGTGTTACGCTGCCCTTTTGCTCTGAAGTTCACTACACTCAATTCAGTTCCTGCCGTTTCAGGTGGCGATGGTACATTCAATCCCTTCCACAACTTTGAATTCACTGGCAGCATGCGTCCTGTTTACCCCCTTTCTCCTCGACGGATAATTCCCGAGCACATAAAAAGACCAGACTATGCTGAAAGCGGTAGGATCCTGAGTTCTATTATGTTGAAGTATCTCCGTGGGCTGATTCTGTTCCACACTCAAGGTGAACCCACTTCAGAGGTCAAGGGTGCTGGGCGGCTCCGTATTTTGACACTGGAGGAGCAAGAAAAGATGAGAGTAGCCTGCAGGGTATGTTTTACATCTTTTTATTTGCGGCTAGATCGTCAAAATCCACGAATGCATCCTAGGTCTACGAAACCCACGGCTACGCTCGCGGTCGTCGGGGCCAAATCCCAGGCAGAGGATTGTTACTCACAAGCCTTTGGATCTTCTCTAGCTCTCGCGAGAAGTGCTTGATATCGCCGCATCCCATGTTCGTCCCGGGATCACCACCGACGAGATTGACGCCATTGTACATGAAGCTACTATCGAAAGGAACGCGTACCCATCGCCCCTGAACTACCGAGATTTCCCAAAATCTGTCTGCACGTGCGTCCCATCAAGTCTTTCGCTCTGTAGGATCCGATGTGGCAATCCTCATGTCGATATATTTCTGGCTGACTCTTGACTTGCCTGAAGGTCTCTAAATGAAGTAATTTGCCACGGTATTCCCGATCAACGGAAACTGCAGGAGGGAGACATCATCAACATCGGTAAGTCCCATCTTATGAGTATATTTACCTCGTTTTCACGCTCATCACGACTCTCTTGACAGATGTGTCACTCTATTATGACGGTTAGCTATGCTCATATGAGGCCGATCTCGTTGACTTACGCAGACCTGCACCCAGGATTCCATGGAGATGTCAATGCTACGTATCCTGTGGGCCGGATAGATGACGAATCTAAGAAGCTCATCCGTACTACGAGAGAATGTCTTGACGAGGCCATCAAGCTCTGCAAGCCAGGTTTCCTCATCCGTGACATCGGGAAAACGATGTAAGACCGACTTGCTGTCTTGCTTTGCTTTCCTCATTCCATTGTTCTTTGTTTGTTAGCGAACCCATCGCCCGTGCCAACGGCTGTTCTGTCGTGCGAATGTATACCGGCCATGGAATCAACGAACTTTTCCACTGTACGCCCTATCCTCCGCACTACGCAAAGAATAAGGCTATCGGGATGATGAAGCCCGGGATGGTGAGTCGCTTCTGGATGATGTCGTGCCTTGACTGACTCATGTACGCGGACCCGTTCTCCTCCCACAGACATTAACTATCGAGCCGGTAAGTCCTACACTTCTGTCTTCGTTATAGCGTAACCTCATGTGATCGCCGCTGTTTCTGACTTTCTAGATGATCAATATTGGGAGCCACTGGGACCTAGTCCATTGGCCGGATAACTGGACTGCTACGACCGTCGATGGAAAGAAAAGCGCGCAATTTGAGGAAACATTGCTGTGAGTGTGATTATTTCCTCTCCTCGTCATCTCACCACAAATTCTTCCATCTTGCCTTCATCTCGAATCTTACGACTTCTTTCACTCCAGAATTACGGAGACAGGTGTAGAAGTCCTAACTGCTGGCAAACCGATGGAGCTATTATAGCTGTAGTAGTCGGTTCAGGCATGTATGCTTTGGTCAAACAACCCTGTGTCAACATCCAATCGATCCGCCGACCTGTTGCACCAGCTCGTGTGGGACGCTGCCGGTCCGACGCTAAAAGGCTCTCTGTTTTGGCTTTTTGTTATAAAGTATTCTGAACGCATAGCTAGTAGACGCCTCGTGGCGGCTATGTCATCGTCACGGCCACTTTTCTGAGATCTGATGCAGGGGCCTTGCAGGGGCCACTTCCCGGAGCGCCACATTGCGGCTTAAGTCCGTACTGCGCTTTCCGGGAGAGGAAGGCGTCGTTCCTGTTCTGTACTTCGCATATCCTTGGACTCTGGTGAGGATCAGCGTGGTCTGACGTCGCTGTGACGCCCTGTGGAATAGGATGTTGCTCCCCACTTCCAATCCCCGACACTGATTTCGGCCGTATAGTATATAAGGCTGTCCATAGGCCTTTGACGAGGTATAATTCTTCCCCTCAACCCACCATCAATAGTCTTTAGCTTCAACCTTTATCCTCGTATCCAAGTACGTTCGACCTCGTCCACCCATCGTCCATCAAATCCCGTCGTTGTCCTCCATCGCCATTGTCTTTCTTTTGTAGAATTTACATCTAACTACTCCCTGTTGATAGCTCTCATCATGAGCGAATCAAATTACGGCAACGTGTCCAATCAGGGCTCCAAGTTCTCCGAACAGGACGAAGAGGAGCGTAAGGCTGATGCCGAGCTCGCCGTCAAGATGTCCAACTACATCGACCCAGCAATCGATAAGATCAAGCCTTTGTTGAAACTTATCAACGAGGTACGTGGACGGTTCATTATCAACAATATCCCCCCTCCCGCGTTTCGACGGCGGAAAAGTGGACCAACTCTCTTTTGCTTTTGGTATGCTGAATGACGCTGCTATCCGCAACAGAACCTTGCCCGTGCGAAACGAGACCAGGAGAAGGACGAACTAGACGAAGAAGCTCTCGTCAAAAATGTCAAACCTCTCATCGAACAAGCATACGGTATTCTTCAGGAAGCTCTCGGTGGTATCAAGGCGCTCGATCCAGGCGGAAAGGTTTCTCAGCAGTCGATGCGCCGGGCATCTGACCATCGGGCTCTTCCTGAGGAACAGCATCTCGCTGAGTCGCTTGCTACGGTATACATATATTTCTTGTCGATGCATCTCGTACCGCTGTCTTTGAATCTGACGAGTTATGTTCGCAGCTCACGGGAGACGTCACCGAGACGATCGAGAATGCGAAGAATACTATCGACAGCATGCCCAAGGCTAAGAAGGACCTCGGCCCCATGTTTGAAATGCTTGCCCGTACGTTTCCTCTGATTATGCTCCTGCTTCGTCTATATTCGCAACCCTCAACGGTGTTTCGGCGTGCTCGCCCTCCAGAGCCCCTCATGCAGATCATCTCCGGCGTCGGACTCGTTCTCAACGGCGTCCTCACTCTCCTCGGTAACATCCTCAATGGCATAGGACTTGGTGGTATTCTCAACGGGATACTCGATGCTCTGGGCCTCAATAAGCTCCTCGGCAGGTTCGTCGTACCCTTTGTTCTCTTTGGCGGTGTTACCTACTGATCTCGCACACCTTCCATTGCCTCAGCATCGGTCTAGGAGGCCTCGGTGGCGCTCTTGGCGGCGGCGGAGACAAGATCAAAGACCAGGAGAAGAAAGACTCTGAAAAGACGAAAGGCATCGATTTCGGGAAAGTGGCGCCTTCGGGTGGTCAAGGCCAACAGCAAGGAGGTGGCGGTGGTCTAATGGGCAGTCTTGGAGGGCTCGGAGGGCTCGGAGGAAAGGTTGGCGATACAGCTGGTGGAGCGGCGAGTGGCGTTGGAGGGGCGCTGGGAGGTGTCACTGGAGGTCTGGGGTTGGGGGGCGACCATGAGTGAATGGGTCTCGTATGGTCATCGAAGAAGTGTATTTGTAGTGTAGTTATTGTGCCACGACCTGTATTGCTGATCATGAGTGCTTCGCATTGGAATCAATATTCGCGCATTTGCTTGCCAGTCGTTTCGTCGCATGCACTCAATCCAGCTAGTCCATTCATCGTGATACAAGGGTACCCCTGTATTACCCAGCACTCGGCTGTCCGTGGCGTGAATCAAATGCTGTATAAGGCAACGGTTCGGACTGTGTAGGGGTGGTGACAGCTCCTTGATGTCCGAAACCATGAGTTGACTTAGGAGATGCAGAACCATCGTGTTGACGAGCATATTTGTTATGCATATCGATCATGCTAACCTATCCGTGGCGAATCTTCCGGAGTCTTCTCGGATACAGACGCAGAAAAAAATGAATATATGCGTACTGGTTGTAGTAAGGAGACATAGTCCCTCCTTGCCTCCTTATGGACAGCCATGCGGCATGATAAAGTGGAGCATTCGATTATTCGGAGCATATTAAAGGTATTAGACGTGGGGAAGAAGATAATGCTTGATGAAGCAGCGATTCCGAGTGAAGATCCCCCGCAGTTCTTGCTCCTCGTAGCATACTGAGAACTAGAAACCCCTGCCGTATGACCCGGTGATCTTGAATTCTCCCGTGTCGCTCCAGCGAATGTTCACGTCCTTGCTCGTGATCTGCAGAGACCCGTACCTATTCCATGATACTATTAGCATTTGTGCCTGAAAAAGTCGAAGCCAGACGCCGGTCGAGAGTTATATGTTCAGGAAAGCAGAACGAGCACGCACCGTATGGAGGCAGTACACCTTCCAATTTTATCCTCGAAGTCTTCCCTCGAGAACTTCTTCATCTTCCACGTCGGAGGCCCGCTTGAACCCAACATATGTCCAAATACCTCAGGATCGGTGCATATCCCGTCATAAGCGAATTTGGCGGAGTTAGTCTTGCAGCTCGGCTTCCACTGCATCAGTTCAAAGATACACATGAGTGTCGGAGAAAGTGAGCCAATGTCCACGACAAGGAGTGAAAATTCGAAGAAAATGAAAGCAGACGAACCGACATCTGCTTCTTGATCCCGCTATGCACAACATTGCTCAGTTTATCCGCAGCAACTTCCAACTCCTCTTTCGTCTTCTTCCTAATACCACCAGAGCTCGACTCTGCTCCTCCACTCCCATTCGCCTGGCTCTCCTTCAATGCTGTCTCCAAGTCCCTCGCGTACCCAGCGATGTCGACAAGGATATCCCCAAGGGCTTGAGGGTTCGTAGATTCAGCATAGGACGCTTTGTTGCCTAGGACCGCGGTTATGAGGACTGATTTCTCGGGGTCTATGATCGAGTTTGACGCGCTCGTACGAGATTTCTTGGACGTAGAACCGGTACCAGTGGATTTGCGTTTCTTTGTCGTGGTCGTGGGGGCCAATTCAGGACTTCCCGGTTCGAATTCATCGTCGGAGGCAAACATTTCGGGTAAAAGTTAAGTAGGGCCCGAGGAAGTGATGTCAAGAGTGAACGGATGGCGGTGGCCAGACGGAGATGGAGGAGAACGCGAAAGAAAGACGCGTCGCGGTTTTTGTTACGGTACGTGTGACGTCACGCGTCGCGGCGAACTCGTTGGAAACCTACTTGCGCCACAGTCCACTGTGGCCCCGATGTTATTGAGTCCGAGAGATGCAGTGTGGTGAACAAGAATAATGAAGGTGACCGCTGCCCGAACCATGGTCCGATTTTGTTTCTTCCGCAGTATGAGCAGATCGGATCATGGCCTACATTGCGGTAAAGCATCCCTATCATTTTTACTGGCTCGATCCCAGAGACCGTTGAGCCCATGCAGAACAATACAACACCCAAGATAAAGCTACAACAGTCGCAGCATCGATATCATACCATCTCAACAACATCGCCCCTAACGAGTATTCGCCATCCTTCTCCATCGTTATCGACCACCCCCTACGCACCAACAGCGACCTCAGCACCGACCTCAAGCACCGGCCCCTCTTCCTCTTCATCCACCACCACCACCTCCTTCTTCTCAACACTCTCTTTCCTCTCCTTCTCTTTCGCCACGTCCTTCTCCTTCTTCTCCGCCGCCTTCGCTGCCAGACTCTCTTTCTGCTTCCTCGCGCTCTCTACGACCTCGAGCACGCCTTCAAGTCCAGCTTTCCAAGCGGTCAGGCGAGAAGCGAGGAGCTCCCATTGGGGGGCGTCGAAGGTGCGGGAGGTGGAGCGGATGACGTGGAGGGTTTGCGTGGTTTGGGAGAGTTTTCCGGAGAGGAGGCCGGTGCGGATGACTGGGAGCATGAACAGGTTAGAAAAATAAGTACGAGTCTATAAGGGATAGCGGGTGGATGAGAGGAACGGGCTGGTGGGAGCGAGTAAGAGGAAGTATGAAGTGAAGAAACGCACCATCGATGACCCATTTCTCGACCTCGCTCTCTTCGACGTGTATCGACGCGGCGATCTTGGCGTAAGGCAAATCCTGGCCGACATTCTCGAATCCGAGCGACGCAAGCGAGAGCAGCCTCATTTTGTGCTCCAACTGAGCCTGGTCAAGACCTACACGTCCAAGCGTGTCAGCTGATCAGTCGTCGGTACATACAAGCTATAAAGAAAGACGCACCATATTTCTCCCATCCGCCATCATTCCCATACTTCTCTCCCCAAGCCTTCAGCTCCTCCAATCCTCCGGTCAAGAAGACTCGCAAGAGCTCGAAGATTTCGTGGTCCTTTGCAGACTCGACGACGGCGTCGATGCGGAAGAGCGGGTCGAAGTCGTACATAGTAGGATCGGAAAGGGCAGCTGTGATGAGTTTGACTGAGGCAGTGAGGGCCTCGGGTGAAGCTGAGGGGAGCAAGCGGAGGTAGGAGAGATGGTAGGTATAGGATGTTTTACTGTTTTGTTCGGCGGTGTTTCGAAATGCAGGGATAAACATGAGTGCATGACGGTAAAGGTGATGTGAGACGAACGCACGAATCTCCTGCTTTCTCGTATGCCTCCACGAGTTGCTTCAGGAACGCGATCTTCTCTTCGGACGAGATGTCCCATTCGGAGAGCCATTTGTCGACGTCGGAAGGAGTCAGGAGGAGGACGTTGAGTTCGTCTGCGGAGCTCGCGAGGGTGAGGAGGGTAGTATAGACTTTGAGTCGAAGAGGAGAGCGACGAGGAAGAGAGTTGAAAAGATTCGTGAGGCTAGATTAGAGTAAAGAACAAGATGGAGCGTCTGAAGTTAGAATCGCTGTGCGCCATAGGTAGAATATACGAGACGCACGTGCGGTACTTCGTACTCGAGGAGATAGATGGTGATGACGAGATTATCTCGACAAGCCTCGGGACGTTTGCCTGCGTTTCTGGAGAATCCGCTGGGAAGAGCGTCAAAAGGTGAGCATACAAAAGGTTGAAGAACCCTTCCGTCTCTGCGCCACATATAGAAATCAGTATCTCTCACACATATTACGTCTAGAACCATGCAGACGTACCTTTTGCACTCGAGCCCTCTGGGATACCCTTCACATCTGCGACTACTGCCTCAAAGACCTGCCTCCGCCTGCCCTCATCCTCCGCTAGTGGCGTTTGTCCCTCTCCAGTATTTAAACGCTCCTGGATAGATTGAACATAGGGTTCGCGTTGAGGCTCTTCAGACGTCAGAGATATGTAGTTCGCGAGCTCAAGGACCTAAAGAAAGTGATACACGATCAGTGAATGGATTCATCAGATGGAAAGTGTACACTGGGGATGTGGGCGTATTCCGGGGAAAACGAAGTGAGCTGTGGGGGATCAGGGGTGCTAGAAAGATGGGTAATAACCTGTTCTTCAAAAGTACCTTCGGCAAAGACGGATATTGAATCTGTTGTGGCCATTTTTGAAGGTTGGGTAGGGGCGCCACAGAAAGATGTATGGGACTTGCAGAGGTGGACTGGACGGTCGACGCCACGCGAAAGTTTCTGCAAGGCTTTGGTCAACAAGCGCAAACAACGCCTGTTCATATAGGCTTATGTCATCAGCTTCCTTGCTTGCACCTTTCTACAACATGACCTGGATTTTTCCCGTTCTCGTATACTTAATTGACTTATACGTGTCATGTCACAATCTCGCAGTTTATCTTTTTCCGAATACTAGACATCACAAAATGAAGTAGCACTTCGTGAATGCACATAAAACGGTGCGTTTCCCAGGACTCTGGAGTGTTCATCGACTCAAGAAAAGGTGTACAATGATGATAACCTACATAGATCATGGCGGAAGACTTATTCTGAAGTAATCCTTCCCCGAAGAAGATAGAAATGAAGAGAAAGGTGGTAAACGTGGGTGGATAAGAAAACGAGAATCGTCGTGCAACATACAGCTAATAGACCGTATCTGCGAGTGAATTTTTGACCTCGCTTAACCTCGCTAAAGCCCAATGGGACGCGACGATTGGTCCGATCACCGTTTTAAAGTCGGTTTAAACGGTTGCAGATACGGTCTAATGTCCTCTGGTGCAGAATGCCGATTGGGAAAAGTTGTTATAGTAAGTGATGCGTTGATGTCGCGCGTTCCAACGATATAAGATTAAATCACACGGAAGAATTTCTTCGAGTCGATCTGTATTAGACCGTATCTGCAACCGTTTAAACCGACTTTAAAACGGTGATCGGACCAATCGTCGCGTCCCATTGGGCTTTAGCGAGGTTAAGCGAGGTCAAAAATTCACTCGCAGATACGGTCTATTGCGAGAGGTCGTCAATCAGTAAGCCCTGCAAGTCACAGTAGGGTCTGAGTAAATGAACCATACTTACAGGCCGAATAATTTCCTCCCCTTTCCTCCACAAGCTCGATCAGATCCTGCACAACCTTTTGAGGGGAATGTCTGAGCATAGAGCAATTCTCGCATGTACGGCTTGGATCCTGGCCCTGTTATTATGCGAAATCTCCAAGGCTGTATACGCCCAGGGAAGCGTTCGATTTCCTTTTCGATATATTGACATCCTGAGGCAAATACCGGAGGCCACGCACTATAGATGTTGCTAGTAGAAATGTATCTCTTCTCGTAGGTCTGGCAAACCCGAGCGAGGATCCATTTGTGGACCTTCGCAGATCTAATGTCCCAGTAATCGTGACACACGACTCCAAGCTCCTGTCTTAGGGTGCGCCGTAAGAGAATCAGGTAGTGCTTGTGATACTCTCGTAGATCGCGCGAAGCAGCGCCATGTAGGCCGATTATATTGCAAACGGGATCATCGAGCGAGAATGATAGTTTCAGGCTGAGTCGTGCTGCTTCGATGGTCTCGTCTTGGAACCCAAGACGATGAGAAAATACATAGATACCGAGGCAGGTGTCGACCGTCAGGAAGGTTCGCAGGAGGAGTCTCGCCCTAGTCGTGATGAAGTCCATCTCGTACTTGATTGTCGCGTTGACGAAGTCCAAGGCTTCGTCCAGAGAGGATGGCAGGACGGGCTCTATCGGAAGTATAAAGGATAGGAGGATGTGAAGAACGACGCTATTCTCCACGACTGGGACAACGGGAAATGAATTGATGTCGGTAGAACGCCGATTGCTGGCGAGCTTGGCCGAACTGGTTGACGTGGGTGGCTGAGGAAGAGTTAATATGGTCCTGAAGAAGGGAGAGGCTTTCGAAAGAAAGGCTTGATGGACGGGAGAAAACGCCGCATGGTTCCTACGATGTAGTAAATAGTGGACGTGTTAGGCGAAGTTTTGCGTACAGCGAGTGGGTAACTGAACGTTGTCGTCGGTCTTTTATAACCTCGCACCTGTCGTCGAGACCGGGGCAGTGCAAACAGATAACATCAAGACTGTACAAAAACAAAGAGCGCTGGAAATCCAGCTGTGGCACTGTGTCAAGTCGGACTTGACCTGTCCGAGTCGCAATCTACTACATAGGTCGCTGAGGGAGTTTCTAAACAGAGCAGTGCTAGCGACCAGTGCAAGGCAAGGCTTCTGTGCTGTATTCCTGCGACAAAAGTCATCAAGGTTCCACGCTGTATGCAATTTACTGCGAATTTTCATGAATAAGGATATTTACAGTGAAAGAGAACTTTGAGAGCGGATAAGCAATGCACGGCCTAAGGGATGCAGACGTCGACTGAAAGGCAAAAGAGGCAGTGTATCTAGACAGGGACAGCAAAGCTACAGTCGCGGACACTCAAACACGACTAAAATTGGATAAATTGATAATAAAATAATCGCTCGTGAGATTCGCCCCAGACTTCGGGACGAGACTGGTCTCATGAAAGGGAGTCGATTGGCGATTTTCCCACGATTTTTGGAGCAAAAAGTGGTTTGGCCAAATTTTTTGGCCTTTCAGGTCGCGTTATGTACCCCTTTTTGGGGGCTCCGGAGTTTCTGGCACCTGGAATTGTCCCAAGATCCTACATGGGCCGGCAGCAGGGGGAACAGCTCCCAAACGGCATGATTCGATCAATGCCGAAGTGCACGGTATGCCATAATTCTCGATTATTTTGCGGGTGAACCGTTCGTCGAATTCTTTCCATACTTCGGTCTCATGATAAGCTCCTCAAAAGGAGTCGATTGGCGCTTTTCCCACGATTTAAGGCGCGAAAACAGGGTTTGGCCAAATTTTTGGGGGTATGTAAGCACTAATCCCCCTTTTTTGGACGAACGGCTCGTGGAATTTCGCTGAGAAATATTCCCCAGCCTCCCCTCACCGAGATCTATCGATTCCGAGGGTAATCGGGGATTTCCCACGACCTTTTGAAAACTAGCCGTGTTTGAGTGTCCGCGACTGTACATCCTTCAAGGTTTATCGTCGCAGAAAAGTCGAGGAGACAGTATGACGATATGCCTAGGGGCAGAATGACGAAGAATCAAGTCACCCAACCGGAAAGAATATCTTCGGGTCGATCTGCAATGTAGAAGATCATCAGTGAAATTCGCGAAGGATGTTCGTAGGAAAAGATGTGTTCAAGGACTGTACGTACCTGCGAGACGATCTCTTTCGACAAAATTTGCTCGACGTACTCGATCAGATCCTGTTCGACCTTGTAAGGCGAATTTCTGAGCGCAGAGCAAGTCTTGCCAGAATGACACAGGTTGCGTCCTAGCTCTTCCATTATCGGGAATCTCCATAAAGGTATGCGTTCAGGGAAGCGGTGGATGTCGTATGCCATCTGCTCACAACCTAAGCCAAATACGCGATGCCACGCGCTCCAACAATTAGAACAAACTTTCTCCGTCGTGCAGATCCGAGTCTTGATCCATTCGTTGACTGTACAAGGATGGTTCAATATCCAGCGCCTGACCTTTTTGTCGTATTCGACTCCGACAGCCTGGTGTATGCCGCTCTGTAAGACCAACATGTAGCACCTGCGATACTTCTGTAAATCGTGCGAAGCAGCACCATGCAGCCCGACCAGATTGCAAACTGGATCGTCGAGCGAGAAGGAGAGTTTCAGGCTAAGTCGTGCTGCTTCGATGGTCTCATCTCGAAAGCCATGACGATGAGCAAAGACATAGATACGGAGACAAGTGTCGACCGTGAGGAAGGTCCGCAGGAGAAGTCTCGCCCTATTCGTGATGAAGTCCATTTCGTACTTGATTGTCGCGTTGACGAAGTCCAAGGCTTCATCCAGAGAAGAAGGTAGGACGGGCTCTATCGGAAGGATGAAGGATAGCAGAATGTGAAGAACGATGCTAGTCTCCACGACTGGGACGACGGGAAGTGAGTTGGTGTCGACAGAACGATTGTTGGAGCGTTTGGCCGGATGAGCCGAGGTGGGTGGCTGAGGAAGAGATAGCATGAGCTTGAAGAAGGAAGAGGCCTTCGACAGGAATGCTTGATGGACGGGGAAGTCGACACTATCGGATGAGCGAAGGATGAGATCGGCGTCGTCATCGTCGAAGGGTGACCCGAACTGGACGGCGTCGGAATTGCATAGGGCTTCGAGGTCGACCATTCCCTGCCGTTGGACCTTTGAAGTCGAATGCCATTTAAGAAAACCAGGATGGATAAATCTTCGTATATTAGTTTGGATCGTGGAGGACATGTGGACAGGCCTTGAATACTTCTGTGCTGCTGTAAAAAGTAACGAGATCCCATCAATTGTAGCTCTTCTGTGCAAGATGGTTTTGAAGCGAACAGAGATAGAACACAATCGAACGTACGAGATGGAGCTGGAAAAACGGCGACAAGAGTTGAAGCTGGTGACCGTGCAAGATGTCTGCCTTTTATACCGGGCCTGCGCTATTGTCTGAGATTGTCTAAGATTGTTATCACGCCGAAAGCGGCACAAGGACAAAGGGTGCAAGAACAAGGAACATGCGGCCACAATCCATCTCAGGCATAAGAGCGTTCTCCATGATCACCAAGATCGAGGGCCCTGCCAGAAGGGTCAAGCACGAAAGATTGAAGGACGGTCCAAAGATGATCGTTGCGAGACAGCTGGTTGGCCGGTGCCGCGTCGTCCTGACTACACTGCCACGTGCTGGCACTGGCACCGGACACCCGGATCCGAGTCTGAGCATCCTCTTCCGCGACCACTCCTCTTTTCTGCCAACCCAGAACTGGATCCAGCGCTGTGGACTCGTATCATGATGGTGTCTCGGCCTATAGTCTTTCGTCTTATTGATGGCACAACGCTCCCTCTCCTCATCTCATGAGATTTCACTGGAAATTGATGTGTCACTGACCAGTGAGGGTCTGTTGGTAAGTTTGTAGTACTAAATGGTATGATGGATCAGCGCATCGACTCGGACGCTTTGTCCAAAGTTATCTTATCGCTGGCTTTGTTTTTATGCCGACTCTGGTCATAAAAAACAAAGCTAGTAGCATCACCTTGGGCTGATTGTGTCCTTATCTATCTGAGGCAATGCTCGGCACTGCCGCAGGTCTTGTGCCCATGAAAGGCCCGGCGGGCCAATGACACGGGCTTTTTCTTTGTTCCCGAATCGTTCCCAAAGATTAGACTCGGGACGCTAATATATAAACTCTGCCCTGCGACGCCTCAACTCCTTCATAATTCTGCAGAGCGAAAAGCGAACCCGGTGCGTTCCGAACATACTTGAACTCCTTGACACTGCCTCACGCTAACCAGAGCACCTCTACCCCGCACTCATACTTAGATCCCCTAAAAACTCCACAGCTCCAGTACAGCCGAAAACACCATTCCCCCTTCTCTAGTCAAGCCTGTATTCATGCGGAAGTTCCTCCAGATCACGGAATCGGACCCTGCCAAATCTGACGTGGTGGGCGACGGCCACTATTACTTCGCCGTACGGGGAGAGAATGCTCCCATGTCCACCGCCCGGCATAACGACGGACCAGTCGACTTTGGGCCGCCCTTCGACGACGACGATGCCGACATCATCCTTCGCTCCTCCAACAATGTCGACTTCGCCGTCCGTCGCGTTTGCCTCTCCAAAGCCTCCCCCGTGTTCAAGGCGATGTTTTCTCCTCAGCAACGCCCCTCCATCTCTCTCAGCATCATCGCGATCCCTACCTTTGTCCTCCGCCCCTCCGGTACGAAGAGAGGACTTCCTGTCCTCACTTTGACGGAACCAGGCCCGATTCTCGAAGGCTTGTTGTCTTTGACTCTCCCAGTATCGCCTGTTCAGCCCACGTCTGTGGAGGAAGCTCGACAAGTTGTCGCTGCAGCGCATAAGTATCAGATGAAAATTGTGCTGCTGCGGGCTCGAGCAATTCTACAGACCTTCTTGACGGTCGACACTTGCCTTGATATCTTTGTCCTCGCTCACCGTCTGGGACTTCGCGAAGAGATGATAAAGGCCGCCCGCCTGAGCCTACCACTCCCTCTTTCGCTCGAGGACCATGCCTCCGACCCGGGCCTTTCTGCATTGCAAGATCTCACGAGGTTTCGCCAAGCGTACGGCTCGGCCGCGAGCAAGACGATTAGCAGTCCCAAGTTTTTCGAAGCTCCGGCGTTGACTGTATGGCTATCCCAACATAACTGTGAGGCCCCTGATTATCATGGCACGTGCTCCAACACCGACCGAGCTTGGATGTGGATCATCAGCTCTGTATTGCAAAAGAGGGCACAAGAGGTGTCTCAGTTCCCAGAGCGTTTACATACGTTACAGTTCAGCCACTATGTTGCGAACGGGCCCGGAAGATCTCTGTCATTTTGCTACGCCAGCTCACCCTGTTTGGTAATGAGGTACAAGGAGGACTATAAGTATATTGACGCCGAACTAAGTCAGCTCATTGTGCAGATTGTGAACGAGGCAGTCCTAGATAAGGTGAGTTGATGTTCTTAACTTACTCTGGTCGGCTCCAGGTGCTCATATATTTTCCCGGCCGTAGATCGACGTCAAGCTCCTGTTCCCCAGCGTCTGAGCCGCATTCAGTTTCTGTCTCTAGGTCATGGAGAAGTCACGATCTTGTTCCTATAGCTTACATCGGTTATAGCCTCCTTCTCGACACTCAACGCTCCTTCCTTCGCATTACCGTCCTTCTCCCCATGAGATAATCCCAATATGAGCCCCTTTATGTTAGACCATTTTTACGAGGTTCGTATACATGTCGTTCTCTATTGAACGCCCTATCTTCAACACCAAGGTCTGCCTGTGGGAGACTATCGTTCTCAGTGGAACCTCCAGCTCAATTCCGGCCGCAATTTCGTCAGAGTGGATAATGTCGCCGATTCTACCATGTCAAGATATACAGCACTGGCAGACGTTTCCTCCATCTTCTTTAACAATAAAACGAGCCAGATGCAATAATTCGCCAACGAACTCACGCATAGAAAAGTGATTGATATAATTGAGATTGAGATTGAGATCGCCAAACAAGAGATAGCATGAAAGTCGAAGCGAGAAACGAGGAAACAAGAAAACGAGAGTGATTCTGAATCGCAAAGGAGCAGGCTAACGAAAGGGCGAAGCGATTTAAGGTCGCAATCCAAAGAAAAAGAGGAGAGAATAGAATAGGCTAGGAATGAACGGAAGCGAATCCACGACGGAATCAGACGAAGAAATATTACAAAGGGGGACGGCAGATGTCGTTGTGTACACAACGTCCGAGGCTATGATGTGGCGTCGATGCTGTAAATATGGCTCGTATCAAAAGGGAGAAAGGAGGTCTATTGGTATCCAGTGTATCCGCCGTTGTAACCTGTGTAACCTCCCCATCCAGTAGGCTGCGCTGCCAGGGGAGTGGCTGAAAAAGAGAAAGAAATGAGTCAGCAGGTAGCCGATAATAAAGAAAGATCGGAGCACACGTACGATTGGGACGCAAGGCATCGTACTTGTCTGTAAAGAAGGATAGACACTGTCTAAGAACTCAAATGTGACACCAAACGACAAGAACATTCTCACCAGACGATTGTGGCGCCGACTCGCTCCCAAATGTCCCCGCCTTCATTTGCGCAAAGATATTGGCAGGCGAAGTGTCCTTAACGGGTTGCTGCTGCTGAGGCAAGGGCGGTACTGGCGGTACTCCAGCCATCATCGAACCACTACCGAACGGAGACTGTCCAAATCCAGGATTGAATCCGGTCGGTTCTGCACGGCACGATTCCATCGCAGGTCAGCATCTCGCCAACGATAACACCAAAAAAGTGAGAAGGGAGAAAAAGTACTCACGAGGTTGCAATCCCCCTCCGAACGACCCTCCCATTGCACCAGTCTGGAAACTCGACACCGGCTGCGGCGTATTCGCGAAGCCTCCAAACTGTCCACCACCCACACCGCCCATGTACCCAGTCGGCTGTGTCGTCAAAGGCGAAGGGGTGGGGTTGAAGCCCGTCTGCTGTGGCGGGACGAACCCTGTAGGTTGCGTACTCAAGAACGACGGCTGTTGCGGGTTGAACTGGGACATCTGTGGCTGTTGAGGTTGCTGGGACTGGAATGGAGATGTGGTGGAAGCCCGGGTGGGCATGAAGCCGTTGAACCCTGTGGTCGTAGGTATCAGGGGTTGGAGGAGACCCTGGTTCGCCGGGACGGGGGCAAAAGGACCGCGAGGACCGTTCTGCTGGAGTTGCTGGGGTTGCTGCTGGTACATCCCTGTCTGTTGAGCCTGGAGATGTTGGCCCATCGGGACAGGCGACGGTCCCATGCCCATGCCGACACCGTAGCTGGCAGGTGGCGGTGAAACTACTGAAGGAGAGCCAGTAGCAGCAGAACTATTCGAAGGGGACTGAGCCATAGCCGGCGGGCTCGCAACTTTCAACTGACTCAGCCTCGCGAGCTGATCAAAGATATCCGATTCCGTCGTCTTCGCGAGGCCTTGAGCAGGAGCAGCAGTAACAGGAGCCGGAGCTTGAGTTGGGGGTGGCGACGCGACCTGAGTTTGGGCAGGAGCTGGAGGAGGCGCGGGAGGTGCGGAGGGTGCACGGGCAGGAGCGGCAGCCGGAGTCGGTGTGGGTTTCGTAGAGCTCGGTCTATTGGTCCACGCATCGTCATCAAACCCGCTCACTACCGCCGAACCCGTCCGTTGTGGCACCAGTGCAGGAGCAGGAGAAGAAGTCTGGCGAACGGGACTCTGTGGGGTCTGAACGCGCTGGATCTGTTCGGACGCGGAGGAGATGGCGTTGATGTCGACCGCACTGGGTGGCGTGCTCTTGCTCGGCTGAGGACGACCGCGACGGGCTGTCTTGAGTGCGCCTCCGGGACCGGCGAAGAGATTCGGGGCGGGAGATGCTGATTTCGATGGTCCGTCCTCGGCTTGCAATGCACGCGCAAGTTCCTCGTCCCTCTTGATTTGTTCCGTATCGCTAGGTGTAGCGGGAGAGGCGGATTTGGGGTGACGCTGTTCGATGGCCTTCTTGACGCGGATGATATCACCCTCACGAAGTCCAAGCAGACGCATTGTAGCCTCTGTGATGTCTGGCAGGATAGTCTCGTCCATCTTATCCCTCTCAAAGGCTGAAGCATAACGCGTGCAATCGTCAAGGTCGCATCCGGCGTTTAAGAAGAACTCGAACCAATCGATAGTCGGACCCTTCTTCTTCGGCGCGGGCATCGTTGAACTCCTCGTCGGAGTTCCATTCCTGCTGCCGCTAGTACTCGACCTACCAGTCGATTCGGGGTGCAACGAGTCCCTCCTGACGGCCAGTGGAGTATCGTCGTCGTCGCCGGACCTCTTAGCAGGAGGTTGAGGAGAACGCCTACCCTTCGTTAGCTTGTCGATGATACGTATGTCTTCCTCTGACATCTTCTCCGCGGGGACATCGATGACGACCCCGTTAACTTTATGCAGTCTCAGCTTGCCGTCAAATACACCAAGGAAGGCAGCCTCAACGCGGAAACGGCCAGTGTTATCGTGCCACACCCGGGTCGTCTCTGGCGGAGGAGGACCTTCTTTGAACGTGATTATGAGATCTAGCATCGAGAAAGATATGTTTGTCGATACGCACTATTGTCAGTCGAACGACGAGCGCCGTCATCCTTCTTGGATTTCCTGAAGACAAACAATGCATCAGTGAATATGTTCTTGGAACGAGGCTATCGCTCACGGGGACCCTCTCTTCCTCTCCACCTCCTCCATCGCTCTCTGTCTCGCCTCCTCCTGTGCTGCCTTCTCCTGCCTCTCCCGCTCCTTCTCCCGTTCCCGTTCTCGCGACCTCTTCGCCTCTTGCTCCTTCTCTCTTTCCCTAGCTTCCTTGTCCTTCCTCTTGCGTTCGGCCTCAGCCGCAGCCGCAGCCGCCTTCGCCCGGTCCTGTTCCTGCTTCTTCCGTTCACGCTCTCGACGCTCCGCTTCGGCCTGTTCTTCTGCCTCGCGAGCCGCTGGATCGTCTTCCTCCTCCTCTTCAACAGCTGCTGAGGATCGTGCAGGAAGGGAGCCAGTACCGGTTGGCTAGCGATGCGAAAGATCAGCATGCATGACAGGTAGCGTTCACGCGGCTCATAACCCCAAGGACCACGCCCTCAAGGGTCCATGGAAGAGAGGGAAAGTGATCGAACGTGTACTTACCTCGACATACGAAGCGGGCACCACACCTTCCTCACCCGCCGCATTCCTACACTTCCACCACTCATCCCCATCCTTCTCCAAAACCCACAACTTATCCCCTTCACCCACACTCAACTCGTCCTCTCCCTGCGCCTGGAAATCATACAACGCCACCGCATGCTCGCCCTCCCCGTCGCCATACCCATTATCCACCTCTGCACCATGCCCATTCAGCTGCGTCGCTTCCGGCTCCTCTTCTTGCTCAGCTTCGGCACCACCGTCCGAAGACGAAGCGGATGGGGATCGAGGGGGTATTATAGCAGGACTGGACTCCGCGAAATGTACCGAAGCGTTCTTCTTGCCTGGTGTCTCGGACCTCAAGGGCGGAGGAAGGTTCCTGTCCCTATGTCCGCTTTCTTCCGCGGCTGCAGCAGGTGGAGGAGAGGCAGAGGACGTAGCGATGGCGCGCGAGGTCTCGAGTTTGGTGAGAATGGCATCGGCCGTGTCTTTGGAACCTGCGTTGAAGTGAAGGGAGACGGGCTCGGGGGAGGAGATCTCGATGAGGATGTGTTTGGCTTTGTCGGGAGAGGGACCAGAGGACGTGATCGCTGAGGTCTGCCATTTCTGAACTGGAGTCTGAGAAAAGAATGAGAAAATGAAGATCAGCGCCAACGGTTCGCTGTTGAACAGATGAAGGAGCTCGAGACATACCTTGTCGGATTCAGAAGCGAAGAAGATTGCGCCGTTCCCGATACCAAGCGTTCCCTTCTTCTTCTTCCCTTTCTTGTCGATTTCGGTGATAGACCAGGTCTTGATATCGTCGGCCTTGGCTTTCGAGGCTGTGGCGGCGACGAGGTCCGCGGGATCAACATAGGTACTGACCGGGCGAGGTGGCTGTGGTGGCTGCGGATCGAGCGGCACAATGAGTCGTTTTGGTCTGGTAAATGATCGTAGGAAGGCGCAGAGGAATTGGACATACAGAATCAGGGACAACGATGCCACCGAGGCCATTGGTAGGTGCGGCCTCTCCGTCGGCAGATATCTGCAGAGTCGTCACTTACATTTTGATAATATTGAAGTCGAAAGTGACTGGACGTACCTCTTCAACATAGTTCGCTGGAACGTAGCCCGCCTTGCTGTTCTCTTCATCTAACACAAGCAACCATCCTTCCTCTTCCGGTCCGAACGCGAGCAAGATCTGATCCTCCTTGACTGTGATCTCGCCTGGAGACGTTGCAGCGTAGTCATATTGGGCCTTGACTGAGTTGGTATGCGGTGCCTAGTAGAAGTAAAGGTTAGTTTGGAGGTGACAAGTGTGGAATTCCGGGATGGCTATGACGGACTGGTTCGACATAGGCTGATGGGACTAAACCTGAGGGACCTTCATCGTCTGGGGAATCACCCTTGACTTTGACCTTCCACCAGCTGCAGAGAAGTGCACATCAGTATCTCATCGATTGAGTAGGTATGCAGAATGAAGTATAGTTGGTGTCACAAGTCTCTCTGGACATAAGAGGAGACGGAATGGGTGGGACCTCGGAACCTATATATAACTGTGCCTTCGGTTCGCATGCAATGTTGAAATGATAGTCTGCTACGACCACAATAACCTTCTTGCAAGATATAGAATCCAACATATTATAGAATAGACGTGTCTGTAGATGCATGCATTGGGAACAGCTGTGATTGCGAAGTACCCGCCGGGCGGCCGGGCATGACCAGCGTACGCATACATAGCACGGCCCCACCCATTGTCGGCGAACCTGCAGCCTCAGCGACCAGCTCAAATGTCGTCCGATATATTCCATATCCACAATCCAGTCGACCGCGGCCACAATATACGCGACAAATAGTGGGGGGACTTACTCATCGTCAGTGCGTTCAATGAGCAGCAATAGTTGATCCTCCTTTATCTCGATCTCGTCCTCCGACTGCGGCTCGTAGTCGTACGATGCCTTCAGCACGGCCAGATATTCTTCCTGTTCTGCGCTCATCGTCGTTGACGGCAGTGTCGAGGAGCTTGAGCTCGCTGTGGAGAGCGGTGTGGGCGGCGGCGGGGAGATGACGGAGAGTGTGTGAGGCCCGAAATGGAAATAGCCTGCGCCACTGCGAGCGCTCCGCTGCGTGGCACTCAAGTTTCAACGCCTTGATGGGCCACACCCATCTCTTCGAATTCCGACGTGACCGTCATGGCGGTACAAATTCGAAGCAACACCTTCATCGCTTTTCTGGCCAACGCTCATCTCTCGGAAGAAAGCTCGTGAACGCAATACGATTATACTTCTGAGTTCTCAAATACAAGGATCTATGTCGACACACTCTGGATCGATCCTCGTTTCAATCGGGCTCCAACTCTCAATCTTTGGGCAAACTGTTACTAGCCAGCGCATAGCTTTTCGTAAATAGCCCGCATAGCATCTCTTTACCATTTCTTGTGTATGAAATTATCAACTGAAACCAGTAGCTCTGGGCCTCGTTGCCTCGGTGATTGGCCCGCTCGGAAAGAGTCGGAATCGCTAACCGGATTTAGATACCTCTTTGTTCATTACGCCATCGAGGTGCCACGCGTGCCATTATATAAACCCGCCAGCTTGCGACATCTCGGACCATTCGTTCCCCACCCTTCACCTCCGGTCTCACGAAACCACTTTCTCCTGCGTTAGCGCATCTCGACCGGCCGTGTTCAGTGAAAGCCCATCCCCAATTCACGATGATGCGAAGCCTCCTTCACATCGGAACACCGTATCCAGGTTCGGCTTCCAGACCAACTTCGACAAGGCGTATCCCAAAACTCCCTAGGCTTTGTGACACCAAACCGAAGCATGTTATATTTGGACCGCCTTTCGACGATGCCGATGCAGACGTTGTTCTTCGGTCCTCTGATAACGTCGACTTCTACTTTCACGGAGCCCTTTTGTCCCAAGCCTCACCGTTCTTTGAATCGAAACTATCTCTCTTTCAGCCGTCTCCTGTGTCTTCCGAGTCAGACTCCGTCTACGAAACTCATCCCTCTAGCGCTTTCAATCCTCTGGTCGTCCATGTCTTACTTGAGGAGAATAGCTCTGTTGTGCACGTTCTGCTTTCTATGTTGCTCGCCGACGGTGCCACTCTGTCCCCAGATCAAGATGTAGGAAAAGAGGATCCCTTCGCGGGAGACGACATCGTCCGCCCCACGTCCCTGGGGGACGCCTTGACCTTGATCAATGCCGCAGCTAAATACGACATGACAACCGTCTTCTCGAGGGCCCAATCATTCCTATGCGAATTCTTGACCCTCGACACCTGTGTCCCTATCTACGCCACTGCACATCGCTTCAACCTCCACCACGAAACTCTCTCCGCCGCCCGTCTCACGCTACAGCTCCCTCTGTACGACGTCAACGAGTACTTTATCTCCTGCGATCCCTCATGGGCCTCCGATCCCGCTTACTCCGATATCCGAAAGTATCGTATCGCTTACGCCTCCGCAATGGAGCGCCACCTCCCTAAAGTGTTCGAATCCTCCACAGAGCTCGAAATCTGGGTCGCCCATGCAGTCTGCCAAGGCTCTCCCTTCGAACGACGCCGGTGCTCCAACACCGCCGAAGCATGGCGAGAGACGTTCAGCATCGGTGCACGGAGGATGGTGGAGGACTTATGCCGATCTGCGCAGCGTGCTAGTTCGCCTAGTTGGAGTTTTCCGGTTGCGTCTGGGCCGGGTGCTGCGCCTTGTTTGACTTGTGTGACTTGTTATGCGTTGAGGAGGAGGGCGAAGGATGTGGAGGGTGAGTTGGTGGAGGTTGCGAGGAGGATTGTGAGGGTTGAGGTTGTGCCTAAGGTGAGTAACTGTGGGTATCGTTGGGCTTTGAATGTTGAGATGCTCATGATCGATGCCGTTTCAGATTGACGTGAGGGGTATCTTCCCTGACTTTTGATCCGTCTCTCAATGGCCGCTCCTCCTACGACTGGCGACAACATCAGGAGATTTAGCACTTCCTTTCCATTTTCCTTTACGATCATCTCTCCTTCTATGTCTTGGGTCCGCTGGCAGGCTCATTATCCGTGTTGGAATGTATAAATTGTATAGTCTCATATGAAACAACCGCCCATATATTGATTGAATAAACAAACGACCTTTGAAAAGCACAACAATACACATCGTCGAAGAATAGCCAATTTATATTCGATTGGACCTAAGCATCACAAGAACGGAAACCGTTTATGGTACAGAGAAAGCGGGAGAATCACAGAATATATGCTTGACATCGATCTATATTCATGACCATATATGAGCGAGCGCGCAAGACAAAGGCAAGAAATATGAGAACATCTGCTCACCTTATCCATAACCGATTCATTAATAAACTCCACGACCATCTCCCTCACAGCATCCTCGACCTCAGCTGCTTTCTGCCAAAGCCTATTACAAGTCGACGAAGTATGACAAGGTGCTGAACCCACCCCAGCTAGAATCGGATACCGCCAGTAATACAAACGTTGGGGAACCGTCGCCACCTCAGGCGCCATCCGCTTCATCTCGCCCAATATCATGCTCTTCCACGCATTCGCGGTATTAGAGCATCGAGGGTGTGTGCTCGAAGATGGCCGACGGGCGCGACACTGTTGCTGTGCGATCCATTCGTCGATCTTGGAAGGTGTGGAGGGCAGAGTGAACTTGCCGGGGGAGCTCAGCTTCTTGCTAGCGGCATGTGCATAGGCTTCGCGATATCGCTGCAAGTCACGCAAAACGAAGGTGTCTGGATGCTCGGGGTCGTAGTCTTCGATCTCGAAGGATCTCCCCAAGCTAAGTTGCGCTGCCTTGATCAGCTCGTCCCGAAGTCCGAGATGATGGGCGACGACGAAGACGCGAAGACAAGTCTCGATAGTCAAGAAAGAGTCAAGTATCGCTCTCGCACGCAGGGACACAATCTGCATCCCATACTTGTGGGCGGCGCTGACGAGAGCTAAGGCATCCTTCACGTTCGCAGGATAGATGGGCGTAATCGGCAGGATGAGAGAGAGTAATGCATGAAGGATTGGGCTCGGCTCCGTTAGAGTGAAGACAGGGACGCCTCCCTTCGTACCGGAGGGGCGGAGGATAAAGTCAGGCACCCAGTAGATTAGGATACAACCGGATGGGACCTGAGAAGAAAACAGTGTCTTGAAGATGAGAGAGGCTTTGCAGAGGCAGACGCGATGGACGGGGAAGTCGACGTTGTTGGAGGAGCGAAGGATGAGGTCAGCATCATCGTCATCAAAGGGTGGCCCAAAGTCGACAGGCTGTTCGTGAACTGGAGCAGGGTTCGTCACAGTCATACTGCCTTCAAACACAGTAAAGAAATGGTAGCCCTCGCTGACTGTGACATGGTTCCCCTCTTTGGAATTGGAACGGCCGGGAAGGAGAAGCTTAAGCATGATTATGGGTCAGGACAGACGCCAGGGAGGCCAATAACGACCTTTACACGTGAGAAGTGTATGGTTCGGGGAGTGAAGCGAGTAGTAGAACCTATGGATGGAGTAACATGTCGCGCGGTTAAATTCGAACGGGGTGAAGCACCATCTGTGAAGCACTTACCGAGTCTTGCACCTGTCTATATCGCGTCTCGTTCTGAGACGACGGCAAAACTGCGCTCTTTATATGACCGCAGGAACCCGGCATTTGTTACAGCTCCCACCTAGAGGGGCACAAAGAGCAAGTGCCGCCGTTGGGACCGTCACTCGTACCAGTGACTCATGTTGCCGTCTAGTCGGATACAGGTATTGCGCATAACCTGCAAAAGACACGTATATAAAATCATATATCCATACATCTAGTTTCAGATAATCAAGAGAATAGATGAATTGATGGGCACCTTTGGGGGGAGTACGCCATCGAGTGAATTGATGAACAATGGCAGACGGCCAGTCTTCATTCTGGACGCGTTCGAGAGCTTTATCAGGTTTCAGAGTTCACATTGCATATAATTTGTGGCTGAGGTATAAGGAGTGCAAAAGGAGTAGCAAGACAAAGACAGGTCGATGAAGGAGGTGGATCATGTTGTGGTCGTCCGCAAAGTGGGCCCGAGTGTGGCCCACTGGCAGTGACTGTCAAGTGACTGTGGCGCTCGTGGTTCGGTCAGAGCCGGGCACGGGCCATTGATGACACGTCGAACAGGATGCTGTTTATTCAATAATCTCTTCCACCAACTTGTCAGCTCCTGCTCTCTGCGCTTTGTGTGTCTACGACAGGTCTGGTCCATAGCACGGAGTAATTGAAAGCTGGCACGGAGTACTCACTGGCACTCGGCAAGCACTAGTAACTGTTTCCGTCGATCGGCACGGTAGACAAGGCTTTGTACTGCAGTTGGCAACCGCCTGGTGGCATGCTGTGGCCCCTCCCACACACTAACCCATACAAGGTCTTTCTATGATGTCTTGGGCACAACATTGTGTTGGCACCAATTACCACCAAAGCTTGGACGCGCGGTATAAAACCAGTCGAATTGGTCTCCGTGCTGATACTCGTAACCGTGGCGTCCTGCTCTCAGGGTGAGTCAGTATTCTGCATGGGCGCGAGTGCTCGAGCTGACAAGTATCAAGGATCTCGTATTGTCTTACAGCGAACTGCCATGCAAAGGTTTCTACATCCCGGATTTCGGTCTTCGGCCTCGAGGGGCAAAGAAAAGTTGCCTACTTGGAGCGGGGACCTCGAAGCCCTGATCAACCTACCCGCTGTTGAATTTGGGCCACCATTCGACGACAACAATGCAGACCTTGTTCTTCGCTCATCTGATAGTGTAGACTTTCCCGTCCATCAGGCTTTTCTAATCAAATCCTCGTCCTTCTTCAAGACCATATTATCTCTTCCCCAACCATTCGTCTCAGCCCCCAATGGCACGGCCAGGCCTAGCACCCATCATAGAGGGTCGTTGCCTGTTATCCCGGTCGTGGAGAAAGGCTCTGTCATCCACGTTCTTCTTTCGTATCTTCTCCCAATAACTCCCGTCCTACCGGACTCCTTGGACGACGCTATGGACTTCGTCAATGCAGCGTACAAATACGAGATGGAAGTTGTCGTAGTGAGAGCGAGGAATATCTTGCGACGCTTCTTGACAGTCGATACAAGTCTTCGCATCTATGCCTTTGCCCATCGTCTAGAGCTCCGAGACGAAATGCTTGCTGCTGCACGACAGAGTTTACGGCTTCCACTCCCGTCCGATCATCCCGAGCATGACGATACCCGATTTCCCTGCGGCAGCGCTCTACTCGACCTGTGGAACTATCGCAAGACCTATATAAAATCCCTAGAGGAGAGACTTGATTCGTGTATCGTTGCCGACCCTACCCTACTTCCTCCCGGAGAACTTGGAGAATGGATTGATGCTAAACGTTGTCAGTCGGACCAGCAATGCGACAACAATGCGACAACTTGGCGAACACTATTGAAGACCGGGGCAACGCAGATAGTGGCGGACGTGACTCATGACCCGGGGTGTATGCTTACCTGGAGGTTGCCTTTCGAGTCCACGCTAGCTCCTTCGTCATGTCAGTGTTCTTGCGACGCATGCAGCATGCTCCGCAGCTCATCTCAGAAGGTCGAACGAAGTCTGATCGAAGTTCTCGATAGGATTGTTATGGATAAAATTATCCTGCAGGTAAATACCACTCCCATTATCCGCCCTCGCTCCTCTTGATGAATCATGTTCTAACGGCCTTTTACAATACAGATTGACACGGCGACGCTATTTAGTGTCGCTTGAGCTCTTTCTGATCGAAATATCTTTTTTCAACGCGAACCGTGATCGTTGGAGATATTCCTTCAAACTCCATACGCGTCGTCAATGAAGAACTCGTTGAGGGGATGACCACATTTTATTCAGATACGTCTTGCAGTTCGAACATGCCCAAACCATTCTCTTCATCATCTCTCCTACGTATGTGGCTACATGTCTGCTTTCGCATGGCCGTAGAATAGACTGGGTGCGAGTGGTACCGACAATAATTATATGATTGAATGTCAACGTGGGATAACATATCCGACTCACCAACTAGAGCACGTATTATTGAGTCTACTGTTAACGGTGAAGCATCATAATTACACCACCATCCATATCTCTATAGACACAGTAAGCTCTGGCCTTTGTTCGGATACAACCAACGTGAGTGCGAGCCTGGGGTGCGGTGATTGGGGTGAATGTCTCACCGCATCCACCACTGACCCTATCCAGCAAGGCCTTCCATCAAATCCTCTATTTTCGCATCCTTACACCTCTTCTCCGTGATCAAGAAACTAGAGGGAAGACCTGGGCCCTGCGTCTTACTGCTATCTGCTTCATTCCCACCAGCGACCACGTCTGATCCCAAAATCATCCTCGCTAGCTCCACCCCACACAACCACGCATTCGCCATCCCCTCACCACTATATCCTGCCGCGATCCACTCTCCCGCAGATATCAACATCGAGTCATTACGATTCACCGTTGACGCTGCGACTTCGCGTCTACCAGATACCTTTGCCGGGACTCTCCCAACCCAAGGCTCTGTATCCACCGATATACCCATGATACCCGTCCATATCGCCTTCACACGACCTTGCTCCCAGCGACCACCATCAGCCACGCTCGTGTCCTCTGGTCCCGCGCCAACGTCACTGTCATGCCCTTCTAGTCCCCAATTCGAGAAGTAGCACGGTAGAATGCCTCCGAGATACGCGTTCACCTCGATATCTGGCTCTTGGGTATCGTCTGCAACACCAAAGTTATCAAACAAAACTGCGTCGGCACGACCGCCGAGCATGGCCCCGCCTCCGAGCATGAACTCGCCATGGGTAGGTCCATATTGACCCGACATGGAATGGGCATCCATTGGTGGGGATGAGGATGCCGGAGGTTGCTGCGTGAGCCAATCAAATGTGAATTTTGACTTTCCGGGGTAAAATACGAAGGCCCGTTTGCCAGCCCAGGACTCAGCCCGGGTTGTCTCCTTCGACAATGTCGCCTTTGAATCTTCATTTTCAGTCGAAGATGGGGCATCAGAGGATCCCAGGTTCGGACTGGGCATGATGCCTTGTCCAGGCCGTTGTGCGGACATGTGAAGTCTCATTGGCACGATCTTGCGACGGAGGCCGGGGAGAAGATGGGATGCCCAGGCGTTGGTGGTGTGGACGACGTGTAGGGTTTTCACAGGCCCACGAGGAGTGTTGATGACGTAGTATCCATCAACGTCTGGAACTATGGATGTGCAAGGTGTATGTGTAAAAAGCTGGAAACTGGGTGGGAGGAAGTGAGTGATGAGAAATTGTGGGGTTGAAATAAAAGGAGTATGGAGACTGGGAACGCATACTTCGAGTGACGAGAGAGGATATTAGAGAGTATACCGGTCACGAAGCGGTAGGGGTGAATAGCAGCGCCAGGTTTAGAGACAGCACCAATTATCCTCGAAGAGAGTTGTAGCCGCTGAAAGTTATGTTATTGCGATACTTAGGCACAAGTTCCAGATAGAGCACGTACCTCCATGTCTTCCCGACTTTCCAGTACTTGAAACTTGTCACCATCCTCTTGAACTTCTTTGAGAAATGCGTCGAGCTCGTTCTTCGCATCGTCGAGCATCGACTGTTGCACAAACACATCAAACTCCTCGACCACTCTCGCCTGCGATTCGGACAATAAACCTTCCTCTTCCGCTGCGGCGACTAGAACCGAAATATGAGCCAGCCGGAAGCGAAGAATCTGGAGGGCGAGGGAGGCCCCGTGCTTCTTCTTCAGCGCAGAATAATCGTCGTACACATTTGGCGAAATATGCCCTCCGTTTCTGCGATGACGAGCGAAAGAATAGACAATAAGTATGGGCCAAAAATACAAACAAAGAATATTACCTTCCGGTAGCCCCTGAACAAGTGTCCCTTGCTTCAAGCATGACCACTCTCAATGCCCCACCATCATCCTTCCCGCCGCGTTCTCCACGCAACTGAGCATCTCTCTCCATCAATGTCTTAGCCACTGCCGTCCCCGAGATCCCACTTCCAATGATTACTACATCCACGACCTCCAACGGCAGCTGAGCATCTGCGCCATGGCGAGCAATTGGCGATGGAGGTACTGTCCAGTAGGATATTGTACCATTACCGTGACCCGAATCTTTGTTAGAGTCGATGTCCCGGCCAGGAATTCCGGGGGAGAGGGAGATGCGTTTGATGATGGTATCGTAGTCGTTGGCGATGGTTCTGAGCGACTGGTACCCGAGACGTACGTTGGAGAGGATCGATCCCATGATTGGAGAAGGAGCAAAACAACGAGATCAAGAACTTCAGGACATCATGCAGGCTTTTATATTATGTGTAAGGCTTCCCACTCCGGATTCGAAGCGACATCGGAATGGATAGGCGCTAGAACCAAGCGCGCGCTGAAGGGACTAACCTCGATGTGAATGGTGTCTAGATCAGAGGTGTATGAGAAGAATCGGATAGGGCTTGGGGGATGTATGCTGACGTGCTGTGGTCCCCGTCATTGGGAGCAGTATACCAGCTGATTTCATTGTTACCATGTTTCTGGACAATGACCACACCGGACCTCAGCGAGGGTGGGAGTGTACCTGATGTATTACTAGGAGGCGCTGGAGAGGGTCACAAGTGTTAGATAAAGAACGTTACCCCGCTTCCGGGGCGATGGAAGAAGGTGAACCGGGTAAGCGCAGCGCCAGATCATCGGATTTGATTCAGCAGGCGAGAATTGTCGCCACCAATGGTTCTCAACTGAGCTGAGGCTGATACAGAGTGCTGTTTCAGGGTATGCAAATGGTCCAGGAAAGAATCGTACGGGGTGCGACGCGAGTAGACCAACACGATCAAGACAAGACATGCGCCACATGTGGCGATCTATTGGACAACAAACCAGTGATTAAGAATACCATGATGGTATTCTATCGTTGTTGTAAGTCTAGAGCGGTGGTGGATACATTTTTGACCCCAGAGGGTTTTTGAACCATTGTACAACTGTCGCGCAACGTAGAACCGTCAGAAATCGTGGTCAGAATCGACCTGCCCGAAGCGTGTGCGCACCAAGTAGTAATATCTTCACTGCGGAACCGTCCGTTCAGTCTACATGGCTACCGTCGACCAGGAGCGTCCTGCGCAAATGTGGCAGCGACGAGCATCGGGAAGACGAGTGTGGCGTCTGCGAAGACCTGCATTCCGGTACGTCAGATTACAATACGAGGAGAGGAAGGAAGGAAGAAAGGAGAGGGTGCATACTTTAACAGACTCTGAGCCGGCTCGAATCTTTCCCCAGGAGACGGCCTCGTCTGGACGAGCACCAGAGTCGGATCCGTCGAATTCTTGACCGGTGTTCTATGCGGATAAAAATTGATTGGGGAGATATACTGGTGCAAGCAAACGCTGGGAACGTACGATGTAGACAGAGTAATCTGCACCATTGCGCTAAGCAAGAAGATTTGCATAAGTCGCCACATATCGACAGATGATGAAGGTATAAGGTGTCACTCACGATGAGCATGGCGTTGGCTATCTGGTGCTTGCAGACACCTCCGCCAAGGATGATCATACCGGCCTTCTTCGACATACGCGCTCGCTCGTTCAGAGCCCGTATATCCTGTACGATATCGAGCACCAATCCCGGGTTCTTGAATGAATGGAAGTATATCATGTCTCCGATGGACCCATCAGTCAGCGCGGGACAGAACACAGGGATATCGTTCTACGCCACAAAACCACGTTGACAAAAGACACGAAAACTCAGCTCATGCACACGGGACTCGGTGGGATGGGGCAACGCGATAATATTCACTTTATATGCCCAATAATACACAGACTCCTCATTGTTGATCTCCTTCCCTAACCTCCTAATGAACGAACTCGGACTCCACACCATCTTGCCCTCACTCGCCTTCTGCTCCTCCAGCATCGTATCCAGTATCGGCATCAGCCAATCCTCAAACTTGCAATAATTATCGTTCGGCACAATCAGATTCCCGATCCTGTTCATCCCACGCTTGCGCAGGTCGGCGCCATCGAGGTGGAAATCAGCGAGGTAGGTCTTCCCGAGACATTTTATGAAGTCTTCTTCGATGCCGCCGGCGGTGGTGACGAGGCAGGAGACGTGTTTGTGTTTGGCGAGATGGAGGATGACTTCGCGCAGGCCGGAGGAGATGAGGTTGGAGGTGTAGCCGAGGAAGATGTTACATTTTATTTGCGAACGGACGGCGGGATCGCGGAGTTCTTCGTCTTCGTCTTCGGCGATGGGCTCGTCGGACAGACGCCACTTCCTCTAAACACTGTTTCAGGAAAGCTAAAATAAAGAGTCGAATGTCCGACGCACCATCTTGTTTACCACGTTTATAGCCCTTCCTAGATGGTTCGCTTGAAAGCCGATACGCTCGTACGAGCTCAAGAAAGCATCTAGAGTTAGAGGCTCGTCGAAATTTGGGCCCTGGACGGTAACAGCGTCCTCTGGAACCGGATCAGACGGTTTCAGCACCGCTGACGATGCGCCAGACGGAATCGCAGCCATATCTATCCAAACAAACGTTCAAAGTCAGGCAAGCAGAGCAAAGCAGGACCAAGAAGCAGATCAAAGCGGCACAAGTGACAATTTCAATAAGCGCCCTGTTGGGTGTGCATGATGCGGAAATTGCCGAATTGGCGGAACGCTTGAATTCAGAAGTCCACGTCTGCCACTGCCACCGCGCTCATCCTCACCGACATCGACCTCAACGACGCCGAGCGTCCCTTCTGTACGGTGACATTATCGTCGCCGACGACCCAGGGAATATCAGCCATGGCTGAGCCGGCTAACTCTCCTAAAGTCTCCCCGTCAGACTCGATACCTTTGGACATCGAACCCACAACCTCGAAGGATACCCCGACTGAAACCGCTGCTGAGGGACAGGATGGCAAGACGAATGGCGATGCATCTGGAGAACGTATTTTGGAGAAAGCGACAGAGTCTTTAGAGACCGGGGTGTCATCTGAGGGCGCTATCGCAGCTGCACCTGAAGCAACGGTAGAGAAGGCCGCTGAGGTGTGTTTTTCTGGTATTCTGTGCGCATTTATTGTTCCTTATATTCTTGGAAGGATAAGCCAGCTACTGGAGTGGAGAACCGAGATCCTGTGGACCCGATTAATATGGTGCGTTTCTCTGGGTGACTTTTTGCTCTTTGGAACTGACACTGGAACCGGGCGTAGCAGAATGGGGATAACGTCAACACGGCAGAGTCGGCAGCGGTGGACCAGAATCCTTCGGTGCGTCCTCAATTATCTCTGATCTTCGCCTTTTGCACAAGATTGTTGTGAACCAAGCCAATGTGGCGCACACTGTGCAACAAGCTTTGAATTGTCGAAAGCAGCAGTGTGGCCCAAACGCTGCAGCATCTCAACTCGCGCTCTCTATTCGAACGCGCCTTTCTTTCAGTATTTCTCATACCTTGCTTGTATAGGCCGCACAAACCCCCGCCCCCTCTACCACCTACGAATTGGAACCAGTCAACTTGAACGAGGATATCCGCCCCGAAACACTAGTGGCACCCTCAAACGACCAGCCATCGCAACCGCCTCCTCCTGAATCGCCACAAGCCCCTCCAACACCACCCGCGAAGGGCCCTGTCCCTCCTGGTGCACCACTTAGACGACAAAGTCGTCCAGACTCACGCGCCTCCCGCCCTTCATCCATCGAGGCGTCCTCGACGTTCACGCGCAATGGTATCGCCTCGCCATCCATGTCGACCACCTCCCTCGGAGCGAACATGTCTCCGACCAGTTCCCATATGCGCTCTATGACCATCTCGAAAGGCAACACTGTCTCCACCGTGCTCATAACCACCGCTCTGGACGCTATCCAGGCCTCAAGAGACGCCAAGCGTTCACAACCTCTTCGCGAGAGCGTTCATCGGGCTCTGGAGCTCGTTCGAGCAGGAATGGGAGGCGATAGGCCTCGCGAGATATTCGAGCCCCTTCGACTGGCTTGCGAAACACGCAACGAGAAACTCATCATCGCCAGCTTGGACTGCATCTCCAAGCTCATTTCATACTCTTTCTTCGTCGAGACGAACCCTTCACCACAACCCATCTCGCTACCCTCGCCACCCCCGTCTCCGACTCTGAACGGTCGCGCTTCAATCTCGAGCGCACACCCTCCAAACCTTCCCGAACCGTCCCTAATTGACCTCGTCGTACACACCATCACCCAATGCCACACCGAAACCACTGCAGACGCCATCTCCCTCCAAGTCGTCAAAGCCCTTCTCGCGCTGGTCCTCTCATCCACCATCCTCGTCCACCAATCCTCGCTCCTCAAAGCCGTTCGAACCGTTTACAACGTCTTCCTCATGAGCACAGACCCGGTAAACCAGACCGTCGCGCAGGGCGGGTTGACGCAGATGGTGCATCACATTTTTGGGAGGTGTAAGACTGCGTTGGATTTGGTGAAGGAGGCAACGGAGTCGACGGCTTCGTTGGTGGGGAAGGCAGAGATGGAGGGCGCGGTGTTCCCGAAGAGGAGGAGTACGTTTAGGCCTGCGACGCCGGATACGGGCAAGGCGCAGTCTTTGTCTTCGAGGGATGAGGTTTCGAGTGTGGCGGACGAGTCTGTGAATGGAGAGGAGAAGGCGACGGAGGAACAGAGTGGGGAGGGGACTGCGGCTACCGCCGCTGAGGGAGAGGCACAACCAGACGGCAATGTCCACCCTGAGCCGAATGGTTCGTTGACGGTGAAAACGAGCGAAGCAGGAAATATGCCTTTATCGGCATCGTGAGTCTAGCCCTTGAATTCTATTTAACCTTAGATACTAATAGTTCACGCAGAGCCATTGTGGAGGATGATGGGTTGTACGCCTCGGATGGTCATGACACCGGCTTGAACGCTGCTCATCGGCCACTGACAACGTCAGAACTCTTCCTCAAAGATGCCTTTCTCATCTTCCGCTCAATGTGTAAGCTAACCATGAAGTCTCTCGTCACCGAGAGGTATGTCCTCATTTTTTAGCCTTTTGCCCTCTGCTCTCAACCAAAAACACACTAACATCTGCACCGCACTAGCGAACGTGAAATGAAGTCCCACGGCATGCGATCGAAACTCCTCTCATTACACATGGTCCTCATCATCCTCAACTCCCACATGGACATCTTCGTCAACCCATACTCGATGGTCTATTCCAGCAGCTCTCGAGACCCGGTCCCGTTCATCCAGATGGCGAACCAATACTTGTGTTTGACGCTCAGTCGGAACGCGGTCAGCCCGGTGCCGCAGGTATTCGAGGTTAGCGTGGAGATCTTCTGGAGGGTACTTTCGGGCTTGAGGACGAAGCTGAAGGTGCGCATATATCCTCTCGTTTTCTCGTTTCCTGCTGTGAAATAGGGACGCAACTCTGATATGAAACGCTGTTTGTAGAAAGAGATTGGGGTTCTGTTCCATGAGATTTTCATCCCGGTGTTGGAGTTGAAGACGTCGACGTTGAAGCAGAAGTCTGTTATTCTGGGGATGTTGTCCAGGTTGTGTCAAGACCCCCAGGCTCTCGTCGAGATATTCTTGAACTACGACTGCGACAGCAAGGCGATTGACAATATCTACGAGCAGTGAGTTCCACATTTGTAGGTACTGTTAGCATGACCGCGACTAACTAACTATACGCGAAGCCTCATGAATATCCTCACGAAGATCGCTGCCGCGTCGATCTCCGCCGCCTCCCAACGCACCGCCAACGACCCCACCGCGAGTCCCGGTCTCCACCCCACCAAATCACAACACAACCACAACTCCAACATTGCTCCCTCTCTCAGCACATCCGCACTCTCGGTCCCCGGATCTCTCGACACCACGACGCTCGGACAGTCTGAACAGCAGCTCCGACGACAGGGGCTCGAGTCTCTGGTCGCCGTTCTGAGGTCTTTGGTGGCTTGGGGCACGGCGTCGGGGAAGAGCGCGGCTGATGTGGCGAAGGAGGCGAGAGCTTCGTCGGCTTCGGCGAGGGGTGAGGCGATGTCGGAGGATAGGGACAGGGAGAGGAGGGGGAGTGCGAGCGGGAGCATGGCGGAGGGGATTTCGCCGGATCAGTCGCAGTCGCAGTCGATGGAGAGGTTGAGCATGGCTGCTGTGGCTGCGAATGGGGCCAACGGAGCGAGTAATGGGGCGGCGACGGATATGAGCGGGTCGACGAGGGCGAATACGCCGGATGTGTATGGGGCGGGGGCGTTGGCGGAGGATGACCCGAGTAGGTTCGAGAGCGCGAAGCAGAAGAAGACGACGTTGTTGGAAGGGATCAAGAAGTTCAATTTCAAGCCAAAGAGGGTATGTTGTGCTCTGTTTTCAGCTCTGTTGCACATTGTTGACCTGTGTGGCGGTGGCGTAGGGCATCTCGTTCTTGATCGAGACGGGCTTCATTCCGAGCAAGGAACCGCAGGATATCGCGAGGTTCCTCTTGAACACGGATGGGCTTAGCAAGACCATGATCGGCGAGTATCTCGGCGAAGGGTACGTCCTCACTCGACTCCATTAGCTCCGTTTGCGTTCTGACCATCATCCTTTAATTCAGCGACGACGAGCACATTGCGACCATGCATGCCTTCGTTGACCTGATTGACCTCCGCAATATGCCTTTCGTCGATGCTCTTCGGGCATTCTTGCAGGCCTTCCGTCTCCCCGGCGAAGCACAGAAGATCGATCGGTTCTTGTTGAAGTTTGCGGAACGATACATCGAGGGCAACGCGAACTCGACGTTCGCCAACGCTGGTGAGTTTGGCTTGTCTCCTCTCCTATTTGCTTTGACTGGAAATGTGCCCAACTTCGTACAGATACCGCATATATCCTTTCGTTCTCCGTCATCATGCTCAACACGGACGCCCACAATCCTCAAGTCAAGAACCGGATGACGAAGGCTGACTTCGTGAAGAATAACCGTGGGATCAACGATGGGCAGTCGCTTCCTGAAGAGCTTCTGCACGCGATATACGACGATATCGTGAACAACGAGATCAGGATGAAGGATGAGGTCGACGCGAGCATTGCGGCAGGTGTAGCCCCCACGGGTACTGGAATCGCCAACGCTTTGGCGACTGTGGGGAGGGATCTGCAAAGGGAGCAGTACATGCTGCAGTCCAGCGGGATGATCAACAAGACTGAGGTTCGTCACATCTCTTTTAATAATTTCTTCACGTCGGTTGAGGTTAATGGTTATCTCGTGGGTCAGGCTCTGTTCAAGACCATGATGCGCTCGCAGCGCAGAGGGGCCCGGACGGAAGACCAGTTTTACAGTGCCTCGCACTTCGTCCACGTCCGTCCCATGTTCGAAGTCGCCTGGATCCCCTTCCTCGCCGGAATTTCCGGCCCACTGCAAGAAACCGACGATATGGAGACCGTCGAGCTATGTCTTGACGGGTTCAAGAGCGCGATCCGCATCGTCTGCTTCTTCGACCTCGAGTTGGAGCGTAACGCGTTCGTGACGACGCTCGCTAAGTTCACGTTTTTGAACAACTTGGGTGAGATGAAGGCGAAGAATATGGAGGCGATCAAGACGTTGTTGGACATTGCGGTGACGGAGGGGAATAATTTGAAGGGGTCGTGGCATGAGGTGCTTTCGTGTGTGAGTCAGTTGGAACATATGCAGCTCATTAGTAGCGGGGTCGATATTCCGGATAGTCGGAAAGGGTGAGTCTTTCGATTTAGACTCTGAGTGGAAGTTGGTTAAACAGGGTGTATTTGAACAGGAAACCGCGCAAGCTTCCAAATGAGGAGCTGGCGAATGAGAGCCGTTCGACGCATATCACTGTTGCGGCTGACATGGTCTTCTCTCTTAGCGGTTATCTGTCCGGAGTACGTCCTTTTCCTTTCAGTTCTCCCCATGACAATATGCTAAAGTTACCGTAGACCGCGATCATTGACTTCGTCCAAGCTCTGTGCGATATCTCTTGGGAGGAGATCCAGTCTTCCGGTCTATCTCAGCACCCTCGACTGTTCAGTCTTCAGAAGCTTGTCGAGATCTCGTACTACAACATGAGTCGTATCCGTCTCGAGTGGTCGAATATTTGGGATATTCTGGGCGAACACTTCAACCAGGTGCGTTCACGGTCTTTTCTTCCTTTCTTTACCAACTATCTGATATCCTTCCAGTGTTGTTGTCACAGCAATCCGCACGTCGGGTTCTTCGCTCTCGATTCCCTACGACAGCTCGCGATGCGGTTCTTGGAGAAGGAGGAACTCACGCATTTCAAGTTCCAGAAGGACTTTCTCAAGCCGTTCGAATATACCATGACTCATAACCAGAACCCGGATATTCGCGAATTGGTACGTCTCACTATATTTTCCAAGCAAACCTTAATATTGATCCACCCATGTCGTTGTAGGTCCTCCAATGTCTTCAGCAGATGATCCAGGCGCGTGTGCAGAATATGCGGTCAGGTTGGCGGACGATGTTCGGCGTGTTTTCAGCTGCGTCGAAGGTCCTCACTGGTGCGTTATCTGGCATTCGTCTCGTGGTACGATGCTGATTTAGCATACAGAGCGGATAACGAGCTCCGCCTTCGAGATCGTCACCCGTCTGAACAAGGAGCACTTCGCCAGCATCGTTCGATATGGCTCTTTCGCCGATCTCACCGTCTGCATCACCGACTTCTGCAAAGTCAGCAAGTACCAGAAGATCAGCTTGCTCGCTATCGCGATGCTTCGTGGAGTGATCCCGGTCATGCTCGTTACGCCTGAGTGTGGCTTGACGGAGGCGGGTGGCCCAGCGGATGGTGTTACGGACGATCCCATGATTAAGTATTGGTTCCCCGTGTTGTTCAGTTTCTACGACGTCATCATGAACGGAGAGGACCTCGAAGTGCGGCGGTTGTGAGTACTATCGTCTTTGTGATCTGATGGACCCCGCTAATGTGCTTTCTATTCACTCTAGAGCACTAGATTCGCTGTTCAGCACTCTGAAGACCTACGGTGCTGCCTTCCCCGTGGACTTCTGGGATACCGTCTGCCAGGAGCTGCTCTTCCCCATCTTTGCCGTCCTCAAGTCCAGCCAGGACCTTTCACGGTTCAGTACCCAGGAGGATATGAGTGTCTGGCTTTCGACGACTATGATACAGGCGCTGCGGGACTTGATCGATCTCTACACCTACTACTTCGAGATCCTCGAACGTTTCCTGGATGGTCTTCTTGATCTCCTTTGTGTTTGTATCTGTCAAGGTATGTATTTATTCACCTCGTCTTTTTCGCTCTTTGCTAACATATTCTGGTGACAGAAAACGACACGCTTGCGCGGATCGGAACTTCGTGTCTGCAGCAGCTCCTGGAGAACAATGTCAAGAAACTCAGTGCGGCTCGTTGGGAGCGTGTGGCGACTACATTCGTCAAGTTGTTCAAGACCACGACGCCTCATCAACTCTTCGACGAAAGTCTTCGGGTGGAAATTGATAGCGGGTCGCCTGAACCACATGATTCCACAGGTAATAAGTCCTCTTCTCCCTGTTCGGTCTTCACCTGCTGATAGGGTTCATTTAGACTCGAATGGCGAGACAATCCTTCCCGCACCACTATCACCGTCCCTCCACGATAGTCAAAAAATGAACGTCCGATCGAATCTCAATGACCGACGACGGATATTCAAGCAGATCATTGTCAAATGTGTTCTCCAGCTACTCCTCATCGAGACCACGAACGATCTTCTGCGGAATAGCGAGGTGTATAGCACCATCCCGCCCGAGCATCTTTTACGCTTGATGGGTGTGCTGGACCACAGTTATCAGTTCGCTCGGATGTTCAACGAAGACAAGGAGTTGCGTACTGGGCTGTGGCGAGTTGGTACGTGATTGTCTGACTTACTGTTTACCTGTGTATTCAAGGCGATATTTAGGTTTCATGAAGCACCTACCTAACCTTCTCAAGCAAGAGTCAAGTAGTGCTTCAACCCTCGTTCACGTTCTATTGCGCATGTACTACGATCCTCGGCCAGAACACCAAGCGGCCAGGCCGCAAGTTGCCGAGCGACTATTGCCGTGAGCAGATCCTTCCGGTCAAGTTGCTCGAGTTATAGCTAATCTTGGGCTCGACAGGCTTGGTCTTGGCGTGCTTCAGGACTATACCAAATTGCGGTCGGATACGCAAGCAAAAAACATCGCCGCCTGGACACCGGTGGTTGGAGAGATCCTCCATGGTTTCTGTCGGTTCGACGACAAGGCCGTAAGTACCACAAACCTACTCCATACTGTACAAGTGAGACTAATTCATGGCGCTTCTGTAGTTCATGAGATACCTGTCCGCCATTTATCCCTTGGCCGCGGAGCTCATCGCCCGTGAGACCTCCCCACAGATACGGGAGGGCCTTAGAGACTATTTTGTTCGCGCTGGACGATTGCAAGGCATTCTGGACTCATGACGGATTGTGGACTTTTGATTGGATTTATTCTTTTGTTCCTCTTCCCATCCTTCTCAGTTGATATCCTCCCGCTTTGTATAGGTTCGCTTAATTATAATCTTTTATTTTGGCCTCGTTTCTTGAGATTATGCTATTTTACGGTGACTCTGATGAAACCCGTCGAAGGAACAACTCTGAAGCCTGGTGACTGCAACGGACCTAGATGGCTATGTGTTGAAACTCAGACTTGATATTGTGACTTCTATATCTATCGCCCATGAGTCGCCGCTGCAGGCTCGAGACACAGCGGTCGACGACTTTTCCCGAGGTAAGTCCCCCTGGCTTCTGCTTCAATTCAGTGCCGAGTTAGCTAATAACTATTGGTGGACCTCAGCACCCATTAATCAGAAGCGCAGAATACCGTTTCTTTATAAAACTTGGCGTAGACGCTGGGGGGACGTCTTCTTTAGGAAGGAATCGAAGCGGGGGTGTATGGAACCTCAGTGGACCGTAACGATTCTCCCTTAGCCACAAGCCCCTACTAGGGCGATGTTATCATCCAATGGCAGATACAAAAGCTTCGACTGTAGGGTGCCTTTCAGGACTTCAAATGAGGTTGATCTCCGCAGACCGTGGTGTTCAATTGAACATAGACACACATGATTTACCACAACGCACGAGCCGAAGAGGGATGTGTACATAAAGATTCGCAGTGCAAAACCTGCCATACTCTTAGCCCCGTCCGGTGAGCATCCCTCACAAAGCCCCGTACGAGATTAGTACATCATGCAATTCTCATCCATCAGGTCGCTTTTTGTTGCCGTTGTACTTGTATTGCCCCTGGCCCTCGCCGTACCACTCAAGCACTTCTCAGAAGACGGAACGGTGAAAATCGACTGTAAGCCTCCTTGCATCTCTGTATTCTCATTTACAAGAAAACCCCTTGATGACTGAGAGTGTGCGCTATTAGGTCCTTATGCTGATCTTGCGGCGGAAGCCGTCGCTTTGGAGCGTCGTATGCCTTGCTACTGAATTTACGCGTGCCTATCACAGTAAGTAAGAGCTACTTCGATCGTGTGCATGGACCATGATTGATGACGATAACAAAGACAATCGTTAACCTTGCGCTGAGAGATAGCATAGGCCGAGGGTGCAGCGCATTGGGGTTTCGTAGATTGCGAACTGTTCGCTGCGGGGGTAGATTTTCAGTATGATAATCACCAGATAGGAATGTGTTACCTGGGACTTTTTTAGCCATCAATTGGATCAGTGCGAGGATGGATGTCCTGCGCTCCTGCATCTTGCGATTGATGGAACAAGAATGTATGGAACGAAAAGTTGCGCAACCGCTGCGGCGAGTACTTACTCACCGTTGAGGTCTAAGGTGCCTGGAGTCGGAGATACTTATTTCTGTTTATACATCATGATGCGAAGTTGAAGCGATGCGAACATCATCGTTTTATTGTTGCACTCTAGGCCAGTCGAGTGCGATCTTCGGGGGCGGCTTTCTGGCATGCTATCGCCACCTAAACGGCGCCACACATTGCGGCGTAAGATCAGTCCAGGCGGAGTTTCAACTCTCGTCCAAAGTCGGTACCGTGGTCTCCTCGTGGCAGTTGCTCTTTGCTTGCTGTCTTCCATGCTCCTCCATGCTTTCTGAACAATCCCGCTCTACGCTCGCACTGTATTTTGATACCGAATTCTGCCAAATGTCTTGGAATGTGGCGGCTGCCATGGTTCTGATTCTAGAAATGGGCGGCAACTTGTATCCCATATTTAGTCTCCCGTGTTAGGGAGAATACTTGGAGAAGACTACTGTCTCCGCGCACGGTCACGGTCGAAGCCTTGCTTTTGGAATTCGTCTGATACCCATCGCTGTGGCGCTCACCAACTAGTTTAACTACTAGCTCTGGACGTAAATCACGCTCTTTTCTGCTAAATTTACACAGTCCAAAATCGCTATGATCTCAGTAGCGTTTCAGCCCGATATCAGGCTTATTAGCGGCCTTGGAGGTCGCTTTCACTCTGTTTTCCCAACTCCATAACCGCCCACTCAGCAAACATGTCTAATCCGCAGTATGCTCCACCAGGCGAAGGTCCAGCTGATCTTTGGCTGGAACGCTCCAACTTCGCAGGCATGTTCGTTGGCGGTGTAGCATACGGTGAGTACTAGCTCCCAGCTTCCTATTGTCAACAACGACAGTATTCCGTATGCATATCCTTGTTGCCGCCTTGCTGACTCTTACATCCTGTAGGAATACACGCCTCGGTATTCGCTGTCGCCGTATATTTCATGCGTGGCCTGCAGACCCCATCGGCGCGTCTTCACTGGGGGTTTTTGATCTTCATTAGCGCACTTTTCGTCCTGGGCACTATCAACATAGCTTGCAATACGAAGTTCAGCCAGATGATGTGGATCGATGATCGCAATATTCCTGGAGGACCGAACGCGTGGTTGGCAGAAGACTACACCACACCGGTCAACATTGTTGGAAACGCGGCGTACATATTCTCTAATTTCTTGGCTGATGCCATGATGGTAAGCTGTATTGTCCTTTCCTTCATACGCACGTCGTATAACCACCATGCCATTTTCTCGATGTCTTTTGTAGATATATCGCCTCTGGATCATCTGGAGTTACAACTACTATATATTGGTTCTTCCTTTACTCTCGTTTATGGCTTCGACTGGTTCGTCCCTTTCTTTGTCCTACAGGGGCATTCTCACTGATACTAGCACTCACACAGCACTATCCATTTTGACGATATACCAGACGTCTCAGCCAGGCGCAAGTCTTTGGTCTCAGACGGCAGTCGCGTTCGCGGTGCCATACTGGTCGCTCTCTATCGCACTCAATATCTTGGTCACCCTCATCATTGTGTACCGCCTTCTATCTCTCACAAAACAAGTCAAAATGGCGCTCAGCCCCTCTCATGCTCGTACCTATACTTCCATTTCTGCCATGATCATCGAATCCGCCGCCCTTTATTCCATCACCGGCATGATCTTCATCATCTGCTACGCGCGTAACAGCAACGTTCAGAACATAGTCCTCCCGATCTTAGGACAGGTTATGGTACGCTGTGGCTGTCGTCACATCTAATGTCTGGCCACATCTCATGATATTTCTCAATAGTGCATCGCCCCAGAGCTCATTCTGCTTCGCGTTGCGCGCGGACGTGCGTGGACACACCAGACGGGCACCGCCCTTATGAGTGGTTCTACCCTCCCCGGTTCACCGTCGTTTTTGAAGAATAAAACCCACTCTCGCACAAACTCAGCTGCTAGATCTATCGAAACAGGAGGGCAGGGGTTCCCTATGTATGCGTTGGGTGCGGACAGGCTGGACAACGGGGGTTCTGTGCTAGGATCCGCCATGAGCGTCCCTCGCACGCCTGCCAAGAAGTCACCCTTGGCTGATGAGTAATGGATGTGACTGCAGACTCAATTATGCTGTCTTTCTTCTCCCAACATGCCTTCCTTTTTCTGCTCCTTTCTTTCTCGAGTGAGCACTGGTCGATAGAATACTCTGCCAGTGAAATTTCTCTCGTGTGGTAATTAACTTGTCTGGTGATTGGCTGTGGATATATTACAAAGTGTGATTTTGTGGTTCTCTCTTTCTTGAGCACTACATATGGAGGATGACTTTGAGCCCAAAGTTGCAAGGGCAGGCAGGAGAACCAAAGGAGAACGAAACTTGGCTGAATCCTTTCGGCTCGGCGTCTGCCAGGAACGTTTAATGTCCGCTCCGAGAGACTCCGAACCTGATGGCATGGCACAGTGGGGATGCGGCGATTCAATGCTTTGACTAATAAAAAGTACCGCACTGGACTAAAACCCGCCTTTACAGCTTATCGAGCGCTTTTAGACCGTGCCTTGTGTTCACTTAGCTTTCACTCTCACAGGCTACCTTTTCGCAGTCAATGCTCCAGTGGTCCTTGAATAGCCCTCAGACATCAACTCTACACAGAACACTCTGTATCACGGCAAGCCGAGACATGGTTGTACCTGTTCCATGCTCGTGTTCGTGAAGTTGCGAACGATATTCACATACTTCGAGGTGTGTGCGGCCATCGCATCATGTCAGGTCAGACTCGTGATGGACTGGACATGTCGGCGTAGTATGGTGAGTTATCTTCGTTCATGACATACGACATGGATGCGCGCTATGAAGGTTGCACTCGTGCTCCTCCAGTTCAATCGATTAACTTCCTTGTGCAGAGTTCTGAAGTTAGAGCATTATGTGAACCGCCTATTGGATAAGCCTTTTCTATATGGGACGCTATCCTCAGGTACCCACAGTCCTTCGACTTGGTCTGCACAGCGTATCTTCCTTTGCTCTGTAGGGCGACGATAATTCTAGACAACACGTTTGAATTAACCCCATCCCATCAGGCGTGTTTACTTCCAGGACTGTAAAACAATACTCATCAATAGGATGCTCTTGTTGGTGTCGGCGCTTGCCCGTTATATATGTATCGGATCCACGAGCTCCTCGAGTGCTTTATTCTCCAGCATTTGTACCAAGTCCGAGATGCTCTACAAGTCCATCTTGTTGATCATATTGGGTGTCATTGCTATCGAAAGCGCCGCCTCCGTACTTCACTGGTCCTTTGGGAACGCATTGTCGCACGATTTGCTGAGGCCCGTCGACGCTCCGCCGCAGAATGAAGTAAGTCTTCCAACGCATAGATTGTGTGAAAACATAGGATATTGACCGTGATACAGGACAATGCGAACCCACAGAATGTGACAGTGGTTAAACTGGGTTTGACTCCGGATCAGGTCATTTCACCCTCGGGGGCTTTATCATCATGGCCATTGTTTAGCTACTGATACTGTACCCCTAGGCTGCAGCAGACGTGGAGTTTATTCTATATGTATTACATCCAGCTTTCTTGCGTGACATCATCCACTGATTTTGCTCCTCGTTTGTGATCAAGGATAACGGAGACTGTACAGGCAGTAGCTACACTGAGGAGGCTTCAGGACCTTCCGGTGCTACCTGGTGCACCGATGTCAGCACGACGTTCAATGACTTGACATCCTGTTTCTATATCTCTGACGGACTTTCATGTACTATGTTTGAGTGAGTTCTCCTTTTCACAGTAATTGCACGCTACGGGACATTGTCACAACGTTTTCGTAGGGACGCAAACTGCGCCGGTCAATCGTTTGCTGCACCCAGCGGAACCTGGTCCGTAGCAGGCCTTTGCACGTCAGTATTTCCCATCTACATATCACCGTTACTTGCTCTTACTTGATACCTGTAGCGACAACGGTATCTCATCCGTTTCCTGTGTGATACAGTAAGAATGTAGAAGATTTCATTAGATGCATTTCTGTCGCTGTATCACTCATGCGTCAGATATCTGGTGCCTCACCCACCTCTTAATATTTTTACGAGAAAAAATACAGGATGAGATGTTGAGCATGGAACGAAGAGTGGGTGTACAGCATATGAAGGACAGGTAGAAGGTGTCATGCAGTCATACAGTAACATCGCGCGTTGTCCCAAACATGCTTTTGGGACCCAAGTGAACCCTGGGCTCGGAATAGACGGTCTTTGCACCGGAGAGGAAACGATCAATCTAGAACAAATCCGGATATTCCTCGTTAGTTCATCGGTCAGTCCAAGGATACATAGATGCTCTGTACGACATGTTTGTGGCGTAGTCCTGGATTGGTCCTGGATACTTTTCGGGGGAAAGTACATATTCGGGTATGCTGAGAAGCTGTCGGGTGTCGAAACTCTCGAATTTACGAATACGATATATCCTGAACTCAATATTCTGAAATATATTCTACCGTGCACAATGCAGCGTCTAGATAAATCGAGCTCAGCGCTCTCGGAGTGAAGACGAAGAGGTCCATATACTACTGTTCCGATCCGAGTTCCTCGAATGGAGTATCGGACACGAAACCTTACCGAAGCACCCAACTGTAACTTGATAGCGACTCATAGAGCATGGCCTAGATTCCTACCGCCACAAAGCCCGCCCAAAAGAAAGGATGTTCGAACGGCTTTCCGTCGAAATACCCATTCTCTCGAATACCGTCCGCTAACCCTTCATGTCTCTCGAAAAACTTGTCTTGAAGACCATCCATGTCCAATCCCCTCAACCACGTCTTAGCCTCTCTCAATGCCTCGGGAGGTCTCCTTCCTTTCTCAAGCATTTCCTCATACATCCTCACCATCAAGAGCCCCGTCGCATGATCGTCGACTTTCCACATACTTCCCACTACGCAGGCGCTCCCACTCGCGAGTATCGCTGATCCGATACTAAAAGCCTCGTCCGGCAGATCGATGCCCCGCACGACCGTCTCGCATGCTGAGAGGACGGTTAAGCGATTCCGGGTGAGTGAGAGCCAAGAAGGGATATGAGTGGCGAGAAGAGCACCGTCGGAGAGCTGGACGCATGCTTGGGACTCGGGATTAGAGCGCACAGTGGGTAGGTAGTTTGCTTGGGCGTGGGTGGCGAAATGCAGGTAGGTCGCTGCTGGAGCATGGGTCGCGATGAAGGGTATGGTGGCATTTGATTCGAACGCAGTGTGGCGTGCGTTGCTGGGGAAGTGGGCTTCGATTTCTTTGATCTCTGAACGGGATTGAGGGAGATCGTTGAGCGGGTTACCTACAGCTACGAATGTCGGGGGAGACTGGGGCATTGTGGTTGAGTCATCCAAGGCGCGAGCCTTGCGAGCACACGAAGCAACAATCGCGGCGGAGGGGGCGTATCGGACAAAGAAGGTGTCGGAGAGGCATTGCGATTCGGTAGTGCTCGAATTGCTGGACCTCCAGCTTGCAGCGTCAATAGGCATCATAGAAATATGGCCGCACGCGACGATTGTTAAACCGACTGTGTTTGGACTACCGGTATCTTTCGTCGCGTCAGCGACCAGGGCGTGAATATGTCTAGCCACACGATTCCCAAGCCACCTCAACAACCCTTCGAGTGACTGAGGCAAAGTTGCCTCTCTGGCGGCATTGTGGATGAATTCCCAGTTTTTGTAGTTGGAAATTTTCGCATTATGCCCGACCTGACACTTCAAAGTAATCTCACCGCTTTTTGTCTCTTCCAGGAGTCGACAGGAATAGCGGAACGCTGCCGGCATCCCCCCGCCCTCGCCAGCTCCATGTCGGACAAGCAACAGAAGCGTTCCGAAAGGAGTAGGGTCGACATAAAGGAGCGGCCAGCCGTCCTCGATTGCTGGAACCACATCCGACACCTTTATACCCGTCATAAAGTTCCGGCAGCCAGGGACCTCTCGAATGAGGTTGATGACGGCGTGTAAGGCGCGCGAAGCTGACGAGTCCGCGCCCGAATCCATCAGGGGTGAACGTTTCAAGGTATCCAGCGCGGACAGGTATGCCGTCTTCAACGGCTCAGGGAGATCTTCAAGGGAGTCCTCCGAGTCGTTTAAGATATCTGTCGAAAGGAATCGATGCCGAAGCTCCCTCGCCCGACCGTTTTCTAACGCGAGCATTGCAGCCTCTGGGTCTCCGGCTGCGGCGAAGACGTACGCAGCCCATCGATGGAGCCTCAACTTCTTCGACTGGTCCAATTTCCGAACCTCTGGATCCAACCCATCCTTCGAGGACGTATACACGGCATCATTGCAGGCATCGAGCGCGACACGGTAGCCCGGCACCGCTTGATCCCACTCCTTCCGTGAAGCATGTAGATATCCAAGGGCGTCTCCGAATCGACATCGTGTGCTCGGCTTCAACATATTGCGCTTGTTGATGAGGTGAATATGCTTGTCACCGAACCGAATGGTTTCGTCATCTTCGTGGAACTCCAGGAGAACGTCGAACAGGCTGTTGACGATGCGAGCGTGAAGAGGTTCGTCTTGGCCTTTGGCGACCCAAACATGCGCGTCTTCGAGGAGTTGGCGAGCTCGTAGCAGTACTGCCTTGGGAGGAGAGGGCGAAGACATAAGTTCGGATAGGAGGTAGGGTGTTTGCTGTGGAGTAGCGGACTTAATGATGGAGCGGGCGTGTCGTATGAGAGTGGAACCTAGGATCTCGAGGGCTCTAGCGACAAAGTGCGCACTTCCGGGATTGTCGAATAAAGTTTTCCTGTCGATGATGGCTTGACACGCTAACTCGACGTCCGTTACATCCTTCTGAGCAACATTAACAAGCTTCTCTGTCACCTCCGCGAGATTAATCTGAGAGTACGCCCAATTGATGAGATTGATGTCGGGTGAGCGGATTGTTAGAGCAACTTCGCAATGTTCGACCGCCTCCAACAGGCCAGAGATTCGCTTGTCTCGAGCTACGCCCTCCGATGAATAGAGCCGCATAAGGGCAACCGCGAGGTTTGTATGAGCCAACGCTTTCCTGTTCTTGAGGAATGAGGACGTGGAGGGTTCAATGGGATCGTGGGCCTCGAGAGCGGCGCGCAAAGCATCGATGGAATTCTTCTGGTTCGTCAGATGGTCTCCGAAAATCCTATCGGAGTAGACCACTGCAAGATGCAAGAGCAGCTCGACATCGCCTGGATATTGTTGAAGAGCGAATTGCGTGGCACTGAGCGCGTCCTCCAGGGTCTGCGCACGATTGCCACCGTGGATGTGGTACAAGGCTTTTGCTTTACACTCCAGCAGGACTTTGACGTAGGCACGGAGTTCCGCGAAGTCTAAGGCCTTGATTATCGCCTGATCTGCCAAAGAGATGGCAGCCGACGACAGAGCGCCACCCATATTGTGCAGACGTTGGATAACGCTGATTTCGCCTTGGATTTCCCTCTCTACGATATCTCGGCGTTCGCGAGAAGATACGACCAAGGCCCAGGCACGTTCAGCGTCATTCATGGCGAGCTCGAGCACGTCCGTAAAGCGAAGGAAGCAAGGGCCGAACAGAATGGATGGAGACCGCATGCGCATTCTGAAGTCCTGCAGAAGCGTCGGATCGAGCAGATGGTCATTCCGTGTCAGGATTTCGTAGAAGGACTCGAGATTAGGGGTAGACGAGATGCGGGTGAATAATTGGGCATATCCAGTTTGTTGCGTGGCGTTCGTAGCAGTGGCCGGAGAGGAGTTACCTCCCGGACCAGTGGATTCCATGGTGTCGTGGACGATCGACTGGGCCATCGAGGCGGAATGGTTCAAATCATCAATTCCTGTCATTCGTGTGAGCTTAACCGAGAACTTACAAAGGACAGGGTTGGTAAAAGGTCTTTGCTCCGTCGAAATTAGTGGTAAAGAGAGTGGAGGAGACCAGGCGACGCGAGCATGATATACAAAATTCTCGACGGTATCTCACACCTACCACAGCCCCATCAGCCGCGCTTCACGACACCGTATCAGATCGTTACTGAAGCTAGACCTATTCGTGATGGCGAGTCATCGCTGTTTGTTACAGCCGTTGTGCCTGGCTTTTGACACGTAAAAACGTGCGTCCCAACCCTTGCTCACGAGCAGACCTGATCTGTACATCTGCGGCCTGGAGATGCGTCAGCGTGAACGTCGATCATGGGGAAGGAATAACGGACGAGCTTTATCGAAAAATTCTTGGTGCTGTGGCAAGTCTGAATGCAGGTGGACTGGGGTGAACAAGGCCCGCAATCCATCTTCATGCTGGGTAGTCTATGATCCTTGCTTTTGATATCAGAACTCGACGGTGCCCTACCTCTGCTGCTGCAGTTGGTGAGACGTCAGTGGTAGGATGTGCTGACCAGAACTTCAAGGGGTGGCTGCACCAATATAAAGAAATACAACGAGAAACAGCTGAAGAACGCAGCGAGTCTTATCCTTATTCCAATACCAGCGCACTGATTATAGATTGAATAGTTGACTAGAGCAAACTACCGAAGATTTGTCTCGACTGGCGAATATGATGACGGTTCGACGAGAAACGACTGAACGTAGGCGAATCCGCACGGTAACTTCGGGCCGGTGCCACTGCTACTTATAGACCAGCGCCACAATGAACTCTTACTTGGAAACAATTGAGAGTATCAAGAATATTGTACATGGTATCGTTTATAATACATTCATCAAGTGCTGCGAGGATCATGAATGCACAGAAATCCTACAATACAAGGTCCAAGAATGTCCTCTGAGCTTTCCATACGAGCAATCTCTCTAGTCGTCCCCACCTCCCTGTCCACCCAGCCCCAACCCCCCTGTCGCACCACCAACAGCACCTCCAACACCACTGGCTGCACCACCCGCAGTATCGCCCACCTGTCCACCCAAACTCCCGAGACCCAAGTTCCCCAAAAGTCCTCCACCGCCTCCCTTCTGACTACCGCCAGAGCCACCTGAAGGAGCGCCGCCGCCAGTGACTTTCGAGAAGTCGATGCCTTTAGGTTTTTCGTCTTTCTTTCCGTCTTGGCCTTCGATTTTGTTTCCGCCGAGGGAACTACCGAGACCGCCTAGGCCGATGCTATTGACCACGTGAATGTGTAAGTCGAATATTTTAGTGAAAAGCAGAAGAGCGAGGTGTAGAAGATAGACGAACCTGCCGAGCAGTTTGTTTAGACCCAGAGCATCCAATATGCCATTCAGAATACCACCGAGACCGATGCCGTCGAGAATGTTGCCGAGAAGAGTAAGTACACCGTTCAGCACAAGACCGACACCGCCAATGATTTGCATGAGAGGTTCTGTGGAAACAGAAAAGGGCTATTGATAAACAACGGCAAGAAACCTTTGTGAAAATAACGAAGACGTACGGGTGAGAGCATCGAGTAGAGGTCCAAGATCCTTCTTCGCCTTTGGCATATTGGCGATGATGTTCCTCGCATTCTCAATCGTTTCTGTGACGTCTCCGGTGAGCTGTAGGATCAACAATAATGTCAATAAGTAGCAGAGATAAATTGGTGCCAGGGACGAACAACGCACTGTGCCTAGCGACTCAGCCAGATGCTGCTCCTCCGACGTGGCTTGGTGGTCCGCTGCCCGCCTGCTCGACTGCTGCGAAACTTTTCCTCCCGGGTCAAGGGCCTTGATTCCACCGAGACCTTCCTGCAAAATACCGTGAGCTTGCTCAATAAGAGGCCGAACATTCTTGACGAGTGCTTCTTCGTCGAGCTCGTCCTTTTCTTGGTCTCGTTGCGCACGGGCGAGGTTCTGTGGCGCGATGACGTCAGTGCCACAACTTGAAGAGTGATGCGATGCGACGAACCTCGTTGATGAGTTTGAGCAGGGGTTTGATCCTGTCGAGGGCTGGGTCGACGTAGTTCGACATCTTTGTCGCGAGCTCAGCATCTTGTTTGCGCTGCTCCTCTTCAGACAGCTCGTGGTTGGAATCTTGAGAGCCCTGAACAGAGTCTTGATCGTAGTCGGAGCGGTTCATGGTCGTACCTGTAGAAGAGCAACAGTGAGACTGCGGGGCACGACGAGCACGGAAGCCAAGATACGCACGTTGAAACTTGTAAAAAGGAGGGAGATAGTGCGGCGATGGTATGGAATAAAACGATGATGAGTTGAGTGGGGAAGTGTGAATTGTGTGGTGGCCTAGCAGTACAGGCGCGGGTTGGAATATATACCAGACCAAGGTGGAGTCCTGGTGCTATTTGTGGAGAATAGGGGGTGACGGCACATCCCTGCTCTCGCCCGGACTCCAGTTGCACAAGCCAATACAAGCAGCACGTCAGACGCAGACAAAAAACGCAGATCCTAGACGTCAGTGGAGTCTCGTCCATTTTGGTAATCCTCCCAGTTCGGAGGCTTTCAGTTTGGGCAAGAGTCCGTCCCAAAGGAGAAAAAAATCTACACAGCGCATCGATTATATCCTCGATCCTCACATAGCGTGCCAATGAATTCTCAGAGGCTGACTAGACGAGGGAGTTCAACTAGGCTAGGGTGTCGCGGAGAAGTTATAGGACGGTCTGTTGCAAAGGCAACGCAGGAAGGGGTCGGTGCGTCATAGCTAGGTGTGGCGCTTCAACTTGAATGGAAAGGGCAGAGGCTCGTAGAATGTATGGCTCGAACGTTTGAGCAGTACTAAAGGCGTTTTCGAACCGCATATCAGACTAGGGTCGGAACTTTTGTGAAGGTTCTGTCTAAGTCGTTGACGGTGGAAAGTTGGAAACCAAACGGAAAACTGGCGGAAAATCAACTCGGCGGAAGCCGGAAGACGATTGCGCGGCAGATGTTCTCTCGCCACTTCACCGTGGGTGGCGCCTCTCCATGACCACGCCCAAACCAGTTTACGGCCATGGGGTTTCATACACAGACTCTATTCATCATCAAGTACTCATGATCATTCCACTTAGACCTAGGTACATAACGATTTACACTGCATAACCGATGTCAAAGGTATTTAAATATCTTCCTCCACAGTTGCCTGAATATTAATGAGTATCTAACAACGCTAACAACACCTCCTTTACGTTTCTTTTTTCTATACGTAGACTGCTATCAGGCCCTCAGGAGAAAGTACAAAATACCAAATATGGGGCCCAAAATACTGGAAATAAATCTCAGAGAGGATAGTCGGCCCTCGTGAGAATCAACGAATATGGTCTATCATTCCTCCTGCCCACTCCAAGTCAAGCTTAACGACCGTGGAAGACATGATCTCATCACTTCCATGTCCCTCCGCCGTTCCCTCTATGTCAGGGAATAGGCTGTCCTTGTTCTCAGCTGCAGGTGACCCTCTGCTAGTATCTGGATCGTCATCCCGTGTAGTCTCTGTATGTGTCTCAATTCTAATCGGTGTTCTTCCAAGCGATGACGGTTGGATGGATTGCCTTTTCTCCCCGAGTGTGCGCGCAATACAGTGACGAGTTATGTTGTACTCAACTTCTTCGAGTTGAGGTAGCCCTGTCATGTCCGAGGCCGTCCTCTTCACGATAACTAGTATGATGATCAAAGTCGAGAGTATGTCCTAGTGGGAGATGACGCGAAAAAGTCAGATAGTTATCAATACAGCGGAAATACGAACTTACGGAGACTTGAACCAGGACAATAGACATCAGTTCACTCCATAGATTGGCACCTTCGCTTGAATGCACCAGAACATTGACCTGACTTGCTATGTACGACACCTGCAGTATGATTACTAGGTAAGGTTCCGACTAAAATGCAAATGATTAACTAATCCGTTAAGAGTAAGAACACTTACCCAAGCACAACAAGAGATAATACCGGACTCGACAAACAAGGCCAAAAATACCTCGACTTTGGAACTTCGTCGGCTTCCCTCTATATTTGAGCGAATGGATCCTCTGTGGCGCCTGCTATGTATATCAGTAAGTGTGTTCTTTGAAAAAGGAGTGCAAATGCGCGGTACCAGACTTTGAGAATAATCAACAATGTCGCTAGTATGTTCGTCGCCAGGGATATGCCCCATATAACCCAGTCTTCCACAGTCACCTGTAGATTCGCGTCGACTCTGTGGCCTTGCAGTAGATTTGCGACTGAGAAGTCATCGGATGAACCATATATTGCACGGAGGATGGCCATTGCTGATCGTTTGCGCGCGCAAGATCAGAGATGTCAATAAAGAGCAGAATATCATAGGAGGGAAGGATCTCCAGAGAAACTCACCAGAGGTGCCGAGCACGAACAATGCGGAAAGGAAAAGGATCCACAGACTGTGGTTCCACAAAACCCAGGCTCTCCAAAGTAGAATTAGATTACAGAGAACGTACTAGCCACAAGACGAAAACATCAGCATTGCAACCAGATATTTTGAGCTCTGAATGATACGCACGTTAATGAGTGGTATATATTGTATGATCACATTCAGCTTATATCTGAGTGTGAGGATGCTAGCTTGTGCCTTCTCAAATGCATCGATATGAGCGTAGTCGCCATTGTACACAGCCCAGTCGGCGTCGATTCTGGACTGAAGCGATGCGTGCTCAGTCTTTAGCAGCAACCAAGCGAGGACATAGCAAGCAGTCGATACGGAAAGGATGGTCATGATCGCCATGGTCATGGCGAGATGCGCCTTCATGGTCGTGCGGGTGGTCCTCGTACTGAATCGAAAGAACCATTCAGGATTCAATAGGATCACGAAAGGGCTTCGAGCGATGGGGATCTTACCAAATGAGGTGCATCGTGATGATGAAGACCACTCCAGAGAGAGCTAGTCAAAGAAATATGCGTCAGAACAGCCGTCCCAAAAATGAAGGACAATAACACGGCATACCATATAAACCAGTATCGACCGATAGAAGGATGGACTGTCTAAGGAAAAGGGACATCTGTTGCTGAGACGCGACCCGGATTGCGCCTAGAACTCGAGAACACAGATCGCTGTTTGCAAAGATGCAGTTTAAACTCATAGATGAGAGGACTACGCCGTGAGCTATAGAATGGGGGTGAAGGGCCAGGTTGTCTAAAGCGTCTTAGCCAGTATCGCCTTTAAGTAAAGTACAAGTGAGGTATTAGCCCGCACAGGTACGTCTACGATGCAGGTACAGCAGTACCCGTGTCAGCCTGTCGTACTAGGTATGGGCGTCCTTGGTGCCACAGAGACGCGTCGCTTGTGACCAGACCACATAGCATGGTTCCTCCACTAGTGAGCAAGAGTGGAACTCGACCGAAGAAATTATGTTCATGTGAGAATTAACAGTCGATTTGAAGGCCAAATTGGATGCCAAGACGAGGCGGAAGGAGTTTGGGCGCATCCAAAGCTAGGAGAGTAAGTAAGTGGAACTCGAGCACCGTACCAGCGCGGTGATGGCTAAGAATATAGTCACCATGTCGAATTATCTTATTTGTGGTTCAATTATTCCGAAGCCAGTTCATTCATGCACCAAGGAGGAGCATACCAGTCTAAGGTCATATACTTGGAAAACGACTGGACGGCCTGATGTACTTTCAATTGCAAGTTCGGATCAGTGTATCGAGACGGTACCCATGACGCAAGGAGAATCAACGCTTGGTCTTGGAAGACTACACCTTACTTATAACCATCGTCAATGACAAGCAAAGAAAACGCACCGTGGAGGAAAAAAGAAGTGAGGGGCCACGCCGGGCTAGTGAAGAGGAACTTGAGAGGAACGATTGTTTTCTTCGATATTTGAGTTTGGATTTCAAGACTAATGCCGGGCTACGAAGTGGCTTGTTCGTAGAGAAAAGCTCGACGAGATAGTTGAACGCTCGACTACAGATGGGACTTACAGCAACTTCGAGGACTAGAGTAATGTGGATAGCGTTTCTGCCAAGTGGAGGTTGACGCCTCTTGACGCGGATGATGGTATGGATAAAAAGAGCGCTTGGATGGCGTGGTACATTCCTCCTAGCCGATTTGAACGACTGACCTCTTCATGAGCTAATTCGCGCCCGAATTACTAGTGAAGCGCTACTACCGCTGAGCTAAGGAGGAGTTGTTCGTAAGCGCCCCACGTGCACTCAGACCGGCGAAGTGTGCGTGTTGGTCCATTTGTTCCGCCAACTGTTCTCTTGTTCTCTACCTTGTTTGAAAGCCTTCCTGGTTCTAGAAAGCCTCTGAATTCGAAGATGCCTTCACAAGGAAAGCGGAATTGAATAAATAACTCGTATTCGATCAAAGCCAAACCATAGACGTGCATCGACTCTTATAACCAATGCGCCCAACCCTCTCCCTTCTCGCAGCCTTCCGCCCCTCTCGCCCTCTCTTCAATGTCACTCCTTCGACTCCTGTTCCCCCGAGACCCATCAAGAAATATCCACAACCTTTCAAACTAAACAGATCGACGCCACACGCCCGACACATCGTCCGCGCAGTCCTCACCTCCCCGACAGCACACGCTACTCCATTCGGCGCGTTATCGAACCTGGAGCTGTATGATGAGATTCAGAGACAGTTTTCGGAGGAGAGGTTGAAGGGGGAAGACCTGGTATCTGCTATGAAGGAGGAGGAGAAGGAGGAGCAAGCTTGGAGGGAGCATAGTCTGTGGGGCAACGAACTGAAGAAAGGGAAGGAGAAGGAGAAGAGCAAGGGGGACGGTAAGGGAGATGGATCGCAGGCAGGAAAGGGGAAGCCGGCGCCGGACTTACGTCCTGTTAGCTCGATGAGGTGCGCTTTCTTTGTGATGTTTTGTGTTTCCGGTGAACTTCGAGAGTGGATGGCAGCGTTATGGTGTTGGGTTTTGGACATAGTGCAGATTTGGCTGGAGATTGTACTTTCATATGGGTCCATTCCAAACCCAAGACATCTCGAAAAACATCTCGAAATCGTCGCCTCAATTTCGTCGAGTGACACTATAGCTCGGCAACATGTCGCACAGTGTGGCCCAACGCTCGCCACAACGGTTCTTTCCCCTCAATGCCTTTTCCCTACGTTACAGCCAGTTCAACATCGCTGACCCTTCCTTTTATTATATCATGAAATCATACAGTCACCTCAAACGAATCATCGTTCCCGACATGGAAGCCCACCGCGAGATTGAACAACTTCATATTCAACGCCGCATCAACGTCCCCTCGCACCTCAGATCCATGTTCGACGCGTCGAGTAACAGCTTCATGACCTCCGTCTCAGCTTCCCCTCCCCCCTCCTCCTCCTCGACAGACTCCGATTCATCCCTTTCATCGTCATCTTCTGCGCTTCCCTCTACCGATCCATCTTCCGCTCGCCCATCGTCGGCCGACTCGTGTTCAGACAACGCTTCGTCCCACTCGCTCTATCCACATATCCCAATTGGTTCGATCCCTACTGGAACAATGTCGCGCATCCTCCTTCCCCAAGAAATGGCGATGCAACTGAGGTTGAAAACGGTGCCAGTCGAGCATCATGGTTTGACCAAGAGACAGAGAAAGCAGAATAGACTGGGCCCCGAGTATCACTTGCAATTGACCGATCCGCGGACGAAGAAGGTTGTCGATGAGTACGATGAACAGACCAACAAGTTGAAGCCCAAGTCCACTTCGCGGGAGGCAAAGTCGAGCATATTGCAGAAGAAAGTGACGAAGGTGATGACCCCGAGAGAGACGTGGTGGGTCGATGCGGACCTTGAGCCGGACGGGTTGCCGAATGAGGAGTGGATGTGGCGGGCTACGCCGGAGAGTATGCATTCGCGGTGCGTCGGTCTTTCTCGTTCGGGTTCCTTCATTCTTCGCATTCCTTTTCTGGGTCCGCGTTTCTCAATTTAGCGCTCGTCGATTTCCACTGACATGTTATACTGACGATACACGCGTTTTCCCTCCCTTTCCCCCTCGCCATGACTGCTCGACACCCCCATCTCCTCATATCTGTGTATAGATCTGATTCAACGCTCATCGTCCGAGTCACGCCGAAAGAGCGCGCTCGGATGAAAAAGACGATGAAGCGCCAGGCTGCATGGGATGCTAAGGCTGCCTTGGCGTCTACGTCTTCCACCTCAGCGTCATCGTTCAACCACCCATACAAACACCGAGACAAATACGCCCCAAAACATGATCGCAATCTCCAAAATCCTATTGCTCACGGCTTCGACGGAACCGAAAACCGAGACGGACAAAGTGAGGAGGAGGCTCTGATTGAGGGGATGCAGGCTTGGGCCAATGTTGGGGCTTCTCGAGCTGGGGGAGGATATACCGGGAAAGTTGACGTTCAGGCGGGGGAACTGCGTGGGGTCGGGTTGAAGTCATCCAAAATCAGGGGAGATCCTTGATTTTTGCCTGGATTGGGCGTAAAGGGATCGTATTGAGGGGAGGGGGGTCCGAGACACGGTCGCTTTGGACGGGGGTACATAGTGCAGTATCATACCCATGTTGACGCTTCGTCAGATATAGGGGCCTCCTTTGAGCGCTGAACTCTGATGTTCTTCGATGCATACGAGGGATTAGTAGAGTATGCGGGATACGTAGGTGATCGACGTTTGACGAAGAAGGAAGCGCATCTGGCCGGGGTAGAAGGGGTGAAGGAAGGAAGTATCGCAATACGGCTAATCGAGAGCGAGAATGGTACGAGGGACCCTATATAGGGAAACGGAGATTGCTCGCGCACCAGTAGGCACTCAAGAGTCAAGGTCGAGGCATCCGAGGAGGGCGAAAATTCGTGTGGAGGAGGACGAAGTATGCTCTGAGAAGGGTAACAAGCTCTGGAGACTGCGACACTGAATATAATATAATATATGCAGGAATAATAAGCCTTTTGTTCTTCTAGCCCGTGTCCGAGTTAGAAACAAAAGGGACAGAAAGCAACAGATTAGTCTGCGAGTGCGAAACTGATTATTGGCACACAAGGGACGAAGTTCGAACGCATAAAAGGTATATACTTCTTAATATTAAGCAACAAATCATGGAGAGATAAATGAAACTCGTATATTAACACTCCTCTGCGGAAAAGTCCACCTGCGGCACCATCATCCTCAACTTCTTTGTCAACATCATCCACCAATCATCGTAAACGCACCCAGGGGACAACATGATGTGTCGAATAGGGGCGCAACGCTCCCTTCGAATGTCTATCATCCTCAACAGTGCGTCTTCGAGAGTTAAGGTTGAGTCTATAGGTGAAGGCCTTTTGAAGTCCACAGCGAGAAAGCGAATACTGCGCAATTCGAGGAGGAAGGGCGTCGAAAGTGTATTGTCTTCAGAAGTACGTTCATCGACCACATACTCCATATCTATATCCGTAGTCGGAGTCTGGCTCATACCAGTCATTTCCGACGTGGAGGCCCCTTCTGACAAAAGCGCAATGAGATGGCCAGGCATCTCCGCTCCACAAGTGAGTCGCTCCAGGTTCGGAAACCGTCCAAGCAACTCTCGAACCTCTTCAATATCCATAGTAGTCCAAGAGAGGCGATAATCCAAGCCCCAGTCGTAGATCAGGGACAAACTGCGAAGAAGAGGAAGATGCATGACATCTAGAAGTGCTCGACACATATAGAACGACGAAGTTTGTCCGCCAATCGGCTGTGGCGCTGGAATCGTTAGGTTGATGGTCTTTTCCTGCGTTTCTTGGTAGTCCTCGAAGCCGGACCATGTCTCGACGCGTACAAAAGGCTTAACGGCCGTGGGAGCCCTATCCTCAGGCATTCTACCTGCACTTCCCCGCCCTCCGTTAAACGTCAAAGCGACGGCTTCGAAACCACGATACTCGTGGACGAATTCCGAGCGCAGAAACGAGTTTGAAGTGAAGATTGCGCTCAAAGCAGAGAGGACAATGTCGCACTGTGTCAGCGCAGAAGCTACGCAGAATCGAGCTTGAAGGACACGGCTGCCTTGAGTCGTTGTGGTCGGGGTGTAGCATGCCCGCAGGAGTAAGCTCAAGCTCAGAGGGTTCCGTGTTACAGCGTCGATCTTCTTGAGATGAGTAAGCGGCAGAGTCGTATCTAGGTCCTCGATAGTCCAGTGATCGGGCAGGCATTTTCTAAGAGCGAGAAGTTCCAGGAAAGGCATACGTTGAAGAGCACTGAGGAGTTGGGAAGGGCGTAACGATCCCAAGTGTCGTCAGGGTAGCCATCGACGAATGAGATAGATAACGTTGTGAGATCGGTAAGGAACGGGGCGTTCAGCGGTGGGATGATGTTGAGGAGAGAAACTTTGCGCAGATGTTGAGTAGTACGATGACCTTCAGGCGCGAAGAGCGTGTCGGTCAAAGAAAGACACCGGCGTTGAGAGATTTCCTGCAACATAGACACATGGAAGTGGAGCTCCTCGAGGTAAGGTGCGTCGAATAGTAAGGATGAAATGAACGTGTTGAAAACCAAGTCGTTAAAGGCGTAGGTAGCGAAATTGCAGAAACGAATCTTCCGTGTCTTCGCGAGGTGCACAGGGGAGAGCTCTTCGACCCCGAAGGTAGCCATGTTCCAATCACGCGAGAATGAAAGAGTAGAATTTTCCGAGCGAGTGATCATTTCAAGACACCAGTATTTTGGAAGCACATTCATGTCAATGAGCGTCCAGAGATCGCTACAGCCCAATGCGATAGCTCTGAGGGTATGGCAGACGTGTGTCAAATATATCCAGCCGAGGTGTAGCTCGTAGGCCTCGTCGAGCCAAGGATTGAAGTCAACGGAGTCAGCGTCCAGCACTTCGCGTTGCGATTCAGGTGGAATCCTGCGTGGAGGGTTGGTGTCTCGGGAGAATCGGACTATCATGGTCAAGAGCTCGTTTGGAAGGCGAAAGATAGGAGCGGACTCGTTGGCGTGAGTAGCCGACCATGCGTTCATCTTGAGCTCTGGCGCAGGGGGTTTGGGAGGAGTAACACCGTGACGGCTTATAGAAGTGTCAGGTCGACGGTCAACGAGGCTCGCATAGAAGGGCTTGTGAACGTGCGACATACCAGTTGGCATACATTGTGGATCTTGAAGTTGTAGTACGAGCTCTCGTGAGAGGATACGGAAAAGTGGCTTGCAGGGTAATGATGATTGAGTTTGCGATAGAGCGCGAGCCGGCTATATATACGCGAGAGCGACACACAAACACGGCATAACACCGACTCTAGGGGGAACAAAACACAACCAACCGGCACTGCCGGTACTCACGTGGATACAGGATTGTCTGTCGCGAGTGGCAGCGCCACTTCGTCGGACGTAATAATAATAGGCAACCCCGAAGGCTGCGAAAGAAAGTTATCGGAAATTTGCTGACTTTTTTACCTTCGCAAGCTCCTTGCGAAAAGTAATCGCTGGCATTGTCTTTCGCTTGAGGATAAGATTAGTCGTACCCAAGTCGTACCATTTGCGACGTGTGACGGGAAATGTAGAGTTTCGCATCATGTTTCGCATCCTTCGTCGGCGCATTCAAATGATGGTGCCGTGTGTTGGTTCAAGTGGCGTTCAGCCCCTGTGGCTCCTCATGAACCCGCATCTGGCGATGCTGGCTTTGAAGAAAAAGTAACCTCGATAGACTAGTCTAACGTCTATAATGATGTAACCAGTGCAATATTTCACCTTGCCTCTCTGACCGGAGCCGCTGATGAAGAAAAAAAGCACGAGGGAGTGAGAGCAGCGCTAGCTATATGCCGGGTTAACAGGTCAACAAACCGTCTCGCTCTCCGAGCCGTATTACACCAGTGGCCTCCAACCAAACCAATTCCCTCACGCCGACAATAGCAACCCCAAGATATGCACTCCTACTAAATTGTCTCTCACCACTCATTTCCTCTCCTCTCCACCGAACTCTCCGCATCAATATGCCGTGTCGCATATTCATCTCCTCCCCCTTCCATAAACCTCCAAACACCTCTCTTCAAACGCCCTAACCATAGCCTTCGACACCTGTCCAAAAAACGCTTTCGACAGCGCTGCGTGGACGGGGTTCGCGAATGCGTAGGCTAGGTCGAGCGTTATTAGTGTTGGTGCCTTCTCGACTTCTGCGGCCTCTGATTCTGGTGATACAACAGAGGGAGAAGATAGGGAGGCGGATGGTGGTGACGAAAGGGTAGATGAGTTGGACGGGTGTGGTGAGGTTGGGGAGGCGGGTTGGAAGCGCCAGGTCGTTGTTAGGGATTTGAACAGTGGGGTTGAAGAAGACGCGACTGCCTGGACACGTCCAGATGTCCACCCACGTCTCAGTCAGTATCGACCTGAGATCTCATTCAGAGAGGATGACGAGACATACCGTAACACTCTCGAAAGGTCTACAAGTCACCACGCTCACATAACTCTCTTCATGGATGAGGAACTTGGCCGTCATCTCGACGTCTAGTTCTAGGACTTCTTTCGAGGAGAGAAGGTCGAGGTTCGGTTTAGAGAGGTGTTCAGCGAGGGATGTGGACGATGTCATGTGCGATTGTGATGTTTCATGAGATTTTGAGGACAATGTAGAGGAAGCAGTTGAGGCCGAAGTGCGGAGGGTGCGCGTGGATGAGCAGAAGGGTACGAAGCGGGGATACGAAGACATGTCGGCAATTATATTATAGAGTTCTCGACGGGAGTACCTGTGAAACCACATGAATCTCGGTCAGCATATACAACTATGCCGAACGATTCAACACTGAATAACCATAGCACGCACGGCAATATTTTCCTCTCGTGGTATGTCTGTCCATCCGATGATCCCTCCGGTCCGCCCCCACTCCCAGTACCTTCATTCAACGGCTTCTGATTGAACGGCGAGAAACTAGACAAGTCGGGTAAAGTGATGAACGTTCTGCGTGCTTGCCTGCAGCCTGTTCTGAGAACATGATGTTCACGTTGAAGACGCGTCGGACGCGTCGGACGCGACAAGCCGGCAATATGAGGGAACGACGACATTTTTTGAGGTGCTGGCAAAATCAGAGGGTCACCACGATAGAGGAGAGGAAACGATATGGAAGGGAGGTCGAGAGACTAGGTCCTGGTTTATGTAGGGATCGTGCTCGTCGTCGAAGAGGATGATGAATGGTTCGATGGGTGGCACTTCGGATGATGCTCGCCACCTTGTTCGGTCCGTCGCACGGAGTAAAGTAATTCAGAATGATCTTATTATATGTTACGCGCCATCACGACACATATCCTCCTTAGCTCAGCGGTAGTAGCGCTTCACTAGTAATTCGCGCACGAATTAGCTCATGAAGAGGTCAGTCGTTCAAATCGGCTAGGAGGAATTTAGCCAGGACATGAGCTCGTCTTTTGCCATTCACACTATCATCGACCACCACCATACTCAGGGCGTACTGCTCTGTTTTTATTGCTCTAGTCCACGAAGTCAAGTACTTGGTCCATGGAAAATTCGGGGACTAGATTCACGGCCAGGGAACCACTATTTAGAGTGCTCTAAAGGTGATTCTAAAGTAACTTCTATATATTATATATGGGCTCCGCTTTGGGAAGTACTAAAGAGAAACTTTGGAGACCTCCAAAGGCGACTCTATGCATTTTCTTTAGAAATGCCGTACAAACGCTAAAGATTGACTTTGGAGGACGCTAAAGGCTGTCGAGCACCTCGGGCTTGCCTTATGTGGCAACCCCGAATTTCTATAGCACCCTCTAAAGGTAATTCAGAGAATAATCAATGGAACTCACTATAGAGCTCGCTAAAGCTTTGCTTTAGAGAGCGCTAAATTGGCATCCATATATAATATTTTGACCTATGTTTAGATTCCACTTTAGCGGGCTCTAAATAGTGGTTTCCCCGTCGTGATTCTGATCAAACCACTTCCCACGCATTGACATGAATAATATCCCTGGCCACATTGCGCCGCTTCTTCTTCTCCTACGATATCGACCCTCCGATGCGTTCTCTTCGCTTACACCTAAACTAGAGCTACAGGGAACTTTCACTCAGAGCTTACTGTTGCCGTTATCCGAGCATCATGGGCGCCATCGGCATCGAGGTGCGTCTCGATCCGTAATCAGATCGGTGTGTCTTTATGTTTTTTTGTTCGTGGTGACTATTTCTACGACTCTTGCCGCCCTTCTTTACGAATCTATCAAGGGCCTTGTCCCCTTGTTCTATTGCACTTTGGTCGCGCCTCAGCCTCACTCCGAAGGCGTACTGTGTTTTGCTTTATGGTGTTGCAGTCACCAGTGGACAACTCGTATAGCAATGTCCTGACGATCGTAGCGTTCCGACTCGGAGGGTTTGGGTGTTCCTACCCGGTTGATATCTCGTCTAATCTGCCTTTAGAAGACTACACAACTCAGCGTCCTCGGGATGTTGTTACTAATCACATCCCCATGGAATTCACCCCATCACTCGCGCTGGAAGTTACATGAAGGCTAACTATAGGCATTTTCACCATAAATTAACGCCTGGTGTGATGGGCGTTACAAAAAGTTCTAAGGACGATCTGCTCCCAGATAGGAACCTGGTATTTGTGTGGCGTCGTATTCTATCTTGGTTCCCGACATGCTGCTCTGCTTCTTTTTCCTATGTATGGTTTCTCAGGTATCCTCGACGTACATACTCGAGGCCCCCTTCAACGACTAGTCCTCTTGTTTCCTCTCTTGCTCAAAACGCCATGTCCGACCAGAACTTCATCCACCAGCATAACATCTTCGACGACGAACCCTCCTCTATCAATGTCGCAGTACATCACGCTAACTCTCTCGGTAGCAGAGCTGTGCGAGATTTCCTGGCTACCGTGCAGCATGGTTTCGTGGGAGTGGCTCCCGCATACGGAACTCACTGCGCGCTATCTGCTCTAGCGTTTGCCTCCGCCACCCATGTCCTCATTGTCAATTTCTCCACCAAACAGCGAAAACAGACACGGCAACGACGCCCCACCACTCCTACTCTCATCGCAGACATACTATCTAACCCTGGATTCTCTCGCTACTCGCTCCACGCCGATTGTCTCGCCACTGCGCTACACCTTGATCTCGAATTACAGGTCGGAGATGTCACGGACCTCTGGTCTCTCCTTGACACCGCGGACCACGCATCAGATCATTCCTTCATCAAGGCTATATGTGGCGAGATCGATCATCGCACCAAATCTGCATACAAAAATGAGAAGCAAGAGGACGGTCGTCCTTGGAGAGTGGCCTTGCGAGCTTGGTTATCCGGCCGCATCGCCTTCCGCACGGATCGGGAGACCCTGACTGGATTGTGTCGTCGTGTGGATGTCGGTCTATTTGATCTCCAGGTATAGTTGTGTTCGCTGCATTGACTCACGCTCATCGCATCTCATATCATACTACTACTTGGTTCGCAGGTTTTGAAAGCTTTATCAAAGCTTCGTCGAGATGCTGACTTACTGGATGCATTGAAACCGAACTCCACTCCGAACGACATAAAATGCTCTGTCGTCAAGAAGGGTGGCATAGTCCAGGTTACGTCCACGCGCTACAAATCACACATCCGCGGCGATACTAAGGTAACATCTTGACCCCTACATGGTCCTATCATCTGACTCCTTAATAACAGCTCAACGTCACAATCAGTGGTGCAAATGGTAATTCTGAACTGAAAGCGAAGACTCAAGATGTGAAAGGCCGAGGTGCAACCTTGGTTGTCAAAGGCGCTTCCGTAGGCTCTACATTACGATCTGCTGTGACCATGGGAAAGGACCCACTCACTCTCGCAGAATCGGAACGCCAGAAGATCGTCCGTGCCACATTTCTCAGTAGGGTATCTCTTGACGAATCACCGTTCTTCCGAGCCATCTGGTTCCCGGAACGGACCTGGAGCTGGAAAAGTGCCCCGAAACTTCATACTCTTCCCACTCTGGCGGCACGCACCACCTTCCGCGAGCTCAACTCGTACCAGGAGACCGTTGTACAGACTATCCTATCCTCTGCTCCTCGTGACAGAGTCTGCCTGGTACAAGGTCCTCCGGGCACTGGCAAGACAACTGTAATCGCAGAATCAGTCAAGCGTATCCGAGCGGGCGACTCTCGGCGGACAATTTATCTCGTCGCTCAATCTAACGTTGCTGTGAAAAATATTGCGGAGAAGCTGGCAAAAGACGACTTTCTAGATTTCCGAATATTGATCTCGCACGAATTTCACTTTGACTGGTAAGTCGATTTATGTAATAGCCTTCACGTATCCTCATCAATGTCCTCTCGCTTTAGGCATGAACATCTATACGAGAAGATTGAGCGTAATATTCTCGTCTCGGACCAGTTCCCGAAGACTATGCTGGACGCCGAATCTAAGCTCGGAGGTGCCAAGGTCATACTATGCACCCTGAGTATGATGTCGAATCCAAAGCTCTCCGTATTCACCCAAGCAGTCCCTGTTGAGACCGTCATCGTTGACGAAGCGAGCCAGATCGAGACCGGAAATTATGTGCCGCTTTTACACCTCTTCAAAACCACCGTTGCGAAGGTGGTATTTATCGGTGATGATAAGCAGTGTAAGCCAAACCTGCACTCCCTTATCTTCTTACGCCCATGGCCTAATTGTATACGTACAGTGCCACCATACGGACAAGAGAATATATGTGGGCTTCAGAGCGTTTTTGAGATATCTCGCCTTCGATCAAAGGCGAAGCTTCTTGCAGTACAGTGTACGTTTCCGGTTGTCTGGTTCTCACGAGACTCCAATTTGACTTTGTTTACCCTTCAGATCGTATGCCGAGGGTCGTAGGGTCGTTCATTTCTCGCCACGTTTACGATGGTAAATTGGAGACCGTACATGCTATAACGTCTGCGAGCGCCTGTCGCTTTGTCGATGTTCAGAAGGGTAGGGAGAAGCAAGAGGGGCATAGTTGGATTGTACTTCGTAGTCAGCTCATGACATACGCGACAGAAGCTGACTGTGTTTGAATAGAATGCAGAAGAATGCCATGTCGCCGTTCGCATTGCTCAAAGGTATAATGACGAGGGAAAAGACTTCCGTATCATTACTCCGTATGTCCATTCTATCAGCATCTTCACTTGACCGAGGATTGAACCTTGTGCTGCTAGGTATGACGCCCAACGTAATCTAATCGAAGGTGCTCTCCGTCGAGAATCGATTCCGTGGGCAGACAAAGTCTTCAACGTCGACGCTTTTCAAGGTACGTATTGTTTGTACTTGCACCGTAGTATGCCTCATTTTGTATTGATTATATTCTCCTCAGGAAATGAGAGTGACCATATCATCATTTCTCTTGTTCGCACGGAGAAGCTGGGTTTTTTGCGTGACCTGCGGCGTTCCAATGTTATGCTTTCGCGATGCAAAGAGAGTATGACCATATGTTCAAGCCGTACATTTCTTGAAGGGAAAGGGTCTACTTCCCTTGCCGGAAAGCTAGCGAAGGAGTGCGGCAACAGAGCGTGGCGGTCGGTACAAGATGTTTGGAATGGCCGACTGTAGACCATTCCGAGTCATCGTGACGGAATATATGTACCTCGTAACACCTACGCTTGATGACTTGAATATTTACCTTGATGATCGAATATTATAGAGTGGTGTATACACGTTCTCAAACTTTCCGTTATACTTCATCACGTATTCTCATGGGGATGTCCTGTCACGAAAGTAAGCGATATGGTCAGATTTTGGTCGTGGTAATACTTACGATTTGTGCACTTGCGTTCTGCTCCAGGCCACCAATGTCCAAGATTGTTCGTACCTATCACGGGGATATGGTAAACCTATCGTATATACACATCAAGACCCATAATACTTAGTACATAGACGCGTTCATTGATACTAGAGGGCCTTCCAGAGGTCGATACCAAGATCTATTCAGGATCCAACAAAAACAATACGAGGAATGTATGCCAAATACACGGTAGCGCCTGGTAAGCAGAGCACCCTGACTTGGTCTTGTGAGATTCCGCACCTTCAAGGCCATGGAGGCTGCCCAAGTAGGCTGGAGGCAGTCAAACCCAGACACAGGGCTCGGGTAACGAGGAGATGCAGTGCTACTTTAGTATCCCATCATTTATTCGTAGCCGAAACTAGGCTGTACCATGACGGATTACCTCGCCCTCAGTTGTGAAGGAACGTACGCCTATGAGCATATAAGCATATATAAGTCAGTGGATATGGAACGCCAGAGGAGGAGTCGAAGATGTGGCAGAAAGCTGCAAAAAGAGAGATTCCAGAAATAGACAGACGTTGAAACGCCACCGAAATTCCCACGCACCGGACACTTTCAACATTGCCTTTTCAGGGTTCCGAAAATACGATCACAGTCTCGCGCAGCCCCGCAGGCGAACCGCCATTGCTTATACGTTTTGCACCCTCACGTACCCTTCTGGGTGCCCCAAATATAAGGTTGAAATGTCGTCGACAATGTGTACCCCCTCCCCGATTTCTTCCCCCGTCTTCAAGCTCTCAAGTCCCCATGGCCGACTCAGACTACACCACGACGAACTCATCATCGTTCGCTAGTACTTCCGTCTGGAACTCTCTCGATGGTGGCCTCCCAACTGTCTCCCAAGACTTTGTTGTTTCAAACGTCTTTATCTTGCTTTATCTGATCGCCCTCGTACTTTGCTCGACTCGCATGGTCGCTCAGTATCGCCGACCACGACGAATGTGGACCGCTTACCTTCCGCTGCTGCTGTTCACAATACTTCGTGTTGTGACTATGATACTGCGCTTCGTGGGTGCAGTAAATTTTCGCGGGGCGTTACTGGAAGAGAATTCCTTCAGCAAGGGTCTCCTCATCGCCCAGCAGGTATTTCTCATTCTCTGATACGCCCAAAAAGAAGTGCTCACTAGCGAACGTGTTCATAGCTGCTTCTGAGCACTTGCTATATCATGCCAGCATTCACTCTATCCCATTTGACCGTTTTCCACGAACTGAGGGGAACGGGGTGGACGACGCACGCCAAACACCATGTTGTTCATGTCCTTGACGTTGTCCTCGTTGCCGCTGCGTAGGTCAAATTCGCTGCCATCACACGTCATATATCGGATTGCAGATGTCTTATTATGTCGTGCAATATATTTTTCGATCACTAGTGCACTAGGCACCGTTTCTGCCTCAGAATACTCCAAGGGTCTGACAGCGTCGGACACAGCAGACACGGTCCAAACCTTCAGGTGCGCTTATCCATGTTCTCGCTGTCTCTTCATTTACTTTATGCCAACGGATTTGTCTTCATCTTTCATTGTCGCAGAGAAGCGTCGTCAATCACGACCGCCGCCATACTTGTTTTGCTAACGGTATATAATGCCGTACTAACAATGCGACCTCGGCTTCCCCGATCCACCTCCTTGTGGCTCTGTCTTACATCTTTATGCCTGGTGAGTCCCTGAGCTTCACTAAAACCCTCTCTCCACTTGTTGTTTACGATGTGTCATGGCCAGGTAATTCCCTTCGCATATCGCCTGTACCGTTCGTTCAACCCCTCCTCCTCCGACATCTCAACATCTTCCGCCACAAAGATCGAATTCTACGCTCTGGAGATGGGCGTCGAATACATCGTGGTCCTCTCCCTACTAGCTGTCAACGCGAAGGAATGGTGTGGCGTGTTGAACGAGGACGAGCTCCCGGAGGGTGTGTATGGGATGTACGATGGATCGAAGACAAAGAGCGAGGGCTCGTTGTTGTTACAACCAAGGACTACCTGAACGGCGTGCAGCAGCTTCTGACCATCGCTCGTGACTATTTATACTCCTTATATGCACCTGTATCCGCCTGGTTGTACCGATATTGGACGTCTCGGACAATTACTTAAGAATACCTCTGCCTGCCTACTATATCATTTGTATTGACCGAATGCCACGCTCTTCCGACATCATTCCCAGCGATCGTTAGAAATGACTATGATGACCGTCAGTGGGTACTTTTGAGTGTGGCGGTAGGCGCCTGTGGAGAACATCCCCAATGGGTGCTATGACGATAATATCTATAGCACACGACTTGCGGACGCCTCCTTCTCACATTATATATATTACATTTGTCCGCCCACACGGTTGAGTTATCTCTCTACTCTGTCGAACCTACCGCTGACCATAGCCTCTTCGTCTTCTATTTGTCCGACTATGGCATGTCCGTCCAGTACAGCAGTATCCGAAGTTCTAGTGAGACCAACGCTACTTTCGAAGTCGCCACTGCCGGCCTGATCGAAACTGATATGAACAGCGGAGGGCTGGATGGACTGTCTTGTTCTTAAACCGATCATTCGCGAGACGACTGATGATGGGACGTTTCGCATCGCAAACTCTAACGCCTGTGTAGGTGTATCCTGTTGAGATGCTGTCATGTCCCGAAGGGTTTTGTGGAGAGCGACGAGGACAACTATGGCCGTAGGATAGATTCCCTGGACATCTCTGTTGAGATGTGAACTGATAGGTAGGACGAAAGAGGAGCCGCTCACTGATACCTGGACGAGGACTACCGGCATCACGGCGGCGAATATGAAGACTGGCTGGTCGGGGTCTTCGTCTCCAGAGGTACTTCTATGCAAATAGAGCGCATTCACTTGGCTGGCTATGTATACAACCTTTCGAGGTAAGAGTTTCAGTGTGGACTGCAAATAGAACAAAAAGTGTGGCCCACCCATACGCCACAATAGATGAGACCCGACTCTGTCAAGATATACAGCAGGGCTTGAATTCTACTCGGACCTTCTCTTCCTTCAAAGTATGCTCTGATTGATGATCTATGTCGCCTTTAAGCAAGGAACGTAGTAATATATCAACTTTGACGGGAGACATGTGGGTATATAGGAGTAACATACCAAGCTTTGAATCCGATCAACCCAGTGCCCATCACGTTCGCCGATAATGACATTCCCCACACGAACCACTGGCTGTACGTCCTGTTTGTTCCTGTTTTACCATCTTCGAAAGCACTAAGACCTGTCCCGGAGACGAATGAGTCTGTATTGGTCGTTTCGGCACAAGCTATCGCTGTCACTATGATGGTGTGTGCGAGTGAGTTCCTGGATGATATTTGAGATGACAGAAGCTCGTTACCCATCGTGCCAGCCCAGATGAAAACGAAGAAGCCCATGACTCGCGGAGAGATATCACGGTCCCACAGAACCCAAGCTCTCCAGAGAACAATCAGGTCACTGAAGACATACTGCAATATCATTGTCATCATCTTCCACGGCGGCCAAATCAAGGGCCGGGACTGACGTTGATCACAGGCAGGAATTGCAGAGCAGTTCCCAACTGACTTGAAGATACCTCGATCGATGAAAGCTTCGCAGGTAGGGTCGATATACACGTCATTAGCACACCGACGTAAACCGCGCGCAACTGAACTGACTCACTTTGTTGGATGTGATAGTTGTGAGCCAAGTGACGGCGTAATGAGATGAAGAGACAGCAAACATAATCCCAGTGGCTAGCCACATCGTGCAGCCAGGCTTGGAGCGATGGCCGGTGAAACTTCAAAGACGTTTTGTAAGACCACTCCAACTCACTGATCTATGTGTTGCAACATTACCTGAGAAGGTATGTCGATACAGCAAAGATGACCATAGAGATGGCTTACAAGTACGAGTGGTATGAATAAGTGCTCTGATATTTTCACCCCCGTGTAGTTATAGACTCACCGTACAGACCTGTTTCAATGCACAGTACAACGATACTGCTGAGCAGATACGAGCACTGTTCTGTTGGATCCTGGGTCTGTCCAGGGACTGCAGAGTTCGAGCCGTCCTGAGCCATTCTGAGCAGTCTTCGGAGGTTGGGTGGGCCTTTTCCCCCCTGATGATACTGCGATGCTATAACCTTCGTGGCGTCGGACGTTGAACTGATAATACCGGATGGTGAGGCATCAGAGTGTATGATGTAGCAGCAAGGAGGCAATATCAAAGATCGTTATGTGGAGTTCGTGTATGTTTGCACTCCCAGGAATAATTGCGCATCATGATTTCACGCTTCAAAGCCACTGAGCGCATCAGTCAACATTTTACAGGATCACCTAAAAACATAAGAACGACCAAAACAAGTCCCAAGAGCGACCAGCATCATTCCACGACTAGATTATCTATAGCCGTGCCGGAGATGCGGTATAACCAGCCTGGGGCCAGAAAGCAAGCACCCACGGCCACTGGCAGGCTGTAGCGCTTCAAGTCGCGATACGAGAATGCTGACGCGGGCCACTGTGCTAACATTCTTGATCAATGCTAGTTGATCGAGTGGTATCATACCTTCCCCCTGGTATAAGACTGTTTACATGCGTATCATAAAAGTACGCAGGAGTAGCTGAGAGATCCTGATGAACAGGATGACTCGGAGCTGTGAGGAGCGGTGACTCGGCCACTTGTGTCGCACGACAGAAACCATAGATATGAGCTATATCACGATTCAGTCTGATAGTCGCAGAACAGCTTTGAGCGTAAGCATCGAGACAAGCGAAAAAAAAGTTCAGCGAAGATGGGAGTTGTGGGGGTCGAAGTTGTGTGGACGAGTCCAGCATCATGGTGGTCATGAAAATCAAAAAAAACCGCATTTCTTGGAAGTGAACATGGCTCGCGTGGTCCGGGCCGGATTCGGATGACGTAACCGAAAGGCCGGATCTGTATGCGCTTCCGCTTGCTGCTCTTCCACCCAAATTTCTTGTCGGCGAAGGTGGCGAGCATCGTACAGTTCATTTTCCTCTTGAGCAGGTACGACTTATTCCACCTCTTCTTCGTAGAGAAGTCGTTGCTCACAATTTCCGATATCAGTACGAAAATTTTTACCAATTTCGGCTCGTTCGAGGCCAGCGATACGACAACGCAGTCGCAGACCACCAGAGGTGAAACACCGAACATTCAAGTGCTTAACCAAGCGCTGTCGACACCGCCGTATCGGTTGAAGGACATACTAAGATTTCTGTCTAGTCGTTAAAGGTACGTGGTCTTCGGAATGACAGATCGGAGAATAGAAGGAGTGCTGTGGGATAGAATGCGTGGAGCGTCCACAGGGTAGGACACACGAACTCTTTGGGGACACAAGAGCGACAGTGGCCTCTACAAATGTTTATAGTTTTGTGGTTTCCATGCCCTCTGGATGTGATGAGTTGGGGAATGAGCAGGACGGGCGGATCGGTGGTCCAAGGTCGGCTGTAATGGCTGACTAGAGTTGCGGTTCAAGGGGACATGGAGCAGTGTAGACAAGGCAGGCCGTTATCGGAGGAACATATGGCTCACTCACTTGCAGGGCGCTGCTCTACTGAGTACAGATCGAGGTGTTCAATGCTGCCGTGCACATGGCTTCCGTGTGGCCCAATACCACTCTGCGAGTCTATCCGAGCATCGTTTCCGGAGACCAGCCGCTATTTTGCTGTTTAGACGCTCCATGATGTCCAGCAGTTTAATTTGATTATTTTTTGGGCCTACTTAGCTTGGCCTGAAACAGTAGTTCCGTATGATGAATGGCTACACGCCACACAGTGTTCCATCATACTCGCGATACGCCGCAAAGGACACCACGATTTGCATACAATTCCTGTCGCTCACGATCAACAGCGACAATGCTTTCTGTCGTGCGCGTGTACCCTGATGCTACTGTATTTGGTGATATGCGACAGTAATCCCCATTTGTGCATTCAACGTCACAACTGCCTGCGCTATACGCTAACATGCAACTTCTGCGCCTTTCATCTTAGCAGATAGTCATGTCCTCACCACTCACACCCACCCTCTCCTCCTCGCCAAAGTCTTATACCTCCGACCGCGACACCTCACCAACACGCCTACGAAATGCCTCAGGATCCGAAAACGAACACCATCGGCATTCACCCACCCTCAGTCGCAACTTCAACCCTCTAGACCCCGAAGTCCGCGAGCGCCAACGAACTCTTGACGTCGACATGGCACTGCACCTACAACGCGCGCGTCGTGAATCCAACGTTTCCACATCACCTACGACTACCCCACTTGCAATCCGAGATCGTGACCGCGAAGACCTACTCTCCCATCCGCATCCGCACCCACATTCCAGCTCACATTCCCACACAAATCTCGTTGGGCCTGATAGGTCACCGGAAATATTCCCAGCTTTTTCGGAACAAGAAGAACAAGAGCTCGATGCGGCGAGAGGGGCTGGGCCTCCGAGCGTGATCGACGAAGTCAGAGAGGAGGTTTACCAGCGTACACCAACACCGGAAGATCTACGGATGCCCCACCTCAGTCAAGGTCACGAACCAGATCTCCTCGTCTCACTGGACCAAGCACGACGATCCGACCCGGGCCTTCCGATGTATCAGCCACCGCTCGTACAGGCTCAGTCGACATTCCATTTCAAGCATATGGAGGATTTCGCTCACAAGGAGAAGGAGAAGTTTGGGCTGACGAGTTCTGCGCATACGCCAACGCTACGCCAACGAAACCCAGTGCCAGCAACGAGCGATGCTGCAGCCGAAGCCAACGGTGCTTCTGCTTCGAGTGGGCCAGGCGACTTCAAGATCCCACTCCCCAGACCTGCACGACAACGCAAACTCAGCCAGAGTAACAGTGCACCACGACGGCTAGGCGGAAAGATGGCCTTATTTGAAGGAGGTGCGGCTGGGGCTCCTCCACCTTCGTTCACGAGAGCGCCACATCTCTTTCAGGGAGGAAGCGGCGGAGCGATCCTCAGCGCAGTCTCGTCGTATGAGAATATTCCGGATACCTTGGGCATACCGATACCTCCACCTGCGGGCGCAAGTACGGGTGTCGCGGGTGGCTCGGCTTCGGGTACAGGTGCTGGGGCTGCTTCTGGCGCGGATCCGGGTACGGGACTGGGACTGGGCCACGACCGACCGTATCGATTCTCGTTTTACTCGAATTTACTATCGGCGACAATACACGCGAGGAGCTTGAGTGAGTTACCAGCGGAAGGGCAGACTTTCGAGGAACTGTTTACTGCGGCGGGTGGGAGTGGGCTCGCGTCCGGAGTGGGGAGCGATGCGGGTGGAGGCCATGGGAGCGGGTCGACATCGCCTGCGTTTATCAATGGGGTGAATGGGAATGGTAGTTCGAAGACGGCGTTGAATGATAGAGGTCCCGGTGGCGCTGGGGATCCAGAACTTCATACTTGGTGGTTAGACGTATTGTCACCGACGGACGAAGAGATGAAGATGCTCAGCCAGGTAATCTTGACTTTCTGTTTGGTGGTTGACATTACCGCTAACATGTGGCATGTGGCGTGGTATCTGGTAGGTCTTCAACATCCATCCTCTCACAACAGAAGATATCCAGATGGAAGAAGCCCGCGAAAAGATCGAGCTCTTCCGAACCTATTACCTCGTCTGTTTCCGCTCCTTCGACCAAGATCCCTACAGCCCGACCTACCTCGAGCCCCTCAACATGTACATCATCGTCTTCCGCGAGGGTATCCTCTCCTTCCATTTCCGGCCTACGCCACATCCACAGAATGTGAGGCGGCGGATTAAGCAGTTGAAGGATTATATTAGTGTGACGAGCGATTGGATCAGTTACGCGCTCATCGATGATATTACGGATGCGTTTGGGCCGTTGATTCAGAGTATTGAGTATGAGGTCGATAGTATTGATGAGTTGGTGTTGATTTTGAAGGAGGCGGAGCAGAGTGATATGTTGAGAAGGTGAGTGGTACCAGATCTCTGCTACTACTTTTGTGTGGGTTCTCCGTGCGGTGAATGCTGATTTCACCTAAACAGAATTGGCACATGTCGGAAGAAGGTCATGGGTCTGCTACGACTGATGGGCAATAAGGCCGATGTTGTCAAAGGTCTCGCGAAGCGATGCAACGAGAACTGGAAAGTTGCGCCTACGTCGGATATTGTACGCATCCCCGCTGGTATCGTTTTATTCTCGTGCTGAACACTCGCTTTCGTCTTCCCGCAGGGTCTTTATCTCTCCGACATCCAAGACCATTTGATCACCATGACCCAAAACTTGAACCACTACGAAAAAATCCTCTCCCGGTCTCACTCCAATTACCTTGCTCAAATCTCCATCGAGATGACGGATGCGAACAACCAGATCAACGATGTGCTTTCGAAATTAACAGCCCTGGGTACGATACTTATCCCCATGAACTTGGTCACCGGTGAGCATCCCTTCTTTCCAAACATCCTATTACAACCTCGGGGTGGAGACGGCGAGGCTGACCATCCTGTGGCGCAGGTCTCTGGGGTATGAACGTCCACGTTCCGGGGCAAGACATTGCAACTGGTTATGCATGGTTCGGGTCCATCATCGCTGCCCTAGCGGCTTTCGCCATCGTGGGTGGATACACTACCTATCGTTTCATGGTCGGCAAATAGACGAACATGTTCTCTACCTGGCTTGTCTCTTTTCATGTTCTCAAGTCATTTTCACGCACGTCGTACACCATAGAACTGCATCTTTTCACCGTGGTAATACTCAACATCCAACCGTTCGGGTTTCCAGCATTTCAATCAATAGCATATCTGTACTTCTACTTCCACGTTCCCCTCATCAGTGTCCCGAATTTCGCGCCTCGCTCACCCACGTAGCTCAGTACAATATTTTTATCATACTTTTTCTCTCTTCCTGGGCTGTCGATTACTCGTCTTCTACTCTTCTCGGACATAGGCTGGTTCATCATAGGTTCATAGAGCATCATACATTCACGCGTTCTTTCATCTTCCTTGTAACTCCCTTTCTACATCCCGAAGTGGTTCTTCGAAGTGCTCTTGTCGACGAAGTGAGCTCGAGGGTATGTATTTGCCGGGGATGTGGCGCAGGTTACAGCTTGTGCGGCGTGGGGTTCGCCCTCGGTGCTCTGAAATGGATGGAAGACTGGAAAACTCGGATGATCGTCAGGACAAGAAATGGCTTTGATACAGACTGCGAAGAAATACATCTCGAGCACAAAATTCAAAGCTATGCAGGTAAGACTGAGGACTTCAAAAACAGAACTACTCAGCGGTAAGACTGGCGGATACGCCGGGCGAAGCACTGGCGGAATATCGACACAAACACGACACCGAAACAGAAAGAGTATAGAAGTACGTGGGAGAGAAGACGGATATCGTGGTCGATCCGATGTACAAGCTATAGATTTCCCTTGCTAAATACAATCCAGGAGAGCGTGAATTCGAAAGCTAAGGGTGAGTTGCGGTGGGCAGAACGACAAGACGCGGCCAAGCTTCGGATACAAGGTCAACATTCCGGGACCCGGTCTTACACCGCCGGAGGGCGGAAGCCTTGTAACAGGGTCGGCCGGGCGGCACGTTGTCACAGGCCAGACACGATACTGTTCCGGGGTTTTTCGGACGGACCCTGATCCGATGTTGCCGGCCAAGGTTGTACCAAGGTTGTCCATGGGGCACTGCGAGGGTTCCCGCCAAGCCGCCAAACACCCAAAATGCTGGTTGCCCGCGGCAAGAATTGAACACGCGGCCTAAAACCACGGTCGGGCACAGAACAAACCTATAGCGAAACCACTAGACCATAGAGGCGTACACAACTAGCGAGACACCTTGAATACGTTCATCCGCTGCGGTTTTTTCCAAGGGTATAGAAGACGGACTGGAGGGACAGATGGTCGAAATAAATACGTAGCAGGTATCTACTAAATGGATAGTACTTACATGAGTGGTATATGACACTCAATGAGGCGGGGAAGGATGAGCTACCCAAGGAGAACGCGACTTGGGCATATGCAGTCGTCAGAGCTTTCTGAAGGCGGTAGGGAGCGGCTGACTAAGCGGATACGTAGAGGGGAGGACGTTGCAACCTTGGGACAACCTTTTCGAAAAGCCCTGTTGCACGGGCTGCCGGACAAGCCTGGAACATCAATTTCGAAAATCCTCGTTATGGTATCGGTGCCGGGATCGCACATGGTCGCAGCGTCCCTATCCCGGGGTATTTCGGATGGGGGCCGTGCCGAGGATTAGCACGCCCGGCGGTGTAGGGTTAGGGGTGTTATGGAGGGCAGATGCCGAGTGGCGTAGGATCGAAGTATGTACATGTGGCACCTGCGACCCGCATGGTTTCGCGTTATATTGTCGAGATCGATAGAAAACTGCGCCTTCCATGCGTAGGTTGAGAGTTCGTCAGCCACGTCCATCAAAGTGAGATAGCGCATGGATAAAGGTACAATGTTCTGACTCTTCAGCGCGCCGGGCCCAGTGGCAAGGCTGCACAATTGCGAGTGCACAGATCTGAGATAAGGGAAGAGAGGAAGGAAATATAGGCTAGCCCGACATAGAAAATACCATAGTTTATCCATTGATGGACGCAGTCGATATTAGGCTTCCGGTGTCCGTGCTTACAATGTCACAGTCTCATATGGGCTCAATTGAGAAGGAATGATGTGCATAACTGAAGATCCATTTGTACATGCGTGCAAACGTGGGGAAGAAACCGGATCCACGGATACTGACAAGGTACTGTCCGTGGAGACCCGTCTAATTGTTAATCATATAGTATCAGTCTCGTATAGAGCAAAATGGAAGAAAATTGCAAGCAGCGACGACACAAAAGAAGATCGCCCACCTGGGATGTTCATCCGCGGCTGCTCGCATCCCGCTTCTTGATAGGCTGAGTGGAGAGGTCGTCTACGGATTCCAGCCTATTATATAAAGCAACAATTAGTATATAACCAGAGTGCACTAAAAGGAAGAGAGCGGACCAATGGTGATCTCCCCGTTCAACCTCACAAGAAGCGTATGGAACGACGACCAAGCGAAGATGGGTGCGGAAAGAAAATGCTAGAGTATGAAGTTGGGGAATCAGTATTATTTGAATTTATTGAAGTGCACTTGAGGGACGTACAGCGTAGTGGACTGAGACAGGCCGTTGCTCTTTCACCTTGACATGGAAGGCGAGCTTTATACTTCTGCGAGTGTCGGATGTGAACCCTGTGGGAGCGGGGCTACCTCAGTCGACCAATCGTGTAATCGCCGTCATTCTTCTTCCGGAGTCAAAGTTGCTGATCAAAACACACGATATGCGCAGGGATATCCACGGACTGAAGTCCAAAAAGGTGGTACCGGACGGGCGGCTGCCAAAAGAGAAAAACATGAGTCCACACTTCACGGGGTCTATCGATTAGCCAAGGCCTCAATCTATTTCGGTAAGATCATCAGATAGTGTACTCCTCTGAACGCATTGAAGGGTAATAATCCAGGAAATATGAAACCAGTCCAGGCACACAAGTCATCCAACGGAATCTTGAAGATAGCACTCACTTATTAGAACCTATGTATTAGAGTGCGATGATATTTCGACGACAGAAGAACTTCGCCGTGGGCACAAAAATTGAGCCACCCCGGAATAGGAATGGTGAGCAATGTTAGCTTCAAAGAAAGTCGTTTTGGACCCGGGTCAATGCAGGTATAGCGAGCCCGGAATTGAACTACTTGACCTCATGCTCAATGGGCCTCGGAGTCCCGGCGGAAGACGAAAAGAGGACACCATAGAGACTGAAGGACGGTCTCGTGTCCTACATAGGTGAACGTGATCCGCATGGGTAGGGAGCATTGTAAGAAGGCCGAGCGATGTCCTAAAGAAGATCGCGGTGTGTGAAAAAGCGGCGAACTTCATGAAGGGTATCGGAATTCCACATGCCAGAATCACATGACCACACCCCTGGTCCGACGCAAGTCCCACCAATTTCAGCTACTTCTGAACGGCTTCGCGAACAGTCGGCATTCAGCTTTGACGTGTGTACTCACGGACTATCTGAAAAAGCTGATCTCGATTGAATGCTCCCGGTGCATTGCGCGTGTCCGAGGCGGGGAAGAAAACTTGCCACAGAAATAGCAGCTAGAGGCTGGTAGTGCGGATTAATCGATCGTAGCGCTTAGTAGTACGTTGTGAAGAGAGCCTTGCCCTCAGTGGTTCGCTCAGGGATCAAATAGGAATATCCCCGTAGGCGAACATTTCACAGTGGTCCAGACTCGAGGAACGCATGTATCGTGAAGTCCGTAGTTTATGAAACATCTAGAATGGGATATATGTGAGTCACTACAGACAAGTCGTTATATTGCGAGCTATCCATTGAGACATGTCAGAGCAACTTTGGGGAAGATGGTCTAACTGTGGACATCTGACTGTCCAGCTGCTCGCAGAGAATAAAGACGGTAAAGATGGAGAAGGGTGAGCGGGGAAGACTGAAGAGCGTTTTCTAGGCCGAAGAGGAACTTGGATGTCTCCCTCTCCTCATTGACGTAGCGCGTAGAATCAAAGTACCTATCTTTCACGATCAAGATTACGAGCCATACTGAAAGACTGTCCTCGCCGTACTCGTCCCGCGGCGAGCCTGGGGGTCAGTGTAAAACAGAAATGGGACGAACATCACCCGCCTTTCTCACCTTACGCCACGGCATTGCGCTTTTGAGGTGTCTGCGGTCCGTCTAGCCGCGCATCAAAGCTCGATTTAGTTCCTCTGGTGTGCCAATGGCACACAGGCCGTTTGCTTAGTCCAGTCTACCTCCATTCAATGGCCATCGACGCGGTGCTCGGCCGATTGTTGTTGAACTCAAAACAGCACTTTGCACACCTATCTTGATAAATTTATGAGCAGTTGATCACAATCGATGGGTTCGCGCCAAAGTGTCAGAACTGAAGAGCTGCTAACCTTAAGTGTATGCTTCATGTCTTCGGGAGGGAGTGATATGCGATGAACAGGGCCACGTCGGAGGTCGAATTTGAGGATGCATCTCGAATGAAAGAAGGGCCTCGGATATGATGACCTTTGCAAAGGCCTTCACAATTGGCCCTCGATGCGTGAGATAAACTGGCGCCACATGAAGGAGTAGTAGAATGAAAGGGAAAGGATGCAGCTCCTTGATGTTCTAGCCGCGTTGGCCGCACGTTCTGGTACAGAGCCGGTCCGACGTAGGAAGCGCACTTCAAACTACAGGTAGAGCGCAGCCCCAGGAGATGTACCAACGCACAGTAGGAGTAAGCATAACCCCCCGAGCACATGCCCGTCCACAATCCTCCATCAGCAGGGAGAACCTCGCCTCGTCTACCGTACTGTTCGCATTAGACAGAAACCGCGTTGCAGGGAGTTACAGGTGCATCCCGGTATCAACACGATGAAACGAAACAAAGACGGTGACGTATGCTCTGGACCCATTCTGGACCCATTGTACTCAGCCTCTCCAACTTACCGCTAATAGCACCACGAAGCCGCGTCTATGTGCGTCTGATCGTTTGCAGCGTGCATATGTCTCGGAGGAGCAGGCCGCGGAAGGCCGTTCATATATTGTAGTCCCAAACGACATGACCAACATACGACATATGAGTACCTGGTCATTTCGATATTTCAATAGATTAGCAGCTCACCAAGAGACAGTGACCAAAAGCTTTGTCGATTGGTGGTGGGTATCAAGCTTTTGGGGTGCGTCCACGGTTGGCCTACAGAAGCGAGCAAGGGTCAGCGGGTCAGTAAAGTCAGTACGATCCAATGAACTGAGGTTACCATATCCTGCGGAGCTATTCAGCATTTAGAAGCGGAAGAACCGAAGACAATAGAGGCGAACGGACCACACTTCCATAACCGCTTTTATCTCCCCTAGGCTAAGATAGGATGGCACGCTACCACCACGTCGAAAAGGTGCGATATTGCTGATTAGCCAACGCTAGTCCTGCATCAGGACGCTCGACAGGTGCGTGTAGTGTGAAGGGAAAGGCGCATACGACAACAACTCGAAATAGGGGGCTTTGACCCGGAACCGAATCAAGTCCGTAAGCGCAGGGCCATGGGGCCTTCAATAAAACACGGTCCGCCAGAGGCCTACAACGTAACACCCACGGTCTCAAACGCGAGCACTTCGCATGGGAGATGCCATCCATCAAGGTAAGACGAAGCACCCATAACGAGGTGCTCATGTAACACTAGAAAGGATGCACACCAGCAATAAGATGACGCGTCTAGATCCATGAGCACGGATCAGAATGCATTGCCCACAGCACCTGTGGGCTCACCCCAAGATATAGTCAATTTGGATCAGGATCCCCGGAGGCTGCACAGTCCCAATTGCAATAATTCAATCACGATTATTTATGAGGTTTCGCTCGAATATGTGCACGTCCATGCCCGCAGAAAGTCATCGTAAACCGGGTGGTAGTGGGTAAGACACTCATGCGATGCCATTGACCCAGTTCTTGAGGCCATCCGCACTGACCGCTTTGTGTATGAGGGCACAATGATGTAGCGTGTACTCCTGACCATGGCCGGTTGGCAGTGAGCCTACCACAGATCTCATTGCGTGCTGTCCAAGATGAGATGACTGGCCAGAGTGGCGCGTTAGCAAACAGCAAGTTACGAGAGATGTGCCGACCAGTCAACCCCCCTCTTTAAAGTGACCCGTTACTCCGCGCAGACCATGAGCTGCAAGAGAATGATTTTCAACAGAGGCGGAATTTGCCGGTGGGGCGGAGACGCCTGTCCGATATTTGCCCGACCTACTCCGCCACTCCGATCCGACTCCGCCCCATGCATCATATCACTGCCTCGGAAAATCTGTCAGTTCCAGTCACAGCGACGGCACAGGGGCGCGTCCCTTACGTGTATCTCCTGCTTTACCAGAGCAATGAACCGATCCAACAGACTTGAAGCACATAAAAAAAATGTGAATTCAGGGATGGATGACGATAGTAATACAATCGCCCAACAGCCACCATTTTGTGATAACAGCGACATAGCACACAGAAGATCAGCAGCAGGCAATTACAAGCAGTGAGAAAAAACTACAGCTCGTCATAGTGTTCCACAACATGCCCATCCTCCGACCAAGGGAAGAAAGAGAAGACAAGTGTTGGTTCATCGATCCTGCCGTTGCTACAATTAAGAAACCCACTTCAAGCAGCGTACTCAGCGTTCTCAGGGCAGTCACGGGCAATCTGCAATGACGGTGCATCCACGGGTCAGCCCAAGAATGGGAAGAATAGGCATGAGGGCGACATACGTGACCCTCCTGCTGGCATTTGTAGCAGGTCTTGCTCTTGGTGAAGCCTCCGCCAGCTCCTCCACCGTTGATCGCAGCGCCATCCGTGCCGGCAGCGGCAAGACAGTCCCTAAACCCCACGCCGTAAGGAGAAGATGTCAATAATCCATCCGTATCCCCTTCCTTGTGGCACCAGGACGGACGTGAGGGTCCGAAGTAGAAAGGACGCCAATTGCGCAGATAGAGAAGAGACGTGCGCCGATCACGGACTTCGAGATTATTTGCAATGAGGAATGGCAAGGCTTACCTAGCCATATGGTTTGGACCACCGCAGCGGTAGCACTTGACGGGGGGGAGGGCAGAGGTGTTCAGACCGCGTCCGGGGGGTGGAGCACGAGTAGCGAAGCCCATAGCACCGCCAAGGCCTCCGGGAAGACCAGCACCACCGGGGCAAACACGAGCGATGTGACCAAAACGACCACAGTTCTGTAATGCGACGATTGGTGGTGTAGAAGGGTCACACTTAGGTCAGAAGAATGGGGCAGCCATATAACAAAAACGACGCACGTAGCATTTCTGATTACCGCCTTGAACGCGCAAGCTGGGACACTCGGCCTGAATGTGACCGACGCCTCCGCACGAATAACATTGCTTGCTAGAGACAGTACGGGGCGAAGGGCAAGCAGACGACTCATGCCCGGGTTGGCGACAGTTGTAGCAGAGACGCTGCTCAGAGGAGCAGTTCTCGGCGATGTGGCCGACTGCGGTCGATAACATTGTAATTAATACTTCCATAAAAGCACAGAAGTAAAAGAATAAACACACGATTGCCACACTTAAAACAACCCTTCCTCGAGAACTGGTACGCCATGGTTTTTGGTCGTTAGAATATGTTTAAATACACAAATCTCCTGATCTGCTTTCTTCTGCGAAAACCTGTATAGGCGTCTGTTACCCAAAAGTCATCCCGCGCGCGACTCAAAGAAAACAGCAAACCTCTCGACCCTCGACCTGCTTCCAGCAAACCCTCCGCACAACAGCGAAAGACAAGTGTTAGTGAGAAAGGTGATGGTTTGGATAAGGAAAAGGAACGCAAGCCTCATCAGATCCCTAAAGCGACGCCTGCGCACGTGGTAATCGCGTGCTCCGCCCCACAAGGTGGCCCGAACCTTTTCCCGCCACACCTAGTAATTCGATTCCTCACAGTTTGTTCAGGGCCCCAGTTCCTCACGAGAAATAAGTATATACGTAAGGAAGCTGCAGCTAGCTGTAAACTGATATTATCTCTGGTGAAGTTATCTACAGGATCGCGTCTATTACCCTCGAGCTCTGGAGACGGTCGTACTTGTTCTATCTCACTGAGTTGATCTCAACTTGAAGGATGAAAACTTGGCAGAATTTCAGCCTCTCGCCGAGTACCTTTGATATTTTGGTAAGCAAGGACTCCTGACCTCCTCCAAAGCCCATCGAGAATACTTGTAGGAAATAGCACGTGGCACAAGATCGCGCTAAGTTGCAAAAGCTGAGCACCGGAACAAGTGTGCAATGCTGCAATCGAAGATCCAGCCTCCTGTACCGCTATCTCTCTCTTCGAAATGGCAGACCGCTCGCGATGTTACGATAGTAAACTTTGCAGGTTCCAGAATCGAATGAAGATGGAATCTATGATGGCACCGATTCGGGCATGAACTATCCGTCCACAAGCTTAAGCAACTTACCCCTGTCCAGCTGTTCCCCTTCAAACGCCTTTTGCTCCGTATGTCCAAGCTCTTCCGAGACACGCATACTTCAGCCATTTGTCACTCACAGATTTTACGATACGGCCCTGCATTCTGTGCTCTTCCTGGAACAGACCTAACTTGGTGATCTGGTCCTCGGGTGTGGTATTCCACACCCAGTCCGAAGTTCAACCATCCCACGTTGATCTTCCGAGCTCGTCTCCGATTGTGATATCTGATGTTCAGAGAATGTTGGAGAAGCAGATCAACTAACGTCGATTCTTTTACTTTTTCTTTCCATGGGTATTTTGGGCGTTTGGGCAGGGGGCAAGGAAGTATACTCGAGCACCTCTCAGTCCCAACACATTGGATGGTCGGAGAGAAACCGCGGACCATCTTTCACTCATGATTCTACCGTGACGGATCGCATATGAAGGACCCGTCGGAGTTTGACTGCACTCTTACCATACCCTAGCCCATGTTGATCTCGGCTTGAGTCTCTTCCATCATCCCGTTCATTCCAAGCGCTACTTCAAAGCTCTCTCTCGCTCGTTTACCGCTGTCGGACCTTCGGCTTCAAGACCCTGGACCCTCGGAACGCTGATGATCCAAGAAAAGGTTCAGCAGTGCTGGAGCGTTCCGTATGTTGGGCCGCCGCGCCGAACAAGGATTCGATTACAGATACCGAGAGCTCGGGATACAGGGCAAGGCAAGATCTCGATATAAAAAGCGGATCGACGCGCTCTTGTCTGCTCTTTGCCTGTTTCCTCCTTCAAGGTCGTCCTCTCTGCCAGTGTTGCTGCCGCCGTTCAACTAGCAGAAGTTCTTGCGTCGCAGGCCGCCACCCGGATCTGGGCCGGAATAGCGGGATTTCCGAGCGCTGAGTGCGAGAGCAGCTGCATAGGTATCTTTCTCCGTCTTTCGCTCGATATATTATTGATGCTAACGCACGCCTATGCTGCCTCTCTAGGACTATAGCACTACTTTCTCCACTTGAGTTTATCTCTCTCTGTCCTAGTTCGCGACTTGAGAAGTTGGAGCTTCCTTCTGAGTGGAGACAGGCGCGTTCTCACGTCATTTTGGCAGCGTCTAAAGCTTACTACTTAAATTTATGCCGCGTAGCCCAGCCCACGGCGAGAAAGAAATCTCCATCGTGACCTTCCTTGCACCGATGCAGCTCTGACATCCAACCTCTCACGAACCCTTCGTGCCTCCGAGCGCACCGCCATACCTCGGGCATTGGTCTCATCGCGCTTCTTGTATGGTTGCTAGGCGTCTTCTCTGGAGGTGCGTTCAGCGCAACTCTCTCCTATTTTGCTTCATTCACGTGCCAACCCTCTCTATGTTTTTTCTTCGTCCGCGTTTGGGTTGCAGGACGTTGAATATCATGATTTGAAGGCACCCTTACGTGACCGCGTCTCTCAGCCGTGCAATAAGCGTGAAGCACTTGCGCGTGGATTGTGCGGTTCGACGTCGGAGGCGGGGTTCGTGAGTGTTGGATGGATGTTTGGAGCTCTTCTCCCAGGTCGCAGGAGTCAGCATTCGGGCATGCAATTCATGGCAGGATGATCGGTGGGAAGGAAAGGTCGCTGGGTGTTGGGGCGTGTGTAGTTGGGATGTGCTGGATCGAGTGAAGTTTTGGTGCTTGGATCGGCACAGGACGATCGGATCGAGAGCGTTGTAGCGAAGGAAACACCGGAGGATAGGAATCAGGTGAGACCATATCGTGCATCACTGCCCACACTTGTGAATCTTGGAGGCTCAAGTTTGGGTATGTGGACAGGTCGTGTTCAGAGCAACTCGTCAGTTTGATGTACGACCGTCGTACATGTTCTTCTGTCCTGCAATGTGCACGGTCATGCTCCTCCATTCGTTCATTGAGTGTTCACTTGACGTACAATCGATGAGAGAGCTGCTCATGGTTCAGATCTACCGTTAACACCTCTCCCATCGTTTGTCTTTATCCATCCGTCCTCTCATCTCGCTTACTCAGAGAGATGATGGCTCTATCATCCAATGACCCTTCAGCTGCGAAACGAGTCGAGGCCTGCCAGGCCACCCAGGTATGACCTGACAGGGCTTCAGTCATCGTAATTCTCACCCCCGCTCGATCTAATGCCTCCCTTTCGCAGTGCTTCCTACTTTCACCTACTCTCTCCACCATCCATGCCAGCCATCCAAGTCTCTGCACTGTCATGACACCCGCCAACCAGCCATTTCAGAGTCTGTCTCGTCTACATCCAAATGTCGATAAACGAAACTTCGCCGCCCGATGGCAGCTTGAACACGATGCAAGCCCGATGTCCCGCTCGCGAGTCGCGGCTGCCCTTCGATACTCTCGCGTAGATAGCCCTATTGTCCCCACTCTTTCACCAGCCAGCTCATGCATCCCGTATAATATCGCAGCGACACTGCTCCTTGAGCACTCAACGATAAATCGAGCCTGAGCTTTGAGGACTAAGATCATCCTCCATCACGCTTCGAAAATTTGCCTCCGTTAATTGCAAATACGCATGCCTGCCAAATTCAAAACCAGATTTATTTCTCGAGGTTCGAGCTGGTTCGAGGACTCGTGTGAGGGGTGCTGGAATTACTTCCATCTGTGATGTGCAAGGCGCGCGTGTGGTCGTTGGTGGCCACGTCCGTTGTTAGGAGGTTTGGTGGTGGTGCCACCGCCACACAGGTGTCCGAAGCGAGTCGTACTTGTATGATCGAATCATGATCCAGTATGAAAACCACGGTGATATATCTGCAGGTATACACATGTCAAGTCGAGTAGTTACAGCTAGTTGAGTAGCACCACGGTACGTCTTATCCGTACTACAGTGAGTATGAATACAATGTTGAATCCGAAAGCGAAAGCCTCAGCATGAAGACAGTCCAGACACCTTTGCCAACGACTCCCGCCCCTGCCTGCTCCAAGCAAGCATCAACCTAATTCTTCGCCTTCGCCTGCTTGGCCTTCAACTCTTTGACCTCCTCCTCACTCGCCAATACGAACCCATAGTTCCACTTCCACACCCTCTCCTGCACCTTTTCCTATCCACCAACATCAGTAGGCGCAACATATTCATTCGGATCGTCTACAACGAGCATGACTACTCACCGAAGATTGAGCCTGGGCCTCCTTGCACCTCCTACCCACTTCTCCGGCTTCCCATCCCAGCTCTGCCCACTTCTTCGCATCTCGCTCCTCGCTCAGATCACATATCAAGGATTTCTTAGTCGCGAAAACGGGGTCCGTGCCGAGGAAGGGGGAATGGGAGGGGTAGAGTGCTGTTGTTAAGCTGTTCGTATGTTACGGACACGTCAGTGCTCGAAGAGGAAGTAGTCTCTGCAACATGGAAAGAGTAAGAGACGTACGAATCATATCCCGGAGCGGTGATTGTGAAATGTAAGTGCGAAGCCCTATGCGGATGTCTGCCCAACGCGCGCAACAAATCGCCGGTAGGACCATCGCCCGGCTGTATGGTAATTGCATGTGAGTATCGTTCAGATCGCCACACCAAACAGAACTATGACTTTCAGGGGCTACGGAGAGGAGTCGTTTGGTGTGAGGAGGGAGAATGCAAACGTACGATGGGATATGCAGTCGGCAGAACCGCCTTGTAACAGAAATATCCATCCTTTTGAGCTATGATTCTTCCCCTATCGTCCGCGCCGTCCCGGTTAGGATCTTGAACGTCGTAGGCGCCTTCCCCGTCTGCTTGCCACTGCACACAAGAAGACCGAATGTGAACAACGCCACAACACATCATAGCACACCAATCCGGATCAGATCAGCAACGAAAAGGCTAGGGGTGCATAGAGGCGTATGAGTGTCAGAAGAGTCGGACGTACCACCTCCGCGATGACCCCCTCTATTGGCTCTCCCTTCGTATTCTTGACCGTGGCAGAGAAGAAGAGCGGTTCGCCTTCTGTGGAGGGTTTCGCGAGGAGGGAGCCAGAGGGGACGAGAGGAGCATCGGTCGTCCAGAAGGGACCGGGTTCACAAGAGAGGGTGCATCCCTGCTCGACCGTCAACGAGGTGGAAGGGAGCAGAGGGCAGAGGAAGGGAATGGAGACACCCAAAAGGCAGGCGCCACAAGAAGATCGCCAGACGAAATAGAAACCAGTCCATCAGCGACTCTTCGAACGACATAATCAAAAAAAAAGTATTGGAGTCAGAAACGCACCTCCGGCCTTGGATGCTCCAACTCATCCACCAGAACACTGAACCCCAGACAATCACTCAATAAGACAAACTCGTTCTTGAACTCCGTGCTCTCCTTCCCCGTACGCGTCAAGAACTTGATCGCTTTGTCCCACTCGGCATGCGTGAGCTGGGTCTCGCGGGCGAAGGCGTGGAGATGGTTCACCAGGGAGGTGAATATCTCGAGGTTGCGAGGGGAGGAGGTGAGGGTTTGGTGGAGGGAGTTCACACTGTGCATATGTCGCGGGTGGCGCAGATTGTATGGGTGTGGCGCGGCGAGTCGATAGATTATTGTTGATAATTGGGTAGAGGATGTGATGCGGTGGACGGGAAGTGTTGATGCGTCGGTACACACGATGAGCGCTCGCATTACACCAGATGAAAAAAATAAGCAACGCACTGGTCCGTAATCGTATAATCCGTGCCCTCCCTGAACTCTTTCTCAAGCGGCAAATCCTGCGGAATCTCATTCTCCAACTGACTCCTAATCACCCTGCCCACCAACAATGGGTTCCTCATCTGCTGCTCGCTAGCCATCTCGAATCAGGCACTTCAGTGAACGTAGTTTTGAAATAGAGTAGAGGTCCCAACGACGATGCGAAGATAAACGGTGAAAGCTGGCTCAGTGCTGGGGGCGAACGCGAGATACGAGGGCGAGGCGAGTGGAGTCGAGACAGTTGGGAATAAGAACTCATGTTATAAAGCCTCTCTATATAAATCACAAGCGGATGCGAAGGTCAGGTCTGGGCAGGCTGAGAACCAATACATGGTGAGAGAAATGGTCAAACCTATGCCAGAACGCACATTACACTACGCTCCAGCTGGCCAGCTGACCCGATCAATGGAGTCACAAGAACGTTTCTGGCCGGATTGGGGCGTCTTGATATTATTAGCCTGAATCATTCTTGCTAGAATAAGATGCGAACAGTGAAGTGACGGCGCGGGGAAAGGAGGCACGAAGGACCCCCGCGCGTTGATCGTTCTGTGTTGAAGCGTGGCGTTCATCTCACGAGTCGTACTGGCGTGCCGACGCCCGTGGGTTCGTGTGGCGAGAGAGGAAGAATATTCACAGGGAGAGGTGGAGGAAGATGTCAGTCTTTGTAAATTGCCATCGTGAACCTATTAACCTGCAGAGGTGCTATTCAAGAACGAGAAGAACTAGCGCACATCATTAACAAAGTACGAGCCTAGTTGAGCCTGGAATGGAGTCCGGGAAGAGAGTAGGGAAGAACGATGACGGAAAGCGTACGTAGATGGAAGGAAGCTCGCATGGGTGATGCTGGATGAGGGAGGGTTTGACAATGGGTTGATAAACTGCTTGACGTGAGCAAGACTCAGCAAGGATGGAAGAAGAAAAAAGATCACAGCTACTGGCGGGGATCGGGTAATTCATTGTCAGTGTCTTCTCCAGGGCCATTAAACTTGAGCAGCCTGTGCGTGCGGAGGGCAGAAAGTTGTGATACACGTGTGATACCTTCTGGAAGGTGATATGCACCGGAGCTGGCGTTGGAGTTTAGGCGTTTTGAACGTTTACCCTACCACTTTAGTGGAACAGCCATTGACGATAAGTACTATGTCATGACGAATTCAAAACCCTTTCGAGCACAATCAGCCGTGACTCTTACACGTTGATTGCAAGCGAGTTTTGAACCATACCGAGGAAGAACACGATCTCGCCGACCGGGAGCGAGAGTGCAGCGAACTAGGAGGAGAAGGGCCAGAGGCGTCATAGTCATACCGTTTTCTTCTCAACTCGAAACCGAATTGAACGAAATGGTCTGTAGTTGAAGCCAGGTGCTTGCTAGCTGAAAAGCTTTTGTGACGGCCGGACAGAATAGTTGGGGACAAGCCGAGATCGGTAAGGAGGCCTATGCGTTATGGGATGTTCTGGGGTAAACACGGAAAAAAACATGGTCGTGAGATTCAACAGCAATGTCCAGCCTAAACTGCCAGCCAAGCCAGATGTAAAGGGATCGTCGAGGCGCAGAAGAAGAACGTGGATATCTCGTGACGTCGTCCAAGCCGCTAGCTGAGTCGAAAACATTCAAGGCGACGAGCTCTAGATGACCCAGCGATGTTGATGGTCGAGCTTCAAGAGAGTCGAGCGGCATTAGGATTGAATTTTTGCCAAGGGATGCATACTGATACAAATTTTGGATAGAAATAGTTGGGCGGTTCCAAGGATTGCGCAAGATGGCATCTTCCATGCCATCAACGACGTTGTCGGGCGTATAAAAGGCCAGTCCAGAAAGCTCACCATGTACCGTACACCATCCTTCTCTTCCACCATATGCATCCATCCCCTCCGTGGCCTATAACCCTAGTTAACACCTTCCTACCAGAAGAAACGACTTGGTGAGTCGCGGGGGTCTCAGATTTTCGCGTTAGACCATTGCGTGTCTTGTTGAAAGCTTGTTTCGCAACGGTATGTAGGAAAGAAGGTCAAGCTGTCGCTATTTGTATGCTGCTTCCGTGTAGGTATCATAGGCCAAAAATATCTGACTTGAGAATGTACATGGTCGAGGATATAGCAAAACATATCCTTCCGAGACTATTGAGGACTCTTGACACGTCGCGCTCGGCCCGCCTGTTCCCCGGCCGACCGCTGCCCTTGTTCAAACGCCCTCGCTCACTGTAATGGGCATCCATGGACCTCCTTTCGCTCATATCTGCTCAGCGCTCTGCACGCACTCCCAACTGTACATGTCGTCCATCTTCGTCCCCACCGGCAAAGCTTCGGCCAGTATCCACCGCTACCATTTGGAATTAGTCAGCCCTCGAGGGGATTGATAAGATGGACCCAATTTCAGTTCTCACTTCTCTCGTGCTCTTATCAACGCCTCTCCGCCTACTCTTTCCCAATCCCAGCGGCAACCACACTCGGCGCTTGATTGGAATTCGCACTCAGCTCAATTCCGGTCGTATCAGCTTGCTGGACGACTTCCTTTTCTCTTTGTTTCCATTCATCTCCACTCGTTCTCAGTACTCCCCCAAACTAGACTCTAGGACCAGAACGTCCATACAATCTACTAGTCCATTATGTCTCTCGAGAAACAACAGTACTTGCAGCACGAAGAGCAGACGATGAACAAGGCCATCGACCTCTCACATCACCTCTCTGATCTTGCCAACGCGAGACAGATCAGTCCGTTGAAGGGACTGCAGAAGTTCATCAAGCCAGATGCTATCCAATTCGCTGGAGGTGAGCTTCCGTTATGCCTCGTTTCATGCCTTTCTATACGCATCGGATTAAGACGATGCTTGCGCTGTCTACGTGTGAGTCATGCTAGAGCTCGACGTGTTGGGTGGTGACGAGGCTCGGAAGGTAATGTGGCACGCGTCCCTGTGAAGGTGCGCGCTAATTCGAGACCAGACGACGTTTCCGCCCCTTGCGGGTGCTGTTCTACTTCAGCGCATACCACCACAACCCGCCAGAGGAATATCCGTGCACTCCGAGTTCTATTTCATGACTCACAGACTCATGCATCTCGCGATAGTATACGATAAGCTCCCGGCGGATGTTCCGTGCGTAGTGCGTACATAGCACCTGCGGCGTCGGTGGCGTGTCGTTGGCGTGTTTCGAATCCTGACCTACCTGTTTGTGCGGTTGGTTCGATTGCCTCTATCGGATTTGTCGATATGCCTATCTTTGAGTTGCTGAGGAGGCGTGCTGGCGCTGGTATTCGGAATTCGAAGGCAGTATTGCTCGATAGCTCTCAGGAGAGAAGATACGTATTGGAGGGAGGTGTCCCAATGACCGGCGGACAATTATGTCGCCCAATGGTGAACAATGATGATGAGTGTAACGACGTTGCACGAGCTTGCAGTGAATTATGGCGAGTTGAGAACGCGTGTGGCGTGCGATGACGCCCTTTGCGTGGCCCAATGTTCAGTTGTTACAAAGGCCGGTCGATGGCACCCGATGACCGAACCACAACCTTCGCATATTCGCCGTGTCATGTCCACCCATTCTGCGTAATGACTGACCGACCCTTTCTCGTTATACAGGTCTCCCCAACACCGCCTACTTCCCGTTCTCCACACTCTCCTCCGAGTCCCTCGTCTCCGACTCCTTCCCTCTTGACGCCTCTTCCTATTCGTCCTCATCCGACGCTTCTTCCCTTCTCGCTCCCTCCACCAACTGGTTCTGGCGCCTCTTTGGCTCCGCCGAAACTACTGAGAAGATAACGATCCCGAAAGCACCCTCACCTTCCGACCACGGCCTTAACCTCTCCGTCGCCCTTCAATATGGCCCGGCGACCGGCCTCGTACCCCTCCAACAATTCGTCCAGAACTTCTCCGCATCCGTCTACAAGCCTGCCTACTCCGACTTCACCACCCTCGTGCACACGGGCAACACCGACGGCTGGGGCCGCGTCGTCGCCACCCTTTTGAACCCGAATAGGGGCGAGTGGAAGGATGGGGACAAGATTTTGGCGGAGGAGTGGACTTATCCGAGTGCGCTTGCGAGTGCGAAGCCGTTTGGGATAGGAGTCGTGCCGGTTGGGATGGATAGTGAGGGGATGAGTGTGGAGAGTTTGAAGGCGATTTTGGACGGATGGGATATGGAGAAGGATGGGAAGAAGCCGAGGGTGATGTATACGGTTCCGGTTGGGCAGAATCCTAGTGGTGCTGTGAGTGCTCTTTCTTTCTGGATGTTTGCATCCTATGCGATGGAATGTGGTTGTGGATAAAAAGGGCAGTGTAGCTGACTGGTGGCTTTTCCCATAGACTATGGGCCTCCAGAGGAAGAAGGAGATCTATGATGTCTGCTGCGAGCACGGTAAGTCCATATCCTACCCCTTTCTCTTATCCTACACGTTCCGTATATTCAACGTCTTCGTTCACGATGTCCCCTTTTACTCACCGGGTCGTTCCTCTCGCAAAACATAGATATCATCATCTGCGAGGATGACCCCTACTTTTTCCTCCAGCTCGGAGAGTACGTCCCCAAATCGCTCCGAAAGCATCAGGCTGGACACTCCGATGCGGACCAGGATGATGCTCATTTCTTGGCGGCATTGAGTCCTAGTTACTTGAGGTCAGTATTTTCTCCTATTCTTACGTGCTATATCAATTTTTCGTCCATCGCTCACCTGTGTCATTGTCTTCTCTACCTCTCAGGGTCGACACCCAAGGCCGCGTCATTCGTCTCGACACCTTCTCCAAGACGATCGCACCCGGCTCCCGTCTCGGTTGGTTCACTTGTAACCCAATGTTTGCGGAGAGACTCGAGAGACAGGGCGAGACAAGCACGCAATCGCCGTGCGGCGTGGGTCAGAGCTTGATCACGAAGTTGTTGTTGAACTGGAAGTACGAAGGGTTCATTCGGTGGTTGAGAGGTTCGTTCTTCCTTTCCTCTCAGTCTCCGACGTATTACACCTGGGTGATCGTCCGCTGACTCTTGCTTTCATTGCTGTTGCGTGGTGCGAACACCTATAGGATTGAAGATGCAATACACACTCCGCCGGGACCTCTTCCTCGACATTCTCAGCGAAGAATTCGACCTCTCTACATCCATCGGGACGTCGTCCATGGGCGCCTGGTCGGGATGCACCGTCTACACCGCATACGCTAAACCCAAGACTTCCATGTTCGGAAGCGTCATGATGAGCGAGAAGGTGCAGAGGACGAGGCTGTTGAGCTTCGTGGCGCCGAGCAGCGGGATGTTCGTCTGGGTATGTGCTATCTACTTCCCTCTCTTCCGTATGATTTATTGACTCTCTGCACGTCCTTCTGATATAGGTCAAGCTTCACTTTGACGCCATCCCCAAACCTGCCCCCGGCGATCTGGAGACCACAGAGATTAAGCTGTGGACGAAACTCGCACAGGCGGGTGTCCTCGCTGCGCCAGGCTGGTTCTTCGCGGCAGACACGGCAGATATGCCGAAGGACCCGAATGAGGAGGGACATATGAGGATGAGCTTCTCCAATGCGGGCGTGAGTCATCTTCCATTTTTCGACCTCTTCGTGGACAATTCTGTGTGGGTGAATTTAACGGAAGAAATGCTGATACGGGTTTGTTTGTAGCCTGAGGAGATGAAGAAGGGCCTGAAGATCTTCGCGGAGACGATGAAGGCGTTCCACGGGCTCTAGATTGGGGCTTGATGCCCTCCGAACAATAACACCCTCCTTTTCCAAGTCGAAGTCTCCTCGCCGTCTGCCAGCCCGTCTGAACCTCTTGGACAGACGCAGATACTTGATCCGTCCCTTAGCCTCACCGATTCGGTTGTTAACGTACGTGGTAGATCGGAGGGCGGACCTGGGTTATAACTACCTCTTTTTCGCCTGGATCACTTATTTAACGAAGTTTACATCGTGGCACTGCTACACAGACTACACCCCACACCCCACACCCCACACCCTACACACCTACATCTCTACACTTCTACTCCTCTGCGCCTTTCTCTCTTTTACCACGATTACAATGAACCTGACGTTTTACGGATTAACACATGCTATATAGCTTCATCTACTTTTTGTTTTCTTTTTGGTTTGTTTTCAGTCGATTCTTCCCGATGCGGACAGGCAGAGGTTTCCAGTCCGTGGTTGTGGTGGCGATAAAGTACCGCCGGTCGCAGCGGGATGGGGCGGGGAGGACATCGCGGTCGATGGGAATATGTATATTACAGTGGTTTCATGCTAGATCTAAGTTTCGCTTTTGGATGGTGACCGTCGCTCAGAAATAATGGCCCTTTCGCTTCCTAGAACGGACTGAGTCTGTGGGCCACATCGGTGCCACACGTATCACCCGATATGGGCAAACCGAGAAGAAACGATTATGACCTGCGTAAGTATACGGCTAAGTACTTCGAACGACGAACAACGGAGCGTATGCATGCAATATATATACAAAAAAAAAAGTGAACAGCAGGTGAACAATGCAAGGACGCGAAACTAAGCGTGGTAGTACAAGTAAGTGTACGAACGATGCGATGCCGATGAAAGGTCAAAGGGTTCATGCAAAAAAATGAGGGGGGAAACGAATACACCATGCGGGATGAAAGATGAGATGAAGCAGTTAGAATGGAATGGAAACATGCCGGAAGCAGTGTACAATGGACCCAAAGGAGAAAGAACGGAGAGAACGGAGCCGTGACGAAGAAGAGAAGAATGATGTTATGAAAGAAACTCATCGTCCTGAACGAACCACCGACAATGATTCAACAGCCTGGCGCCGAGCCTCCACCCGTCCAGTGCCACCACCTGGACGTGTCGAGGCAGAGTGTGAACCCGAATAGAGTCACCGTGACAATCTGCGAGCGCTCATTGCCCCTCAACGTACATCGGCATACCCATCTCTGCCGCCCAGAGCAACATATCGTCTTTCAACAACGACAAAATAACCACACAATCCCTAAATGTCTTCTCTGATAACGCACCATCTTCCTCGCACGCTTTGCCTGCCCCATCTCCAGGCACTGGGGGGGCCCCTACCCGATTCGCCAACATGCCCGCAACTGCCTCGTCGAATGCGAACTTCGCCAGATGACATGCCCGCTCCGGATCCGACTTGACATCCCTGAAATATACCGCAAAATTCAGCGCGAGGCCGAGACGTGTTGGATGCCATGCTTCGAGGGTGTGGAGCGCGTGTTTGTAGGAGGCCGTGTATGATGTGAGGGAGAGGGACGCATAGTGTTCTCGGAGGACGTTGTTGCGTTTTGCGAATTCAGAGAGGTAGCGATAATAGTCGCCTTGCCTAAGAAGCGAATGACATACGAGAGCATTGAGTGAGTATATGAGCGGACAAAGACGGGCATGGAGGTGACGGGACGCACATCTTGAAATAGAACACCCTCTCCTCGCCCTTCCCGGCCGCCGGAACCAGCTTCTCCAGGACATTTTCCAGTAAGTCTTTGCACTTCGCCGCTAGCTCCTTCTCGATTTTATTCTTCTGCCTCTGCAGCAAGGCCAGATGATGCTTCGATACGCCCTCACTTTTCTCCACAGTCTCGATCAGACGTAGGCTGTTGCGGAGGGAGCCGGTGAGGTTCTTGTACGCTATAGACAAGAGGTTACGTTCTTCGATGGAGAGAATGGGGCTCGTGTTCGAGGTGGCCATGAGGGTTGAGTATGTGATGATGCGTTTGAGGAACATGACGACGTCTATCGCAGTAAAGAGGTCAGAAGTGTCAATACTATGGGAAAGTTGGCTGTAGAGTCGGAAGCGTATTGAATATGCGGTATGCCGACCTTCCCAACGCTCCGTCTCCTCTGCCAGCTTAGCGAGGAAAAGGTTCTCATCGCGTGAAGGCCTTTTCGTAGTCTTGTTAGGAGCAATCTGGAGTTACGCCCATGGAGGCAGCAGTATCAGCATCGATATCGACCACCGCGGAGAATTGACAAGCAAATAACGTACTGGGGCCGGTTTTGAACGCATGGTGCGGCTGAGAGGAAAGCTGAGATGACCACGAACGACGAACAGGGACCCGAGGTGTCGTGAAGCGAAAGTACACAAGCAACACGACCAGACGCACACTCAAGCTGCAAGTAGGCGACGAAGAGGTCGACAGATAGAACGAGACCAGCAGAACGCCCCAGGCGCCTTTTGAATGTCGTAAAGCATGGCGTGTGGAGATGGTGGTCATTGGGCGAGCATTAGCCTCGAGGAACGTTTTGCCCTTTGCCCAAGCGTACGCCCTATACCCTTGGGTCTTGTGTATGCTGTTGATTGAAAAGGGTTAATCGACTCGTTCATGCCCAGGGTATTGCAAAGCTTGCACATCCCATCGACAAGTAGGGTACGAATATATGAATGACCACCGTACGCAGAGAGGCCCCAAGATCCCTGAAAATCGAGTATCTGCTCACCGCCGGGATACAAGGTTTCATACTTTGAAATTGCTTTGAAATTGCTCAAGGGAAAATGGACAGAGATCGCAAAAACGTGGGTACCCGTCCAGCCCTACTTATCCATTCGGGAATAGTTTCGAAAAGCATGAGCCAGCAGTGGTCGCAGATTTTGACTGTAGGCTGTGCATGTAACCGAGTCGTCGCCGTCGTTGAGCCTCGTTGGGCATCGTTGCCGTTGTCACTTTAAAGAGGTCGCGCCGTCGGACCGGAATAACTGTATCTCGGAATCTCGGAAGCAAACGACGTCGTTTAAATTGTTTCCGTGTGGCGGTGGCGCCGTGGTTGAACTTTCTCAGAACCTACTCTTCCATTATCCTCCTGGCGCCAAATGTGATAGCAAATCGTAGAGAAGCTCATATTCAAGGTTATATCAGAAGTAGCATCGACAACGGTAAATTTTCACTGCAACACATCCTCTACCAGCGTCAAAAGTATCTTTGAAGCGTACATGAAACAGACAACGAACAAGGCGCAAGGGACCACGAGGGTATCAAAAATGAAGGTCCTGTTGTGAGTAGACGCACATGGACCACTCCATAGAGCAACAACATACGCGTCCGAGCGCAGTCCTACATGTGTTCTTCACTTTTCCGAGCAGGGTTATAATCTCCGATAGGGTGCGATTGGGCGAGTAGCAGAGTGGCGAGCAGGAACACTTCGTGAAGGCCGGGGACATCGAGCGCGTCTTCATAGACCTCGAGCTCCGAGATATCGTTCGGGTCACGCCAGATAGCAATGACATGTCCGGGCTTGTCGAGAGGCATGAACTGATGCATGTGAAACGAATGGAGAGAAGGTTCAGAAAAGATTGAGGGTGACAAGCTGATGGACAGAGATGGACGCACGTAGACTGTCGAGTCCCGGTCGGTCGTGTAGTATTGCTTTCCCGCGTGGGTTATTGTCCGAGACCTGTGGTATTGTTTAGCGCCACAAAACGGTAGCGATGGAAGGACAGGGGAAGGCCAGCGCAGCAAGAGCAAGAGAAAATGCCAAAACACGCACTGTTTGTCTTTGTTGTAAGGAAACCAGTCCATACACTTGAACTTAGAGCCCCTATATACCATGATCGGGTGCGCATAATCCCAATGGATTACCGCGATAGGTCTCCCATCCGACGACTGAAAAGTCGTCTTCTGTCCTCTCGACGTAACGTCGAATGGCGACTTGCCGTACGAGTCGTATATCCGGGAGTTGTAGATGGCAGCATTGCTCGTAGAGAACCTGAATGTGATCGAGCGTCGCTCTAGAGAGTGCGAAGATGAGATGGACTGCGACGGGTGAAGTTGGGAGTATGCCTGTGGCGCGGACGTAGTAACGGCATGCGAGTATGCACTGGCGGCTTGGTGGCCAGGAAAGTGAGGTGGCGATGGAGGGTGCGAGGGATAGGTCGTGAATGGTGGGTATATATCCTGGTACTGAGAATGAGAAGAGCTTGGAGGATACGGATTTTGCGTCTGGTGCTGCGGGTAGAGAGGAGGGGGCGGCATGTGATGGTGCTGAGAAGTGGTGTGTTGCGTAGACGGGACGACGGGCGGGTATTGGGTCGACCACTGGCCATCGCCCTGTTCTCCGTAGCCTGACATGGTGACAAGGATGACGGGGTGTGATTGACAGGTCGAACGCACAGAAGCAGCCGCTTTAAATGTGTTGGTGAACGACAACTCGGAGGTGGTCCCAGACTACCACCCTGTTTTGTGTTGTGGTTGCCTGCAGAAAGATTATCAGTGGATCAGCGTCCGAGAACGTGCCAGAGCGAAGGAGCAAACGATGAGATCAGTAAAGGCAATTCGCGCATTTACGTTTCCATTGCGTTGAAAGAACAATCGCGAAGCGCGGCGTTGAGAAAGCCGGACGGTAAGGGCCCGTCACTGTATGCTTGCTAACCGGAACTGCCTTATTTGAGGCCACTCATCTCGTATGAGTTCGTCTGCCGTTGGGAAATAACGACGTCCTGCAAGCGGCTTGAACCTCATGTCGGCGCGTGCTCCGCGGCGTCAAGCGAGGCGCCAGGATACATCCCGCGCAGAATGATGATACAGGGATAGCCGGCGTTGTTGTTGTGCCTGAACAGCTTTGAATGAGGGTCGAAGACCTTTTGTGAGTCGCCGGAAATTGACCGGCTGTGCCACATTAAATTGCGCTTTGACCCACCTAGACTCGCTATTTTGTGTTTGATAGGAGTGTATTTTGAATAAAAGGTTGTACAAGGGATTGAAGGTACTCGTCGATGATTGCCGCGTCATAAGCATTCTCTGGCATCCCTCCTATTTCCGTGTATGAGGGTAGATCGATGATGTATGCCGTGTAGCGAACTCCGGTTCTCGCCATTCGTCACGCAGGACCTTCTCCTGATGAGCAGAATGGAGCAAGGCAAACACCTAGAGCTTCTCACTGGAGGCAAAGTTCGATATGTCTGAAGAATATATTTTGAAGGTACACGGAAAGAACTTGCAAAATATTTTACATCCATGCACTGCCGAAATGAGGACTATTTTGGCGATAAAGTCATTGATAAATCCAAACAAAGGTATACAGCGGAATTAAAGATATGGCAATCAGCACTACGCAGAATTTATTTTGGACGATAACCTCAAAATATCCAGCCGATAAGCTCGGCATCCACTGGGGAATATATTTCCCCGCCAAAGTTGGCGGGGAAATATATTCCGCTATAGATTCCGTGCCTTTAGGGAGAGTATTTTGGGATTACGAGCTGCAGTAAGTTCTGCGTGACTCTGATCACGATATTCATATTTTTCCTGTTCAATCCTTGTTTGAATTTATCAGGAACTCTATTCTGAAAATCATCGGGCTCTATTCGTGAGGCCCATGCAGATTACTTTACGAGTAAATTCTACCTATGTTCAAAATATATCCGTGAGACTTATCGAACTTTGCCTCCAGTGTCTGGAAACCGCGTGACTACCCAGTGTTAAGGTTCAGAAGGCACCTGTGTCTCGCAATACGAAGCTAAATGGTCCAGGTGCTTTCTCTACAGCCTCCAAGGCTCGGGTGGCTCAATAGGAACAAGGAGCAACGGAGATAAAGGACAGATCGTCAGCGGATTCACGGAAGCGGACCTGGAGCACGAGGCACGGGGAAGACGACGGAAGCGAACTGCCAGGGTCTTCAGTGGCCACATGTACTCACATGGAGGTTGGCCTACGACTGCAAGAGCGGCTTCATGCCGTTCTGGCTCCTCTTGACCATATCCGCGTGATGAGTCCCAGATGCCGACGATGTTCGAGTGCTGCATCGTATCACGTAGACATGATGGTGAGGAGAGAGGTGAGAACGCGCGGCTGTAAGCGCAACCGAATGAACAGCGTTCTACTCATGTGTGAATTGGATAGGAACACGAGTCCAGACCCGTGGAATCCCAATGAACAATCGAAAATCTTGTACACACATATGTACACATACGAGCAGTGCTCCTAGCCCGCGACAGCACTGAGAAGAACATCGCGGAAGAGAGTCGACCCCCAGTGGATCGAGTTGTCATCCCCTAATGACTTCTTACTGCATATCATCACTGTGGCGAGCAAGAGGTCCTCAAGAAGCCCTGGAACGTGAAAAACGTCTGGGAAGACCTCGAGTCCGGCATCATCACCAAAGGCGCGCAAGACAGCTACAGGGTAGTCAGGCCGATCAACGGCGATCCACTATGTAGCAAGCGACATCGATGGTCAGTAGAGGCAACAAGTACAGACGGACGGAACGCGTACGGCCACAGTTTTCTTCTCAGGGACAGTTGCAACGTATTCCTTGCCTTGATGCGCAAACGCTCTACCCCTAAACACAGAAGCGTGTCAGCAAACCGTCGAAGAGTGCAGTTCGCAATGCTTTGAAAGACGTACTGGATCCCCCTCGCCTTGTCGTGGATGACACGAAGCCATTCCCTACACTTGACCTTCTCTCCCTTATACATCATAACCGGACTGCTATGATCCCACTCTATACGCGCAATCGGGTTTCCATCTGACGCCTTAAACGAGGTAACCTTCTTCTCCGTGGTGATTGTGAAGGGGGTACGGCCAAAGGGATCGTCAACTTGACAGTTCAGAATGGTCTCGTTGTGCGTAAAGAGGAAGACGACTGGACCACGCTTCGTAGGGGCAGCAGGCGTAGGAGACTGAAAAGCTGGGTGCGTCTGAGGGGGGTCAGGGTATTGGCCTTGGGCCTGCGGCGGCTGCGCTGCATATTGTGAAGTGTTCGCGTAGGAGGATGGATGTTGCAGGTAAGGGTCCTGTCTGTAGACATTCTGCTGAGGCGCGATATCCTGTGCATAAGGGTAACCTTGCGGTGGAGGCGCTGCCTGAACGTAAGGGGGGCCTTGCTGGTATTGAGCATAGGGCTGAGATGAGTGTTCGTAGCCCGACATAATGTCATGAAAGTGATCGTCCGAGCGAGAGGAGGGTGTGGGGTACGTCGTCTGGAATCCAGGCCAATTCGCCAGTCCCTTTAAACACGATTCAATCAGTAAGATCAGTCCAGCCAGTGCGAAGAGGCTACACACCGATTTAGACCCTCACTACCACGGCTCGGGAGTGACGGGGTTTCAGCTACATCATGATCATCACCATTCGGTCTGATGAGTGGGCAGCAAAGATGGTGTAAGACTTGCGCTCAAATTAGAGTCTGTATACCTGGACTTGAAGTGGGCAGCGGGCAACTGATCGGTGGTTCCGATGTTTCATCAACATCAATCATGAAAACGTTCAAAGTAAGAAACAGAGCGCTGTCCATACGCATACCAATCATCTTTGACAGTGTTATATCCCGCTAGGTATGGATTGAGGAGATTCGCGCAGGCTGGCATGAGAAATCACGCAGTAGCCAACACGCATAATCGATGCGAGCGAAGAGACAAATCAAAGGATTTAATTGTACACACACCATGAACATACACTTTTTATCAGACGACTTCGACGCGTTGTCCACCAAGACCGAAGATACGCTCCGCGGGATCTAGAGTGCTAATAACACGCAGCGTATCGCCAACACGGAGAACGCCACCTAGCACAGGAAAACAATCAGAATCGCGACAACTCTTGATCAGGAAAAAGTGAAACTGACCTGGTGAAATAGGAACTGCCGAGACCGCAAAGCATGGCTTGATGGAGAACCCCTAGAGGAGGACCTATAGTCAGAGAACGAACAGATTACGGTAGACAGTTCGATGTGGCGGCGCGTACCGGATCAACCCGCCTGTACGTCGACAACACACCGTAGGGAACGACCTTGTCGGCTTCACCGGTTTCAGGGCACACGCCGGTCAGTAAGCATCGAGGCATACGACCTGGAACATAGAATTGCTCTTCGGTTGTTGTACGCTCGCCTGTGGGTGACGTAGCTTGCCGACAAAAGGCTACATGCTCCCAGCTATCTTCCTCCCAGGGCGCTAGATCTGGGCCGTCGACAACGATGTTAGGGCGAAACCGTTCGATTGCGAACCCATCGACTCGAGACGAGGGCCACTTCGTCCGGTTAACGCTTTTGCTTGCATTGATCGAAGATTTGACCGCGTTCAAACTCCTATAGCAAATCCGACGGGAAATATGGATGTGCGTAGACGAAGAAGAAAGTTCTGCACGTACTGCATAGTAGCAATGGTATATGGATACACGTCCTGTAACTTCGATACAACATCCAAGCGCTCCTTCCCTATGATCTCGTCCGAGCCAATCCGGATCCGTCCTCCCTCATCCTCGCTGGCAAGCCTCACAAGCCGTACAGGTTTCCCAAGGAAATCGCTGAAGGCCTTGTCCGCTTTTAGAGAGACGGCGTGCGCGTCGATGTGGGAGCCCCAAATAATCACTTCCGTGAGCAGCGGCAGCGCTTGCAGATCTGATACAGATGGCTCCAGTGGTATCGTGATAATGGTCGGAGGAGTCGTAGGGCTGGAGGAAGGCGGTGGCACTGTGATGTGTAGTTCTGGACCTTTGATCTCTGTGTTGACAAGTACAAGCTGAGGGAGTTCCCTGGCAGTACAGAAGCGAAGATTTTCGTCCACAATAAGCCACCTAGGATCATCGTGAGCGAATGCGGTGATGAAATAAGTTGAGACAAAGCTTTACTGTCTGTCATACTTGAAACCATCTGGGCGAAGGAAGTTAGAGTTGATACATAGGACTAAGTAGCAAAGAGGACTTACTATCCATGATTTCAGCCTCCTCAACCGAGATACCACGACAGCTCTTCACGGGATGGATCAAGAGCTTCGTCACAACAATAGGGTGACTCTGTGAGATCGCAGAAGCCATAGTGTTGTAGAGCGAAGAAATCATTATCAAGGATAGCGGTCGATGGAGGTAGTGGTGTTCTGGAGAATGCCCGCTCTCCTTGTATCTGTTATATGATATCGTAACCGTCGGTCGTTGTCGAGTGAAGTCTAAGACGGTTTCTGATCGATGATAAGCTAACAGACATGCAGCCCGTAAGTATAACTGCCGAGCACTCGTTGTGCTGCTTCGTTTCGCAAACGAGTCCCAAACAGATTGTTGACGTTATTGTAAATAGGACAGGTAAGAGAAACAGCGGTGGTGGCACATTCAAGTTCTAGTCATGCCAGCAAGAATGACAGACTCGGAATACGGTGTATGACCCCGGAGAAGTAGAACTGGGCGTGTAAGTACAGTGGGGCAGAACCGGCGTGGAGATGATGTGAAACGCGTACCTTTGTGCTCGACGTTGCGCCTCGTTGCGCACATTGACCGGCGTCGTTCGGTCATCTTGTGTAAATTTCGCACGGAGCATACCGGGTGGCACCAAGTTGTGCCACATTTCGTAGCAAGTTGTACTGTTGTAAGTAGTAGCATCGTGATTGCATCATAGCTTCTTCACACTATTATCAGACTCAAGAAATCCGACCTCAAGCTTTCTCTGGTAGTTAAGCCAATAGCTATCATCTGAATCATGACAGACCTTATCATTTCCAAACATAACTAACAGAAACTACCTGGCCACCAGACCCCGCGATCCGGACGTATGTACGGATACAGCATACACAAACAAGTACATCCCTGATTCACTCGAGAAAGTTGGTTCTAGTTCGGTACTTCGAACAACTGGCATCGTCGATAATGCTCTGTAACGGATCGCTCGACCTCTCTTCGAAGAGCAGATTGAACGATCATCCCACCACAAACGTAGCAGAAATGTCTACAGTCACTCATTAGACATGAACGGAAATGTGAAAAATTGCACGTACGTATTACATCCCGGAGATAAACACTGGGGTAGCGGCGGTCACGGTGAATTTAAGAACACACACACAGCAGTTATAGTTGACGAGAAACGCTCACCGTCATATGGTTACATCCTGATGCTTTCTGTATAGGCGTCTGGCAGCCTAAAGAAGCGCGTAAGGAGAGGACATGATGGAACAATATCGTTAGGAAGCATCACCTGGGCAGTGCTTCCATCCACGCTCGCGCATGAGATGCTCAAGTTCCGAGGAACCATCGCACGAGTGGGGAGGACCGGCCATATCGATTTGCTGTTGGCAGTTTTTGCACCAAGCATGAAGACATCCTGGTAGGGGGCATGTGAGTATACGACTCTCTTGATATTCTTCTCGGTCGACAAAAACCGAATTCTTGCATCTGTGAATGCGAACAACTCGTGAACGGTGTGACAAGACGGTGAGCACTATGACATACTCACAGACGACAATGAAGTATAATCGAGAAGTTCGACATTTGCATTTCTTCGAACACGGCATACTCTTCGTCTGACACTCCTATATCACGAATAATATTCTCTGACACGACTACATACCGGATAGTTCAGCTAGAGGCAATGATTCGACAGAAGCAAACACACGTACCACCGACGGCGTCACTTCGGTTCGTTTCGGCCGTGCACACAGGGCATAGAATAGGATAACGGTGCTCTTGTAGTTTCGAGCGAATGTAGCCTCGTAGACAGTCGCGGCAAAGACAATGTTTGCAACTGTCGACACGAGCAACATAGTCTTCTTCAAGATCGTCCATACAGACGCCACAGGCGAAAGTAGCTGGGACCATGCTTGACAGCCTCACACGCTCAGCAGACAGTAGACTATCCTCATCGTTGAGCGTTGCCTGCATAATTTGAGCCATGACGGAGTCATCAGATATATCAACGTCCCTGGCTTTGCCTTTCCCGGTGGACGGCAGGATCGGTCCCGGATGCTAATATCGGACTATTAGAAGCGACTCGACAATAGAATAGTGGGCTATGCTCACAAAGGCTGGATATTCGCGAGGAGCACGTCTTTCACGCAGCTGCAGCTTTATTTCACGGTTCTTAGTCTCCAGATCATCAATATCTCGCTCCAGTCGCTCGGTGTCGTTGGTGAGTGACGTATTCCGGAACCTGAGGTCGACCAACTCGGCTTTGAGTGATAGCAGCTCCAAGCTGGACTCAATCACAGTCTGGATGAGAGCTGAATTGTCTTCGGAGAAAGGGGCTGCTCCCTTTTGTACGAATATATGACCTGAATACTGTGACAGCAGTTGAGCTTGCCATTGTAGCGATGGGTCTTGCAGAAGTCGTCGGTCGACAGCGAGGAGCTGTGTCAGGTGAGATGCGGCTGCATGAGCTGATTTGCAAAGTACGATCCCGGAGCCATCAGGGTGTTGGGGACGAGGATGGGAGTCGAATATGATGTACTCTGTGCGTTCCCTGGACAGGGTGATACATGTGCAGGCGAGGATCTCCGGTGGTCGAGTGATAATGCAAACTGCAAGTGAGCCGCGAGCACCGAGTGATTGCAGTTCACTATACTCAACAAATGTAAGGGAAAAAATGGGTGTAAATGGAAGACCACTTACGAGAATATATCGGAAAAGGCTGCATGATCAGGGCTGCCATACTTCGTAGAGACCATGGAAAGCGACTTGGTGAAGAGAGGTGTACGGAACACATCTTCAACCTCGAGGTGCTTCGTACTAGTCCAGTTGGCACATATAGACACAGCCTCCTATTCTATCGTTTAAGGACTGTACACAATCGAGCCGCTTACCCCGAGAAACAATTGTGGCGTAACGCACCTCCACGAAAGCCGAAGTAAGAATGTGGCATAGCAGCATTTCGCCGCGTTGGCCCGCCTGAAAGCATTGAGTAACGAGGCGACACCAGTTCATGCATATAAGTCCACAAGCAGATGATCCTTTACTACTATATTGACTTGTACCCGGGTGAGAAACGACCCGAGTTTCATGAGAGCCACCGGTGCGCAATTGTGTTCGGTCGTCCAAGCCTGGATTTAACGGCCGTTGCCACACATTGTGTTTATGCATAATTTTTGATGATCGAGTGTACTTGATGAGAGTCGAAGGAGTGGGTGTTCAAGGCTTGTTGAAAGACAATGGCGATGTGGGGTACAGGGGTTGGTATTGGTGTGGCGTGGCTCTCAGTCGCGATCTTCCGGCGGAGTGTGAAACACAATTCCAGTGGCGGCGGGCATGCGTTTATATGCTCACCCACTGGGCTAGGGGCTGTCTTCATACTCATACCCGTCTGCAACCATGGACGATGACAATAGCTCTGTTGATTCATTCTTTGATGCTACTAGTGGATTTGTGACTCCTTTTGGTGGGTCGTATTTTCAAAGATCCATCTTCCCGTTTGTGCTAATAACCAACGTTGTCATTTCCCTTTGTCCTCCAAAACGCCACCTATCAACGTACACAATTCTTTCTTCACATTGGTAGATGACAACGATAAGATTGATGACCTCGGTGAGACCACCCCGTTGAGACCTTGTTTTATGTCTTTCGAAAACCGCTTCTTATCGTTCTTTTACTGGACTTCGTCTTCGTCAAAAACCTCCGTACGCCACTTCTTCGACGGAATATAAGGTCTCAATTCACTTGTAAGAGGAAGCTTCATAATAAAATCCTCAACACCTCATGTTTCTATCAGAACTCCAAGAGATCACGGGAAGATTTCGCCGACGATGCTGCTTCACAACCCATCAAGCGTGCGACCCTTGCTGATGCGCGTGAGAAGTCCCAGAGTGGAGACAAAATGGATGTCGATGTACGTTAAATATCCCTTGGAGTGATATACCACTCATAAGGATAAATTCTTGCTTTTTTTTCTCGTGTCTGCGTAGCCATCGTCTCAAGGACCAAGCACCGCTCGCCGCTCGAAGCTCGGGGCTGTTCAGCCTTCTGACCTCTTGCGATCGATCCAGGGAATGTACAGAATCCTTGATCTCATCACCGAACAAGGTAGCGGGGGCACAGGTAACTTGAACACGAAACGTATAGGTTTAGAACGCACTAATCACATCTCGTTTCGCAGTCGAAAAGGTCGTCATCGCGCAAGACTCGCTGGCGGAGTTCATCAACACTCTTTCGCCAGGTGCCTATACTTCCCTTACGAAGGTCAATTTCAAGAACCTAGACGATGTCGCGGTCAAGCCGATGGGGGTATACGGAAGCAAGGATGAACTTGTTGCCTTTTTCCTGTCTCTCAACGTGATCAATGCCACTACGTCCGTATCAACTCTTTTGGGGGGGCAAGTGAGCAACACTCATGACCTTCTGCAGTGCTGAGCTGCTTCGGAGCCCTCAGGATGATTCAAACGGGCCGAAACTTCGCTCTGGCATATATGCACTCCGCTCGCTCTGCTCCGGGAGCTCTGATGAAGAACTATACATCGTGTATTGGCCTGAAGACACCACTTGGGATGACAGCACAGTCTCATCTGTAAGACGAAACCGAATCACATTCATGCGGTCAGTCGATGTATTATTTGCTGTGGTAAATCACCTAATGTACTATTGTTCAGATACTTGACGAAGATAGCGGACCAAATTCTTTGCATGGTCTCGCCGGAGCACGCCCGATCCCTAGTATGGACCGACGACCAAGTCCAAGATGACGTAGATATGGAAGATGATGACGATGATGACCGTTTGTTCACCTTCGAAGTCGCAAAGACTAACGAGCAGGACGAAAACGTTGAGGCGCGACAAGGTTTCGAAGTACGTCTCTCGGACATTATACCACCGCATGTCTTAACTTTCCTCGTAGATCAATTTGAAACGATTTGTTCCCACCATTCAACCCTCATGCCCAGCTACCGAACGTCATAATCTCAAGCCTCAGCTCATTGATGGCGAAACGAGCCCAGCCTTCATAACGTGCCAATACATCGCGCCAACAGTTCGAGGCAAGGAAATAAGGAGCGAGTCGTTTACCAAGACTCTTTTTAAACAGACTCTGTGAGTGACATGATTTTCTTTCTCATCTTGCTACCGTGGTCATGGTTTATATGTTTATCGTGGATCTTTACATCAAATGACAGGGAGAATCCGGACTTCGCTTTCCACTTGTCCGTTGACCTCGGCGAGGAAGCCCTCACCCTCATCGTCGAGGCAGGGTTTCAGAAGCGATACCCAACCCCGTGCAAAGCATGGAATGCTCGTAAGGCAGAGATAGAACGCGCCACTTCCCATACAAGAGAGACCAACAAAAGAGAGCTCAATGAGAGGTTGGCACGCGATCACGACGACCTCAAACTTACACTCTACCACGAAATTCTTTCTCGAGTAGCGTCTTCATTTCCGTACGTACATCCCCAAGCTATGACATTGCTTTATGACCTATAAGGCTTTCGCATATAGGTTCCTTGACCTTGGCCGACTTCGGCTTTCATCGGATAAGACTCTTCAGGAGGATGGTGATGGTTCGAAAGAGGCGACAAACTATGCGGGTATGTTTCAATTTTTTTAAGGCTCCCTTTCATCATCTTGAAGCACGCTTTCAGATCGATACTCTAGTCTGAGTAGTCTTTTCCCGAAGATCGAGGCTGCGGTGCGAAGGGAGATGGCCACTCGGAATCTAGATGGCAAAATTGATTCTCGTCATTTCACCGCGCACAAACGGCGGGCTATCGCCATAGAACGGTGCCTAGATGCCCGAGCCGATATTGCGGAAGACGAGAAGGAGAAACTGGTATCGGACATATTGGCTGACGAGGCCTTCTTCCACACGCCACAGAAACAAAAGACCACCGGCTTTGGGTGGGCCTTGAAGATCTTCTCTGCATCCACAGATAGGGACGAGGAGCAAGCGGTCATCGCGCGCGCATTTGATGAGGCTAATGCCATCTCCGACCCAGAGTTCTTAGCCGGCCTCGCAGACCGAGTCGCACGTATTCCTCTCCTGACGGACCTTGCTCACGAAATGCTGGACATAGTCTACGATAAATTATCTATAGCCATCAGGAAGGCGGTAGAGAAGCTCATGAGCCCAGTGGAAATGATACAGAAGGAGGATTGCGTTCTCCAGATTGATCGTGAAGCTGCCTCGCAGCGGGAAGTATCCCTGAAAGATTCTCGTCTTCAGTTTTTCGATGACATGGAGGCACAACCGAGGACAGAGAAGTTGTGAGTTTTTTAATTCACCGTCCTTGCCTGTTGGCTTATGTCGTGCTGGTTAGACAGTCTTTTTTCATCGAGAAGGTGGATATCGAACCCTCGAGATATGGTTCTGGCGGTCAGTTCAATATTTAACGGCTCTGCATATGGCAACTTTGGATTGATTATCTTCTCAGTGTCGTATAGAATTACAGGTCGACAAGAGTTCCATCTGAACGCAGTCTTCGAGTACAAGCTCCATCGTCTCAATCTCTCAGCCGATCATCTGCAAACTCTCCAGCTGAATCCTGCGTTTGTTCCGCGGCCTGAGGTCAATGAAAGACTCTCTTATTCCTTCCGGCTTGAGCTTCACTACCTAATTCTGTAAGTAACATATAATCAATCTATATCCTCGAAGCTGAACGACTCATCTCTACAGCCACGCGCAACTGCTAGAAAATGACAGGTTACTACTCCTCATCGATGATCGCCGGGGCCATATTCTTGTCTGTCTGGAATCACTGTCCGCGATGGATGGTGCACTTCAGCGGCAGAGGTGGAAATCATTCGACCGCGCGAAAATAGGAGAATCCTTCAAGTTTGCGTTCGATGAAAGCAAGCGTACATTTGCGTTATGCAGTACGACCAAGGTTTGTCAAGATATCGTGTGATCATAAGACGTGTCTGAGAGCTCACACATCGGATGGAAAAGCTCGATCTAAACATCTTTGTCTATGACGAGAAATTCAGTTCTCCCCAAGCGCTCGGTAGCACGATCAGTCTCAAGCCATGGTACTCAGAGGACGTCAGCCTGAGCCACATACGCTTCATATCTGGCACTCACGAAATTCTTCTCATCGACTCAGGAGGCCGCGCTAGGATATTCTCCTTGGTGACGCAGCAATGCAGGTGCGTAATGTCTTGACCATATGAGCTCACTCGAAATCTTAACGGCAAAATTGCTCGTAGACCTGCATCTTTGGATTTACCTCAGATCCCGCTCGCCGCCTACTCGACGCCAGACGGTAGCTGTCTCATTCTTCTCAACAAGCGCGATGACGGCGTGTCCTTCCGCGCTTATCATTGGCCTACTTTTGGAGCCTCCGAGGGCATACCACTAGACTTCCCAGATCTCACGGCACATTCGTTGGTCGTCACTTCACTCGGTAGTAGGAATGTCGTGCACATCGTTGCTTTGTCGGAGGATTATCAATGCTTTTCCATCGCTCTCGACATCACGAAGAAGGTCACGGAGTTCATGTTCAAGGAGAAGGCGTCTAGGAGCTCCAATACTGGAGATGCTACGGGAGCGAGCTTGCATAACTGTCTCATTGATTGCCACGTCGATGTATGGACTCGGTTCCCGGTCGTTGCCGCAGTTCAACGCCAAAACATCACGTCATCCAGGAGACCGAAACAATTGGCGTTCATCACGGACCGCGACTTCGGCAAGTATCAACCCCACTTCAGCGACCTCATCCAGTCTTTCGAGCAGCGAACACGGAAACCAACGGGAGACGAGCTGAAGAACACCCTGGTGACTGCTGTCAATCGACAGTCTCTTGTTTTATCCTCGTTCTTCGACCAAGCCTGGGAGGTCTCGCGTCTCAAAGCAGGCCAATGGATCGTCGACATTTTCTGTCTGATTCCTCTGCATATCGCAATCTGCCGTGAAAACCGTTTCATTCCGTTGAAGGACGGTGTTTCTTCGGCGGAGTTAGAGAGATCGCTTTTGGGCGCCGACGTCAGTACTATCGTCGATAGTGTTACTCTCGGATGGTATGTGTATGCTCCGATATCACCGCTCACCACGCTGACGTAGTTTCTAGGTATGAATCTATATTCCAGTCCTACATGGCGTCGAAGGTAGGTCACGAGAGTTTACGATCTACCTTCTAGCCGAAAGTTAGTTGACTCTTCGTGCTTTCTGTCCAGCCCGTTAGAGTGGTTTCATCCATGGGTAAATGAACTTGTATTCCATACTAAGCGTAGACGACGGCTCGCTGAACTCTTTCATCATAGGAGAACAATCGGTTGGGAAGAGTTTCGCCTTGAACCATCTGGTTGATACATCCTTCGCAGGGAGTGCTATGAGGACGACTGGTGAGCACCATGCAGTAGCCACAGTCGAAGCGACTGCTCATAAATGTCAATTCTATGTTTGCAGAGGGCGTATGGATGGCTTTGACGCCTACGGATGACGCGTTGATAGTTGCTCTTGATTTTGAAGGCACCTCCTTTCCCTTCTCGGTCCGCATCGTCACTTTGACTTACGCAATCTGACTCTAGGTGTTCACAGTATCGAGCGCTCTGCTCAGGAAGATACACTCCTTGTGCTTTTCAACACTGCCATATCGAACCTTGTCATCTTCCGTACCAACTTCGCCCTGAGCCGTGACATCACGGGATTGTTCCAGTCCTTTCAATCCTCTTCCTCCGTCCTCGATCCAGCCGCAAATCCATCCCTCTTCCAGAGTACTCTAGCTATTGTGATCAAGGACGTGGTTGATACAGACAAGGCAGAGATCAAGCGCGAGTACGTACATCCTAGTCTTCTCTGAGGTTATAGTGAGCATGAACCTGATCCACCGCTTGAAGGTTCTCTCTCAAGTTTCAGAAGATCGTTCAAGACGAACAAGAGGCAAATTTCATCACGCGTCTTCACGGCGGGAAGCTCGACATTATTCCATGGCCAGTCATAGAGTCGAAGCAGTTCTACCAGTTGTTCCAGAGCCTCAAGAAGCGACTCGATAAACAGACTGTGACACATCCGTCTGCGGGAGAGTTCTTGGTCATGATTAAGACACTGATGGCGAAGCTCAAGGTATGCCCTCATTTCCGTGTCATTACCCTCTACTACAAGAAAAGAATCGCTGACATCTTAAAGGCCAACGACTGGGGTGCTATGGATCGTGAGTCGCCTTTTTCAATAGACATGCCTGAATCCGGTTTTGAGCTTGTCTTTCTGCTTAGAAACGCTTTTGGCCCACCGAGCTCAAAGACTTCTGGCGTTGCTACCAATGGCACTGAGCTCAGGCTCAGTAGATAATGAACTCACGAGCGAACCATTGAAGGTGAGACACTTTCATCCGGTATTTCGCTGAGCGAAATGTGACCTTATTTGATCTAGAACTTCGATATGGATGCCGTCGTTGAAATGGATGATACCTCCGCTCGTTTCTTCCTTTCGAACGGTCATACAGAACCTGGGCTTCGAGAGTCGATGTTATCCGCGCTCATCGATAGCTGGACACTGAGAAATGACGACAGACATACAAAGTCTGACATTGACTGGACTGACGAACTCTCGGCTCACCTAGACGACCTCCTTGACGCGAGGGTGGCCCATGTCCAGGAGTGGATATCATCTAACCTCTCACGCTTCCAAAAGACTGAACATGCGAACATCGATACTCTGCGAAGGACGCTTGATAGCATGATTGTCGATATGAGGTTGGTCTCTCACTGCTTGATCTACCTATGTGCGCACTAATACGCTTTGGAAACAGGTCACACGTGCAGATATGTAAGGCCAAGTGTGCTGGCTGCCTTCTATCATGCTTAAAGGGTCGCGCTCATGAACGAGACGACCCCCACGACTGCGGGACATCCCATCGGTGTCGGTCAGCGTGTGACTTCGGTGAGGAACATGAAGGTGAAATCCCAACCTGTGGCTTCCCGTATGTTCTCTTTCTGGTTTCTCGGTGCACGGCATTGAAACTAACGACCTGTATCAGAGCTGGTCATTCTGGAAAGCACATTTGCATAGTCGAAGCCCACTTATGCGGCGAGCGGTGTGTGCTTTGGGGCAAGAAGGGTTGCCAGGGAGAGTGCACCAAGGTACGCTGAGATGTTTACGAATTCCATCGGTGTTGCTAACGTACACCAGACGGTCGGGCATGACGAAGACCACAAATGTTCTGCTCGCATTCATTCTTGTGGCCTGGTATGTCATCAATGAGTGCTTTCATTGCGCAATGCCCAGTCTATCTAACTGAATCTCCACATTAGCCGTGTGCTTTGCAAGATGTGAAGTTATCTGGTGGCGAGGTGTACACCTGTTCTGAGACCTGCATAGTCCCAAGGTCCGCCACTGGACTTTCTTAGCTTGGCAATCCGTTCGCTGAATTCTAGACTAGCGAGGATGATCATGACGTTCACATCTGCAACCAACCGTCTTGCCCATGCACTTGTCAGTTGTGCAAGAGGCGGTGCTCTAATCGGGATCACCTGCATGGGCTGGAAGATAAAGCTATTCATCTTTGCGGGTCAGTCCATCGGTTGTCTTCCGAAAGCTTTGTCAATGCTGAACGTAGAACAGAGAAAGCCATTCCTGCCACGCTCTTTGTACTGCTACTGGAATCTGTCAGATAGACACAGCGCCTCAGTCCATTGAGGCAACCTTCACCGGAAAGCATGAGACGTTTCAATACACGAAGGTATGTGTATCTCACGAGATCCCTAACCAAACGTCCTCAGTGACACACTTATGTACCGACTTTGAACAGTACTCTCAAGGTATGATACCACACATGATCGCGAGATGTAGGGGACTTATGTATCTTGCTCTTAACCAGATGCGAGGCGTCTACCTTGCGTCGTACCCATACCCCCCGGCGGTACGGATCACCCAGGAAGTCACAGCCATACCATCGACAAGAAGCAGTTCCATTTTTGCGAAGCGCGGTGTGTGTTTTCGGTACAATCTCCTCGTCTTCAGTACTGATGTCGTTCCCAGATGCGAGAATTGTGGTTACTACTGCACTCTCCCACAAGGTAAAGCACTCGGAATCCCTTCTTCATATCGGTAGTTGAGCATCACCAAATTCCTCAGGTCATCCACAGCAAGAACATGAGACGAGCCATGGTTCTATGTCCAAGACTCGATGGGCAATTGACGGTCCGGATGAGGCTACCATGGAGATCAACGGCAGGAAGTTCGCTTCGAACGATGATGGTGCTCCTATGCTGTGTAGTCTCGTTTGTAAAGGTAAAAGGACATTATTGATGTTGATGTTGTTTTTCTGACGATAATGTTGTGATTAGATCAGGGCAGACATACCCACATTGATTTCTGTCGAACCTTACCCGGTGTTCAATGCGAGGGGGCTGACATGCTTCATATTTCCTCACGCATTAAGCCTGAGCCTAATCGCCCCAAGGATCATATATCTCACGGCCTATACTGGAGTAGAACAGGTACGCACTGTGGTTCTTTTGGAGTGGAGCTCTAGACTGAAGGAGACATTCCATAGGGTTCCGTGGTAAGTTCTGTTCCCGTTCGTGGCAAGCATAGCCGAAAATTGACAGGAAAACGTAGATCCATATTCGAGAGAGGAGCAAGCCAGCTTTGCGAAGTGGTATGTCGGTCACATTCAGTTGCCTAACAAACACATCGGTTGACGAAATTTATCCAGCGATGCTATGTGCGCAGGCAAGCGAATTCACAACGTACATCTCTGTGCTGAGCACTGTACCAACGCAAGCGTCTTCAGGTCCAGAACATGCTGGGAATGGAACAGCCCCAGCTCAGCCATCCTATTGCACGCTGCCAATATTCCATCCACGTCAGCCCTTAGGTGGAGCGACGGGCCTGGGGTATGTCTCGAACGATGGCCACTCTTTCGCATGCAAGAACCCAGCTGTGCTACAACAAGCCTACCATATGTAGGTTTCCTCGCGTTAACGATTATTGTTTGACTGATGACCCACACCTTCATCTGTGAAGTATCTTCCTCATCGATCGGTCAGGATCCATGGGATACAGCGACAGGCGTCCTCTTGCAGATACTCCAGTCACTGCCCGGATCAACCGTAGCTGCCCAAATAGGCTAGGAGCAGTTTATTCGTCGTTGCATGGTTTCTGGTCTTCCCGCCACGCCGCTGTCAATGCTCCCGGTTCCCAGGCGACTGGAGGCCGCAGAGATGCATACAGCATCATCTTTTTTGACCACGAGATCCATGAAGGGGTGATGAACAATTTTACGAGTACTCCAGATCAACTTCTCGATAGTGTATTGGCAGTCCAGGATCGCGGTGGTACAGACTTCACGGCGGCATTGACGCATGGTAGAACGGTCATGCAGCGGCACTGGAGCACTGAAAGGTACGAACACTACCAGATCACATAATGATGTGTGATGTGTATTGACGGGATTGCTCTACCTCAGGACTCCTGTCATGATATTTCTCTCAGATGGAGAGTGTGGTATCTCGGATCAGACTGTGCAAGACCTCTGTCGTAACGCGATTACTCTCGGGTACAGTGGTTACATTTCCACCAAGATACTATTCTTAATCACTTCCGCACAGAAAACCACTGTCGCTTCATACCGTCTCGTTCGGTACAGGTAATGATGTCTTAAGAAGGATGGCAAGGATCGCGCTCGACGTCCAGAACGCTGCGCCTCCTGCGCCTGGTGCAATAGCCTCAGCGCCAATCCTTTCATCGTACTCTGAAGCACTCGATACGGTATAGCATGATATTTAATCGATGGATACTACATGTTCTCACTCGTTTTGAATCTCTAGGTTCAGCTGGCTCAGACTTTTCTCGGTCTGGCAGAGTCGTTGCGTAAGCCGAGAGGTTCGCTGATGCGCTGAGAATTGTCGCCGTTTCCCTCCGAGTCGGTCTCATGTATGACTATCTTCGAACTTTTGCACTCTTTCCTTCAGCACTTACGTTTTCTGTTTCTTTCCGTGATCTTGCTTCCTATCCCATCCGCTTCTATGACTCCCTTGAACTTTCTCACCTCGCCCATACTTCTGCCAGTTCCAATCGCATTTTCGAACGGTGTCTTGTGTACTGTACTTTTTCGACCAAGTGTTCGTGGGAGAATTATGTCAGCCGTGACCACCGCTGGGCCACGGTTCGTTCGGGCGGGCCACGCGTGACGAACAAGCGGAATTGTTCGCATTAGTTCCCAAAAATTGAATTTTGGGTGATTTTCAGCGCAGATTCGTCACGATTTTCTGTTCGTGAACCCGTGTGTATGCGTGACCCCGGGACCAAAACTGTTCGCCGACGCCCTCTGCGTGATGCGTGACGAACACTTTGTCGAAAAAGTACAGTATCATTCCAGGCTGCCCTAATCCTATTCGTGCTTTTCTTGTGTTGATGACGGCACTGCGACAAAACAAACGAGAAACATTGTCGTGACGTACCATCGTGTAAGGATATTTGACGACAGATAGATGCAAGATGGATCATGGACGTATCGATAGACGCAAAATAACTTCAGCGGCGATTGAGTGTCACCCGCAGTCTGCCGGCGGAGTATGAAATACCAATGCAGTGGCGTGCGCACTTCCAACCGATGCCTTTGTCCAAATTGGTGTGTACTAGTAGGCACCCTTCCTCCTCATACCATTTGTGTTGAGTTAGACTGATTGCTTCAAAAGGTCAGTTTATGAGCAATACCAGTTGAGGTCAGCCAGATAGTCGCGCGTGCTAACTTACTTTTGTCCCATGATGTCGATCCACTGAAAACTAGAGTCGTACCACTGGACGAGGATGTCTTCCCCTACCACTACCCCAGCCGACGCAGACGCTGCTCCGGTCCCGGAGGAGTCTCCTCGTACAGACCCTATAGAGTTTGGGTCACCTTTTGATGATGACGACGCCGATATCGTCCTCCGATCTTCAGATCTGGTCGACTTCTCGACCTATCGTGTCATCCTTGCCAAAGCATCACCCGTGTTCAAGTCGATGCTCTCAATCCCTCAACCTTCATCTTCTTCATCCGACTCTTTACCAAACTCCGGAGACTTGCCCAAGCGAGGACTTCCTATCGTCCCTATCTCAGAAGAGAGTCAGGTCATTCACAGCTTATTGTCGCTCATAATGCCTGTCGATCTATCTCCTCCATCGTCCCTCGACGAGGCATTCATGATCGCATCGGCTGCCCAAAAATATGATATGCGTAGTGCTATGGAGCGTTCCCGCGGACTTCTTCGCAACTTCGTGAGCGACTCTAATTGCATACGTGCGTACGGCACAGCCTATCGTCTACGTCTACGAGAGGAGATGATTATGGCCGTCCCATTGACCTTGCGGCGCGACCTATCCCTAAGCAGCCTTGGGGTTGACCTTCGCCATCTCACGGGCTCTGCCCTATACGATCTATGGGTCTACCGTGCTACATGCGCCAAAGTGATATCCAAATTTATCGACCAGAAAATAAGCAACGGAGACGGTGCCGAGTGGCTTCCTCGTGGACATAGTACCTCTGCGTCTAGAGGCTGCATCAGTACTATCATGCGCACATCTATACCTGCCTGGTATCATGCATTTGTTGGTCAAATTGCCCTGACCATGGCGGAAGACCCCGAGCAACGCTTTCCCTCTCGCTCACAAAAATTGGACAGCCTCATCTCGGCGTGTCAGGATCATTCCAAGCACTGCCGATACTGCCTGGAGAAGTATGACCATGTCGACGTATATCGACAGATGTGGGCGAAGTTGATGGATACTATCGACGAAGTCATCGCGCAGGTGAGCATGACCCATTTCCTAGTGACCACTGCCATCGTTCTTTCTTGCGGCTCAACGATTCAATTTACAGGTCGATCTAGCTAAACAGTTTTCGGGGTTTTAAGTCTTGTAGTCCGTTCTGTCAATGTTGATTGCCATCCATTGCCATCTCTCATTTCTCTCTACACCATCTGAAGTATCACTACTGTATGTCAAATTTCTTGGTCTCTTTGCATACACGCGTCCTTCTGCGTTCGAGTGTTACTCTTTTTTACGACCGGAATACATCGTTGTTGTGCTGTACCACCTTGTTTTGACCTCAACCTCCAATCTGCAGCCCATGTTGCTTGTCTTGGGTTGTTTTAATCATCATTCCCGTAGCATCACTTGAGTATCATGCATGCGTGCCATAGCCATTCCGAACCAAAAACCTGATCGTAACAGAGAGATAGAATTACAGATTATACGCTGTAAAATTCATGCAGAAGTCCTCTAAGCAACAGCTGAAGTCTTCGCCTTCGGTTCCCCGAGTTTGCTCCCATTCGAAGGTGATCCCGTTAGCGTCTCTACATCGACTTGGCGGCACATATCCTCGCAAAGTGAGGGTAGAAGATAACCAGGATGAAAGAGGTTGAGAGTAAACATAGCAAGAACAATCATCGCGCCATCGAGTACGTCTGGACAGTGTGGCGTCCACATGAGTAGGAAGAACAAGACCTGGGAGAGATCGAGAAGAACGCACTGAAGTAGGCTTGCGTCCTGATGATATGGCCACGCCACCCTCCTGCCAGCTCGATTGTGCGGTAAACAGATCTGCGAAGGACAAACATCCAGCTTAGCACGACCACCTATAACCTGATGGCATAAAAATAATCGCACCTCACGATAATGAATAATGTCAGCAGTCCTAGTCCTACCAGCATCGTTTTCGTCCTCGCATCCATCGATACATTACCGTTTCTCCTTTCCCAATTACTCACCCTGATTCTGAGAGGCTTGTCCAACTTCCACCTCGTCAGATATTCCAAAGCAAGAATCGAATATAATACGGCCACAGCGAGCTGAAAGACGATGCCACCCAGCATGATGTGCCCTCCATCGACAGTTCCCTGCAGTGTCGTGGCAGACGAAGCGATGCCGCCGCCAACGGCCTGGACTATGAGAGCTATAGAATCCTGAAAATCGAGATAAGAGTGGAGTTGAACAAACAACAAAGATAATAGGAGACATTCGAACGTACACACATCAAGAATATCTTAGCATACCACGTTCCACTCAATCGGGAGTACTGCTCGCCTAGCCGTGGTACGATGAGTCCGAAGATAATGAAGTCTGCGGCGAGGAGTGGTGTTGGTCCGATGATGGTTAGCGTGATTCTGTGGCGGTAATCCCCGGGATTTCAGCAAATGGAACTGACAGCTCTGTAATTAGAGGAATGATGTACTGCATAGTGAAAGCGCTGTCAGAGTAGGGATTGATTCCTGACCATAGCCTTCCTGACCAGCCCATTATCTCTAGAAGTCCTGCGAGTGCAGCTGTGGGCAACAACCACCACAAACGATAGCGTGTGGCTTGGGCGATGTGCAGTACTATCAGGGCACAATGAGGAGATCGCGAGAAGGTGAATGAGGAAGAGTTGAAGGTGAGTCGAAATCAACAACTGATGAGCGCGTGCGGCTTGAGAGGGGAACGTACGGGTGGAGATAGAGTATAGTGCAACGAAGAGACCGCAGATCCATTTAGTCGGGACGTAGCCGTAGTTGGCCAATCGGGGATCTTCATTCGGATCAGTGTAGCGTGCATAGGGGAGGATATTTGAAGATGGCATTGCGTCTGAAGAAGGGGAAAGTGTAAATATTGCACAAAGCGCTTGGGAAGGAAGGCATCATTCCTTATATACTCTGCTAAACATTCATCAAACTGTATGGCGGATGTTCCGTCTAGGAGGCTATCAATTCAACATCGTCGAACACCTCGAAATCTTGGCAGAGTGAACGATTTCGGCGGTTGACATGCCCCTCGCAAAACTGATATCTGACTGAGCACGACGAGAACTACGTGCAGGCGCATCCACAGCTCCAAGTGTCTCTATATCAATCGCCGAACGGAGCAGTTAAAGGAGGTAAAGCAGCGAGGATCTGACAAGGATCTGAAGTGTGCAAGTTTAGTGTGCGGAAAAGCCGAGAATGGCCAAGATGACATCTCTTGGCCCTCCCGATATGCTTGTGTGGAACAGCATCGTGGACTTGATCTCAGACTGGAGCGATGAGAAGAGAGCACGAGCGGGTACAGGTGAGCATCATACATCGAACTTCGTCGCGACTATCGAGGTTCAAAACCAACATTCCTGGTGGCTGTGCGCTGGCCATGCGCGATCGGCAAATGGCGGGTACGCCACATGGAGACAGGATGGGCCACACTCAACTCATCCTCACCGATCGGCGAAAACTGAAGACATGTTGGGCATGAAAACCAACGACTTCAGTAGAGTAGCGCACTCGATAGCGATGACAGACACGGACAGAGCCCAAATGGCATTACGTAACCAGAATAGTCCATCAAATGCAAATGCGAAAGTCCATTGAAGATAACACCACGACTATGCAAAAGAAGAAAGGAGCTAAGCTATTAAAGTCCATAACACCTGTTGACAGGCATATATTCAGATGAAGAAGAGATGATAACGAGTTCAAGGGTACGTACCGGAATTTCCATGTTTCAAGCATCCGACGAGGAGGCAGAGGAAGTAGCCGATGACATGGGCATTTGCGTCCAGGTCATGACCTTCGTGGTGGTGACAAAGTAGGGAGACTCGCTGATGTACGCGTTCATTAGACGAGTGGCAGTAACAACTTGGCCAGTGCCGGTGGAGGTGGAGGTGGAGTTTTCGACGCTTGAAGTGACCGATGACACCTGCACCATGGTGGTGAGCAGACAGTATTTGCGTGCGATAAACTTCGAAGATAATGATAGAAGAAGGCTTACGACAGCGCTAGAGGACGCATATGAGGTTGACCCGGACTCAGTGAAGTTATCCTGCGCAAAACAAAAAAGATCAGAAATAAGTGACAAAGAAAGGGGAGAAAGAGCTCACCGATGCAGCAAAAGCCGCTGTAACGAGAGTGAAGAGAACAAAGAGCGACTGGGAGAAGTTCATGGTGTTAAATGGGTTGATATGCAAGCCGAAACAGTCTCTGAAAGCGAGAAAAAGACGGGTCAAGTGGGATTGCGAGGTGATGAGCTCCCGACGTAGCTGCTGGTCGATACTTGTATCCTTCAGGGCTGGAAACTGACGAAACATCCGACGAAGAAGCAAGAAGTTTACCGACTTCGTTACGTGGCGATAGAATCCTTCGCCGTACATCGGCGAAAATAACTGTTTGATTTCTTTCCCCGTTCCTACTTCTCGTTATCCGCAGTAGCGGTTAGTTGCGGTAGAAGCACCTTACTCTGTGTCACCGCCGGAGAGGACGCGTGTCCGAGGAACAAAGAAGTGATGGCGCGAGTCAAGTGACTGTTCCGAGGTCCACTGCGCAGAGAATGGTCTTGGCAGTATCGTGGTGCTAAACACTGCGCATCGAAGCAAGATCAAAGCAAGGAAATATACGTCAGTGAATTGTGCAGTGCTCTGGTAGTAATATCAGTATCGTTTTGGCCATGGTCGCCAATGTTTTTCGGGGGAGAAACCTGAGCTGATTGTTCAGACCCCGACCATCAGTATAGAAGCGATCCATCTTGTATCGTCTATCCACTCGCACAAAAACAAGAGACAGAAATGCACTTTCGTGCAAGTCCCTTCAGCCAGTTTTCATCAAGACTCGTTAGAAGCCGAATGAATCTCCAAGTCTGCGGAGTAATGAGGCGGTCGAGCGGCTGTCGAAAGAAGCTGGCTCGGTTATGAGACCCGAGTAAGTAATAGGAAGGAGGAAAAGAACAACCGTTTCTGGCGGGAGCAAGGCTGTTGTGAGCATAAGTCGTACTCTGAGGCACCATTGCCAGAGTCGAACTGCGCAGCAATTGGACCTTGCCACTGTTGTGAGCCTCAGCGAGTCGGCAGTTGTGGATGAATAGCGAGAGTCAAGTCAAGAGTCAAGTTCGCAGGACGTTGTCCAATTCTGATTGCTCACTGTTTCACGAGACATACGAGGAGTCAGCTTTCAGCCAGAATATCCGAGTACAAAGGCCGCGAAGGTTGTGGAATTGGTTGACAAACAAAAGCAGTGGCCGAAATACGGGGTGTTGATTTTCGGAATGCGCCGAGGCCGATAGGAGGGCTCGGCTCGCACAACCCCTGCAGACGTTCACTCTCATCCGCCTCTCACATCTACGCAGTACTCTACAGTACCCTTGCCGCTCCTGGTTGCACTATCCCTTCGCAAAGGTTGTGGGAACTAGTCATAGAATTATTCATGCTCAGAGTCCTGGTTCTTGCTGTCCAGTGAGTTCTGATGACTTCTTTTCCTCGTGGTTGCTCAACCGCGGAGGCGTCTTACCATGATGAATGCGACTTGGAGAAGACGACCACGTCCATACGCGGCGGAGTCGACCCGTATCCGCTTCCTCGGACTTCCTGCGCCGTCTTGAATATTGTTGAATCCTGTTGAATCCCGTTGTTCGTTCGGTGGCTTCTGGTACCTGGTTGACTGCGTTCGGTACGTTTTTGAAGGTACCCAAGCACGATAGCCGACCTGCTTCTCCGAATTTTCTTCCTGTGTCCCTGGAGCTCCAGCGAGTCTCACCTTGCCTCCGGAGGCTCAAAGTCCGAAGAATACCTCAGCCTTGGTTGAATCGGACAGCTTTGTGTTTACCCCTGAGTCCTTTGTGCAGCTTGTCAAATGTATTTGCTGCATTCAGCGTATTCTCGAACTACGCTGCCGTCTCCTTACACTTTGGAACCACCTGCACGATATGCAGGCAGGCAGGTCGATGTCTTCTGTAGTCCCTTATGTACCCTAGGAGTAGCCATTCACACAAAGGCGGAGAACTCTTGACGACCTTTTACGCGAGCCCGCAGGCCCGAAGAACCCGTCAACGACGATTCGGACGACTTGTTGTCATCTCTTCTGGATATCAATACCAATATCCTGGCTTCGATTTCTGATCTCCGCAACCTGGGCCGTTAAGCATGTCGCGTAGTCCGCTGACCTTCGGTGTATATGTGCATCTTGACTGATTTTTGCAGTTGTAAAGAGGATCATGGGTGGAGACGTATAAGAGCAGCTTGAGTCGCATCCCGAATACCCCATCTCCGGTTCTTGCATTTACTCCCTTCTGGAGCTTCTTTCCATTCTTTTGGTATCTTCAAACCCGACTATGGCAAACATTGTACTCCCTCTCTCCTCCCTTCTTCTCGCTGCTGGCGCCATGGCGGCCATTGGCCCAGTCACTGACCTTCAAATCACCAATGTGGAGCTGGCACCAGACGGCTACACTCGCGAGTACGTTTCAAGTTTTTCACTTCCGTATTATCCCTTGCTTACTACTCTTACACCAGCACCGTGTCTGCTGGAAGCGTGTTCCCAGGCCCGCTCATCACGGGAAACATGGTACGCTCCACGTCTTGTCAATTCTGTCTGTTTCGTTCTGCTAACCAAGACATCACAGGGTGACACTTTCCAGATCAACGTCATCGACGAACTGTCTGACAGTAATATGCTCAAGACAACGTCGGTGGTGAGTGGCCTTCCTTCCAATTGCATGTCTCGGCTGCTCATCATACACTTTTCTCGTAGCATTGGCATGGTCTATTCCAATCTGGTACCACAGGCATGGACGGTACGCATCCTTCTTATACTACTCAAATATAGCGACTGACTTTCGAAGCAGGTGTTGCTTTTGTTAGCGAATGCCCCATTGCACCCAACAACTCCTTCACATACGACTTCAGCGTACCCGATCAAGCAGGTAGGCCACCTTTGCCTGAAGCGCTTTGTACCCTCACTGACTCAAGTGACCGACCCCTAAGGAACATTTTGGTACCATTCGCATCTTTCTACTCAATACTGCGATGGCCTGCGTGGTCCTATGGTCATCTATGACCCTAACGACCCGCACGCATCGCTGTATGATGTTGACGATGACACTACCATCCTGACTCTCGCGGATTGGTACCACGTTTTTGCCCCAGATGCTGGTTTGGTTCCGTACGTCTTCACTCAGCATTGGTCAATCTGTCTATCGACTGAAGATTTCTCTATCCAGGACGGCCGATGCTACTCTCATCAACGGCCTCGGTCGTTACGCAGACGGTCCGGCATCGGACCTTGCGGTTATCACGGTCGAGTCAGGCAAGAGGTATGTTTACTGGGCACGTCGTAATAAAGATTTCCTCTCACTAGTAATTTTCTTCCCCCAGGTACCGCATGCGTATGATCAACATGGCCTGCGATCCCAACTACACCTTCTCCATCGATGGGCACACCATGACCATCATTGAAGCCGACGGTGTCAACGTCGACCCACTGGGTGTGGACTCGATTCAGATCTTCGCTGGTGAGCGATCGTCATACTCATGACTATTCGCGAGTAGACGTGCTGATAATTATACTAGGTCAACGCTACTCCTTCGTTCTCGAGGCCAACCAGACCGTCGACAACTACTGTTAGTCTCATCCTCCGGCCTCGTTATCAACGTTGAATGCTGATAATAGATATAGGGGTCCGCGCACTCCCAAGCGCGGGTACCACGTCCTTTGACGGCGGTCTCAACATGGCTATCCTCAGGTACTCTGGTGCCGACGAAATCGACCCAACAACGAACCAAACTACGAGCACCATGGCCCTTGCCGAGACGGACCTCCACGTACGTGTCTTGATAGCCCTTGCGTATAATCAGCGATTTTAATCGTTTATCACGTCCAGACTCTTGGCGCGACTGCGGTAGCTGGGACTGCTGAGCAGGGCGGTGCCGACGTTAACTTGAACTTGGCTGTCGCTTTCGTAAGCTTCAATATCTTGCTTGCTACATTGCATGACAAACTGAGAGAGCCGGGCCCGTTCTTAGGATGCTACCGCCTTGCAGTTCACTGTGAACGACGTTCCCTTCACCCCTCCCACCGTCCCCGTCCTCCTCCAGATCCTGTCTGGATCGAAGTCAGTCCAAGAGCTCCTTCCATCCGGTAGTATCTACACCGTTGAGAGGAACAAGACCATCGAGGTCTCTATTCCTGCCGGTGCGGCGGGCGGTCCTGTATGTCTTCATCCTTTCATATAGCTCGTGGTTCCCGTGCCTGATACCACTCCCAAATACTTCGTATAGCACCCTCTGCACCTTCACGGCCACGTCTTCGATGTCATCCGGAGTGCAGGCAGTGATACCTATAACTACGTGAACCCCGTCCAACGCGACGTCGTCTCTATGGGCGTAGATGGCGATAATGTTACCATCCGGTTCACTACCGACAACCCTGGCCCCTGGATCTTGCACTGGTGAGCCCTTGCTCTTTCGTTGGACCATTTTGACCATATTCTGACATGATCTCATCGACAGCCACATCGACTGGCATCTTGAGGCCGGGTTCGGTATAGTCTTCGCAGAAGACGTCAACAACACCGCGTCTGCTAATGTCGACACCAGCGCGTGGGACGATCTCTGTCCTATCTACGACGGGCTTACCTCGGACCAGCTCTAAAGTTTGGGGTGGAATGCTCTGTTGCCTGTCGTTTTCACTGGACTTTGTTCACTTTGCATGCAGTCTCCCAAAAGAGACTGTCTCATGGACTTCTTTCGTACCTACCTCTCCGTCCCGATAGTCTTGTTTTCCATCACTCAACACATCATCCTGCTCACTCTGCACTGCAATCTTGTCCTGCTATTTTTGGTTCGTTAGTTTACGGTCTCCTTCTTTGTTCGCGGTTTAACTCTCATGGACTCTCGCACACCCTCATTTCTCTCCTCCTCCTTGTACATAAATACGTAGCGTCGCATCCCTATACCTCTGGTGTCCGTCGGTGTCCGTCGATGTGTTCATCTCATGCTTCCATCTGCCCTTATGCAAGCTCACATATCTCCGCTCCGATTCTCACTACACTCCTACTCCCTGTATGGCAACTCACACTTACTACTAATGAAGGCTGTACTGGCCTCGTCGTAGTGTACTTATGATCTTTTAGTCAGTACAAAATGCAATCGCCATCCTCATCTATCGTCTCTTCTGTGCGATCTCTTCTGCTGGGTTTGGGCGATCGCAAGCTAAGCATATAACATCTTGTGTTCTTCAGAGCAGGGTCGTGCTCCCTTATCGCCCTGGTAAGAGGTGCGGACACAAGTCTAGCTCAAGAGTTAAGTTATACGCAAACCCTCGGTCCCAATTACTTATATCAGGATGAACTTGCTATAGTGGTAAGCGGCGCCGCCGAAACCCGTGTGGACTGCCTGCGCATTTATTTATGGCATCAACTTCGGTCTGTCCGCGGAGGGACGTTAGCGAACGTTCGTGCAGGGTGAACAAGGAAGCGAGCTAACTGCGGCCGACAGTGCACGCGTTATGTTCGTAAGCGTCTAACATCGCAAGGATTCTTGAAGGATTCTGGACCAACACAGATGTGGAGTTCAAAAGTACAACGTGTTCAGTCCCCGAGAGCGAGATACTGACTCGGACAAGGCATATCAGCCTCTGCGGAGGTCGAATGTCCACGGTAGTTGAAGAGGACAACCTCGTCCTATTTCGTTACGAGGCCAATATCGAAGGGAGGCCAATAACATAGAGCAACAGCCAATTTTGATGTGGAATCACAATAAATGACAGTGATGTTTTAGGCATTCTGTGGCGCTACCGTCACTTGACCTTTCAGTTATGCTTTCATCTCGGCCTCTTCACCTTCTTCAGGCCAAAAGCCCTCCTCAAGCTCAATAACTCTGGCCCATATTTCCTCCGACTTAGCCCACTGCTCTGACCCCGGCTTCACATCGAAGCTATCGACGAGAACAGCCCATCCTTGGACGAACTTGACGAACTCGTCGTTGGTCCAGTGTTCCGCAAAGGATGCGAGAGCAGCATTGTCTTCAGAAGAATTCTCCATATTGGAGGTCACGTACCTCCACGCATCGAGGTAGCACTTGCGAACGCGTGCACAATATGAGAATGAATATATATCGCCCTTGGAAAAATACGAGTGTCATTGAGATGACCGGGCAACATACCTGCTCCATAGCCCACACATAGACCAACCCGTCAATCAAAGTACCTTCAACTCCAATCCTCGCCATTTCCGCCAGATAATCCCTCGTCCCCTTCCTCACCTTCCACCCATCCGTCTCTAACCCAAATCTCTCCGCCTCTCTATCGAAATACTCGACCTCGTCCGCTACATTCTTCAATGTGTCGATACATACGTTCAGAACCCTTTGATTCTGATTCTCCTCGACTGACGTTTTCGAATGCGCTGATGAGAATGGTATAGCTGAGATGATTCGGCCGATGAGGCGGGGGTAGGCATGCGCCGCGTAAGAGCGGTCTTGGGAGAGCCAAAGTGCGAGACGAGAGGGCGGGAGAGAGCCATTCGCCGCGGCGGAGAGGAAAGGGTGTTGAGTTGCCTTGATATAGTCTGGCTTATGGAGGGAGTAGAGGTGTTGGGTGAGCGACAACATGACCGTCAAAAGCAAGTAATTTTGAATCGACGGAGGCCCCACTTGCCACATACCCCCCTGTCCGGAGGAACCCGTTAAGTGGCACCAAGCGCTTGATGTGGCGCAGGAATTTTTCAAATACGTCGTTATATACAACAAAAATGAATCGGGACTACAGATATGATACAGTGCAGGGATACGAAAGTAATATTGTTGCCCCACCGAAGCAATTAAGATGGAAGAGCAAGAATAGAGAAGAAGAAGGAACGAAGAACACGAAGAAAAGGCAACCCCTCTCGGACCAGTCGAAAAGGGCGCAGTGACCGTAGAACGAAGTTGACACACATATCTATGATCGAACGCAGGAGCTCTTGCGCTCATCACACTACAATTCAATCTTACCACAGCAGCCCATTCTGCTCATTCCCTCTCGGTCGGAACCAATTTCTCACACTAACCGACCACGCACGAGGCCCGCCACCGAGTCACCACCTCAACGACCCTCCCATTCTGATCAACATCAACGTTGTCACCACCTCAGTCACCACCGGCAGCGCGGAAGGTTGTATCGTCAACACCGCATGTTCTCCGGCCCCATGTGCATGTCCATTTGCGAACGGATACGGAGCGGCACGCGCGTTTTCGTATGGAGGAACGACGGCTGCTCCAAACTCGAACGCATAGTTCGGCGTCATTGGGGATGTGACTGGCGATATAGGTGTGGTTGGAGGTTGGTGGAAGGAGGATTGTGTGTTACTGCGAGAGCGCGTTGCGCGTGGACGCGGGAGGTCTGGGTGTTTAGCCTGGTAGACGGCGAGGAGTTTGTTCCCGTCGGAGCACTATTTGGGGGAGACGGGGATGAAAGGGGAGATATGTATTCAGCTTCGAGGGAATGGATGTCAAATTGAAACGAAAGGAGGGTGTCAAGCAGACGCGGGAGAAGTGGCGCACCTCCATATGCCCCGAGGAATCCGACAACTTCCACCTCAACTCCTTTCCCATATGAGTCGTGAAATACCTCATCCTACGTTTTGATTTGCGCTCGTCAGCATGCGTTACCCGAGTTCCGTAAAGACCAAACACTCACGACGCACTGCCTCTCTTCTTCCTCACGACACTCGTCATGCTCTGCGCCTCCGCGTTTCCGTAAACAATATATCCTGAACCAGGTGCGCTTTCAGGTCCGAAATAGAAGTATGTGGCCCCGGGACCAGAGATGGTGTGGTATATGGCGCTCCATAGCTGCTCGCGTCGAAGGCGTACTAGAGTGTTTGGGGTAGTCGGGGTACGCTCGGCCTGACAGCGGGATGAGAGAAGTGAGGAAAGATCAATTAGGCGGAGTCATAAGATCAGTAGGGTAGCACGAACCTCTTGACTATGGGATTGAGTGATAAATTCAGCGTCTAATCGGATGGATGAGAAAGATCTCGGATAAGGGACTTACATGGTGAAAGCAGCCTCTCCATGCGCATCTTCAAAGACCGTATTGAAAGGGTTCGACCCAATTTGAAGCAGAACGATCGGTGCAGACATGTTTCCTCTCAGAAAAGGTTGACCAAAAGACGAGATAACAACAGGGAAGTGTCAACCAGCCGTGACAAGACGGAAGGGAGAGACGAAGGGAGAAAGGGGGGTGAGTCAAGGGGACGGGGAAGAGAAAGGGAAAGGGAAAGGATCATTCCCATCGGACGCTCTTCAGGTACCTTATACTTCTCAACCGTACATGCAGCTTCAGCATGACGGTAGAGACCTCACAGAATCGGGTATCAATAATCAGCGATAGATCTAGACAGGTTTGTTTGCCAGTACTTGATGTGGAAGGTACGAGCCCGCCGGTGCATTCCTCAGCCTCCGGAGAACAAAGCCTTCCTTCTTGGGCAAAAACGAGTTCGGTCCGAGAACAAAGGCAGAGGAGCCTACTCGGACTTCGTCACTCGATGCCAATCAGGGGCTGATTACCTATAGAAGTTTTTTTTTGTTGTAAATCAATCCCAGATACCTTTGCGACCTTCAAAGCGATGATCTCCGTTAACAATCGAGCGGAGTGACTGGGTGGGTAGGGATTGAAGGCGAATCCTACTGAAGAACGAAGTGTAAGAAAGCATGCAGAAGACGACGGACTCAGGCTCAATTACCTGACCATCATCACGTACGCTTCAATACGGAATAACGCGTGCTACATTGCATTTTAGGCAAGATACAAAGGTCAGTCCGAAATCGTGTAGCACCAATGAGTCGCGAGGACCCTGCATTTCCTCGTTCCTACCCACGCTGCCTCGGACGGGAAGCAATGGAGCTCAGGTGCTTGGGCCTTCGTGCAATGAATCCGCGGACCCGCCCACACAGTACCCTTCGTTGTTAACGAGACAAAGGACTAGTGAAAGGGCCCGGGTTCGAGCTGTCTCGGAGAGTACGCCCGAAGTGGTTGTTCCTGGAATCGGCACTCACGCAGCATGACGGCTGAACCAGGATTCAGAGAACATCAAACCCTATTCTCACCATCCATGGTATGCACACGCATCGAAGTCGAGAAGGAGATGCACAAAGCCTCTAATGAGATGCAAAGACTTACCGAAGTCCGAGTCGTCGCGGAACTGTGAGTGAATCTGACAGTTGTGTGACCTCTACCCCCAAACAAAATTTGGAGATATAAAATGGATGGACAGTTATTATGAGAAAAGTATCAGATGAGATAGATTTCAAAGTAGGTAGTAGGCTTCACAAGCACGTCGGAGTCGAAGGAGCTACATCCAAGGTTCTGGTTCAGCTCAAAGCTGGGCCTGCGAAGTTCGCGTGGGACCCACGTGGAACAAGAAACTGCGGACGTTTGTGGCCCAATGGTGCCACTCGATGGACTATGCTCCCAAATCGCCCACTGGGATCATTCATGAATGTCATGCCTACAGAACAGAGGGCGAGGAAACATTGTGACCAAAGCCTGTCCAGAGACAATCTTGTTCCCCAAACCAGCCAACTTCAACTTCGCGGACGCTGCCAAGGGTTGTGCTACTTACTCGGCCCCATCCGCATGCACGAAACCCATAGAAATCAACGTCTATTCAGTAGTATCACAAACAAACAACAAATTCACTTTCACTCCTTTTACCCATACACCCGCTTTGGTTTCCTCTCCTAGCACGTTCGATAAAAGCTTTTTACAAGACCTTCTCAGTGAGCCCAAGGCCCTCCTGCTCCAACAACTCGCGGATCGGGTCGCAGATTTCCTTGGAGTAAGGGACCTGGATACCGGTCTGGTTGATGACGCCGTCAAGGACGAGTTGAGTGGCGATACCGCAAGGAACGCCAACGGTAAGGGCCATGGCGGAGTGACCACCGGGGACACCGTAAGCCTCGAGGGTGGAGGTAAGGATTTGCTGTTAACACATATGGCGTACGAATCAGTCAACGATATTCGGCACTTAGTGGGGAGAAAGAAGAAGCGATGAGAGGATGAGTGTAACGCACCTCGGAGCCATCGGCCCACTCGACGAAGAACTTGTGCTGGAGCATGACGAGATCACGCTCGCCCTCCTCATACTTCATGAGCGTCTCAAGCTGGGCACAAAGTGTGTCCAGAAGGTTTCCAGAACGGGGCTTGACTTTCTCGTTAGAGAAGAGGCCGATCCAGCGGAGACCAGAGATGATACGGGAGGCTTCCGTAGGGTCAGGGAAGTTGCACACCGATTTGACCTGGGCGACAAGGGTGCTGTAGAGTTCATGGGCAAGAAGTCAGTAACAGGTTAATAACGATGGATTGGGAGAAGGACAAACCTCTCAGAAGCGTCTGCCGCACCAGTGGCCTTCTGCATAACCTCAGACCAAGTCAAACCTTCCTTTAACCACTCCTTTGGCTCAGCATCCAACCATCCGAGCTTGACGAGCGCCCCGATGAACTCAGGGAAGCCCTGATACCTCAACGTCCCACGAACGACAGTCTCCGCCTCAGGAATGTTGTACCACTCCCGAAACGGAACAGAGTTGCGGTTTGGGTACGCGACGAAAGCGAACGCAGGAGAGATATAGTAAGGCTTAGCGTAGCCCATGAGGTCTTTTCCTTCGATATCGAGCTGCTTGCCGCCGGAGAGGTAAGACCCGGAGTTCAGGAGGGCAAGGAGGACGCCGCGGGAAGACCAGGAGAATTTGTAACCGAGGGGGTTTCCGGAGCATTCGGGAGCAGGGAGACCACCGCAGTACGACAAGAATTGCTTCACCTGCTGGGAGATCAGCACATTTTACGAAGTGTAACGAGATGGAGGACGCTGACCTTGCCACCCTTCTCGTGGACCTCACTGATGGTCTTGACAGCATACAAATGATCGATACCAGGGTCAAGACCGATCTCGTTCATAACGACGATACCAGCCTTCTTCGCCTCCTCGTCGAGCTCTCTGATAGCAGGGGAAACGTAGCTGGTAGTCACAACGTTGGTCTTGCCCTTGATGGCGGCCTTGATGACGGTGGCGTGGTAGGTATAGGGGATGAGCGAGATGACGAGGTCATGAGCAGCAACTTCGCGCTCGAGATCAGCAGTGGAGTTAACGTCAAGGGAGATGGCGCGAGAGTCAGGAAGGCCATCGATCAAGCCCTCGGCGGTCGCGAGCGTCCTGCAGGCTATACAACGATTAACTCCCCACTATCGCGAACGAGCCGATCATACAACACATACCAACAGTGAGACGGTTAGAAGGGTCACGGACGATGTACTCCGCGGCGGGACGAGCGACGAATCCACTGCCGAGAAGAAGAATTTTCTTCTGTGCCTTGTTCGCCTCGACCTCAGCCTTCAACGCACGTCCAAACTTCGGCATGATGTTTTTGTTCTCTTCAATCAACGCACGACCAAACTCGGGAAGCGTAAACGCGACCTTGTGAACGGCCTCGTTGTAGTACCTGGTGTCCGGGACCTTGCGCACAGGAGTCGTCAGGTCACGGCCCTTCTCCTTCGAACAGACGAGGAACCCAATCTGGCCGGATGGGTAGGTGGGGATGGTGGTGTAGGCATACTCGGCGGTGGGAAAGATGGAGAGGGTGTCCTGGCGGATTTTGGAGATGAGAGGGAGATGGAGCCAGAGGCACTCGGCCTGTGTGGAGATGTGGCCACCAGGAGTAAGTGCGTCGTGGAGGAGTTGGAAGTAGGGCTTCTCGAAGAGGGATGCGGCAGGTCCGACAGGGTCAGAGGAGTCGGTGATAATGACATCGTAGGTGGAAGTGTTCTCGGCGAGGAACTTGAAGCCGTCACCGACAAAAACCCTAACACGGGGTGAGTCAAGGAGCCCAGCCATGTGAGGCAGATATTTCTTCGATACACGAATGACAGCCTGTGTACATAGGCTTCAATAATGAGTATGACGAAGAAAAAATACATATACGAACCTCATCGATATCGCAAAGAACGACCTCTTCGACTGTGTCGTGCTTCAGGACCTCTCGGACGACGCCACCGTCACCACCACCAATGACCAGGACCTTCTTCGGGTTTGGGTGGCTTGCGAGAGGAATGTGGGCTATCATCTCTTGATACCTTTGCATATAACAAGCATGATTAGAAAACGTGGAAGGTGAGGGTGAAAGTGCTGGGAGTGTTGAGGATACGGGCAATCGAGCACTCGGAGGGGGCACGGAGCACGACAACGGATCGATAGGCTCGAAAATCGTAGCCCATAGTCATTATGGCCTCACTTTATCTATCCCGAGCCCGACGACAATCCGCGGCCCTGACTACCTCACACTATACCTCTTCCCTCTTCCCGCTCTGATCTCTCATACCAAACATAACAAACCAGAAATGCGAGAAATACTCACGAGAACTCATCCCTCTCAGTACATTGGATGACTCCATCGAGGATGAGAACATTTCCGTAGGTCTCCGATTCGAAGACCAGAACGTCCTGGTAAAGTGACTTCTCGACATGGAGGATTTTGTTGACCTTCAAAGTCATGGCCTGACCGGGCCACTGGGACGAGATCTCGCGGAACCAGCCATCTATAATACGAGACAATTTTTAGATATATAGGCATACTTGAATACAGTATAGATCATACCTTTGATTGAAGGGTGGGTGAGGGGAGCCATCGTAGTGAAGACGAAGGGGTGTTAGCTCTGCTTTCAAAATTTTGATCTAGGATACATCGCATTATCTTATCTAAAGCATAGTTAACGGTTGATCTTGACGACCCGACAACACGGCGTAGCTCCTTCGCCACCAGCCACCATGATTATCGCACTGATCCAGTCTCAGCTTCGGTTCCTTTGTGTGGGCCAAGGTCAAGGAATTTGCTGTAAATACCATCAGCTTGAGTACGTTGGTGACTTACAGTAGCTTGACTTACAGTAGCTTACAGTTGGTTTCTCTAGCTCGCAGCGCAACACTGAATTCGAACCATCTTGCCGGCTCTCTCACGCCGTATTCTCCAACTCGTTCTCACTCCATGATAGGCTTTTTATACCGAGTATCTCCCTCCTTTGGTTGCGCCTTTCGTTGCTTGGTTAGCGACAGGAAAATTGCACATTGTGCAGTGAGTGGTGGAGCTCCGTCCTTCCGGGCAAGAAAACTTACCAACGCATCTTGGACACCTCACGTAAGTAAGAATCTGGTCGAGTCACCCCAACAATTCGATTTCAAGTTCTCAGGAGGTAGTATTAGGTGACCCTGAATAGTTCAGGTGTCTCGTCCAACTCACGATCTAGTAACCTCCATGGCATCCCTCACGCATTCTTCGATCAAAGGTCCGTACATTCTCGCATCGCCGTTAGCGTTGGTACTAAATTGATTTGAATTTAAAACGTAGATGGTCCCACGTTTGGGCATGCTGCCAACGTCGGAAAACAGGCGAAGAAGCCGATGAAACAAGTATTACTTCTCGGTAGTGGTTTCGTTGCTGGGCCTGCCGCAGAGTATATCATGCGGGAGCCGTCTAACCGTCTTACAGTCGGTGAGTAGTCCACCAATGATCTAAACTCGTTCTAATGCTATATCCTTCAGCATGCAGAACTCTTGAAACGGCACAAAAGCTCATCGGAAACCTCCCTGATTGTCGTGCTATCTCCCTTGACGTCAACTCCACTCCCGACCTCGAACGCGAAATTGCCGCTCACGATCTTGTCATCTCTCTCGTTCCCTATATTTACCACGCCGCCGTCATCAAGGCAGCCATCAAAAGCAAGACGAACGTCGTTACGACGAGTTACGTTTCACCCGCTATGCGAGAACTGGACGAGGAGGCAAAAAAGGCTGGTATCGTCGTCATGAACGAGATCGGCGTAGATCCAGGAATCGATCACATCTACGCCATCAAGACCATCGACGAGGTCCACGAAAAGGGCGGGAAGGTGAAGATAGTCTCTTATTTTCCCTCAACCATGGCCCTGACGGTTTGGTTGGACAGGTCAAGGAGTTCCACATGTATTGTGGTGCCTTCCCCGCACCCGAATGTGCCGATAACCCTCTCGGCTACAAGTTTTCGTGGTCACCCCGCGGTGGTCTCCTCGCCCTCTCCAACCCCGCCTCCTACATCGCTCAAAATAAGCAGGTCGACATTGCCGGCAAAGATCTCATGAGCTCTGCTAAGCCTTGCTTCATCTCTCCTGCCTTCGCTTTTGTGGCATTCCCGAATAGGAATACTGTGCCGTTTAGGGAGTGGTATCGCATTCCGGAGGCGAAGACGGTATTTAGAGGAACGTTGAGATATCAAGGGTTCACGGAGTTTGTGGCCGCATTGATCAAGATGGGGTGGTTCGATCAGGAGAAGAATGAATGGTTGAAGGAAGGCATCACTTGGGCTGAGGTCATGCGGAGGACAATCGGGGCGGATGACTCTTCTGAGAGGTAGGACCATCATCCTATATTTTTACCGCGTATTTCATTACTTAATTTTTTTTTTAGTTCTCTCATCGCGCAGATCAAATCAATTTGTGTTTTCCCGGATGAGGCGGAGGCAAATCGTATCATCTCTGGTCTTCGTTGGATGGGCCTTTTCTCTTCTGACTCCGTGAAGCCTCGTGCGGGAAACCTCTTTGATACGCTCTGTGCCCAGCTCGAGACTCTTATGGCCTACGAAGCAGACGAGCGTGACCTGCTCATGATGCAGGAAAAGTTTGTTGTCGAATGGAAGGATGGCACTGAGGTTTGCCCCATTCAACTCGCATCCCCGTTTTCCCCTGCTCGAATGTGTAGTAACTGGTAATTTAATCCTAACCTACAGCAAATCCTGACAAATACGTTGGAAGCCTACGGCACTCCCAACGGACATTCTGCCATGGCGCGTCTCGTTGGTGTGCCGTGTGGCATCGCTACGCAGCTCGTCCTGGACGGCGTCATCAACCAAACTGGGATCGTCGTGCCGTACTCAAAGGAGATTTGCGATCCTATTCGTGAGCTTTTGGAGGTGGAGGGCATCGGGATGGTGGAGAAGGTGTTGTAGGTTTTGCACACGACACTGATAGTACATACTGTACTCGATTCATCCACAGCAACTTCCGTACTCCCATGTCTTCATTGTCGAGTAACCGCAATAACTATCCCGCCTTGGAGACTCAAAGCCCCATGAGAGCCTTCTCCAAAGCCTGCACCGCTTCATTCACCTCCCTGGCCATGACCCGCACAATCGAATCCACGTCCGTCGCAGCAACATATCCCAGCGTAGTTTTCGCTCGTCGAATGGGAAAAGACCGTCCACTGGCCTGGAAAGTCGAATTATCATCGTACGCTTTGACAGTATACGCGCGAACGAGCTGGGCGAGGAAGTGCAGTGCTGCTCGCCGAAGAGGCGGAAATTTGGAGTTCCGCGCAGTCGGGTGAGAGTCCATGGTCGGCTCTGGTGTGGCCTTTTCAGTAGGTTGTGGTCCTTTCTTGGCTTCTGACGACGGCACAGGGGATTCATGATAATCGGCGGGTTGTGGCGTCGTGCGTGTGGCGGATGGCGCCACAGGATTTTCTTGGACGCTCTCTAACTGCAAGAGGTCCAACATCGCTTCGGAGAGATCGATCGCGTATGGGATGAGGGTGGTGTCATTAGTTTCAGCGCATTGTGATAGCAGAGACAGAGACGAAGTCCTGAGTGTCGTCGGCAAATGCTCTGCTCTTACGACAGCGAAGAATGAAGGGACAAGCACGTCCGCTGAATGTGAAATATATGTGAGCTTGGCTCGAACTGCAGGCAGTGATTGTATGCGACAAAACGCACCATAGAGGGCCAGAGCATCCCCATATCTCCTTATAACCTGACCTAAAGCTTCGCCCACTCGTATCTTCGTGTCCAGCTCCGTCTGGGATAGAACGCTTGCCCCGGATCCTTCCAATCCGCTTGTATAGACTCGGATGAGCGAACGAAGGACCTCGAGCCCGTATCCGTCGACGAGAGCCGAAAGGCCCTGAACCGCATTCAGGAAGACATACGAGTCATCGTCTTGAGCTGATTGCAGAAATATATCGAGGATAGCTGGTACGAGCGGGCGAACGGCGGACACAGTTGCTTTCGTCAAGTCGGATGAAGACCTGGCATTATCAGAAGATGCCTGTAAAACGAGTTGTCGGAGGAGGAGAAGTCCGTGAGCGCGCACGGGGAGGATGGGGTCCTGGAGGAGCTTGAGCGCCTTCTGATAGGTATGTTGGACGGTGCTGCTGGGATCATTGTCTGAGGCTCGACGGCGAGATGACGTGTCCGAAGTAGAAGCCTCGCGAACAGTGAGGACCATCCGGGCTTCTCGAGCTAAAGGACGAAGAGCATCGGACTGATGAGTTGAGAGGCGTTCTATGTGCGCTAGTATATCGAGCAGAATGGGTGTGTTATGTGTGGATACATCCGTGTTCGCTGTATGAACCTGTCAGACCAAGTTGGTTAAAATTGATATGATAAACAACTCACCTTCAAGAATAGATAGAAGAAGACTGATCGCCGTAGCGGTCATCTCCTCGTCCGGAGGTACTCCTTCTACACCAGGGACCTCATCGTCACTATCGGCTTCATCAACAAGATCGTCCTCCTCTTCCACCTCAACGATCCTCAAATCGCTTATACCAAGTCCCCGCTTCCTCTCCGTTTTCTGACTCTCGGTCGGCCGTGGCGTAGGTGCCACACTAGACTCCAAGGCGTGCAGGACAAACGAAAGGATATGGTCCGGCTTGCTGAATATACTTGAGGCAGATCCCAAGGATTGGCCGTCGCCCGTCATGTTCATCTGCATCTGCATGATTATCTGGAGGTACAGAAGCGTTCTGATACGGTTCTTATTATCGTGATGATAGAGGACAAGCAGTGGAGTCAGCATACCTCATAGGATCAGAATCCGTGTCTGACTTAATCTCTCGATAAGCTTCCAACAGCCGAACGAAAAATTCGGAAGAAATGTCCACACGGTCCAAGGACTTCAAGTATCGCACAAAAATTGTGGGATCCGGACGTAAATCGAGTATATTAGCGTCCACATCCATTTGACCCGTCTCTTCCGCCCTCTTCAGATCCTCTGGAGTGAGCATTGATAACGATGGCTCCTTCTCGGTTCTAGAAGACAAAGTAGTGCTGTTATAGGTATTTAAGGAAAGGATGTGTGAAGAGGACGATGAATCATACCTCTCCATGACACTCATTTCTCCTGAAATATCAATCGCCCAATCGCTTCCTGTGTTCTCGACGCATGCCCATAGCACCGCAACGCCTTCCTCCGACTCGACAATCCGACCCCACGTTGCCAATAGTCCACGTACGCCCTCTCTAAGCGCTGGATCCACGGTTTTGTGACGCTCCAACGACTCGAACAGGGCATAGAGGGAAGGTAACACCGGCGACAGAAGCGTAGATATGAGAGTCGGGGACGGATCGGTATTCGTGACGAATGTTTGGATGGTTCGAAGTGCCGCGGATGCGGACAATAATGGAGGTGAACGCGTTGCGGAGGTCGACGAGGTGATGGCTTTGGGCGCCGACGACTCAAGGAAAGGCGCGTGTAGTATGGGAAAGAGGATACCTCGTACGAGAGTATGATGAGGGTTGGATGTCGAGAGCATTCGAGATAATGAGAATGAAGCGGCACGACGATAGACCGCCGGAACGTTGTCCTCTGAGGAGATCAGATACAACGTACGCTTTACAATGGTGTCAAAATATTCCTACATTGCGTTCGACGACATTAGCGTGGGAACGTACGATTTAAGAGGGAGATCTTGCCTCAGGCTTCATTGCTGCTGGGGGCGTTCCTAACACCCGAGCGACATGTTCCAACTTCTCCAGAGAGGCATCCTCGTCCACACCTTCTCCTTCGCCGAACACAGCAGCACATAACCCACGAACGCCTTCCGGTCGCAGCAACTGTCTGCTCAGTAAAGAGGAGCAAGTCTTTTTGATATGTGGCGCCAAATGCGTGGATCTGTTCGACAAGATTGACCCTAACGAGGTGATCGTCTGTGAAGGAGGAAGCCTGATAGTGAGTCAGATGGACAGGTTCGTTCCATATTAGAGAATAAAAGAATATGACGCACATTGACAACAACTTCATAACAAACGCCCTCATTTCGTCGACTACGGGCGTATCCGCCGTAGCAAGTGACTTGGGAATCCAACCCAGAGCAATGCCTGAGCCCAGCAGGTCCGTTACGTGACGATTCAGGACAGCCGCGGTGATAAGCGTCTGCGGTATTTTCCCGTTCACGCCTTGCGGGAACAAAAGCGACATTGCGCGTCTCAACATAGAAATCAAAAACGTGTAGTCCTCGGGGATGCCCGTCAGATCGATGATACGGGGGCTAGAGTGCGAGGCCTCCCGCTGTGATTGCGATGTCTTGGATGGCCAAGCTGACTGGACGCGGGCCAGGAGAGGATCGATACCCCATTTAAAGGCGATAGAGAGAAGTGTACGGAGCTGAGAGATGTCTCGAGTGCCAATGAGGGGTGTTTCTCCTGGCGTGTTTTCGTTGTACCTCCGTGGTGATGCCGAAGAAGCAGGACTGGAGGAGGGATTTTGAAGAGGGACGACCTCGGAGTCAAGGATTTGTTGAACACGTTCGACAACGAATAGGGCCTCCAGTGCGGTGGCCCGCTGAAGATCATCTTGCGAGGCACTTGAGTAGTCATGCTCAGGAAGTCCTCTGAGGGCTCTGTGCTGTGCTAGCCTAGAGGATAAGACAGCTTTCAGATCAGAGGCCTGGGGCTGAGAATCCGTGTGAAGGAGGACGGAGCCTGCCCTGAGAAGGGTAGCAAGCTCTGGAGACTGCGACATTGTTTATATGAAAAAATAATAGACCTTGCGTTCTCCTAGTCCGTGTCCGAGTTAGAATCAGAAGGGATAGAAAGCAATGTAACAGTCGTCGAGTGTGCGAAACTTACAGGATGAGAAGGAGTCGATGACAGGGCAATTGTTCAGTCAAGTGGCGACTATTTACAGGGGAGTATGACCTGAGAGGAGTATACAATTAGTGTATAGGTCGCAATTTGAGGAATCATCTCCAAGTTGTACCCTGATCTAAGCTATCGTTTATGGGCCACACGAAGCAAGAAAAGCTGCGAAAAAAGCTGCAGAGCAAGCTCAACAATCAGTGAGCGCCACAGGACATCTTCGTAAGTAACATACCTGTATGATTTACTGTTGAGAGGAGATAAGAACCATTCTTACCAGGGGTTCGACACGAAGCTGTGGTGGCCACAACAAAAGGCGGCGGCCAGCTTGGATGTGTCATGACAAATGCGGAGTCGGTCCTAACCGGGATATTCAGACTCCGATCGTAAAGCTAACTGAGTGCCACCCGGGAGCCACAAAATTATTGACGCAGGACGAAGTTCGAACGCATAAACGGTATATATTTCTGGATATTATTATAAGCAGCAAATTTATCAAGAGATGGATGAAACCAAGATATTAACACTTCTTTGGGACGAACTCCACCCGCGGCACCATCATCCTCAACTTCTTTCTCAACATCCACCAATCATCGCAATCGCACTCAGCCAACGCGATGTGCTGAATAGGGGTACAGCGCTCCCCTCTAGTCTCGATCATCTTCAGCAGTTCGTCTTCGAGAGTTGAGGTTGATCGCAGAGGTGAAAGCGTTTTGAAGTTGACGTCGAGGAAGTGAATACTGCGCAATTCAAGGAGGAAGGGTGTCGAAGGTGTATCGCCAGCAGTACCTTCATCGAATGAATCCTCCCTATCAATATCGATGGCCAGAGTCTGGCTCATCTCCACCGCTTTCGACGTGCAGCCCCCTTCTGATAGAAGCGCAATGAGATGGCCAGCCATCTCCTCTCCACAAATGAGCCGCTCCAGGCTCGGAAACCGTCCAAGTAGCTCTCGAACCTCTTCGGTATCCATAGTAGTCCAAGGGAGGCGACGATCCAATCCCCAGTCGTAGGTCAGGGACAAACTTCGAAGAAGAGGGAGATGCAAGGCGTCGAGAAGAGCTCGACACATGTAGAGCGACGAAGTCTGTCTGTCAATCGGCTGTGGTCCTGGGATCGTTAGGTCGATGGTCTTTTCCTGCGGGTCTTGGTCGTCCTGGAGGCCGGACCATGCCTCGACGTGTACGCAAGGTTGGATGGCGTTGGATCCATTACCCGTAGGCGATCCGATCATTCTACCTGCACTTCCGTATCCTCCATTAAACGTCAAAGCGACAGCTTCGAAACCACGACAATCGTGGACGAATCCCGAGCGCGGAAACGAGTTTGAAGTGAAGATCGCGCTCAAAGCAGAGAGGACAACGTTGCACTGTGTCGGAGCAGAAGCTACGCAGAATCGAGCTTGAAGGATACTGCTTCCTTGAGTTGTTGCGGTCGGGGTGTGGCATGCTCGCAGGAGTAAGCTCAAGCTCAGAGGGTTCCGGGTTACGGCGTCGATCTTCTTGAGATGAGTAAGCGGCAGAGTCGTATCTAGGTCCTCGACAGTCCAGCGATCGGGCAGGCAGTTTCTAAGGGCAAGAAGTTCCAGGAAAGGCATACGTTGAAGAGCACTGAGGAGTTGGGTAGTCGGAAGGGCGTAACGATCCCAAGTGTCGTCAGGGTAGCCATCGACGAATGAGATAGATAACGTTGTGAGATCGGTAAGGAACGGAGCGTTCAACGGTGGGATGACGTTGAGGAGAGAAACGGTGCGCAGATGTTTAGTAGTACGATGACCTTCAGGTGCGAAGAGCGTGTCGGGTAAAGAAAGAATCCGGCGTTGAAGGATTTCCTCCAACATAGACACATGAAAGTGGAAACCCTCGAGGTAAGATGCGTCGTATAGTAAGGATGAAATGAACGTGTTGAAACCCGGGTCGTTGGGATTAAAGGCGTGGCTGGCGTAATTACGGACCCCGATCTTGCGTGTCTTTGCGAGGTGCGCAGGTGACAGCTCTTCGAGACCGAAGGTAGGCATGGTCCAATCACGCGAGAACGAGAGAGTAGAGTTTGCCGAGCGAGCGATCATTTCGAGACACCAGTCTTTCGGAAGCACATTCGTGTCAATGAGTGTCCAGAGATCGGCACAGTCCAATGCGATAGCTCTGAGGGTACGGCAGACGTGGGTCAAGTATATCCAGCCGAGGTGCAGGTCGCAGGTCTCGTCGATACAAGCAGTGGAGTCAACGTCGGTGTCCAGCACTTCGCGTTGCGATCCAGGTGGAATCCTGCGTGGAGGGTTGGTGTCTCGGGAGAATCGAACTATCATGGTCAAGAGCTCGTTTGGAAGACAGAAGATGGGAGCGGACTCGTTGGCTTGGGCAGCCGACCATGCGTTCATCTTGAGCTCTGGCACAGGGCGTTTAGGAGTGACACGGCCGCGCATGGCTCGCCGAGAGAGAACTGAATCACGATGGGTCGGAGATCGCGGCACCCTGTTATAGAAGTGTCGGGTCGACGGTCAATGAGGTTCACATAGAAGAGCTTGTGAACGTGCCACGACGTACCAGTTAGCGTGCATCGTGATTCTTGAAACGGTAGTATAGGTTCTCGTGAGTGGGTATGCAGAAGAGTGGCGGGGTAATGATTTAGTTTGTGATAGAGAGACGTCAGCGCGAGCCGGCTATATATACGCGAGATCTAGAGCGACACACAAACGCGGTGGCATAACAAACAGCGGCCCTAGACATTTGGGGAGAACAAAGAGCAACCAATCGGCAACTACCGGGAGGCTACCGTGGACACTCCTGGTGCTGGATCCTGGTGTCCCCGTGTCATACTGTCCTGCCTGTGCCCTAGAATACTTGTTGAGAGGTGATGAGAATTCGACACGAAACTGATATGGCGGCCCCAAATGCAACCAAAATGCATTGAACGTCGAGTCGGGTGTAACCGGAGAGTTTAGACCCCGATCCTGGAAATGAAATTTACGCCACCCTTGCCACAATAGGCCACAATCACGCGTCTCCCGAGGTCTCGCGTCGTCGCTGTTCTTTGCTTCGCCATCGTCGACAACGACGGCGATGTGATATGCCTCCCCCTCTTGGCCTCGCTGCCGTCGCCTATGTCTCTCCTCAAAATCATCCCATTCTCATCCGATCGCTCTCAAGTCATCGCGATGAGGCTGACCTGCTCAAGTACCATTATCTCGCTCACACGTCTCTCGATGTGATTGAAGAACGCAGTGCGCATGAACCGTTATTTTTCATTTATGCTTCTAGCTTATTCATTTATTATCCTGCGATATAGTTGCAGCGGCACCCAAGGGAGCAGACAGTTATCTCGGGTTCTTATACGCGATGGAAGAGGTTGCGGTCTATGGATACATCACTCCGCTCAAGGTCAAGATCATCCTTGCTCTCACCCTCTCGGACGCAATTGTTCGAGATTTGGATGTCATTGCGGTATGTTTTCGTCTTCGCATCAGCTGGTTTCCACGTTCGCCTTTGTCGGTGGCGCTCAACTCCGATCCGATGAAATGGCGGACTAGATATTCAAAGCTCTCCACCTTGCCTACTACCAATCTGTATCCAATCCCTTCCTCAAACTTCATTCATCCCTCGATGCGCCAAATGACCATGCGACGCTATTGCACGCCGGAAGCTCGAAGTGGAAGTCTTTCCGGAGGCGCGTCGATGATGTTGCTAGAGCTGTGGCCCAAACTCCCAATTGAATGTATGCTTTCTTCTATTGCCTTTTTCGTCTCTATATCTCGGACTAGACATGTGTGTGTGAGTATCATTGTTGGAGAAGGTTCATGATTCTGCAATTGAAGCAGGACCCCATGCAGGGTGCTGCCCACGCTATAGAATGTTGGTATGGCGTGGATGCGACGTGGACCTAGAATGCCTTTGAGCTTGCCTCTCATTGACTCAGCTATATCTAGCACACCATAGCTGAGACAGATACGGGGCATAAATTTTACTATAAACTTTGATCACTATTCATGGCTGTCTTTATATGTAGGTGTGGCGTTAGGGAGGCGGCACTGTCAGCTAGTAGGGGTCGTTGTGGCTCGTGTTGTGGACGAAGGAGACTGGAGATTTATCGTTCTTAAACCTGTTAAATGTTATCACGCTGGGCTCATATGCTTTCACTGATCTCTCCTTAAGTCTGCGCAGTACGCTGGTGACACCGTGATATCTCGCCCATTGGTTTGCAGACCTCGAGGCCACTATCCTCCAAGATGTACAGGAGAGAAACTCAGTCGATGCAAGATGAATATAAGATCGTAAAACACATATATTGTACACAGTACGCGTCACCAGCCGATAATCGAAATCAAAGTATATACACCCATAACACTCAAGCTCATATAGGTAACATGGAGGTATACAATTCTTGCATTCGCGACGATTCTTCCTCTCGCGGAGACGTGAACGAAATTTTCACCGTCCCGACGAGGGGCTCTATCTCCCGTTCGAGCTCCCTGAACGCATCCTTCCATTCTTCCGTCAAGCCAGTACCCATCTCCACATCCTCTCCATCGTCCGGCAAGACCATCTCGGTAGAGATCCACGGCGTCAAACGCAACCGAGAGATCTTCGAACCGCGCGCCTCTCGGACCATCAATACATGATATAGCGCCCCGAAAAGATCGCTCAGCCCACTGCTGTTGCTGCCTGCGCGAGGCCAATGAGGCCTGGGATCGGACATCCACAGCTCGAAATTGTCTTTGAGATATAATTCCGAGTCGTCCTCCATGGTAATCGCAGAAAGCTTTGGGAATACTGCGGCAGGATCGGAAAGGCGAAGGAGGTCCGTGATGGATTCCGAAAAGCCGCTCCCGCTGTTCAAGGTCTCGAGCTCGCTCAGAGCGCCACCCAGCCTGGCTACTAATTCATTGACGTGTTCGTCGGTCCATAAGCCGCGGAAAGGATTGCCATCGGAGTCTGCGACCGAGTTGGCGATATGAAGAGACTTGAGTTGGGTCCATGGCGCAGGTAGCATCTCAAGAAGACGAAGGGTGACCATAGGACCGGTCATCGGAAGATCGAGTGGCATGCTGACGTGTATACGGGGAGGTTGTTGTTGTGGGGGCGACGACGTAGGAGAGGACTGGGATCCCGACTTGAGTTCGAGAGTGAGAAAAGGCTGTATCCCATCCGGATCTTCCTCATCCTCATCGTCTTCTGTGACGACGCGCGGATCGGGGGTGAGCTCGATGGAAAGGCTGTCGAAGGCGCGTAGATTCTGAGGACCTCTAGCATTGAGGCTTGGTGTCGCGAAACAGAATGACCGGATGAGCCCGAGAAGTCTGGTGTACATGCCCTGAATCCAGATATCGCTCTGGGCGATGGAAGAGTCGTCAAGAGAGTCGACTTCGAAGTCCAACCGATGAACGGTACCGGTCACAGTCAGATAGCCAGTGAAACCAAATAGGACTTCCAACGAATCGCAGGTGATGTCAATTCTTCTTAGGGACGGAAGGGAAACCGGGCCGCGGTGTTGCATCTTTTTCCACTTCTCGATGAGGGGAAGGCAATTGACCAAGATGAGAACCTCCAGACTGGGTCCCAGGCTGGACAACGCGGAGAGAAGGTCGGCGGGTGGCATATCGATGATTTTCTGAAGTACGTCCAGACTTCCCGGATAGGGATTGTCGAAAGAGACGGAGAGGTAGCTGATGTTTGCGGTAGAAAACAAGGGGGAGGTCCAAGAAGGTATGACGCTATCAAGGACGAGCACCCGGAGACGACTGGTGGATGAATTGAAGAGAACCTCGGGGAGCGTGGAGAAATTGGCGTAGCCGACATCGTTCTCATCAATGTAAATGGTGCTCCTCGATTGAAGGAAAAGCTCTTCGAGATTGGGAGCAGCGCATTTCTGGAGTAATTCTAGCATGCTCCCATCGGCACGAAATGCGTCGACCTCTAGGCTCTTGGTCTGGGGGATGCCGCCAGCGAGGAACTGGTGTCCGTTGTGAGAGTCGGGAGCGTAGCGATGGGTCAAAGTCAGTGGAGCTCCCCTCGAGCGAGCGATCATCTCTGCGGACCACTTGAGACCAACCAGATGGGTGTCGATCCCGGCCCAAATATCGCCGAATGCTAGCCCAGCATCGCGCCAGAGCCTCGAGGTATGCGTTACCTTGATCCATGCGAGGTCTAGGGTCAATTTGGAGACACCTTCAGACTCAACGACGGCATCGCTGCCTTGGGTAGCGCCCTGGGCGCGGACAAGAAACGGAGGCCAGTCTTCGCGGAGATAAGCGAGAATGGTGCCTCGGATCTCAGTAGGGATCCTCGATACTCCTGCGCGAGTGTTGATGGCGCCTCCGATGTTGGAAACGTCCAATTTCTGGGAGATAAGGTCGACGTCGGATGAGAGCTGGCTTTGGAGGAGGGCAAGTTGATTCGATGCGGTAGTATAGCGTGAATTTAATTCGGGGAGAGAACTGCAAGGAAGGAAGGAAGGAAGGAAGGAAGTGTCATGACAATCAGTCCATCTGTTCAACCACGGAATCAAAGTCAAGGGAGGCATACAGATTTTGTAAATCTCCTGCATGTCCGATCAAGAGTTCGTCGGTCGCAGTCGGAGCGTGAGCCTCCATGTTGAAAGGGCTTGAAGTTGATGGGGAGGGGATGACGGAGACAATGCTTGTGCAGAAGCACGAGAGCAAGAAAATGGATGGGTGCGGAAAAAATGCTGGGGCGACACCAAACTATTTATACGCCCCTTGGGTGTGAGGACAATGAGTGGTCACCATCGCAGCGGATAGATGAAAGTCTCAGTAGACACTGCCTATCGATCTCTCCATTATTGACTCAATACGGACACATATGAATCGCAGAGTTGCCATGAGAATAGACGACGAAAGATCCCATTGGGCGACCAAGTCTACGATCGCGGACACCCTCTTGGAAGAAAGGGGTTCCTGGCACGATCCGTCTTTTTGAGACACATCCGCGAGGCAGCCATTGTTTCAATCACAATGTCAAAGTCAGATGGTCCTGGAAAGGCGGTTTTTTGGCCGCTAATTAGGTGCCAAACGCTGATCCGGGGGACAATGTGATCCATTCCGTTGCGAGTGCCATCGAGCGAAGATCAAAACGGGCCCACAAAAGGCTTGACCTCGCCCCAGTGCGAGACTGGTCTATGTGGTTATGTGAGCGCCGCCGATGGCAGAAAGGGAATACGAACATCACGAGGATCTGAGATCTTGTTCATCGCCACCTTTGGCCACAGCTGAGACACAACTGTGGGTCCTATTTAAGAACACGTTCTGTTGGGCCGCATGGCCGCATGGAACGTCAGTACGTGTCTCAGTCTTCATAAATGAAAACAAGGCGAAAGGCACGTCTTTGGCCCATATAAAATGCTGTAGACAATAGAGGACACCAAGCAGGGAAACATTCACCGGAAGGTTTTCAGAACATCTATACCATGGCTGGCGTGGTGTACACGCCACTTGATTCTCTGATCGACACGAATGCAATATTAGAGATCGTACAATTATTCCGGCCATAAATAGAGCATATATGTGGCGGTTTGAAACGCTGGAGCCTCCGCCAGAGCTCGCTTCCTGATTGGCGGAGGGGTTGAATGTACACCTCTACATATATGCCCTAATAAGAGCTTTTTCGCTTCATTTTACCGTGGACATGCCATGGTAAGACATACCAGCTTAGGTCTGGCTCTTCTCAATAGAGTTTAGAGAGAGTCATAAATTTTCTCCACCTGGCTTGCGTATGTACTTATATAACAAGTGAGTCATGCTATAATCTCAAATCCGCCGGAAGAACGCACCAGGTTGACTATAGGGATCGAGGATTGTTTCGTGCAAGTTGTGTAGCTAAACTTCGAAATTGAATCGGCCCCCGTTAAGAGTCAAACTCCAATTTTAAAAGTTGTTTAAAAGATAACGACCCGCTTTTGAGAAACCAGACCGACAAAAGGTATGAGAAACCAGTTATAGCAGCAGATTTCTTCAGATAAATAACAGCAAACTGGATAACTCGACGTGGTCGTGTCTGAAGTGAGAAAGTGCAGGTCAAGCAGGTTCAATTTAACGTTCAGGAAAGAGGTGGCGTCGGATAATGGAACGACGGCGATCACCGGGCCATGCGGCTATCAAACTTCGAGCGCCGCCGAAAAAAGCCTTCAGTCCTCGTTGAACGTGGACGTCAGCAACCTAGCTTCATAAACTTGGTAAGGAGTCAGACCACCGGTTCATAGATTTCAACGGAACTAGAAATGCCTATATGTTCATGCATGGTATCAATGCAGGGCTTCTTCTCACTTCTGCTCTTCTGGAAGAATGTCAACTTCAAGTTAAACCTTGGATCGCCTTCCTTCAGGACGAAGGAAGAGCCGTGTAGCAGCCAGGCAGTGCATATGACCAGGTTTCATGGCGGCCGTTGGCACATATACCACCACCTTCTTCTAACACGTTATGCCCAGTGGAACAGCAGGTCAGTCACCGGTCCCGAATTCACAAGAGTTATGGCGTGCAACGTCATTGACGACAAACGCACCCTCACCTGTTCTGTTCTCGATCTCTTTCTTGGCTCTTCGATCCTTCTGCATTCGCAAAGAATGGTTCCGCAGCAATCAGCAGGTATACGGAGGAAAGGGTCATAGGCACTGGTTTTGTTCAGTGTGGAATGCTCATAAATATTACTCGGACGTCGTCTCTAGCGTACTTCTACGTCGCTTCGTCCATTGTGGAGCTATTCACCGTTGCCAGACACTTGATCCATATTGTTGAACAAGCAATGATGACAGTGTATACGGTCTCGTTGGTCTTCTTGCTTTCGTTGAGGGCTTTCGACGCTCAATCATCTTACGTCTTCCCCAAAGCTATCAACGCAACAACTGGCTCAGTATTCAATGCTGAGGCATTGCTAGCTCCGAACTCTTCTGTGGCGACTCTTAGCGGGAAAGGAGCGCAGATTGTATTTGATTACGGCGTCAATGTCGGTGGGTTTCCTACTTTGTGGCTACACAACGTGGAGGGAGAAAGTGTGCAGATGGCTGCGACGTATAGTGAAGGTATATACGAGTGTTTATTTAAATCGTACTAACTTATATGATACTGATACACATTATCGGGTAGGTTGGGGCGGAGTATGGATGGCGGAAGGAGAATCCTTCGTTGACTATTCGGACGGTTATAGTGTGAGCATACTTATAACACGTAATAAGTTGTGATCATAGCTTATATGTTCTGTTCATGTAGAACAACCGCACGGTCACATACAATCTCACCGCGACCAGCGATAACTTCATACAGGATTACTACCTGCAAGGGTCGCAACGATGGCAGCGCATCTGGCTTCTTACCGATGGGACCGTCTCCCTCTCCGCCGTCGGGTTTCGTTCAATTACTGACACCACCGCCGTCGACTCTCTTCCTGGAGGTTTCAAGTCCAACAATGACCTCTTCACTAATATATGGGAGGCAGGTGCGAGGACGGTTCAAGTACGTTGCAATCGTGAATTTTATTTAGATCTTACTCATTTTGTGCAGTTGGTCAGCGATCCAGCAGGATCCATTCCCCCGAATTGGATAGTGAGTTCTCTCACACTCGAACTTCTACCTTCGATCCCTGATGACATCTCAAGCTTCAAGATGATGGAGCATTGATCCCGCCACAATACGCCTCTCCCAACTTGTACGGCACTTTGTGGGCCAATTACACGCTTGGCTTCCAAGCCAAGATCACTGGAGGCGGGATCGGATGGCAGGTTTTGAATTCTGGGATGAATGGCTTGCAGTTCGAAGTAGGTTCTGTCGGTACTCGTCAACTGCAATCTTCTGACTATTCCTGGCTTAGCTCAACAGAACACACATTGGGGTATTTTATGGCTCTGGCCCTGCGAATGGCACTCAGGGAGGTTCCTCTGGCCCTGTCAGCTACCCTCTTATGGCCATAGCCCTACACCACACCTCCTACCTTACGCTCTTCGACGGAGATTTCCACCACTACAGCACAGTGATTCTCAATACGGCATTCAGCGTCTCTATCGACAGCATCTCCATCTTGAATTTCACTGTACCCGAAGCAAATGTCTCAACCATGGTCGTACCCGGCAGCTTTGGTTTTGGCGGTGCATTCGACGCCAAGGCCGTGTTCACTGGCGTTCGGGTCACGGATACGCTGGACGGGACGCTCTTGTACGAGTCTGATTTGAAGGACGAGACCGCGCTGGATGATTTTGCGGTTCGGAGGAATCTAGTGGACTCCATACTTGACGGCGCAAGGAGAGATAGAATTGTTTGGATCGGTGACGTTGCGGTTTGTCTGAAAACACTTACAGTCATCGTTACCGTACGTGCTCACGTTCGAATTACTTTTTAGATCACGGCCCCGTCACTTTTCTACTCGACAGCAGAGGCCAAATACGTCACGGGATCTCTGTCTCTCGTTTCGTCGTGGCAAAACGATACGGGAGCACTCGCAACGGACGTACCTCCCATCGCTCCCTTTGGCGACTCCTACCCGGTCAAACCTGCTAATTTCTTCTACTCCCTACCGTATGAGATCTTCGGTCTTCAGGCATTCCACGACACGTATATGTATACGGGCAATGTATCGTTCCTGGAGGAGTCATGGGGCAATATCCAAGCTCAGACAGATCGCCTGTTGGGTCTGGTGGGGACTAATGACAGCTTGATTAGAATCGACGAGGTGAGACATAAATAGACCGTCTCTCTGATCGTGGAGACACGAACTAACTTGTACTTTTAGTCCAATTCAACCTTGGGTATGGACTGGGACTATTACGATGGGGCACGGTATGGGGCGGGCACTAAGTAAGTGACGACATTGGTACGCTGCTTCTCTGCGCTCAACTCATTGTAATGAACGCATAGACTAAATTCGCAAGCCGTCCTCGCATTCAAGCAAACTTCTACCATGGCTTCCGCTTTAAACCACACGTCTCTCGCCGCCACTTATGCGAACGCCTCTGTCGCTATGCGGGACGCAATCAACACCCACTTATGGAACGCTACAGGTGGATTCTATGTGAACACGGACATCGTACCGGGTGTGGCGCAAGATGCAAATTCATGGGCCATACTTGCGGGAGTAGCAGATGCCGCGAATCGCACCGAGGTTTGCGTTTGTCCTGGTCGATAGACCTACGCTGACTATCTGTAGGCGACTTTGGCTGCAATGGCGGAGAATCTCGAAACCGACTATGGCATGCTTGCCTTCTCAGCTGACGCTGGTTCACGGGCGAACATCAGTCCTTTCGTATCTGGGTTTCATCTTGAGGTTGGTAGTGTTGATGGTATTAGCATATATCACAGGGCTAACATATTTTCGAAAGGCACTCCTAACGTCGGATATGCGTGACGCAGATGTATTGTATATCCTTGATAGAACATTTGGAACCATGCTGGATTCATCGAGAGAAAATTACACCGGTATGTGCTTGTCTTTCCTTGTCAGCGCTATTTGCTCACAAATTAACGTCAGGAACCCTCTGGGAAGTCATGTCCCCTGACGGAACGCCAGGCATTGATGCCTACACCTCTCTATGTCACGGTTGGTCCACAGCGCCCACAGCTCTCTTCTCACGTTTTGTTCTCGGCGTACAGCCTACGTCGCCAGGTTTCAAGACATGGGTGGTTGCCCCTCAGCCATTAAACACAACCTCGGCAGAGGGACGGGTATCCACGCCATTTGGGACCTTGTCAGTCAACTGGACGATCTCGCACGGGGTCATGACGGTCGAGGTAGATGGTCCCGATGGTACGAATGGGACGGTATATTTGACAGCGGGGGTCGAAAGTACGATCACTGTGGATGGTGGGAATAGCACGACTCTGCTGCTGGATCGGACTGGCAGACTCGGGGTCGACATCGCGGGAGGGGCAACTCATGTCGTACAAGTGGCGTAAAAACGTATTCTTCATCGTTGTATTGTGTGTACATCCGATATACGTCTTGACAATCTATCGGAATAAATACTTGGAGTCAATTAGTTATCCGTGGCGTGGTGCATAATTTTGCATCGTGGTTGTTCCGGATTTTGAGAAACTGAGATGGTGAAAGATATGCGGGGGATTAATTGATGAAACCTCAGCGACGAAGAAGTTATATTACGCAACGACATCGTTAGATCTCCACTTGATCCTCAAACCCCCAATCCGATTCATCTGACGACTCGAGTGACCTCTCCCATAGCCTTCCATCTCCATCCCACCTCACGTCCGGTAAAGCCTCCCACAACTTCCTGACCGCGCCTGGTTCGATCACACACCCGCGAATCGTCAGACTCAACTTTTTTCCATCGCTCAGTAAAGCCCTCCTTGCCGCCAAAGTCCTCAACACGACATCGTAAACGAGCCATCCTTCCGGTCTGTCGGCGGGATCCAGGCAAGTGTCCGCGAGTGTGATGTGCTGGAGGTTCGGAAGAACGATGGGAGGCGCGTTTGGCCCGACCAGCTTTGGGGATGGGGAGCCGGTGTAAGACCAAATCGGTTTATCGATAAACTCAGAGTAATTGCGGCCGAGCTTGTTCGCGGCGAGGGTCCGAATGAATGGATCCGCGGCGCTCCATTCAACAGATATAGATTCGAGGTTGTGAAACTTCGGGAGGAGCTCTAACCAATCGCTCGCCCAACGGCAGTGATAGAGCTCAGCAACACGTAGTGTACGGACGTGGCGGAGATCGAACGTCGAATCGAGCAGAGTGTGGTACAACAGCGCAAAGGAGGACTCTAGTCTTGGTCCGAGCTCGAAGGAAAATGCGATGGAAGCGTCGGTCTTCGTCGTGTGCATGCTCTCGGGCATGTCAGAAAAGGTATGCGGAGATCGCCATGCCTTGACGTGTAGACCGTGAATATAACACCCCGGCGAAAGCTGATTCGAATAGATGTCGATGCAGAGTGAAATGAGACGGTCTGGCTCTGACTGTGACTCGCTCAATCGAGTGCTATGAGCGGATAGAAGACGAAGAAGGGATGGGAAGCTGTCGTAATCGGTGTCAGAGTCGCAGCACAAAGCAACACACGCTGACGTTGGAATCTCGAGACGAGACAAAAACCATGCGCATGGTTCTGGATTATCGATGAGGGTAATCTTGCTGAGGGCTGGTAACGACACGACGGGATGGGCAGTACCTGGGGGGTCGGTGCCCTTCAACGGCATGGAGTTGATGAGTATAAGCGTCTCGAGGGTTTGAAGGTGTTTTAAAGCTGAGAGAGCTTCGGCGCGTGTATTCATTACATCGTGGAAAGACCGGGGAAGTTCGATATGAAGAAAAGTAAGGTTTGAAGACGCAATCACGTCCCAGAAAAACTCTCGATGACACAGTCGTAGCCGCCTTAGGCTCGGCGCGGCGCAGAAGGGGTAAGCGAAAGAACTGTACCGAAATTTGAGCCCGAAAGTGAATGTGATGAACAGGTTCGACCCGTCATACACAGAAGGTGGACCCACTTCCAGCACTTCCAGTTCTACAGGGTCATGAGCGAAGTCCAGCAGAACACGAGGATTAGCCATATAGGCTTCGCGAAGGCGAACTGCATCTGGAGAGTTCAAGAAGGGGTTGGAGGGAGTGCGTATATATAATGGTGCGTCCCTAGAGCGGAGGGTGCTCTCGTCTGCCCATCTACGGTTGTGGAAAATACCGTAACCCCAGAGACGAGCGTCTGCGAGGGCCACATCTCGCCAGTACCGACAGACGTGGGTGACGACTGCCCATCCAAGAGACACAGGTCGAGCTGGTTCTGACTGTGTAGCGCTCGTATAGAACAGGTCCAGCGCTAGATGATAGAATATCATCCGGAGCAGCTCTGGGGGAAGTTTCGCGAGTGCGATGGCGGTAAGTTGTGTGGGAGACTTTACCATGTCACAACGTCAGTTCAAGAAACTGTGGAGATTGGGCCAAGCATTGCTCACCTCCTCACGCTGGTTTGCTTTGAACCAAGATGTCCAACGCTTTTCGTGGTGCTTTGACATAACAGATGCAAGAGCGGCGCGGAGGAGCACGGAGGCAGTCGGGTAGAGGCCGGTTTCCCTACTGGGCAAGCGGATAAGTCCGAGCTGACTTTGAATGGCAAGCCGGTACGATGGTCGCACGGGCCTTTGATTCTCGTTTTACGTTCAACGTTCCTACATGGATGTATACCTTGTCACTTTCTGCACTCAACCTCATTCCTGAGTCGTTTATGTATCGCATAGACTTAGTAAAAAGCCTTCACCATATCTTTCGTCGATTGTCTTGATTGTTTAGGTGAGGTGACGCTTTGGCAGTACTTATCACCTCTCCGAGTCCAGGTCTAGCTTTCAACTGAGTTGGCGTGCCCAATGGCTAACGAATACCTACCTCCGATTTCTCTTCCGAGGTGCAGCCACCTATGACCAAACAATCGCTCTATCCGGTCCTCAAGTACAAGCCGACTTCACTGGCTAAAATGCATATCAGCCTTCCGCCTTCGTGCCCCCATTTTCGACTCTATCCTACCAGTGCTACTAACGGCTTCTCTTGCGTAGTTTCAAGTCTTGATTGTCTCTGGTCCATGCTACTCGCACGCCGGAATGTGAGCCGTTAGGAGCTATTTCTTCCGCTAACTTTGTCCCGCTTATGTCGATAACTTTTTTCGTTGGTGGTCAGCACCCACAGATCTCCACCGTAGACTTTAGCGCCGCAATGACGAAGGCATTGCACGCATAAGTCGTCTCAAACAAATCTCGAAAAGAAGTTGTCGTTATCGAGTCACAAGTAACTGGCTATCTGCGCCTACGCTTGTTGCCCGCCGCTCGCAGAAAATTTCTATTCCGAATCGAGCTCAAAACGCTCAAGCAGAAACATGACGGTGTTTTGAGCCGTGTCGTCGACTTCTTCCTCTTCTAGACGTCATGGCGCCGAATATGTTTGGGTTGCTGCCCCTGGGTGCCACCCGGTCAAGGTCGCTTGCGGGGAAAGCCAACGCAGATCAGCTCTTTGTTTCTTTTCACCGCGACAACCATGACCTAAAGCTATGATTCTCATAGCTACCGCCGATCGGCATGCAAATGGTCTCGTGCGCTGCTGTGATCCGACGATTGTCTGACTTGGTGTTGTCCTTCGGTATAGTGCCAGTGGAGACACGATGAAACGACCTATCACGCGTTTCCATTTCCTCGGCCCAAGCACTAAGCTCAATGACACGGTCGTTAACTTACTGTCGATCCGGATACTTTGGGACCATACTTTCAGCTCTTTATGGAAACAATTTGCTTCACCTCCAGTGGAACCGATCGGACTTAGGTGCTGCATTTGGCCCTCTTGCGGTGCCATGAACGGCACCCGGTATGTCTCATCACTAGCGCCAACACTAAATAGACACCCAGTGGAAAAATTAACGAGGAGCATTATATAATGTTTGGACTCAGTGGCTATAAATGCTGGTGGGTCCCGAGAAGGCGAATAACCATCAGCTCTCTCTCAGCCCTCTACATCTTTCACACCAACCCAGAATCACTCAGTCAGTCATTTCGCGTCTCTTTTTCTCTCAACGGTGACCTGATTAGTTGGTGTCATAGTTTACCCCAGATGTCTACCGATTGGGACGCTATTAAAGCGGGGGCTCAAAAGCTCCACTCATCCGCAAACACTCCCGACTCTCCCCTTCGGAATGGCCTTCCCGATCTGGTGGACGACTGGAACCCAGACGAAATCTGGGTCTCGAGCGACGTACTATATCGCTTGCCCTACTTCATCGAGTCCGCGAGGCTCCACCGCCAACTTGGACGGGATGGCTTTGAGCGCGGGTGCGACACCATGACCGGACCCGTGACGTGGATATGCATCAAAGCGGCGAAGCTCTACCGTGATCAAATCCTCGAAGAGAAGAGCTTCATTCCTCGGAACGACGATGACATGGGTCTGTGGATAATGGGCAAGTTCTTCACGGTCAGTGCTGAGTACAAGACGGAGCGGTTTTTGCCAGAGGCCCGCGCTTGGGTGAAGATGATGCTGGTAGGTTTCTATCCCACCTTGATCTCCCAGCAAGCGATACATTTTCGAGCTAACCTTGGTGTTTCTTTAGTAACTCTCCAATGAGAATGGTTCTGCCTCTGCCTAAATCGTGCGTTTCCCCTCACATCTACGTGTTGAGAGCTATATTAACGACCACTCTTACTGCATTCTACAGCAACTCTCGCTACCCAGCGGACTCGCGGTCGAAGTGATGCGGGACGGGAAGATGTTGTTGAACCCCCCGCATGGTTTCGCGGGCAACGCTCGAGGTCCATTCGGCAGTCGTTGAGCGTGGTTCTAGTACGGTATGATTGCCTGCAAACACAGTGATGGACTTTGTGATTGATACGTTGTATGAGTACTGAACGCGGAGGCCGTTGAAATACGAATTTGTGTGTGTGCATACTTCTATCACGGAGGCTGTGAAGACGAATAGAGAGATATCACGGCATCTACTCGTCTAGTTTACGTAGACAAGGCGAAGACACAGTTGTGGCGCTACCAGTGTCAAGCACTCCAATACCGAACACGTTTGGTTTGTGGCCCACAGTACTAAGATAGGGCTCGTCGACGGTCCGCCTACCTCCGGCGTGGCGTTGTTTTGGCCTAGGACCGTCAAAAGTTAATGCGACTCGCAAATCTTATTTTCATACTTAGCGACCTTATGTAGACTTTATCGGTGCTGAATTTTGAGGTTCGTGGCGCGAGTGGATTTTTGAGTGACATCCCCGATCATTTTGAGCACGCATTTCTACATTTTGGCCTGGAGAGACCTTGGTGGCCCATTATTAAGACATGCATATCGATTTACGACTCGCATTAACTTAGGACTGGAATCCCCCGCCAACAGACGCCACACCGGAGGTAGGCGGACCGTCGACGAGCCCTACTGTGGCGGACTAGGAAGCTGGACGGACATAGAAGCTGGACAAAGTTTTCTGGAAGTTTAAGCACGCATATTCGTGCCTTCATTGTTCCAGATAACATGTAGGCCTATATCTTCCCGTGCGGTATGCAAAAATATTTTGTGTGATCCTTGTGAGTATTTTGTAGAAGTTGGTGAAATGTTGTCGGAGATAGGGTTTGTGTGGCACTTTTGCCACATGCAGGGAGCTCGACCGACATAGACACCTCGACTCGCCTTTAATATCAGTGTATATGCTCGTAAAAATATATGTGGGGTATAAATGAGGACACGCCAGGAGTGATTCCGGATTATTATGGCAGACCATGGTTGCCTACTTTTGTGTGGGACATCTTTTGTTGAGGGGATCCTCTGGCTAAGGCGCCACAAGAGGTTCACACTTCGTGAGGCTCTAGCTCCAGCATCCATCATCTTCCTCATACAAAAAGTTTATGGTCTTGAAGCCTCAACAAAATACTTCCTCTGCCAAGGTCAGCTCATTTTTAACAGACCATTTGGCTTGTAGAGGGTATGATTTTATAGAAATGACCGATTTTGCACCTCTCAAACATCCGAATGAATTTCGAGCGTGAAATGTCATGCAGCACCCCACAAATATTTAAGCAAATAGAATGATGCATAATGAAAAACTATGGGTACTTTTTGCCGCTGGTTTTTCAGTGATTATGTGTACGAAATCGGTGTGCAATGGGGCGTGGCGCCTTTTGACATCTTTTTCGCCACTCATTCGGCTATAGCCGGGCCCTTTTGGCGCGCGTCCAGCTTCCCTGTTTTGCCACTTTCCCCACTCGTCGTCGCAGAATATTCGTTGACGATGTGTTACTGCATCATACTCCATAAATAGTTGTTAAAGTACTGAATATATGTAGGACTACCTGAATGTGTCACTTATTTGGTAACTTACAGGCAGGATATTGATCAAATGAGCGAGAAAGCCCATCTGTCCAGGATCCTAGTCCGCCACAGTATCTTAGTGCCACCCGCTCAACGTCGACGTCGGAGTTTCAAAGTCGCGAGGAAAGCGAACACAGACACAGTTCCCTGTTTCTCTTGGAATCCCTTCATCGCGACCACCGTGATCCGAAGCTTCGACTCGCCCCAGCCACCGCCGGTCTTGTTGCACCTATCGTGCTTGTTGTGATCCAACGATTGGCTGACATGGTAGTGTTTTTCGGTACAGTGCTAGTGGATACACAGAGGACACAACGTATTAACGCTTTTCCGTATCTTCGGCCCAAGCTCTGAGCACAACCACACGCTTGTTGACTTGCTATCAGTCCGGCTACTTTTTGAACAGTCTTTCTGCTCTTTTCGGAAACAATTTGCCTCACCTTTAGTGAAACCGACAAGAATACAGTGCTGTCTTTGTCCGTCCTGTGGGCCCACGAACAGGATCTCATCCCAGTGTACCGAACAGGCACTCACGGAAACAAGATCGAGAAGCACAATATATTGCTTGGACCCAATGGCTATAAATGCTGGTGGGTCTTGAGAGAACAAATAACCATCAGCCCTCTACATCATCCACCACAGCTCAGCGTCAGCAACTTCGGATGTATCACCCTCGTCAGTGAGTCACTTCGCATCTCCTCTTCCCTTAACAGATGGTTCAATGAGTTGGTCTTATAGTTCTCCCTTCACCAATATCGATTGGAATACCGTCATAGACAATGCTAAAGACCTTCACTCCTCAGCAATCATGTACGACTCTCCTCATGGGAAAATCTTACCTCCTCAGATGGACTTGTAGGGCATGAATAAACACTATGACGAGAGCGATCTAAGGTATCGTTTGCCCTACATCATCGAGACCGGGAGACTCCACTTCGGCTTTGGAAAGGTTGGCTTTTGGAAATGGTGTGATGGCGGAAACACGACGTGGACAAATATCAAAGCAGCGATGATCTTTTGTGACGAGCTACTCGAGAAGGAGAAGTTTGTAGGTCAGTCGTATGAACAGATATATATCGGAGCGTTGGAGGAGTGGATGAAGGTTGTTAAGGACGATGAAATGTTGAAGTGTTATCTCTCTCCGGCGCAAACTTGGGTTCGAAATCAGATGGGGGAGCAGGTAAGCTTTCATTACACCTTGATTTCACAGCAAGTGATCTTTGTGAGCTGCGATCGCTCATTTTTGTTTTTGATAACTCTGCGATAAGGCTGGCTCTTCCTCTACCCAACACGTGCGTTTCGCCCCCTTCACATCTACGATTTTTGTTTTTCTGATCTAACATGTCTTCATAGTCCACCAATCCGAATGTAAACTCTCAGTCTGCCATCGCTAGGAGCCCACAGTTCACTGTGTATCCCAGCAGTACTACCGTCCCCCCATCCTTGGAAAACATGTTTCCTCAGGTTAGTACTATCTCCCATTAGCGTCTTCAGAGCTACAGTAACGACTAGTGTTACATCATTCTACAGCCATCCTCATCGCGCGCTACGTTCTATGCTGGCGGTCGTAGTTCTTCCTCAGCGGGCTCGGGACTTCCAGCCACAGAGACGGAGAAAGGGAAGTTGATGTTAAACCCTCTATAGTTTGAGGATTGAGGGCCGAGGCCGAAAGATTGGTATGGTTCTCTCTATTTGTACGAGTCTGTCAAAGCACAAGCCAGCTATATATCGCCAATCGCGACGAAAGTCTCACCTGAGTCCTGAGCGCTTTCACAAATCTCGAACGTTGTCCACCTTCCCGTTGAGCATAGCTTTATACAGACATATAGTGGTGCTGAGGCCTGACGCCGAAGTAATGATATATTTCTAGCTCTGTGATTACTTTACATGCCTTTCTCTAACAATCATAACGGCGACAAACGTGAGTTCGTGTACCACCAATGGCAACGAAAGTCGTTCCATGTTCTGAAGATTTTGTATCCACCAAATTCATGACCGGGGCCTGCACCTTCCTACCGTCGCATCTCTCTGATCGGGCCACAAATCGATTGAACTCCCCAAGCGAGATTGCACGTTAGCCGGAGCACGGTATTAACTCGTAGGTCGTAGGGTCTTCAGAGGCGGCGCAGTGTGACTATCTCGCGATAACAATCGAGAAGATTAAGCCTCGTTCAGGTTGATGAACTCGAGATGTTCGACATTAAAAAAGGCCGGGTGGCGGTGGCACCGACGCGTCCGACAAGACGACGACGATCATACACCACGGCGAGGACATGCATCCATAACCCTTTGTTGCACGAACCTACCAGACGATGAAGCCGTCTTTCTTCCGAACGACTTCGTCGATCCTTCTAGGCAAGTATAGACCGACAGGGCATACGGACGATGACCTCAGACCAAGAGCTAGAAATAACCGTGACTTCGGAAGACGACATACTCAAAGAGCCATAAGTGACTGGATAGAAATAGAAAGAAACGCGATCGAGGAAGACAGCTGCAGGAGATGGAGGGTGACGACGTCACTTTCGCGAACGAACCGGTGAATGAAGGCCATGCTTTGTGGGCGGTTATTTACCGGAGGATACTTATAGAGCTGGTTCTAACGAGGAAGGATGCGGACGGCTACGGACGGCGGGGGTTGAAAGGGAATATGATGATAACCGTAATCGTTTCGCGTCTTGGGCTCTGGTTAGGGAGAGATAGGGATCCGGGTGCGCATACAGTATGAGAGATGTTGGGCTATGCGATGATGAGGCGCCACTCGACGACCACCGGCATCTGGTAGGCAGTTCGTATCGGATTCATCGCATACAGATACGGATGCTACTGCGGATGGAAACCTAAGTTCAACGATCACAGCAGCAGAGCTTTCGAGAGCGAGAGAAAGAGCGAATAAAAAAACTAAACGCCGCTGTAATTGATGGTGCGATTCCGTCGAAGGCGACGTGGGACCGAGATAGACGCCATGACAACATCTTCCAGCGAGGAACGTCCAGGCCTGGGTACAATTATGTACAACAGAGCGGGTGTCGAGAAACTTTCTGGGGCAGGTGGAAGAGCATTGTGTGAGCTCCATCAGAGGAAAAAGCGCAGTGCCACCGATGCGAAAAACTGTCGCAGAAGATGAAGCAGTGCACACGTTCGCCGAGGAACGAAGAAAAACACAGAGCAAGCCAAAGAAGGAACGAAAATCAAAGGAGAGTCCGGAAGAGGCGATGAATTTGTTTGCGTGGAGAAGGGGACGCGCGTCACTGGTGGAGATGGAAGAACATCCCCGTTTGACACCGCCATTAAAATGCAAATGGGCGCTTCCGAGTTGACGTTCCAGTTCTGGCGAGTGTTTCGCGGCAAAGGGCAAAAACATACGATGGACGACATCGAGACCCGCCAAAGGAGCAAGCGAACAAGGCGAAATGCGACTTCGGGAAACAATAGAGAGCGCGAGCTGCACGCTTGTGGCTTGTTCGGCGTTGCGGTTGCTGATGGGAGAATGTGCGTGGGAAACGATAAGTGTGGGAAACCCTGGGCCCTATGCCCTGTACCCCAGTCGGGAAATGACCCGGGAGGCCGGCGGAGGGCAAACAACCCTCTGCCCAGAGGCCCCGTTTTAATCGATTCGCAGCTCACACCCCGACGCCCATCATCCTCTTTTAAAGCCACTACCAACCCAACCAGTCCCGTAAGCTTCCCCTTCCCCCGCCATCCCTCCCATCGTCCTCCTCACGCTCACCATCGTCGTCGACGTCCCCCACATACAGCCCACCACCAACACCCCCCGTCTCATCCATAATCAACGTGAGTCGTCGCGATTTGGCCCGTATGGAGCGCGTTTGGACGCGTCGTTGACCTTGTTCTGTCTTTCGCTTTCGTCTGCTAGATGCCTGAATCCCGCGAAGACTCTGTCTACCTCGCCAAGCTCGCCGAGCAGGCTGAGCGTTACGAAGGTCAGTCCTCTTATCGCGCCACTCGTACGACTGCACCAACAGCCGCTGACGCGCTGCTCCTCTGTGCGCCTATCCTATTCCAACAGAGATGGTCGAGAACATGAAGCGCGTCGCTTCATCCGACCAGGAGCTCACCGTTGAGGAGCGCAATCTCTTGTCCGTCGCCTACAAGAACGTCATTGGTGCCCGCCGTGCGTCGTGGAGAATCGTCTCCTCCATCGAGCAGAAGGAGGAGTCCAAGGGTAACGAGGCCCAGGTGTCGATGATCAAGGGCTACAGGGAGAAGATTGAGTCAGAGTTGGCCAAGATCTGCGAGGATATCCTCGACGTTCTCGACAAGCATCTCATTCCTTCCGCTGCCTCTGGCGAGTCCAAGGTCTTCTACCACAAGATGTGCGTCATCGCTTCTATCTATTCTATTTTTATACCCAAACCCAGACTGATCGTGTGCATGTTGATTTGTGCAGGATGGGCGACTACCACCGTTACCTCGCTGAGTTTGCCACCGGTGACAAGCGGAAAGACTCGGCCGACAAGTCCCTCGAGGCCTACAAGGCCGCCTCCGACGTTGCCGTTACCGAGCTCCCACCGACACACCCTATCCGTCTCGGTCTCGCATTGAACTTCTCCGTCTTCTACTACGAGATCCTGAACTCGCCAGACCGTGCTTGCCACCTTGCCAAGCAGGCCTTCGACGACGCCATCGCCGAGCTCGACACCCTCTCCGAGGAGTCGTACAAGGACTCTACCCTCATCATGCAGCTCCTGCGCGACAACCTCACCCTCTGGACCTCGGATATGCAGGATTCAGGTGCGTTGTCTTTTTTAATGCACCGACCCTACCTTTCTTTCCAATATACAATCGCGTCCCTTCGTCCGTCTCATGACGTCATACTAATATTTTTCTTCCTTGTACAGACAAGCCTGCCGATGCCAAGGATGAGGCTGGTGAGGCACCTGCAGACGACGCTGCTTAAACAGCGTTCGCTTGCATGCATTTACCCTTCCGTCTTTGCTCTTGCTTCGGATGGCCTTGCTTGTCTTGTGTCGATGTTTATTCCCTTGTTTGCATTTCTCGCATATTTTTGACGCGCCCCAACCACATCACGACTATCATATCTCTCATCATCACCCTTCCCCCGTACCCGTCGCGCTCTCCTGCCCTGATGCCTTGATCCCGGCCATTATACTTTCTCATTCCATTACTTTTTACCCCTTTTTTTCTGTCTCGTTTTCGTCACCTTTTATGATCGGAGAATTTACGTCGTGATTCGGCTGACTATTGTGCGCGTACTACTGTGACTGATGGTTGTAGCGCAGCGATGCAGTGAAATGAAGTCTGATTCCCTCTTCTGATGTGTGTTTGAACGTTTGGCGTATGGTTGTTCAAAATATCGGCAAGGCTCTGCATCTGAACACGAATCTTGCGAGATGTACTTGAAGGATGTATAAGCTTGCAATGGTGGTGCGCCTCTCAGTGTGGTTTGGTCTCTTTTCTGTGGGTGTGCATGGTGAACTGAGGATGAGCCACATCTTTCCAATGGAGATTTGATTGAAGGAGATACAAAGAAAGGTTACTGGAGGATGTGAAAAATAATGATACAGTATACCATCTTATTTCCTCCTAGCCGATTTGAACGACTGACCTCTTCATAAGTAGAGACATACAGGCCGTTCCATACTAGTGAAGCGCTACTACCGCTGAGCTAAGGAGGAGATAAAAGGGTTTTGGGGTGGTGGGATCTGTTTTGGTGTTGAAAGTTTGCGAGCGGCTGTGAGGACGCGATGAGGAACGAGGAGGAAATGGAGGGTGGCGGGTTTGGAGGAGGGGTGGGTGACTTGGATGATATATATGTGTTGTGGTATGATTTATAGTTGGGGTGTTGCGTGCTTTCGTGGTTCCTTCAGTAAGTAATCGAGAAAAGTACACTGGTGGTTCGAGTACGTGGTTTCAAGTTTGCATCAAGTTTGAAGGGATGGGTGAGATGACGAGGATTAAGTATTGTACCGGCCCTCATACTTCTGTATATGGAAACATACAAGGCGTATTTTGACGTGAAAGTCAGAGTCCGATTGGAGTCCGACGTCGATTATCGTCTGTCTAACTGTTTGCGTATACAGAAACGACACGTTCATGTTGTGCGTGCATGGAGCGAAAGTCATTCTTAGTCCGAATCCGGACGGTATTATGAATGGTTTGTGTGAGTGCAGAAACAGTGATCCGACTATACCTGTCAAAGGAGGTCTTTGTATACATAGATAGTTTAAGTATCGGGTCAACAAACGACGGAAGTGCACACGCCTAGTTAGTTCAGCTTCGCAGTCTACCATGACAGGGATCGTCGTGGGCCGGAGGGTGTAGAGACATGTCCATTTGATCGTGTCGCCGTTCTTTGTGACTAGCCTGAATAAGGACAAGAGATGATAGCGTGTACGGTTGGACTATAAGTAGAAGCGAACGTTAAATGCAAGTTAGGACGTCGCCAGAGAGTCGGAGATCCTTGCACTGAGTATGCCCGCTGATCGCAAGCTAATTGTGGCCTCCGTCGAGACATAGGCGAACAGCTCTATGAGATGGTTTTGGAAGTACAGCTGGGAGCTGTGTGCATCATACTCACGTATCGAGAGCGTGTGTGATATATGGATCTCTTAACGACTCGGTGTCGGACCTTTGTTCAGGCTAGAAACGACAAGTATGGGCCTACGTGCGAACGCGAGTACAACGCCAGAAGACCGGAGTCGCAAGTACTAGTCTGCTGACGAGATTCATTAGCCTCGTTCAGAGTTCACGTCGAAAGAGTGTTCAAACACTCTTTCGACGGTCGTTGACGAAGTCCTCGAGGCTTGGCGGCGAAACACTCCTTTGTGAGCCAATCAGGAGCGAGGAGGAATGAATACTGTGATGGCCGAGTAGGAGTATTCAATCGGCAACGCTCCTGATTGGATCACAGAGGAGTGTTTCGACCGCCAAGACTCGAATACCGTTCAACGACTGTCGAAAGAGTGTTTAAACACTCTTTCGATTCCAACTCTGAACGAGGCTAATGCAAGGAGTGTCCGCATGTCCATGGAGATTCGAGCGACCCGGATATGAGCTAATAGGAGAAGAGCGGGAAGAGTATGATCGTCCAGGATATGGACTCGGACAAAGGTCCGTGCGCGAAACTCACACAGGACGTCCCGGAGCGGCATGGAACGATAGCTTAGGTTGATCATGAAAGGGTAGTGATGCATATGATGGATGGCGTGAAGCTAGAGCTATTCTTGCAGCGAGTCAGTAACGTAGCATACTCCGACCAGTCCGAGTTGCGAACCTTCTTCCCTTTGCGAGAACGCGATAAACAAGGAACGCAGGGGTGATGTGACTTGCCTAACGGTGTCCGGAAAGATGCGGGAAGTGTGTGAGGCGTGAGATGGAGTGGTTTATCTTTGTGCTTTGAGTGCATCCGGATTCGGCGCCAGAGAGACTTGTCTTTTTGTTCCCTTTTATGTTGTTCCCTGAGCTTACAGACAAGAGAGCTTCATAATGACATAGCACAATAGGTCTGCCTATATCCGGAAGAGAAGAGCAAAGAATACGAACGAACAGACAGAAACCGAGTCAAAGGATCGCATGTTACGTGTCGCACCGACCCATCGAATTCGCAATCACCGATTTGACCCGAATGGTCGGCGCATGGAAGGGAAGAATTGGAACTCCGCCGTGGCCCGCGACCTCGCACCAGCCCTGGCCGTCCCGCGCGAGCGTCCTTTCCTTCCTTCCTTCTTCCTTCTTCCAACAACAATCAACGCTCAAACAACAGCCGACACATACCCACATCCACCCACCTTTTCTCGTCTCCCTATCTCTGCTGCGTTTTATTTTTTCTCCTCTCGCCCAGCTGGCGAGAATTTCGGATTTATTTGGGCAGATATTCGACGCTCGGGCTGACTGAGAGCCTAGGATAATAAATCAAGACAGCCCATAGACAGAGACGCCAGTCATACAGCGCATAGCTTTCGTAAATTGCGCAGAGCAATGCACTCGGCCTCGCCAGCGCGTCGGCAGGCTCCTCGTCGCAGTGGTGGTGGACCTCACGCCTCATCACCTTCCGCCCCAGGCTCCGGCCCGTCCACTCCCGTCCATCCACCTTCTTCGTCCGCCAGCGCCAATAATCACCATCCTACTTCGCCCTCTGTGGCCCATCCCCGTCCGCCCTCCTCGCGCACTTATTCCACCAAAGATGTCGCAGCCGCTGTTGATGGCGCTGCCGACGCGGGTGCTGGTGGTAGTGCCACAATAAAGGCGGGACCGGGAAAGCCCGTGCCGACTTTTACTTCGTGTTTGAGCATCCCCGTCCAAGGTGCGCTTCCGATTTCGAGGTCGGATAATCGACAAACACTCCCGGAACAACAGAGGGCTGCACATGCCGCCGCCGTGAATCGTAATCCGAACCCTTCTTCCTCGTCTTCTGCCGCCACTGCGAATCATTCCGCTGGCGGTGTGGCCCATGGTGCTAGTGCGGGTGCCGGGGGTAGTGCTGCGGGAGGGGCAGGAGAGCCGAGGAGAGCACCAAGGAAGAGTAAGACGGAGGCGTTGGCGGCGTTGCAGAGTCATGCGCACGCGAACGCCCTCGTGAGTGACGATGGTGGGATGGCGTCGGATGCGCAGGCGGGTGCGTTTAGGGAGGTTATGTTGGATTTGGACGGGGCGCCGATCGGGAGTGTGCCTATACCTGTGAACTCGAGGTTGGACTTTTCGAAGATTAGGACCCAGTCGCCGAGGGATGTTGATGGGGCTGGGTTTGCGAGAAGAGCAAGGGGCGCAGACGGGGATGTTAGGATGGACGGTGTGGATGGGGAGGAGAGTGGGAGGCCGTTCGGGTTGGAGGATTGTCCGGTGTTTGAGCCGACGGAGGAGGAGTTTAGGGATCCGATGGGGTACGTGAAGAAGATTGAGAATCAGGGGAGGAGGTATGGGATGGTGAAGATTATTCCGCCGAAAGGGTGGAAGATGCCATTTGTTACGGATACTGAGGTTCGTTCTCGCTCTTTTTCTTCCTTGTCTATGCCATTTCGTCGTACATTCCCTACTCTAGACCTTCTCCCATTTTCTTCTCACACTTTTTACATTGTCCACTTTGCTTGTCCGCCCGTTATGCCACACGTACTGATATTTGAATTTCCCACTTTTTGCAAACGCCACAGAACTTCCGTTTCACGACTCGCCTCCAACGCCTGAATTCGATCGAAGCCTCCTCTCGTGCCAAGATCAACTTCCTCGAGCAACTATACCGGTTTCATCAACAGCAGGGCAATACTCGCGTCTCGGTGCCGACGATCAACAATAAACCTATGGATTTGTGGGTGTTGAGGAAGGAAGTGCAGGATATGGGAGGTTATGAGGTGGTGAGTCCTTTAATTCTTATTTTTGGGTCTCGGTCTATGGTGGCGGCTTGGTTTTATTTTTTGTGGAGCCTGAGGCGTTAACTTCTTAAGTTGAGGAGGTGGTCGTTAGAAGATACTTTTCTCTTTTGTTTGTCTTTACATCTGTTCATCTTTTTATCCTCATCCTACTTTGACCGTCAAACCCGTGACTAACTATCTGTTTCCCCCTTGCCTCCTCTCCATGCATCCCACCACGCCACATCCCCATTCTAATCCCTCTCCTTTTCCACCTCACCTCGTTCCTTCCCCCACGTTATTCTCGTTTCGCTTTCCACTCTCGAACCGCACACAGGTCACCAAACAAAAGAAATGGGCCGACATCGGTCGCTTACTGGGCTACACCGGCATCCCCGGCCTCTCCACGCAGCTCAAGAACTCATACACGCGCGTCATCCTCCCTTACGAACATTTCTGCGAACGAGTGAAGAACTCTCCCGCGTTGGCGAACCTCTTACACAGCAGAGACCGAGAACGGGATCGAGAAAGGGAGAGGGACGGAGAGTCGCATGTGACGGCGGGACATGTGCATGTGAACGCACCGGCTGCGAACGTCGGGGTCGGGATCAACGGCTCGAAGGAGGATAAGGATAAGATGCATGTCGATACCGATCTGGGCGATCTGGCCAGGTCGAAGGAGACGCCGCAGCCGGATACGACGACGAATGCGAGTACGGCACCGGATAGTCCGCTTACGGAGACGTCGAGTATTTTGAGCGAGTTGCCGGAGGGGGATGGGGACGATGAGGATGGGCATGGGCATGGTGGGAAGGATGGGGATGAAATGCCGTTGAAGGGCAGGCCGAGGAGGGCGGTTAGGGATGGGGTTGCTGGTGAGTTTTTTGAAGTTTGAATTTTCTTCGTCGGGTTTCTTGCTTGAGTGCGGATGGTGTGTGGTTGTGATGCTGACGGCGATTTTGTTGGAATATTTCCTTTGTAGCGAGTAAGGGGGCGAGTCAAGGACAGGGATTGGCGCAGACGGCGGCGAGTCGTAAGGCTGCGGTCGCTGCTGCGTCGGCGGCGAATGGGGCGGACGAGGACGAAGGGAAGGAGGACGAGAAGGAGGTGAGAATTTCTTTCTCGTTTCATAATACGGTCTACCAAGGGATATTGATATCAGACGCCATCTTATAGCAACCTTGTGAGATTTGCCAGAGGAACGATAGAGGCGAAGAGATGTTGCTTTGTGATGGGTGTGATTGTGGTATGTCTCTATCCTTCATTTTATCGTACTCCATCATTCGCTCATCACCATTCCGTCCAAACTCGTAGGCTTCCACATGTTCTGCCTCGATCCCCCGCTCCTCTCCATCCCTAAGGGTCAATGGTTCTGCCACACCTGTCTCTTCGGCACAGGCGGCGATTTCGGATTCGACGAGGGCGAAGAACACTCGCTTTCGTCGTTCCAGGCTCGTGATCTTGCTTTCAGGAAACTCTGGTTCCTCGGCCATCCGCCGCCTAACTCTCAGTTTGGCGCGCCGCTTCATTCGGCTGCTAATGGCGGTCCGACGTCACCTGTCAGTGCTCGTGCTGGACCGTCGTCGCCGGTTGGTACTCGGGGGCGGGGAGCCACGGGCAAGGAAAAGGAAAAGGAAAAGGAAAAGGAGAAGGGCGCGAGGGCCGGTGCGGAGGTGGCTTGGGAACCGACGGCAAATCGGTATGGGGATGTGAGGGTGACGGAGGACGATGTGGAGAGGGAGTTTTGGAGGTTGGTGAAGAGCTCGAATGAGACGGTGGAGATTGAGTATGGAGCGGATGTTCATTCGACGACGCATGGGAGGTTCGTTCTTCTCCATTTCCTCAACTCATCCCGCTTTTCGGTGGACTGTGTGCTGATTATTGGTGTTGTTGGGTCAAAATTACAGCGCGATGCCGACTCTCGAAACGCACCCGCTCGATCCGTACTCCAAGGATCCTTGGAACCTGAACAATATGCCGATCTTGCAGGAGTCGCTGCTTAGGTATATCAAGAGCGATATCTCGGGGATGACAGTGCCGTGGACGTATGTGGGCATGATTTTCTCGACGTTTTGCTGGCACAACGAGGATCATTATACGTATTCGATCAACTTCAGTACGTTTCTCTCCCTCTCTCTCTCTCTCCCTTTTCTACATCAATACATAACCCATATACTAACCACCGTGTTATCTCTGTCGCCGTTTTAACAGTGCATTGGGGCGAGACCAAAACCTGGTACGGTATCCCTGGCGAAGACGCCGAAAAGTTCGAAGCTGCGATCAGACGTGAAGCTCCCGATCTTTTCGAGACGCAGCCGGATTTGCTGTTTCAGCTCGTTACGCTGATGAACCCCACGAGCTTGAGGGAGGCGGGCGTGAGGGTGTATGCGTGTAATCAGAGGGCTGGAGAGTTTGTGATTACGTATCCGAAGGCATATCATGCGGGCTTCAATCATGGGGTGCGTTTTTCTTCCCTTTACTCGCTTTCTTGATTTCGCGTGTGGATGAGGACGTGGATGCATGCTATTGGTCGGCGTTTGGGTGGCGGAGCGGGCGCCAATGGACGCTTTCGTTTGTTTGCTTGTTTATTTGATGGTGCTGACTCGGTCCCGAATTGTTTGTAGTTGAACTTCAACGAGGCCGTCAACTTCGCGTTGCCCGATTGGCTACCATACGGTCGGCAGTGTGTGCAGCGATACAGGGAGCATCGCAAGCTCCCTGTATTCTCGCACGATGAGCTGCTCATTACGATAACGCAGCAGTCTCAGTCCATCGCCACCGCTATCTGGTATGTTATTTCTTTACCCTGTGAAGATTGTGTCTTGCGCACGTTTGCTGATGAACGGGTTTCTTATTCTTATTCTCTTTTGTTCGTGAACTTTCCCTTTTGTTTCCATAAATAGGTTGAATCCGAGCCTTATGGAGATGACCGACCGCGAACTCGCGAACCGCCGCAAAGCTCGCGGACTCCGCCTCCGCGAGTCGCTCGAACGTGAAGATCGCGCCACCGAAGAACAATACCAATGCAACATCTGCAAGTCCTTCTGTTACCTCTCCGCCGTCACCTGCACCTGCAACCCCAACATCGTCGTCTGCGTCGACCACGTCTCATCGCTCTGCAAATGCTCCATGGACCATCGCTCGCTCCGTCTTCGCTTCTCGGACAACGAGCTCATGGAAACGCAGGAGAAGATCCAGGAGAGAGCGCAAATTCCGGATCAATGGAAGGCGAAGTTGAGCAGGTTGTTGTTGGAGAACGCGAGGCCACATTTGAAAGCTTTGAAGGCGCTTTTGGCGGAGGGCGATAAGATTCAGTATGATGGAATGAAGGGGCTGGAGGATCTTAGGCGCTGCGTCGTCAAGGCGGGAGAATGGGTCCAGATGGCCAACGAAATCCTGGTGCGGAAGCCGAATCGGAAGAGGGCAGCGAAGAGGAAGGCGCCGGGGGACAATGTCCCCACGTCTTCTTCAGCCGGTCCCGATGGATATGGAGGGTTCGATGTCCCGGATCGGCCGGATAAGAGTCTGGATGATTTGTATGAGCTGTTGAGGCAGGTGGACGATCTTGGGTTCGATTGTCCCGAGATTGGAATGTTGAGGACGTTGGCGGGGCAGGCGGAGGAAGTTAGGGGGAAGGCAAAGGCGCTACTTGCGGAAACGTCGGATTTCCTGAGGAGTGGAGAATCAATTACGTCGGACGGGACTCAGAGGCTTTCATTCGTCGCGGACTGCGAGAAACTCCTTCTCGACGCGTCATCGCTCAATGTGTCTCTCGATGAACTCATCGACGTCGAGAAGATGGTCGCCCGGGAGCAGTTGATCAAAGAACTCGAGGCGAATGTGGACGACACGTCGGTCATGACGCTCGAGGAGGTCTCGGGCTACCTCACCAGAGCGAGAATCTGCGGCCTCTCTTCGGAGAACAGACACATCAAGGACCTCGAGGCTCGTCAGCGCGCGGGTCAGACCTGGGACGAGCGGGCGCGCCACGTCCTTTCGCAGCCGTTCAAGACCATCGAGGAGCTCGACGAGTTCAACGACATCGACGCCACCATTCCCATCGATCCTGCCGTTCTCTCCAAGATCGCGAACGCGAGGGAGAAGGCGAAGGACTACGAGCGCCAGGCGACGACGTGGCTCAATCCGGAGATGGGCGTGATGAAGCCGAAGGTCCAGGACGTGATGCGGCTCGTCACAAGGGCGGAGAAGGACTTCAATATACCTGCCGTCAAGGAGCTCAAGCGGATGGCTGATCTCGCGGGCGACTGCGAGAACAAGTGCGACGAGCTCTTGAGGGACAGGTTCGAGCATGCGGAAGACGATGACGTCTTCGAAATCATTGACAAGTTCGTCAATTACGCCAAACAGCATCTTACCGCTCTCTTTGCTATGCCCAAATTTGAGACGATCGACGAGCAGCTTACGCAGCATTATCGCTGGCTGGAGACGATGCCTTGGAAGAAGACGCCGATCGATGTGGATTTGTTGATGAAGGACATTATGGACAATACGAGGCCGGAGGAGGACCTTCCGCCCGAAGACGAGTTTTTCACCTGCATTTGTCTCGACGCCGTGCGCCCGCCCGAACAAGGCCAGGTCTCTGACGCTGTCCAATGCGACCACTGTTCGGCGAGGTTCCATGCCGCCTGTGCGAAAAGTGGAGGATCCTGTCCGTTCTGCGACCATTCTCATTGGAACGGGACGATCCGCAAGGAGCGCTCTTTCCAGTTCGCCGTGCTGCCCGTCATTCTGAACGAGGCTCCCGTCATCACCAGGTTCTACTCGCCCGAGTGGAAGCAGCTCGAAATCATGGTTCATCGCATCTCTAGGCTCTCCACCGTCATCGCACAGTTCTTGTCGTTTTCCTCTCCCGACGCGAACCAGAAGAGGGACTACATCGGTCAGGTTCGGCATTATATGCGCAAGCTGTACAAGCTTCAGTTCAACATCTCACCTCGCGAGGACCTCACTTTCGGACTCGATCTCGCTGGTCTCCATCGCATCATCGCTTCGCAGCCTACGCCTATGCAGTCTAGGACCAAGAAGCGGCGTCGGCCGAAGTTCATGTTTGGTCAGGACGTGGATGCGGATTGGCTGGACAAGACGAGGTGTATCTGTCGTGGGAGGACACCGTACTTGCTCAACTATCCGACAGTGACGTGCGAGTCTTGCAGCAAGATGTACCACGGTGGTTGCGTCTTCTTCCCCGTCGACCATACGATCTACTCCAACCGATTCATCTGTCCTCTGTGCTGTCTTCGCAAGAACAGGAGGTACGAGTACGCCGAGTTGAGGGTGAAGGATATTCGTGAGTCTTTTTCTCCCGTCTCATACAATATTTTGCTCACGAGGTGTTTGGTAGACACGACCGATGTGGAAACCTACGTCGACACCGTCAGGATGCTCGACCTGTTCAGCAAGGAGATGATCTACAAGAAGTTGCCGCCTCCGTACACACAGACACTGTTCGTCGAATTGATCCGATTCACGCCAGGTCAGCCCGATGGCGCCCCCAATGGAGTCCCTCCTCCCGCCACTGGGCCCTCGCATGCCTCTACTCCTCACTCTGCTGTACCATCTCCGGCTCCTGCTCATCCGAACGGCGCTTCGCATCCTCCTCCGCGACAGTATCATCCACCGCCACCATCGGCTACACATCCCGCACATTACGAGCCTCGTGCGAACGGAATGCATCATCCCATGGCGCCTCCACATTGGGCAAAGTGGACCGGGATGCATGCGCCACCCCATCCGGCCTCGGTGCCACCCGGGTCTATGTCTACGGGTACACCGACGCATTCTGCGTACCCTCATCCTCAAACGCAGGCTCAAGCACAGGCTCAGGCACAGGCTCATGCCCAGGCTCAGGCGCAGGCTCAGGCTCACGCACAGGCCCATGCTCATGCTATGTCGCAACATCCGCACGTTCATTCCCAACAGCATTCGCCGGCGCATTCACAGATGCATCCTCAACAACATCCTCATGCTCATGCGCATCCCACTCATCCTGCATCTGCTCCTCGGCCTCCAGTCTCCACTGCTACCAACCCGTCTCCGACGCTCGCGGGGACGCCTGTTATGCCTCAGATGTCGCCTCCCACGGGTAGCAGGGCTCCTCCAGTCCAGACGCCGCCACATGGACCATCGATGTCCCAGGCTCGTCCCCCGAGCAGCGGCAGCAGCACTGGTAGGGCTCCAATGCAGACGCCACCGCAGAACCTGCAGAAGCGAAAGTATTCCGAGGATGATGGACGTGAACGCGAACGCGTGGAGCGAGAGCGCGAGCAAGCTATGTTGATGAGGAGTCCAACGGCCCTCAGTCAACTGGAGCGACCGCAAAAACGTCAAACCATCGCGAGGAGTCCTGAGATGTCGTCTCGAGGACCACCACCCACTGGTTCGCAGACTGTCATGCCCACGATGGGCACACGTCCTATGCAGTCGTTGTCGCCGTCGCTGGCGATGATCATGTCTCCCGAGAGTCGTGAACCTCGCCCGTCCCCGAGACAATCGTCGTCCTATTCAGTGCCCGTCTCAGGTCCTCCATCGCATTCGCCAACGCACATCTCGCCTACACATATCACTTCCCACCGACCTCCTTCCTCTCATCGTCGTTCCCCTTCTCCACAGCCAGAAACGACGCCTCGTAGAGTCAAGGTCTATGGCAGTGACCTCGCAGCTCCTGCTCCTCCTGGGCCGTCTCTGCCTCCACCTCAGCCTCAGCTTCCACCTACACCGCAAAGGAAGGAGGTACCGCGCGGAAAGGATGGCTGGCCGGAGCCGGTGCCTCCTCCACCTCCTGTTTATGGGCCACCGCCACCACAGTCCTCGTCGCAGCCATGATGGACGCCGCATGTGTTTGTCGTGAACTTTCGTGATATGTTCCTCTCGCTGTTATTGTTGGCTTCCATTTTATGCTATTTGTTCCCGTCTTCACCATCGTGGCTCGATGCGCCGACTCGCTTTCCAACGGTCGTATGTCCTCAGTATTGCCTTTTTGACTCCCGTTTCTTCCTTGGCCGTGTTTTTCCGCTCGTTGTTGCCGATGATGTATGTTGTATATGCTGGCACGGATGTTGTTGCCTTTATTCAATATGATAGTATGCGTTTGATCTCCCTTGCGTGCCTTCTTCATGCATATGGTCACTTGTTACAATGATCGCTGTGTCATTTTTGCCTTTCAGTCTCCCGTCTGTTCTTACTCTCACACCAAACGGAAGCGTTGGTCAATTTGACACCAGGTTGATCATAGCTTGAAGCCCGGGTACGTCCATTCTTTAATTCTTCAAACGGTTGTGCAATAGGGTACTCGTCCGACCACAGAGTGGTCTGTCTGGTCCGGAGAGTTTTGTCCTGCGGCTCGGCGAAAGCTCAGATAATCGACTTCACCCTCTCGGATCTTTGCACGCTGGCGTGCATTTTCTGGTCCGTAAGTGTTCTAGTCATGACCGCGGGCGCATATATTGTCGTTCCTCCTGCCAGCATGGCTTACTCAAAATGGGACTAATGGCCGGTCTTTCGAGCCTGTTTGAGACGAACTTAACGTGCTACTGAACCCGATTTGAGAGATAAGTTGCTACTTCTGGACGGGAATCGTGGAGTCGCCGAGGATCCCTGCTTGCTCATGACGCGTTGATGTCTCTCTGTCTTCTTTTTCTATAAGTATTTCTTGCGCCTCCTTACCCACCAGGAACCTCTCTCTTCCTCTGATATACCACCACCATCGACCAGTGGCCGTCGACTCAGGCATGGGTTCGTCCCTTTCTGCTGTTCTCCGTCCGATATGATTTTCTGACAATATCTCTGCGTTCACAGGAATTTGGTCAGCGTTCTGTGCAATTTGTGGCGGCGGCGATGAGAGCCCCTGTTTGGACGACGATGGCGGATTGGGCAAAGATGACGACGCCCACTGGAAGAAATATGACGTTCAGAAGCATCAAGTCGTGTGGCAAAGCCGCTGGCGAGAGATGTACGGTGAATTCAGCCGCTCCAATACCCTCCGCGTCAGGCTCAGTGGCGTTGGACGGATGAGTTACGGTGACTTTGGGCCTGAAATCAGCTACGGTGGTGAGGAAAGTGTAGGGGAAGGACTGTATACGTTCTCGGAGGAGAGCTTCCCCATTCTCCCTGTGCACGACGCTTGTTGACGTCTGGTATCGACGATAGTCAGGGAGGATAAATCTCGGTCGTTGAAGCTCACATACGATTGGCTCCTGAACCATACGATGTTCAGGAACTATCTCCCTGCTACCCATGTTGATCGGGCTGTGATGGGTGGTGCGGAGAAGTTGTGTGGCCAGTTCTGGGATGGCGGTGTTGAACATCAGGTATGCATTGTGTGGTATAAAATTCAACGTTCGCTGATTCTATTTCGTCCGATCTATAGCATATGCTTGTCGATCCTTCTGAAGAGCCCGATATATCCGGCACGTCGTTGAACACGCCAGCTCCCATACCCAATGTCGTTGCGCCAATTGCACAAGATCCCTTTTCGTGCCTCCCAGCCGAAATCCTTCGTCACATCGCTTTCTTCGCCGTCGACGACCCGTTTACTTCACACGAAATTGCCTCCGGTACCCAGACACAGGAGTCCCCCTCCACGGCCTTCGGTTCATCTCCCGTGGCTGCTCAAAAAATGGCGTCGACTTCCTCGCGCTCCGGATCAAAATCGATCCCAGTCCCGCAGACACCCGAGTCGAAACCAGACAAATACATCGTCAACCCGCACCACACAATCCATTTTCTCCGTCATGCTTCACCCTCCGTCTTCCGTGCGAGCCCCGACTTTGGTACCACCTTCTGGTTTCGAGTAATCGAGAACGAAGTGTTGCCCTTCGTCCCGGCTAGTCTCGCCAGCAAGATCGAGACCGCTCGCTTGTCCGCGTTGGAGGACACCAGTTAGTTGAGCGAGCAGAAGGATCAAGAAAAGGCGAAGAAGGACATTGCAGACGTGGATGGGATGGGGATGTACCCGGTTTGGTTGACGTTGAGGTGTCACATGTGCTTGAGAAATAGGCGGAGGATATTGAGGTTCATCGTTGGGATCTTTGGACTGGGTGACTCGATCGTTGAGATGGCGAGCAAGAAAGATGGTGCTAAGTGAGATTTGAGCATAGTCTTTTGACTCGTGATAAGAATGTACTACTTTCCGTCCGTCCTTGGTCAGAGACGAGATGACTAATGCTCTCCATGCTTTCACGAAATAGATTGACGTTGTACAGAGAAATAAGAAGGGTTACATAACTCGATCGAGCAATCATAAAACTGGTCAGAGGTCTCTCTTGCTCTTACAGCAAAACTTTATTGCAGCGGTGTCCCTGGGATACACGCCGGATTTTCCGGGGCCGATGAGGCCAGCCGTCAAGTTGACATGAAATTGGATTGTTATAGTAGAGGAAGCATAGCGGGGCATAATGTCATAGATGGAAATACACGGGTGTCAAGAAATCAAGCCTAACGAGCCGTCGATATTCAGCCCAGCTAACATCGACTCTAGTAAAGACTAACGTCCGTCAAACTTCTTAATCCTCCCTTCTATCGACCTTCACCGTCCGCACCACAGCCATCATATCCTGGGCGAATCGCTGGGCAACCCCTAGCCACCTCTCCGGCGTGCAGACCTCTTCGCCCCTCTGGATCTCCTCTCGCACGACCTGCCCTATCCATCCGTCCTGCGTCTGATCAGGATACCGGACAGCTATTTCCGCGTAAGGAAGGGGAACACCTCGTTGGCAGCGGAGCTTGAAGACCTCAATGGTATTCTTGCAGAGTGCTCCCCGTCCTACGTGCATGACAGGGACGCTGTGCATATCCACAGGCTCGTAGAAGCGTAGATCAAGGCTGAGCGCGTCGTCGTGGATGCGGAGGTCGTGGAGCATAGGGAGGGCGACGTCCGTCGGCGAGGCGATGGTGACGGCGAACATGGCTTCTACGAACGGCCTCAAAATCCCGTCTCCGCATCGCAAGTAGGAGAGTTGACTGTGAGGGCCGCCTAGCTCGAGTAAGAGTTTTTGCGCTTCGGCTGAACTCCACTCACCGTCGAACGCGGGACGAAGGGCATCGTCACGATCTTGGTTTGTCAGGATGAGGGACTTGAGGGCCGACCATGCGACCGGAAGATTGTCAAGAAGAGCCAGTGTGAAAAAGGGGACGGTGATGGGGCTGATGAGAGGCATGTCGAGTTTGATGTCGTAGGCAGGTAGGGAAGGCTGGGACGCAGACGAGAGTTCAAGGAAAACCGACGATCCCTGCTTGAAATCGATAGCAAGTGCTTCCATCGATGTCAGTACCATTGGTACAGACGTAGAAAAACAGAGCCCCTGAACGACGTCAGAAATCAGAGCCCTACATATACCCACACGCCCGTCGTAGCTGGTGTCTCCGGAGCTGTGGTCGAAAGCCTCGACACAGAGATCCAGTTTCCGAACAGTCCCGGAAGCTTTCAACCCATCGACCAGGCAGTAGAGCGACTCCAATGTATCGCACGTGACGGAGAGGGACTTCAGATGTGGAATCGCTGCCGTTCTGGAGGTTTGAGCCACCGGGTCCAACGCCCAACTGTCCCAAAGAGGGATGCAGTTGACGAGAGTCAGGTCTTCGAGCGTCACAAGTCTGCGTAAGAGGTCGCCCAAGAAATCCGGATCCATGTCGACCAGCTCTTGCATTTTCCAAGACGTAAGAACCTTATCCGACAGCTTGAATGCGATCGCGACAGACGTGAGCGAAGGTGGGAAGGACGAGACCGAAGTGGGATTGATGTTTTCCAGCACGATGGACCGGAGTTGTTGAGTGGAGTTTGCGAACAGGGTTTCAGGGAATTCGACGAAGTCGTCGCAGGGCCCACGAATGACAAGATGCTCGAGAGCGGGGGCGATCGAATTGGAGAGCCAGTCCATGGTCACAGCGTGGTTTGGATCGAGATCAGGATGAACATTGGTGAGCTCGATCCGTTTGACGCGAATTAAAGGGCCGGGAGGGACCAAAGGGGAGCCCCGTGGAGACTCACAATCTCTACTAAATGTCAAGGGGGTTTCACCCGAGCGAATGTACATTTCATTTGTCCAGGGTATTCCCAGAGCATCGGTTACGACCTCAGACCACAGATGGCTGTGTACCCTCCCAGCGTTGTAGAACTGAGCGGAGGCATGGGTCGCCGCGATCCACCCAAGGTCTGGAACGGGAAGATGTTCGATGTCGTGATCCCCGTCTTCATCCCCAGGATAGCTAAGACGGGGTGGAGAGACATCTCGGAGGAAGAGGAGTATACGCGCTAGAATCTCGATGGGAAGACCCCCGACGGGCATTCGGGAGTTGATGGCGCGCCCAGCATGGACCCGCATGTCATGGAAGATTTGGGCAGGACCCGCATTGAGCCAGCCCTGGAAAATCTGAAGGGACTCTTCTGCGTAGGCGTAATCGCGAAGAAGTTTCTGTGTCAAACTACACGGCAATGAGCACATAGATTTCGCTTTCGGACAAAATATACAGACGTACGGGTCTACAGTGAGCACAGGTTGGGTAGGGTCCTGTGGGTCCTGGGGCTGCATGATAGAGGTATCGAGGCGCAAATCGTGGGACGATTAAAATTGTATATGTGGAGAAGCGAGCGAGTGGGCGGTGGTGAAGATTGTGTTGAGGGTGTCAGCTAGGCCAGCTAGTTATAGGGGGCGACAACCCGTCGTAAACATGAACAAACAACGACTCGGACACGCCGTCATCTCGAAGGGCCCATTACTGTGTTGCCAGGTGACGCAGCTCTGTGTGCTGAGGCCGAGCGGATATTGTGCCGTAGAGAAAAACTGCCCAGGCCCGCTTCGGACGCGCTGTCAATCTTTGGCAATCCATGAACCCTGCCTTGCATCCCTAGTTGTCATCGGCGTCACCTGTCTTCCGGTGGCATTGAATGAACAATGGCACAGTGCATGAAGGACCACATCCGTCAACAAACGCATACCACATAGGAGGAATGCGGCGCGCATCACTGCGGTGGGACCCGAGAAAACGTTCGAGACAAAGTCAGGCAGTCTGAGGCGTACGCACTGCACAGAATATCCGTCGACAGATCATTGAGGGTATCATGTTCCACGGCCGCGAGGTGAGAGGCTCCTCCACCATCAACTAAACTAATATTAGTAAAATAAAAACATAACGAATGCGCCGGGGAAATAGGATCGCAGAATAGCTCCAAGGTGGATGTGCCCATTCACGATCGATCGGTATGAGCTCTCGGGAATTGTGTCGGCACTATGCAGGGACAATGCAGGTCCATCCGAGTCTCCATTCTGCACGGACGAGACCGAACGCAAATACGACACCATCTGAACGATGAATGCCATCAATGTCTTATTCCTCATCGCATTTTACTGCAGAGTAGCGACGAGCGCAATGGATGTAGACCGCAAAGTAAGACGCTCGCCTTCCTGCAGTGCGATTACGCAGGCCAGCTTTCTATCAAGCTACACATTGGGTGAGGGGAAAGATCGGAACTGGATAAGAACTGCATTATGACCAACTACGACTGCGTTATTAGAACCAAACCAGGCCTAGTACCGTAAGTAGGTGAGCACAATTTTCATGTCACAGACGACAGAGATTTCAGAGAGCATCATATCGCCCAGCAATTCGGTGCGGAATGAGCCCCACGCAAGTTTGATACACAGTTTTCCGTGAAATGATATTCACGTACTTGAAGGGCCTTAGGATAGGCGTCTACAGCGACTTTGTCCTCGCCATGTTACAAGGAAGATCTGAGAACATTAGGTGAGACCTGGTGAAGGAGGTTCGAGAGCCTGAGGCCAAAGCGAAGGCCGGGCGTGGTTTGGGCCTTCGCCTCCGGGACTTTTCGGGACTTGGCTGGGACTGAGCTTCAATTCCCACGAAGTTGGGTGTCCTGTTGCCACACGCGGTGTATTTGTGGCCCAAGTTTGGACCACGCTCAATCCCATTCAAGGACCAGGAAAAATTCTTTCGCTCACAGTACTGGCAAAAAGATAGATAACACGTACGTAGCGTATGTCAAGTACTGCCCAGAATATATATGTTTATTAAAAGACAATCGAGAATACTGACTGAGTCGGACTGATGGGAAAAGGGGGGAAATGATCCACACTTCGACAGGCTCGGTACAGGCAGTAGGTTACATGAGAGATTCGAGTACAAAGGTAATACAAATGATAGAAATATGCATACTTTCAAAACAACAAACTGTAACGTAGATAGCAAGTCGAGAGTGTCTCGCTTCTTCCATGAAATTCGGCCATCCAAGGAGCCCCGTACTTAGGTTAGAGCTGAGTCGAGCCTAGCACCGTGATCCGACCAGTAGGTCCCCAGCTATCGAGGCCGTAGACATTGGACGCACGCCGGCAAACGAGGAAGAAGACGACGTTGCGAGGGAGAATTACGAAGACATGGACGATGAATCGGAGCGCCCGGACCTCGATGCGAATGAGCGCGTAGTATAGCTAGGGGGGATGCCAAAGGAAGGCCTCGAATACTTCAGTCGGTAGTGGGTCAGGTCTATAGGCCGTCCAGAGTTCAGTCGCTGGATTTCGTCGATGACACGATCCGATTCGCTCATATTTCGGGCTATAGCCTGTCGAGTGTTAGCGTCCAATTGAGCATATGGAGCCATCCGAGAGTCGACGGCATGTCTTGAAGCTGACGCTCCTGTAAACACTGAAGAGCTCGCGTTTGGAACAACAGATTCAACCAAATTGCCAGGCATGTTCGAGGGAGGGGCAGGGGTAGAGGATAACAGATGGGACTGGACGGCCATACGTGGGAGAGGCGCGGGAGGTGGGGGATTAGCAGGAGCCTGCGGAGACCTCATTGGTGTAGCGGAGCTCAAGGATGCGGTTCGAGAAGCACTAGAGTCAGTCATCGAACGCGCCGCGGATGGGCCAGAAATTGGACGTGGGACAACAGAAATATCTGGACTCGAAGTTATCGGGACATGCGAAGAGGCCGCCGGGAGAGAGGATGAAGGAGTTGTGGAAGCGGGGGCGTCCGTCGACGTAGACGTCGAAGACAGATATCGTGAGGTTGAGCTCTGTGGAGGCGCCGTATGAGAGCATGGAAGCGTAGAGCGCTCATCATTCGTGGGTGACGAGGGAGTATCTGTGGCTGTAGCTGTCGTAGCTACGGGAGTGGCTTGAGATGCTCCTGGAGGCCCCCAATATACGGGCGTGGCTGACGGAATGTGGTCAGTGATCGACATCGTCTCACTGGACTGCGAGCTGGAAGACGTCACGGGTGGGTGTGACGGATACGTGTCCAGGATTGTCTTTGGTTGGCTTTTATATTTTGTGAGGCCAGGTGTATTTACCTCGAGATTCTTGATCTGGTCTTTCACTTTGCGGGTGAGCCAATGTAAATTACCGCGGTATTGAGGCGGGATAGTATCGGTTGGCAAAAAATATACGGTGCCGTCGTTGTTCGGCAGTACCAAGAACAGTGGGAGACCCGTTACGAGTACCGGTCGGTTGGGCGCGACTGCCCGACACCCTGAATTAGCCGCCTGCCCGAGATGTTTCCGTGTTTCGCTTTGTCGCCCGTGCCTATTTGGATTGCATTGATAAGCGTGGAAAGAAAAGACAAGAAATTTTGAAAAGAACCTACATTTGCCGAGTTGGGCAACTCCCAAAATTGGGACAAACCCACCACTCGAGCTTGTTCTGCTCCTCCGATGGCAATCTGTCTCTGTGTATATCCGACTTGCGATGAGTCGACAGACCCTCGGGCTTAATCCCAGCACAGCATGGTGCCTGAGGAGCCTACAACGAATATGCATGAGGACGGATAGAGGATACACACGATGACAGAGAGATTACTGTTACCGTATTAGATTTTTGCCTCTTCGGGGGTTTCACATCGTCCTGATCGTCGCCGTCGTTTATTGGGCTGCGCCCTCGTTTGGAGGGTCTTCTGTCTTTCTCTGGTTCGGTTCCACCATGAACGTGGCTGACGTCGAGAGCGATGGAGTTGTGGGCGGTCGACGTCGATGCCGTTACACTGTGGGACGGGCTACAGGAACGAGTAGTCAATACTAAAAAAAACTCGAAGTCGACGCTAGAGTGGTGGACCGACGTACAACGTAGATGCATTCCGCCTTATAGCAACACCATTAAATGGTTTAGAAGCTTGAGCGTCGCTGAGACGAGGGGCGGGAGTGACCCGTGAGGAGGGTAGAGGATCAAACTCTGCACTGTTTGGCATTGGTTGAGAAATGTAGGGCCTAGCAATCGACGCAGACCTGTCCGGGTTCAATAAAAGTGAGAACAAGAAGGAATGTAGGATCGAAACTGAACTCACGAGTTCAGCTTGAGAGGGGCAGGTTTTTGGATAATAGGCGTCGCTGACGGCAACACAAGATCAGGAGAACGCGACGACACAGGTGTTGAGATTGTCGGAGTCGACGACATGATGCATGGTTCTTGACCGGGGTTAGCATCGACAGAGGACTGTAATGACGTGGAAGAATGAGGTGCAGGAGGAGTTGACGATGAGTTGGATGGGGTGTTCGGTTGCACGGCCGCATTTCCATACCCGCGACTATGTGACCATATGTTAATCAGATCCAAATGCTACGCGTCGACGCGTCGAAAGTTTTACTCACATCTTATCATGAATAACATTGGCGACGTTGGACATCGACTGCACCAGGGCAGCCATCTTCGACTTCGAGGTTGAGGTATTGGGCACGTTGGTGTTGTGCAAGGGTGCGGGGGATGGGGTCGATTGCTGAGTGGCAGATGTGTCGCCCTCGCCCTCTGAAAGAACGAAAGACGTCGTGGAGAGAGGAGAGGCCATGTTTGATGCAGTCGGCTTCTGGTTGGCGAAAACGAGCAAAGCAGAAAAACAAAGTGGAGGTGGCCAAGTTGTGACGCGAGGAGGGGGAAGAAAGGGAGGATGGTGGTGGAGAGCGAAACGACGCGGTTGGATTTCAGGCGCGTCGTGGTTTGGGGCAAACAAAGCACCACAACAGTGCCGATCTACGGCATTCGGCACGCGCCCCGCAGACTGGACGCGAGAGTGGGCAAAACTTTCTCAAAAGGGTCATGCCTTTGCGCGTCACCCTTATTAGGCAACGCGCACGGGTACTGGGACCGTTCTCGAGAAATAGAGCATGGGCATGGTCATTGGAGACGTACACCGATTTATGACGATGATGATTACCACTGTCATATCGGTTTCCCGTGTCGCTATGCGAACATCTATGCCGTTTGGGTACGAACTAGTCTGAAGCTTGAAACATATTCTGGATGAGAAGAGACTTACCTGTGGTTGGAAAACCTTTTTTCGAAGTCAATCTTGACTGTTCAAGGTGAGAACATCAGGATACGTCAATTTCGTCGCCAAAAGACAAATACAGAAATACAAATAACGGCGATAGCAGGAGGGATACAGTATATGCATGATAAAATAAGAGGCGCCCTCGCGAATGCGTGGAGTTGACGTAAACTGAGTGCGAAGAAGGTTTATAGTGGCAGATGAGGCCAAGAAGCCTTCGGGGGAGTGTTTCTTTCAAAGAGAATCTAGTACATATAGGGAAAGATGGCGAGGAGAATAGATATCGAAGGAGCAAGGGGACCATCACCTATGTTTTAGGATGAGGGACCTCTTGAAAGGATGAGCGGCATACGCGGCTGAAACGACATTCAACGAGAAGAATAGAACGAAGCACAACCTAGGAGCAGACATTAGAACGTATCAGCGAAAAGTCATGTAATACGGGAAAGTCGGGTAGGGAGACACACCTTTTTCTACGAGAGCTTTGAAAGCGATACAGTTGTATCGGAATGTTGGGAGATGAGCTCAAAAACCTGGCAGAGAAACATGCCGGACGAATACACCTTGTAGTCGTGGCATATAAAGTTCGGTATCATCTTGATGATCGCAGGAGAGGATGGGTGCGCAAACATAGACACAGAGCTCATCATTGGAACACGGCTCCTCTAGCCAGAGTAGGGATCGGCTCGAAGCACCACGGCTAGAGGGTTTGGACGAACCGAGCATGAAAATTTGAAGAAGAACGGAGGGGCTGGCGTCAGAAGAAACAGTGCGTATTTAGATAAAGGTTTTGCTGTATCGTATAAGAAGACTCACCTCACTGCTGCTCACCGAGTCCCTCTCCCTCAACTCAAGCTACAGCGTGAAGTTACAGTTCAGTATGCTGTCCAACCAGGATACCACTTCTACCCATAGCTACAGCGTGAATTTCCCAGCAAGATATCCTTCGCGAAACAAAAGGAGCACGAGAGACAAGACCCGCGATCATAAAGCAAAAAGACAGGTGATCCTCAGGCCAGCCAGTTGAACGACGGCTACTCTGGTTATAGGAGGCCAAGAGAGACCAAGTCAACTCGTCTGCCGCCACGTCGCGTTTCGGAGTTCAAATCCTTCCGGCTCACTCCGACTATAGTCCGCACAAACGCTGCATATAATTTTTTCGTCGTGCAAGAGAGCACGTTCATATCTGAGGAAACATTAAAGTACGTGCATCTTGACTGCGATGTCACTGGAGAGTTGTTTTAAGTGTAAGCTTGACGTGGATAATTATTTGTAAAAATATGTGGCCCAACTTGAGTTCATTTTGAAATGCACGCCACTCGAAACCCGAAGTCAATCTCAATGCCTTGAAGCGTGACTGGAACACTGAACACTGTACTACGCCCTTCTTCTCTCCATCCATCCATAAACCACTATTTTCTTTTGTAGTCCACGATAATCATGTCCACTCCCGCGGAACTTGCGTCTCAACGTCTCTTCGCGCCCCACATCGTCACGAACACGCACACAATCTCGACCATCAAATTCATATCTTCCACCCTTGCTGGTGCCGTGGCAGGTATCCTCGGCCTCGAAAACGCCTACGGATTCGCTCTATTCGCATTGTCAACACTGTTAACGTCGGTGTGCATGCTGATATTTAACTTCGGAGGCAAGCCGACGAAGTATTTGCCCGGTGGGTGGGTAGAGATGGTCAACCCGGGACAGGAGAACGTGATGAGTTTTGTGTTGGTTTGGACGTTATTTTATGGTGCGCCTTCAGTCCAATGGTATCTGTTATATCGATGGCTGATTGCTGGTGACGATTGTCACGTACACTATGTATAGGTATCGTACATGGTGCGTCCCCTATGCCCTGTTCGTTCACTGTCTGATACTCAACAGCCCTCCCTCTCCATTTTCTTTCCTTTCTTCGAACCTCGCAGTATATGACTAGGCTCTGTATGTTATTTTTACCCTCATGCTTGAGTCTCCACGGTGTTTTTGGTCTTAGTAACCAGTTGCACCACGGAGCGAGGTTCGAGGCTCCTCTCGTGTCCAACCGACGATAAAGGTCCTCCCGAACTCTGCACTCTCAGTTTTGTCATCCACCTTCCTTGAGCTATCGCTATTATTCGACATTCATTGTTTTGACTTGCGGCGTTTTCCTGGTTTTCGCCCTCTTGGACTCACTACAAATAGACGTCCTACCGCTATATCTCGCCATTGCGCTGGCGCCTTGTCACTTAGGCCAGATTTATGGCTCCGCTTCACGTCTCGTCTTATGATACTGCTACATAGACCCGTGGCTCAGTCAGCCTCACGTCGTAGTCCGGCCTTCCGCGCCAAACCATTGCGAATAGTGGAATTTGAATGCCACGGTGTCGCTCTCGTCGGTCAGAGCGCAGGACCAGCTCCTCAGCTAGGCACAGATATCGAACTGCGCCTTGATTTTCTACAACGAGCGGAACTGAACACAGATGAGGGCACATTTGTAGATCAAAAGTATGGTGTCTTCTTTCATTCCACCTCAAGTAATCAACATCCTCAACTGTGCGTTTCAAACTGTTTCTCCCCAGTCATGGAAGCCGTACTACCATCCGCCGTTGCATCCGAGGTTGCATCGCTTTCCCAGCGCATACCTAGCACATCGTACAATCGCGGTCAAAGATATCATAATTGGATCCGAAGTGAGAGATACACAACGCAGCGACGCGGAGTCCGAAGGCTACTGGAACTTAGCGGCGAGCGCAGCTCTCAGGCAGACATGCCCATACCACGTCTACAGGTTCGTTCTACTTTCTTTTTTGCACATGACTTACCCATTCGCGACTCTTTTTGCAAGGACAGCTCGAGATGTACGAAAACGTCGACGATATACTGGGTTTCAGGTACGTACCATACCCTTGTGGCACGCTCTTGTCCGTGCTCCTACATATGTCTTCACCGTTCCTTCTCCCTTCTCAGTTGCTTTGCTCTCATGTGAGGTTGGATACTTCGTCATATGCCGGCAGTTTCGTCAAAGCCGTCGGAACGCTTCCTCGTTATCTCTCAAATTTCAAGTCTCATGAGCACATTTCGTCCGAAATGGTTCGCAAACGCCTCACGAGCTCGATGCGTTTCGTCTACTTCATCCGGCGAAACGTTACCAGGATCAAGCTCGGGCAGCTAGGATAGCTTCTTTGAAGGAGATGGATCGGGGTCTGTATAACGTGTGGCGAGGACGTTTCGTCGTCTCGATGCTTGTGGTGACACGACCCCGGTTTTTACCCAAGATAGGGTTCTTCACGAGGGAAATAAGAGGGCGCTATGTGCAATACCGTGAAATAGAGCTATGGAGATCGAGAGCAGGATTTAGTAGAAGTTGAAGATAAGTCGACGAGTCAATCAAAAGCGAGTAGGTTCCTGACCCTTTGGGTTCTCTCCTTTTCATGTCGTTTTCATGTTTGTAGATGGTGAATGTGGCGTCGGCCACCATGTTTATTGTCCGAGAAATTGTTTCCGGTTAGATATTCTCATTTGAAGCTTCGCATACGTTGTGCTTCACGGTCTGCACCTGCGAGGAATTGAACAGACAAGTTAGTGAAAAGTAGATGGTTCCGGAAACGCCACTATCGTCATGTACATTCTTGATCAAATCTGCGGTTGTTGCATTTGTTCAACACATCCACTTTGTTGCAGGTTCCACCACGCTTACTGGTCTGCCGCTGTTTCACCAAGAAATCCAGCCTCGTACGCTGAACACTGGGCAGTCGGTGAGACGCTCATGGACAAGTCTCGGTACGACGATTTACGTCTTTTATATCGTGGTGCGCGCTACTATCTCTTTCTCGTCTGTTTTAGGGCCCGTGCACGTGAATCATACAACTTGAATACTGATATGATATATCCGTTTTCTTCGGTTGATTTATGATTGTCAGAGCCAGTCAACGTTCCCTCTCGCGTTGTCTTCTATCACGAGGGCACAACTTCAACCATATCTCTTCGAAGTTTTTGCATTACGTGCCAGATCTGCAGTGATCTCTCTGAAATTTGGGTGTCGCAACGAGAGACAACCCTTGACTTCGTAGCATCCAGTCGCACTGACGTTAGTGAGGTGTTGGCTAGCATTCCCGTGACGCTTGTCACTGTATCCCCTGAAGGGAGCTCACGAGCTTCAAACGAAATCTGACACCAGTATCGGGTCTGTCAAACACATATGTTCAGTACACCATGCTATCTTCCTATCTATGTCAGCAATCTACCCGACTCTCGATGGGTAATACACTAGGATTGGTAGAATAAAAAATTCGCAGTCGGTGGATGAGATGGGCTCTTTGTCTCGTAGCTAGACTCATAGACACATAAGTAGTACCGTACCCTAATTCTGCTGAACATAACAACGCGCCCAATCGGGACCTAGGCAAGCTCTTGAAAAATCAATAGCAGTGCTTCCGTCTCGAGAAATTACAAGACAGCAATATTTACGACGTAGGCCTAGGTGAAAATGACTCGGAAGCCAGATCAAAGGATGGAGAGATTGCTTACCAAGGATCCAGCCAGCGGGGCCAGATACCCACTCCAACTCTTGGACTTCCTCACTGGTGGATGCGTCCCAGATGCGCAGCGTGTCATCTTCCGAGCCTGAGACGACACCTGTGCCATCGGGGGAGAAGGCGACGGAATTGACGGATAGGGTGTGGCCCTCCAGCATCTGCACCTCCTCTCCGGTGGACGCATCCCAGATGCGCACCGTGTCGTCTTCAGAGCCCGAGACGACGCGTGTGCCATCGGGCGAGAATGCGACGGAACTGACCGATGCGGTGTGGCCCTCCAGCTTCTGCACCTCCTCTCCGGTGGACGCGTCCCAGATGCGCACCGTGTGGTCTTCAGAGCCCGAGACGACGCGTGTGCCATCGGGCGAGAATGCGACGGAATTGACGGATCTGGCGTGGCCCTCCAGCTTCTGCACCTCCTCTCCGGTGGACGCGTCCCAGATGCGCACCGTGTGGTCGTAAGAGCCCGAGACGACGCGTGTGCCATCGGCCGAGAATGCGACGGAATTGACCGATGCGGTGTGGCCCCCCAGCTTCTGCACCTCCTCTCCGGTCGACGCGTCCCAGATGCACACCGTGGCGTCCCGCAAGCCCGAGACGACGCGTGTGCCATCTGGGGAGAATGCAACAGAGTTGGCCGTACAACCCATGTCGATTTTTGTTAGAATGCTGCCATGATTGCTTATTCCTGCACAGCTCAGTTGTGGCAGGTTCGGAAAGCACCTCCTCCAGTTACTAGGAATCTTGGTATTTGTGGCAAACTCTGTGGCCATACTCGAGATGTAAAGATGAGGTGTCGATAGAGATGCAGGGGTCTGCAGAAATGATTTGGCAAGTCTTGAAACAGCAGTCCAAGCCATTTGCAGCTCAGAAATGGCCTTGTCATCTCGCTGTACGGCCTGCACATGTGTGAGCGAAGTATGAACTCGTGAGAAGTGAAGCGCGAACCTGTTTGTTCACCCACGCCATTATGGCACTCACTCCGGCATAGCAATCCACCCTTGCTGCGAGTAGGTTCATGACCTCAATCCAGAAGAGGGCTTTCATCTGGCTGAACACCAATAATTTGTCGAAGAGAAACTGGATGCCCTCGCTTTCTATAGGCACCTCGACCAGGTGCGACGACCAGTACCGACACACATATGTCAGGCCGTCAATGCTGTATACATTTTCATCGAGGGACTGTGTGAGGTTGTCGACCTCAGAGTCAGGCAAATAAGATGATGTAAAGTTGCAGATGTTGAACCGGAGAGATTGGTTCATGATGCGAAAACAGCCACGGACAAGGACACTGTGGCTGATTTCTGGTCTGCAGGAGAGCTTTGGTGTAGAACGCTGATCGTCGAGGATGAAGTCAGAGAAGGATTTGTGGCGCATATATACATGGTTATTGGAGGTGTATAGGACGGCATGGAGATTCTGGACAAGCAGATGGACAGCTTGTTGGTCAACATCCTCAGAATCCTCAGCTACAAGTTCGGCAAGTATATTGGTCGAGAGCGGCTGTCGTGCACATATGATACTATGAAGGATAGTGAGCCGAAGGCGCCCGTCATCATCTGTAATTGTATGGCTCCCAATAGCATCGAGTACAATTTGCATATATAGAACATCGATGGGCAGCGTCTCGCTGCCAGATGCCATGAGACCATTTTGATCTCCGAGTAACGTCGACAGCTTCTTGGATTGCTGCCGGGCGGAGAGAGGGGGACGGGGGGGAGACGGTGATATGAGGTGCACTGCAGTGGCGGCATAGATGAATAGCCCGCGGGAAAGGTCCGCGAGAGCATGCAACTTTTGTCGAGATGAACTCTCAATTTCAGGCAGACTTTGGATTAGAAACTTCATGATGTCCTCCCGCTCTTCCTGCTCATTGATATTCTCGAGGCAGTACACAGCCTCCTTTGGAAATGACTGGGCGGTGGCGACTATGTCAGGGTGAGGGCGGCTCGTCACAAGAAACTTGAGACCTCGAATGTCTCTCCCTGCCTCTCCTGCTACCTCAATGAGCGACTCCAATAGCTTCTTGCCACCTTCACGCTCAATCTCATCTAGCGCGTCGATGACGACGAGGGTTGGAGGCAGTCCAGATGGACGGGACTTGGCCGACTGCTGCCATGGATGAACCAATAAACTTTCCATAGGCCGCTTGCTCCAAGCATGATCCTTACTGACTTTGCGCAATGTACCCGCGAATGAAGAATAACATCGCGCCAGTTGATACACCAGAGTGGGAACGATGTTTGAAAGACTGTGCAAGTCGCTGACTTGACGAGAGCAAAAGAAGGAAGCGCCTAGAGCACAGCGAGCCTTCTCAGCGTCGAAGTCGCGACAGATCGTGTAAGCTATCGTGGATTTCCCCGTGCCCGCCATTCCGCAAAGCCAGAAAATGGGCGGGCTTGAGGACGACGTATCGACGGCCCAGCTCTTGATTCGATCCAATATGCCGGTACGGGTATCTTTTGCGCAAGCACGACGGACTGGTGCGTTCTGCACAGGGTCAGAGTCGTAAATGGCGGCGGGCACATGCGGCCACGTGTTCAGTTGAAGGATCTATAGCCTCATCAGTAGGCATTGACCGTGTCACTACCAGAGAACCACTTACACTGAGCATTTCAAGGACCGACTTCGTATCGCTCTCGATGACCAACAGAGTGGTCGTCTTGTGCATCGGAATCAGTTGCAACCTTTGGGGGAGTTTCATCTGCCATACGTACCGAGAAATTCGTTGTGTGCTCTTGGATCTGCCTAACTATTTCCTCGATCTTGTTCTTAATATCCTCAGCTTCCAATACCTTCTTCCACATCGAGGAGCCGCGTATTTCTCGCATTTCGGCCGCCCGATGGACCAAGAACCTGGTAGACTATCGGTCAACATCATTAACGTGCAATATCAATGAATCAAACGTACGCAACGAAAACATTGATCCTTGCTGACGACTCAATACTGAATTGGTGGGTTTCCATGAGGGCGTTCTCTACGGCAACGAGACGACCCAGGATGATCTCCGATGTATCTTCCGCACTTCCATTTACGTCCTTGACGGCCTTCATGGACAACATCAGCGCGAAAACAATGGAAAAACCAAAGGGTTTGGCCACGAAGATGAGACGTACTTCGACGACATCGACGATGGTAGAGAGGACCGCGATGGGCGTTTCGAGAGGCGTACCCTTGAGGAAAGGTTCGATTCTTTTCAGGAGATGCACGAGGGTGCCGCAAGTCTGCATCATGTTCTGATAGGTGCGGGAGTGGGCCTGTGCTGCCTTCGCCTCTTCGATGGTGGGCCTAGGACGATTATCCTCGGCTATGGGGACGGGAACATGCGCTGCAGTCGGACTTCAATAATCATGAATGACACCCTGGGCAGGATAAACACACCTGAGGTTGCTGGGACACCGATAGGTCCTACAGAACTTAGTCAGTATTCATTGTCCAGTCTTGCAATAAATGATGGCCACGCACCCGACTCCGATAACGTCGCTCCTTGCGGATTGCTCTGGGCACCGACGACTGCGCGTTCTTTCAGATGTGACATCGTCCACTATGGGCGATATATTGTGCAAAAATTCTGGGGTCAAAAATGCGCGCAACTTCTGCAAAAGTTGCGCACCTAGCACCAGTTTGCGCACAACTTTGATCAGACGCGCGCACCTTATTCTGTATGCACGCAACCTTGTTGAATGCACGCGCATGCAGTATAATACGCGCACCTTGTATCATATACGCGCACCTTGTCGTCGTATGCACGCACCATCTCTTCAATGCACACAACCAAAAGACACGCAACGGCAAAGTCCGGTGTAAGCACATGTTCGTATTGTGCGTGCAAGTTCAACTTACTTTCAACAGCACGCACGCGTTTAGGCCATCCACATACCCTTCGCTCAAGCTCTCCGTGCATCACTCTCTGGCTGGAAGATGTGAATTAATTGTGACTGCGGATGGCCAGCCACTTCCTCCCTCGCTCAGGCAATCTTGTGGAGTCGCCTGCTCCCTCGTACCCTTCCTGCGTCGGTAACCTCGTGTCTGTCTCTTCTTTGCGAGACCGGATCGGAAGATCGTACTTCTACGGTCCCTGATCGTTATTTGACATCTCCTGCTCTAATCACACCGTTTAATACACCTTGGTCTACAATGCCTTTATGCTTGTTGCGCTCGCCGCTCCCTATGATACTTTGTATGCTCTGTCTCTTGTTCCCTGCATCAGTGACTTGTGTGGACGATGTATCTTCCATTTGCTCTGAGTATCATGTAGAAGAAGTCATTCTGACTTCATGCCTGACCTCATGCTTCGTGCTCCTGAACGGAGGCATTTTTGTTTCCGTGTTCTGCTGGGCATTCCGGCCATCAGACTCCCGACCACTGCTCGGGCAGCCGAGCTGTCACCCTGAAACAATATCGGTCGACATCGCTAACAAGCACAGTCGTTCTATCCCCTCAGCTCTCATCGCCCCACCCTCACAATTCTTAGCCAGGACGTCTTTCGCCTGGCTTTGCACTAGCATTGTGACACCTGGGCTTTTCTTTCCTGGAAAGGCCTACACTTTGATATGACTGAGCACATCCTGGTGTCTTTGCGGACCTATTGACCATATGGCCCTTGCCCTGACTCGGGGCTGTCAACAACTGACTCGGGACTTCTATCAGAAGTTCGGATGAGGAACTCTCCGTTACCCCTCGATCCTCCTTGCGGGCTTTCTATCTCTGAATATCTAGGTCCATCACTTTCTCGGGTTGTCAAGCTACGATCTTTAGTTCCGAGCGTTCCGACCAGTCATCGTGTCTTTGGAATTAGACTTCTGCGTGAGCGGGAGGCCATCCGCTGCTTCACATTCTAGACCCTCCGTCAGTCATTGGACAGAGGCCCTTTGGCCTAACATTGACGACTTGTCTTCCTTCCCGTTGCTCACCCTTGCTGTTCTCCTCAATGGCTGCTCCTCCTGGTATTCATCGTTTCCTTGTAGACGCTCATCGTATCTCAAGGGAGGCCCTTTTCATCGCCATGTCTCTGCCTAATGCCGATCGTACTGCTGTCGAACGCACAGTCCGTCAGCTGGACGCCATCCGTCGCGTTCTACTCAATCTCAACGACCCTTATACCACGGAAGATGAACGCCACACCCTGATCCACGCCACCACGGCTTTTATCCAGCCCCTTCAGCAATTTCTTGACGTTCCTCCCGCTCCTCCTTCCTATAACATACCCAGAATCTACACAGGTCGTCCAGGACGACCTCGTTTAGCTATAGATTTACCCCGAGCTCTGTGCTTGCATGCGCTAGGTGCATCCTGGGAGCGAGTCGCTCAGGCAATGGGTGTTGTTCGCCGCACGATATACTATCATCTTGAGCGGGCGGGCATTACCACCACAGAAGCCGTGTACAGTGATATTTCTGACGACGATTTGGACGAGCTTGTCGCGGAAATTTCACTCTCCCACCCATTCGACGGAGCAGGCATAATCCGGGGTCACCTTCTCACTCGTGGCCACAGACTTCCAATGCTACGCGTTCAAGAAAGTCTCAAACGCGTAGATCCGATTGGTGTTCTCACTCGGTATGTTACCTCCTTAGTTTTTACCTTCTTGCCTTCCTGTCAAGCTTCCTGTTCACTCGCTATATCTAAAGCTGGGCAGGCATCATTCGTCGTCGAGTATACCGTGTCCGCGGCGCTATGTCGCTTTGGCATCAAGACGGCAACGAGAAGCTTCTCCGATGGGGGTTCTACATTCATGGATGCGTCGATGGATTCAGTCGCCTCATTCTCTACTTGGCTCTGCGCCACAACAAGACGTCGCCAACCGTTCTTCAAGCTTTCCTCCAAGACGGTGTAGCAAAGCACGGGCGACCGAGTCGGGTTCGAGGGGATTATGGACGGGAGAATAATGGTATCGAGCGTTGGATGATTGAGCAATGGGGTGAAGCGCATCGCGCATACATTCGAGGCTGGTGAGCTTTCATTTATTATGGTTGCTCACTTCTCCAATTTCCTATGGCCACGTCTCCCTGTACTCACTTCCAATTAGGTCAATGCATAATGTACGCATGGAACGCGCATGGAGAGACGTCCGCAAGGGAACCATCGAGACCTACCGCAAGATCTTCGAATATCTCGAGGAGAATCATCTTTGGCAGCACGACAACGTCGTTCACAAGGTCTGCCTCATCCTTGTCTTCCACGACCGCATCCAGGAGTCGCTCAATCGCACCGCGCATGCCTGGAACCATCATCGTGTCCGTACCGAAGGGAACCTCAGCCCTGTCGCTCTTTTTGAGCTCAGCCGGGAGCGTGGGTTGCGCGAGGGCTGGTGGCAGTACGATCCTGGGGATCCTGTCGAAATCGCGAACAACCCGGAGTATGGCGTAGATGGTCAAGGACCGACACCACCTGAGGATGAGATGCGTGAGGAATGGGAGAGGGCTCACCGTCAGGATGTAGAAGCAGGGTTCGAGGTCGATGACGAGAAGGAAGAGATGTTGGAAGAGGCTCGTCGTCACTTACATGGACGCATCGATCTCACTCGCGATGACTTGAACTGGGGAATTGAGGTGTATCTTGAGGCGGTTACATTACTTACTGCTATTCTCAATGAAATGTGAATCAGTATGTCGTGCAAGATTTGGTGTGTGCCCTCAACATCCCAAGTGGTACGTCTAAGCTAGTAGTGTCATAGGTGAAAGTCATGCTATAATGGGAAATATTGCCGGAAGTTGCATTGTTTTATTTTTGAGACTCTCAATTCATGCAAACAACAATGTGTGCGCATCTGCAGCGATTTGTCGTAGACGCGAGACATCGTAGAAATTGAACAAGGATATTCATCTTGGACACCTCCGGCATATTCCGGTGGAACGTGTCACTGCTTAGTCGGCGGATATAAATTGTTTCATTGTTTCATCTTGAGCAGCTGGGCTGTTCTCTGAAGACTCACCACAGCAGGCATACTTCTCCAGGCTGTCGCTGTGGTGAGGATATTCTTCTTGGCAATGCGTGTCATACTTGAGCAATATGACATTCCGAATACGACGTTGCGGTGCTCATCACCATTAAGAATTTGCCGTACCCACGCACTTAGCCCTCTAGCGAGACTCCAGCTGCAGACACCGGCCACAAAATGGGACATTAGTCAGTCAGTACTTTGTTTGACCTCTTTCTTTTTACCCAGTCTGACTCATTACAATGTCGGCTATTACCTCCCTGGAACGTTATATTTGTCGCTCAAGCATAGCTCCTCAGGACTCGTCGTCAGCTGGAGTGTGTGTGGCCCAGACACCCTCCACACATCTATGCCATTACTCGGTCAGTTCTTCGTCTTTCTTCTTTATCGTAAATGACTTCCAACGACGCTACGTGATATGCTCAAGCATAGCTCTGTGGAACGAATTACTAGCTGTGGGGTATGTGGCCCAGATACCCTCCACAGAATGTCTCACTACTCAGTCAGTAGTTCGTTTTATCTCTTTATTTCTACCCAATCTGACTCATTATTATGTCGGTCAATGCCTCCCGAGAACGCTCCGTGATCCGTCCAAGCGTAACTCTGCAGGACAAATAATTAGCTGTGGGGTATGTGGCCCAGACACCCTCCACAAAATGTCTCACTATTCGGTCGGTAGTCTGTTTTATATCTTTGTTTCTACCCAATCTGACTCATTGATATGTCTATCAACTCCTCCAGAGAACGCTTCGTGATACGTCCAAGCATAACTCTGCCGGAAAAATAATCAGCTGTGGGATATGTGGCCCAAACACCCTCCACAGATATATGTCATTACTCTGTCAATACTTCGTTTTATTTCTTTTCGTCTACCCAGTCTGACGCAATAATATGTTCGTTATTTACCCCCGGGAACGACACGCGATGCGTTCAAGCATAGCTCTGTGGAATGAGTTACTAGCTGTGGGGTGTGTGGCCCAGACACCCTCTACACAATGTCTCACTACTCGGTCAGTTATTTGTTCTACTTCTTTGTTTTCACCCAATCTTACTCATTGTTATGTCTGTCAATGCCTCCCGAAAACGCTCCGTGATCCGTCCAAGCCTAACTCGGCAGGACGAGTAATTAGTTGTGGGGTATGTGGCCCAGATACCCTCCACAAAATGTCTCATTACTCGGTCAGTACTTTGTTTTATCTCTTTTTTTCCACTCAGTCTGACTCATTGATATGTCTGTCAATGTCTCCCAACAACGCTTTATGATACGTCCAAGCCCCACTTGGCAGGACGAAGAATTAGCTGTGGGGTATGTGGTCCAGACACCCTCCCCAGATATATGTCACTACTCGGTCGGTTCTTCATTTCGTCTCTTTCCTTTTATCCAGTCTGACTCTTCAATATGATCGTCATTGCCTTCCGATAACGCTACGCGATGTGTTCAAGCATAGCTCTGTGGAATGAGTTACTGGCTGTGGGGTGTGTGGCCCAGACACACCACACAATATTTATCACTACTCGGTAAGTACTTCGTTTTCTCTCTCTGTTTCTACCCAGGTTCAGTCTTTGATATGTTTGTTTTTGCCTCCCGGAAACGTTTTGTAATCTGTCGAAGCGTAGCCCTTCAGGATCCACGCGAATCGATCGGGATGGAGGGAGGATCGGATGGGATGATGTAACGAAAAAGATGACAAAAAAGAGGAAAAGACGCACTGAGTGAATGTTTCGAGGTGATGAGGAGTTGTCAGGCGTGAGTGCACCGATGAAGATGATGCAGCCGTTCAATTTCAGTGTGAGCGTGTACAGCGGCGTCGCAGGTTCCTCCAGGGGCGCCCACTGTCAAAAAACCTCAGATAGGGGAACGAGGAACGACCAATCAAATAACACACCGTAGTCCAGGGAACCTCCCCGATTTTAAAAAACTTATCATACCCACGTCGCCACGATCCTATACTCGGTCCTCGACAAAAAAAAGCTATGTCCGAGCCGAAGCGCGTTTCCGCCTCGCCCTTGAGCACACGAATCGCACCATCTGCACCTCGCCCGCCGTGACATGTTCCGTTGAGTCTCTCAAAGACGGGATGGACTTCACTGGATCCGTGGCCCAAGCGCACCGCGACATAGAAGCCCGCTCGGTGTACGAGTTCATGTGTGCCAAGATGGAGGTGCTATTGAGCGAGGCAGCTGTAGAATGGATCGAACTGTACGAGGTGATGTATGTGGGTGGATCGCTTCGTCGCCTGAGTTGGGTGAGACCAATGGGAGGGGAGCGCGGCTAGTGAGTACGACCTAGTGACGACGGTCTTGACGTTTACGAAGAAAATAATTGTGGGCGGTTGTGTTGGCAATCCAAGAACCATGACCAACAGGGGGTGTGCAAACAGCTTTGAGCTCCGTGAGGGTGATTCGAGGCTGTGGGAGAACTCGACAGCTGTCGACGGAGAGTCCGCAGATGAGAACGTTCGGAATATCGGCCCAGGCGGATGATAGCCCTTGCTGTACTCAAGAAGGTTCAAGGCCGGTGAAGACAAAGTTTCCGGAGGGGTGTCTCGAGAAGAGTTACAAGAAAGAAGGGCCAGATCAACAATGTGTATCGAGAGTTGAGGAGAAAAGCGAGCAAAGAGGGTTAGTAATCCTAGAATCAAGAGTAGGGTGCTTTGTATGCGCAGTTTGTTCAGCTGATAGTGAGGCGATACAAACCATGAAATGGACTTGCGATGCATAAACGAGTTGGTCGGTGCTGGTTCAAGTTGAAGAGGTACGAGAACAACTTCACGAAAGAAAGCCGCCGATGACGAGCCGGTGCCACATGTGGCACTGTCCTGGACCCCCACACAGAACTGATCACACAATTTTTCGCGTCTTCCACAAATTCATGAGCTTTGGCAAAATGAAAGAGTCAAGTTGATGCAACAATCCTGGGTGGTGAGAAGCTGACTTACAGCTGTGCATAATATAATACATTGCATGTTGCGGACGGAATGTCACTGAGGTGACGTCCGTGACAGACACGTCTGGTCACAGGCTGTGTTTCGTCGCGTCGGTTTCTGGCTTGTCTTGAACGCGACTTGTCACCTCTGTCGCTTCCCGGATGCCTGAGTTTCGAGAATCCTGGCTTGCTGTTATGTATCTACGCTGGGCTATGGAACAGTACGAGGATATGGACTGGTCCGTCCGCGATGTCTGGTACGACGCCGTTGGTTCTGGGAAATCCAAATCCAAAAAGCCAAAAAAGCCGAAAAATCGCCCACTTCCTGGAACTCCTCATGCTCAAGGGCTTGTAGATAGACTCACACCTCAGTCTCCGGAGGCAAAGCGAGGGACGCAAGGTATTCAGACACCTCTTTGGCCTACTATGTGGGATCGGACACGCCCAGATTGTCCTACTATGCAATCTCTTCAGCTCAAGGGCGCATACGAAACGGCCCGCACAGCTGTACTTGATCTTGGGCCTTTGTGGATGCAGGTAGGATGGCTGTTATATCTGATCGAGTCTCCTATTACTCTAGCTCAATGTCTGCTACAACTAATTGTAGCTTCAATGGCTGACACACACGTCTATTCAAGTCTATCCCATCGCATACTGGACCCAATCTATCAAGCCTTGTACTGCTGAAGTGAGTCTTCGATTTTCTTCCCAAATATACATCACCGGGAAAGTTGACTCTGTTCTGAACAGGAACGTAATAATCGAATTGCTATCGCTTTCGAGTTCGACCTATGTGTTGTTGCCTTTGTCAGCTACGACAACATGTTCCAGGTCAGTTTATTATCTCAAGACAGAGAGTATCCATTCCGAGTGAACAATTCATAGGTGGAGTGGGCTTCCACTCGAGATGGTCTTCGTGCACGGCATGTACACGTTCTCGATGACTGGACGGGTTTTCTCCAGTTTGTCGCAGATTGGTACGAAGAACGGATCGACAACCCATTCAACAAACTCGTAACATTGCTCGTGAATGTATTGAAGGACGATTGGTCCGTTGGGATAGGAGTCTATACTGTCGCAGAGATCTTATTTCTCAGTGGTGTGTACCTCAAAGGCTCAAATCACTTCCGGTGTGCTTACGCCGGGCCTGAATCTCCCTCCAGGCATCTCACCATTTCTCACTGAGAAGGAACTTACCCCGTCTAGATTGGCTCGCGCCTGTGAAAGTACCTATCAGTACGGTCTGACCACGAAGGGTGTGATATGGTATGGCCTTCTTGGTTTTCATTCGATCTCAATCCTCAACGTCACGCCACGGTCTCTTTTTCAGGAAAGACGTGGTACTTCCAACCCTGCATGACACCATGATCGCGCCAACTGATGAACAGCGGCTGAACTACGCTTACCATCTATACGTCTATGGAAAGGAAAAAACATATATGCCTTCCCGGATGGCAACATTACTTGATAGATATGAGGTGCAATTTCCACTCTGATTCTGGGGTTATCTGGTGGTTGCGGATGAATTTCTGACTATCTTTTTCTGAGGAAGGCTTTTGTTTCGTCTTCAGCCGAGGGCGCTATCCCTATGGCACTGCCCGCTGATATATTCGAACCCACCTACATCGCCGACGCTCTGAGCACGCCTGGCCACCTGGGCCACCTTGTATTCGGACGGGATAAGTGGCGGTCACTCGCTCCTTCTGGGTGGGATGACTGTGCACCAGATGATCCTCTCACTGCTATGTTTCGTCGGAGAGGTCTGCCATTCATTCACTGTGCTGTTTATTTTATACTGAGACTATGGTCAACAGGAATGTTGGATGTCGAGACAAACCTAGATAGCAGCTTATACGGTGTCATGCGTCTACGCGCGGAAGACATGCGTATACGTGTTCGTCCAACTTTCACATACAAGTGTAGTGGCGACCTTGTATGGACTGTTCAACATGCTCCTCCTCCGCGACCAAATATTTTTCCGTGCGCAGAAATTCCATGATTGGACATACTGATTCGAGCTTAATGATAGCTTCTCAGAATGACCAAAATCTATGAAGCTGATGATGGCCAGCGTAACGCCCAGATCTTTCACAAGAGGGTGTTAGAGTCCATGCAGGTTGCCATTGGTCCTCTCGAATTCTGCGCGAATGCTAGACTGGTCAAGTCAATTGATGGGCGCAGGACGTAGTACGTATTCTGCCCCATTGCCTTCTGATACTGATATATAACTAGCTTACTATCCGTTCACAGTGTTCTCCCTTGCCGGGTTGACCCTTTGGCCCCAGCTCATCTCACCGATCGCAACTTGAAGAGTCTTGCCCGGAAGGGATTCGACGTCAAGTTTCCGGACAAACCTGAGCTAAATGATGATGCTAGAAAGCGTCGTGATAAGCTTGTCGACCATGCACATAAAGCAAGAAGACGTGCCACTGAAGGTGAACTGATAGTGCATATGACTGCTTCGTTTACTGATGTTACGTTTCTGTCTGTTGTTTTTTAGCATTACCATTACCCATTGAACCTACTTCTTCATCCTCCACCCCGTCATCCCCTCCTCCCTCTGAGGTACGCAAGAAACGCAGTTATCAGAGAGCAGACCTGGTTATTCTAGGACAAGACGGCATGATGATCCCTTCTCCAGAGAAGAAAACACGAAGGATCTCGAAGGGAACAGGCATTGGTTGGGATATGAAGAAACATCCATCATTGCCTTCACGTAGAGGTTGATTCTTTCTCAACTTTGTACTTTCTGAACCCCTTTTATGCAATCAACATGAATGGGATCATGCTCAAGCACAAAAAAAGAGTGTTGAGAATGGTGTGATACGAAACAAATAAGAAGTTATGTGAACCAACCGTCTATAGCTGAAGTCCGACTACAAACCGTGGCTCGTACAGTTGACTAGTCCAGATGACTGAGTTATTGCTAGCATTAAACATGCTCCAATTTTTTCGGACCACTGAGCAAAGTGGTAGCTAAGAAGGTCCTTTCTTCGGGAAAATCACTTTCTTGGCCATAGTGTTGATTCCTCCGGCTGTCACTCGAGTGTACATACCTGATACAGGCTACTGCTACTGGATACTTACCAAGACCAGTACAATATTTTGGTGCTGCTTTCACTCATGTACACAGTCTTTCAAATATTTAGACACAACCTCAGGAACGCTGGTTCACATGTGAGTGGTTCATGAGAACAGATAATATCTGTACCCAATGCTACATTGCAGTACTACTGGATGTCTGATATGTTATGACCTGGCAGAGTATAAGATAGTTACGTACACGTCCCCAACACCTGCCTTGAATGTTTCTAGCACTCTCTATGTCTTAAGAGACGAGGAGAAACATCCTGGATAGATATGTTATGAGTACTGATGGATTTTGACGACTTTACGAGCCAGGTATCTGATAATATAATTTCACACGTTGGAATCCAATTATGAACACGACAATATGAGCCTCCACAAATTTTTATAATTTTTCTACTATTTTATTTATGGCTGACTGTCTTGGAGGAGCGAAGACTCGAACTCAGAGAACGGGCTGTTCCGGTCGGAGAACAAGCCTCACCTGCCTAGAATGGGAAGCCGGTGGCTGAGCCGGGTCCACAGCCACTTCAGCTACAGGACTCCAAGCTACCTCGGAGACTGCAAAGAGTTTTAGGTGTGGTTTCTCATTACTAACAGGCCTATATCAGGTTCAGCTCCATAGAGATCGTTCATGTCTATGAGATTGTAGAGTAGGACTATTGCATGAGAAGCACTCCCAAAATTGCCACAGGTCGAGACTTGTGGGCGCTGGCATCACATTACGGTGCCGGGTAGACTGGATTTGGTGGTGTAAAGAAGACATAGTGTACATTTCCGCTCTATGTGAAACATTCTTAGCCTGCCCTAACAGCACGATGACTAGAACGGAATCTTGCACTAAATGCAACAGAAAGTATCCGGAACACAAGATCAGGTCACTGCTTTTCGAGACTACATCTCTCCCATCGAGCACGGCGAATAGCACGGGCGGCATAAGACGGTACTCTATGAACCACACTCTAGGAAAATCTGCCTGCGGAGAAGCGATCCAAACAAAAGTCAACGTTCATCATAACCGCCCAGCCGTTCTCGCTATCACGATAGCAGATTTCACGGTGATTACGAGTACCATGAAGGTCGACTATGGTGGCAGGAAGACAAAGTATAGACTCGCCGGAGTCGTCTATCACGGAACCTATCACTTCACAGCGCGATTGATAGACAAAAATTCGAATACATGGTGTCATGATGGCATGACTAACGCTGGGAAATGTATTCCAGCTGGGAAAGTGAAAGACGTACCGGACATGTCTGTACTTGAAGGGAGGGTTGCCTGCCTAGCCATATATACATCCCTGTGATAGTATGGATAGTAGCATTATTCTGCTCTGTGTAGTGAATCGAAAAACTAATGCTCACCTGTTCAAGGAACAGACGATGCAAAATGATGAGCACGAGAGTGTATGTGCATATTCAAAGTGCAAGGGCAAGTCACAGTAGTTTGACAGTAGTTGTGCAAGAGGAGCGACATTGCATGGTCAGTGGCCGAGGACATGTTAGGTTTCATGATATGTCCACAAGCTGCGAAAGAACCGAGCACTGTGCAAGAGCCTTCAACGTTATTCTGAGTATAACATCTCTGAAGCCTTCGATCTGAGCGTCTCCAGGTAGTCATGCATGAAAAGGGTGTGATATGAACATACACTAGTCATCGGAGACCGCGAAGGATGGGCAGACCGATGGAGGTGGTGGAGGGAAAGGTTAAGCATAAAGAACATGGGAACAAGTATCATAGTGTGGGGCATCGCAGGCGTTTGTATAGCAAGGCGCCACAAATAGCACTGCTAGAATGACGCACAATGCACCTTTCTTTGCGGAGGGAGGCATACCTTGGGTCATTCCGACAGTAGCAGTATTATACATCAGTCAGGTGCAGACACTAGTGCAACTTGACTTCTGTTTTGGTCCTGAATTCGTCGGCAGTGCTGCAACAAACCAGAGGTTTAGATGACAGTCTTAGCAGTCGTGAATGTACGCAAATTGCAGATGTTAAACCAACTGCTTACATATCAGACCATAGAGGTTCAAAACGTAAGACCCGTTACGTTTCTTGGCGGGGAAAAGTTAGCTGAAAAGTAACTTTATTCAGACTCGTTCAAAACGAGCTGTAGATGACTTTCCATGAGCCACAAAATCAGGAAGGCAAACGGTTGCAGTGTTCAGGCGAACTGAAATGATCAGGACTAGCAGCTCACAGTCTGGGTCCCAAGTATGGTATGCAGCAACAGAGTACCCATAGACCTCACTAGAAAGACCGCTTTCAGGGATACTCAGTGATAGACTCCTGCTAGCGTGAGCCGATACGACACGTTGACAAGACCAGGAGATCTCGCCACAGTGATAAGTTGGCAATGCTGGGAGACGCCGGCGGAACACGGCAAGTCATCAAAGCTGCTCTCGTTCATCTATCAACTTCGAGTTTATTGTCGATATACGTGGCCGTCCTATAAGTCGTTAGCGAGAACAAATGACTGCCTGAAATGGTCGAGGGGAATCGGGTGTTGGTCGGGTATAGTCGTCCCAATGTACAAATCACATCAAGTTAGCTTTTGTTATTTTTCACTGATTGAAAATGATGATACGCACATATGTACAGGTTCTCATTGAAAGTACATAAACGCGAAGTCCTGTACAAAATCATCAGTGTTATTGTTTTGGAGGTGTCGCGTTCCGCGGCGGCATTCTCCGGACCGGTGCCACCAGTGACCACGAATATCCTCTAGCATTTTATGCAGAACCTCGCGGCTACGTAGAATGCAAGAGAATGACAGCAAGTACTCATATCAGTTCATTGAGCTCATGAAAAATGAGATAATGTAACTCCCTGGGGCCGTCACTCATACAAGTGGCTGAATACTTGGGATCGGGATCTCACTGCCAGCAGCACTAATCTGATCTCCGTCCAAAGTCATTTCCGTTACTTACTAGTGTCAACCCTCAATCCGCTGTTCATGCATCGCTGAAAGGTATTACGAACGGTGTTGGTAGAAAGCGACGGAAATAACATAATTTTCAATGTCAGCTTTTACATGGTACAATTCAACTCTCGGAATCCTGAAATATCTCCGAGGGCTGACTACGCCACACCTTCGCCACACTTTGTCTCCTACGCCATGCTCAAAATCTCGGACAAATGTTGATGATCTTGGTGATTTCCTCGCATAGGTTGGTCCAGGCGACACCGTATTGATGATTCTTGTCCGGGTGATAAACCTAAAATCCGAGCGGTTGTCAAGATGGAGGCTGACGGACTGGGATTCGACTGGGAAAGCACAACCAGATGGGTACGTACCAGTAGGAATGCTTTGCGCTGCTGGTGGTAGGTCTGTCGTTGAATTACAACAGAATCCAAGTGATTCGTCACATCAAAGTGTGGCAAATCGTTGAGCAAGGTCCTGACCAATTGCGGCCACCTCATCCGGTTCTTCGATCGAGGGCTCAAGCGATCCATGGCCGATGTGACCCGAGTGGTGTAAGTCGTAAGAAGAGTGGAAGAGGGAAATATGGGAAAATTAGGAGATGCTGTGGAGGTTGAGGAAGCAGAAGATGATGGTATAGAAGACGACGGGATGAAAGAGGAAGGTATGGAGGAGGACGGCGTAGAAGAGGACGGCGTAGAAGATGAAGGCGTGAAAGTAAATGAATAGGGCCTGGACTGTGAGGGTATCGAAGATGGTGGTGTTGAAGCGGACGAAGCCGAAAGGTTGGAGGTAGATGATGCTGAAGAGCTGGGTTGATTGGGCGGAGGTGGCGCAGAGGAGGGTGTTGACGCTGGATCAGGAGGACCAGACGTTCTGGTAGGACTGGAGTTAGATGACGCGAAATAGGTGTAAATTGAGTTGGTAGTACGCACGACGAAGCGGTGTGAGATGTCGCAGAAGTTGATTGGGACGTCTTGGATGCCTTTGCCGGCGGTGAATGGTTTCCGTCGTCGAACACCTCCTCGGACTGATCACGAGTGCGTTTCTGACCAGTGGAAGCTGAGCTTGACGCAGATGAAGACTGAGCAGAGGGTCTGACTGGTATGGGACGAGGTTTGGGCTTCCGCTGTGATGACGTAGGCGGAGCTGTAGAGGATGGAGGAGGGGGAGCATCGGACGTGGTGTGGTTAGAAGTGGGATTTCTCGAAGGTATGGGAATAGAGTCAAAAGCACGACGGTGTTCCGGGGAAAGGTTCTTCTTCATCCTCTCCAACAAGCTCTGAATACGTTCCATTTGACTACGTTTGGGCAAAGGCGAGGACGAAGAGCTGCTTGGTATCTTATGTTTACCCATGTCCACTGTTTCAAAGAAATTAGTCATTGAGGCCACCCACTCGAAGACCTTCTGGCCCGTTAACTCGCCTTCTGGAAAAGGAGGTGGCTCACGACTCAGGATGTCTTTGAGATAGTCAGAATGAGGTCTCAAATCAGGTGTCGAACGAAAATTGACATACCATCCAGCTCATCCTCGTTCCCCATATCCTCTAGTTCCGAACGCGAAGGAAGAGGAACATCATCGTTACCGGTTTGAGAGGTCTTCCCGGTACCAGGTTGTTCGTGAGGGCGCTCATCATCGTCCGAAGCGAGGAACAGACTAAAACGAAGCTCGATAGATTCAATGAAATGCTACTGGGTACAAAAACACGTATACCTACGGATCCCTCGCCGTGCCTTCACCAGTAAACACAGGAGCTGACTTCTTCGCCTTCCGGGACTTTTTCTTCGGGCCAGAGGTCTCGTTTGAGAGCGGAGTTGCTTGGAACGTCTGCCTCGTGTTGTAACGAGTCTGGCGGTCGGACGCAGAAGCAGAGGAAGGCTGTCATTGATGTATGTGAATAAAAGTGGATAACACAAGCAACGTGGAGAGGAAAGCGAAAGAAGAAGGCTCACCTGCTCGGCTCCGTCTGTTGTGTGGGCGTTCATGAACTTTGAAGATCCCTGAGTCTTCTTGCCATGCTGTCGGAATGTCAGTAAGATCACGAGCAGACTATCAGTGTGTGATAAACCAGAACACGTACCGACTTGCTCATTAGATTGAGCTTCCCAGTGGCCTCCTCACAGAACTTCGCCAGTACGGAGCGCATAGCGTCATGACTGCCTTGAAAGGTGGGTGGAAGATCGAAGAGGCGTTTGAAGATCACCTCCGTCAAGAGGCGAGACATCCCCCATACTCCGATGAAGAAGTTTTCGGAGGTCATGGTGTACCGGTCATCGGAAGACCCAAAGTCTTCTGCTAAGGCCTGCGCTACTTCCTCCGGCTTTGACGAATCGAGGAGGAACACAACATGAAGCTTGCGCCAATCGTACTCGGATGCAATCTGTGGGAGAGTCAGCCTCATAGAGTAATATTAAAGAATGTGGCGAGACGTACCTGGAGCTCACGCTTCTTGTCACACTGGGCAACCGCTCTAGCAAACAGACGAATGGCGGGAATCGAATACACGTCGGGTGAGGGGCTTGTGGGACAGCGGTAAAAGTTGCGGACAAGACCATAAATTGATTTGGAGATTTCGCCCAGTGTTGTGCGATATTGCTTCCAGACGTCATGAGAGGGGAAGGTAACTGTCGGGAGGAAGGTATAGACGTAGGAAAGACCTTCCGCAATCTCGTGTAGACCATGAGGGCCGAACTTGGTAGTTGCAGCGGTAACCTCGTCGGAGGAGAATGTCGGTAGTTCAGCAGCAAGCGTCTTGAGGAAGTCGATCGAGTCGATGAACGGAACGATAAAGCTGTTCCAAAAAATCAATTCGTCGAGCGCTACAGAAGAGGTCATCAGCATAGGCAGATGTAAGCTGAATATGAGAGACGCACATGTGCTAGCTGTGGTTTCGCCATAATAGACGGAGTGGGCCGCCTTCATAGCTTTCATCGAAGCCAGAGCAGGACCATACATTGCGTGAGGGATGGAAGGCCACTATGTGTATTGAAATTTTGAGTCATGCACCGTACTACGAAGCGAGAAAGGATCACACATACCATGCCAGAATTACGAGGTCGAGGTTCTACAACATTCCCAAGGAGGTATAGCGCCCAGGACTGTTGCCAGGCCAGTACGGTAGTGGAAGGCCCTGAAGCAGAGGCGGGCGTGTTGGAATTAGCAGACATTGAGGGTGATTCTGTCGCGGTGTCGGACGTTGACGGGCCCTTGTCCGTACGAGGGCGCTGATAGAAGACAAATAGAGCATGAGATGGCGAGGTAGAAAGGATACGAGACATGGAACACGAACCTTTGGCGGAGGCATGATGTCAGTAAGGTCACCATTCGACTCTTCCCCCTTGTTGCTCCCCTCGCCGACAGGATCCTCGACCCCTCCAGTGTCAGACGGCAATACGGACGCATCCTCTTCCTCACACTCTTCCTCATCCCCATCCTCATCGTCGTCGTCGTCGTCGTCGTCCGTCTCATCCTCCGAGTCATCATCACTACCTAAGGCGTCCGCGATATCTCCCCGGCCTTGAGGAAGGGCGATGAGAACAAGGTTCTTGAAGGCGGTTTTTGCGTTTCGAACGGCGCTTGCGGCAGCAAGTCTAATATATAAAATGAAGATATAAGGCTTTGGAAAAAGGGTGAATAAAACGTGTCTACACACCGTCGAAGTTGACTCAGATCGAGTTGACGAGTTTGAGGGTAGGGTTTCAGAAGGGGTGCAACACCGCGCTTGATCTTGCGAGGGAAAAGAGGAACCCAAGCCGCAAAGGGGAGGTTAGGGTCGTTTGGGTGAGTGGAATGGGCCTCGTCGCAAGCGTCGGCGGATTCACAGAGTTCGGGGACATGGCGGAAGAGGGTGGTGATTTTTTCGGATATATTTTCGGCAGAGTCATCGGAGAAGATCTTGACGGTCTTGACGAGTTCGAGACTGTCTAGCCGGACGAGGCTGGGAAAGGATGTGAGAAAATAATAACAACCATTTCAAAGGAACGTCAGGAGGTGGATCCGATCATGAAAGATGAGCACGAATAACGAGAAGAGATATCGACCAAGACAAGTCATGAGAGTCGAAAGGTTTCATGTAGTACGAACACAGAGGGTATGTTGAAGAAAAAAGAGAGTCGAGAAGATGTGGTGAGGATGCCACTCACCCGTCAGCTTTCGGAAGACGACAGTAACCTCCGTGCACGGCGGCCGTGTTGGGAAGGAGGGCGATGGTGAACTCGACCGTATCTCCAGCCTTCGAGGACAAGGATTTCGCACCGCTGACATCTTGACCGCCCAACGACTTCTTCGACTTGCGGGAACCCTTGGGGCGTTTACGACCGTTAGTACTGGCTTCGGTAGCATTCTAGAAAACAGTGAGAGTCGGTTCTGACGAGGAAAGCAAGGTACGTACGTCGGTACTCGGATGAAAGTGATTCTGAAGCTTACTCTGAGGTTTGCCTTCTTTCTGAGCCATGGTGTTGTTGCCGATATCCTCGGAGCGACCGGCGGCACGAGCAGCGTAGGAGGGTATGGAAGTAGGCCGAGGATTGGTAGGAGCTGGATGAGGAGCAGCGTCCTGAGCCTGGTCGACGCGATCCGTTCGGACACTGGTATGCGTTTTGAAGACGTTCGGATCAAAGCCGAAGGCAGAGGAGGCAGGGGCCGTAGACGTAGAAGCCGTTGAAGAGTATGCTGGCGGGGTATAAACCGGGGGACGAGAACCGAAGAGAGTGCTTTGAGTGGGCGTAGGACCAGCGGTCTTCGGGAACTGCTGTGGCAGCACAGAAGACGAAATGGAACGGCATTAGTAATGAAAACGGAGGAGGATATGATGAGAGACGAATGATGTATAGATAACATAGTTCAGGGTTGTAAGGGAAGGTTGTGCGAATACTATTACGTACCGGAGCAGTATTCGCTTGCGGGGCAAAGTCGGACGCGGATGGACGCTGGAGAAGAAAGAAAGAATCAGATAGAGGTCAAGGACGATGGAGAAGCATGTGGAACAAACATTTGGTGCCGCTTTTTTCTTGTGGAAGATCGCGACGTGCGGACAGAACATGCACTTTGCCATGGGCAACGTGGCGGGATTCATGGCAAGCCCAATGTTGGTCGGGTCTTGAAGCGGCCAGAATCCGAAACAGATGTCCTTACAGTCGGCATGGGGGCAAGCACCTAAGTCGTCGGACGAGAGAGTCCAGTTGAGAACCTGAGCATCTGAGTACATATTGAGTGGGATAACTAGAGTGCAGCGGAGACAGAAGTCTGAAGCGATGTTGTGGGCGGCAGCGGAGACAAAAGTCTGAACGATCTCGCAGGGGTGAGCGGAGACAGAAGGCTGAAAGCGTTCGGGTCGAACAAGAACCTTCCGAGATCTTGACTTAGGTTAGAAAAGGAGGACGAGGGGATGGTGAAAGATTTTTTCACGCTTATCTTCGAGCTAAACGGCCCGCGAAGCAGTAATATGACGCAGGGCAGATGAGCGTGATGTGGATTTGTGGCCTAGCGAATGGTGTTTCTCGAAGACGGTTGCTAGGAGAGTTTCCGGAGGTTAGCAAGGCCGATTACAATTTGTCAGTGAAATGACTTGGCTTGGACCGTACCTTGACCGTACCTGAGAAGGACACTAGTAAATGTATGTGATCTCAATGCAAACCAAGGCTCACAGATGAATGCGGGACTTGGAGTATGGTTCCCCAGCGGAGGACATTGTTGGTGGAATCCAGTAGACAGTGGACATCGCAATGGAAGGTTGATAGCGGCAAGTATCGGGAGAGGACGACAATTCAGTAGGCCAAAGGTAGAATATCATAATACCTGGTCGCCCCAAGATTACCCGATCGATCGAAAGCGGAAGCAAAATGCTGCTACACCAAGATCGCACACAGCTGTTGATTAAACCTCGTTCAAGATGCAATGCTGGAGTATCTGAGACAGGTGGAATCATCTCTGAATGAGAAGGTCGATGAAACAGACTGGGAGAGCCAAGATAGATAAACGAATACAGGGGTATCCCGACTCAGAAGTGTCACAGTTCACTAGCATGAGTAGCTAGATCGCTCCTCATGCCTGATTCAGACAACGGATCGAAGTCCAATCTTACGAGTTGAGCAGATTTCCTAGACAGGAGACTCGAGAATTCCTCCCAGCACGAATGAACTCAGACTGAAAACGGACTTTTTCAAGATGTACGTGTCCGAAGCAAGTTGAACTAGCGCGCTTCGGACAAAACCGGTGCGCATCGGAGAGATGTTGTGCACGTGCTCCTTTGAGGTGCGCGCACACATCGTTACAAGGTGTGGGCGTTCACAAAACGATGTGCGTGTATACAGTTGGAGGTGCGTACATACGGTTGGAGGTGCGTGCATACAGAATAAGGTGCGCGCGTCTTCTCGAAGTTGTGCGCATACAGGTGCTAGGTGCGCAACTTTTGCAAAAGTTGCGCGCATATTTGGCCCCAGAATTTTTGCACAATATATCGCCCATAGTCCACTGTAGACGCGATGAATTGCATACCTGACTCGCCTCCAGCGACACTGCCCGACGTTGAAGGTCGGGCCTCTGGATCCACCGTGGGACCAGGATTGGGCGACGAGGATCGACTTGATGGTCGGAATCGATTCACAAACCGCTTGAAGCCAGAAGGAGGCTTCTTGCTGCCTGTAGGATTTTTGTTTTTCGACTGAGACATAATGTGGTTGCGGTATGTACGAAAACTAGCAGAACAAAGTGATAGCGATAGTGACGGTTCAAGACAAGCTGCCTCGTGTTCAGGGTAGCGGGTCGTGTGGCTATTCGAGCCAGCGCCTTCCTTTCTCAGTGCCCAGCTCCCACCATCGAAGCGCTTTACCTTTGTCTCGGAATCGGCACCTTGAGACTTCTGGCCCTCATCAGTCCCGGTTCGACACATGCGATGCATTCGAGAGACTGCACTCAGAAAATGACACATAACATTGAAACATCCTGCGTAAAGTCGAGCAGCCCATGAGTCCAATCATCTCTCGCCTGTCATGTCCCACGCTGATATCGACACACACGACGAGATATTCGCTCTCAAAAGCCATCCTCGGCCAGATGAAATGAGACTTGCGACCGGGAGTACGCTGCTGTGGTAGCGAATGGCTTATATTCGTATACGGTTGTGGAATGGGGACAAGGGGGTCTTGAAGTTTCAGGATGAAAGGACGGACTGATCGCGAATGGTTGGAATATTTGGTGCGATGGTTACCGGGATATTAGTAGCTGGGATGGTGCAAGTGTGGCATCGAAGGGGAACGTCGAGCTCCGAGAAGTGCGCTTGCTACGCAATGTCATGTGGACTCCAATGACGCTGGGTCTATAATGGAGAAAAGATCAAAGGGATAAGATGGCGGACTGTAAGGGCATGAAGAGCACGCACCTTCTTGCATTGCTCCACGGGAGCTCAGACCCTCAAGCGGCTGTACGAAGGTATTCGGAGAAAGTGCTAGCCTTTGCCGAGTCTAACCAAACGGACGACAGGTGAGTATTTTTGGTCGAATTGTGCTTCCTCGCACAGTTCTCACTCACAGGCAAGAGGCGAGCGCGATTAACGTCGCTGAAGCGAGTGAATTTGGAGGGGAGGACGTCAGAGGTCCGAACAAAGCGAGCAAGTCGCCGTGAAGGGCGATAGTAGCAGGAGCGAGCGCGTCCGAGTGACACCTGAAAGTGCCCGAGACACAGCAGAGTGCAAGCTGTGTTTGAGAGGGATCCATATGCAAAAGACGTAGAACGACGCACCCCTGGAATCGTACGCAGCACCTGATTGGATGGTGCTCGCCTCTTGCTCGCAACTAATCATCCTCCATGCCTATAGTTCGCCAGGCCATCAACGGATAGAGTTCCGCACTAAGTTGCCCCGCCATCAAGCCAATTCACTTGCTCATTGCTCGTTGTCGAGATTGGCATCATCATCTAAGTTGTTCGGGCCATTCCTGCACCCAGATTACTGCAACGTAGCCGCTGGACTCCCTTCTCTTTCATTGGCCACGGTGCAGCGAGTAGACAGTAGCTCCATGACTGAGAAGGATTAGCAATATAAGTTTCGTTAATGAGGACCCAACAGCTGATGAAGGAGCGAAGAATGTGAGGTTCAACTGGTTCAAGGTGCAAGACAGTGAGGTTGGCGAGCGAGAGTGGCGTGAACTGTTTGTCGTTGTTTGGCCACAGTTTGTCGCCGTCCCGTGGAGGTCCGTGGCTGTCTGTGGCTCTCCGCGTTTCGCAAGTCCCTTTGGCGCACTGAGCTTTGAACCTGCTTTGAACCCCTGGTGGCCTGCCAATGTTGCTCCAAGCTTCTCGTATGAGAGAATAGCTTGTGTTTATGTTATACTGTATTAATGCTCGAGGAGGTCAGGGAATTGCCTCCTGTGGCCAACCCAAGATCAACACCGGTCTCCTGCCTTCAAGCTGAACGCTTCAAAGCGTCAGTCAAGGTGACCCTGGAATGATTGACTAGCTGCTTGTTCATTCTCTTCGAGTCTCTGCGCCCAAGTCTTGTATCTTATCCTACCGATACCCTAGACATGCAGGCAGTATGCTGTCCGTAGATGACTCGGATCGGTCTCCCCTAGCCTGGCCGATCTTTCATCACCCGACTCACTTAAAAATACACTCAGATGCTACGAATCTCTCTCGCTCTCCTTGATTGCATCAATAGTGCTATAGATACTACACTAGACAACACTACCAAATGGCCACCATCTTCGCTCGCACGTTCGACTACCGTGTTATCGGCGAGTTATCTGTCTTTATCTACATTTCGATAACTTCACTCATAGTAGCGACGTCGATGCTTTGTTTCGTAGGCGACGACAATGCTGGCCTGGTGGTATAATTTCAGTTGTACGGAATTTCTGGGATACGCATAGCTGATTTCGAGGTCGATGCAGTGACCAACGATCATATCGTCATGTTCCTAGTGCGTTGGGTTTTTTCTCGCATTGCTATCCTCATCTTATTTTGTTCCTCTCCTCTTGCAGAAAACATCGGTGCTGCCTCACGAACCCGATGTTCGGTGCTTGACATCCCACCATACCCCTAACCAGGATGCGTGGCCCTGCGATACCCGCTCTCCTGTGCGAACTGCCTACAGTCAGCACATTCGTCGGACGTGTTCTCACTTTTTCATTCAGAGGGGTAAAGTATCAGGTGGAACATCAGCTCTCAACTAGGCTTCATGGGATCGTAGGTCGAGGTTTGAATATGGCGTGTAATAGTCTCTTCTACCCGATCGTAACGATGCGGAATGGACGTGGAATGGACTGCCTCCATATTTCAAGGACTAGGAGAGCTCATTTTCTTCTCTGTTGCCGGTAAACTTGTCGCATTTGCCTCATCTTTGAAGCGGGGAAGGGCATGAACCGACTTGGCATGGCTCGAGCAGACGTCGAAGGCATGTTTTATTTGCCGTTTCTTTACAGTATCTCGTCGCTGGCTCAATCTGCTCGGACGTCACACCTCCTTTCATCCAGGCTTGGAACGAACAGGCTAGGCATATCCACGAACGTTAACGCAGTCTGCGCCGCATTGAAGTATCACCTGATGCTGACATTCCATAATATCAGTTCGGTGGCAAGAATACTGGCATCGTCAACGAATGTGCCATGATCGATGTCGAGACTAGGAAACGGGTCTACTCGGCAGCCTATCTCCAGCTCACTCGTGCGCGAGAGAACCTGGAGATCCTCAAGAAAGCTGAGGTACGGTCAATAGTTCCTATAACTCGGTATCGTACTGAAACCGAGGCATTCCCTAGTTCATCTTCGCAGCCTACGTTGATTGATTCAAAGATCTCACCTTACGGCCAGATCAGTTCCCAAACTTCAAAAAATCCAGAGTTTGCCGCCAAACAGGTAACGATCTAGTACGCTATGCCTTCGTATCACTCGCTCCCCGTTTACTGACCAGCGCTCTTCTATGTGAACTAGCGACTCGGCGAAAAGAGGCTGGTTGACAGCCACAGATTCGACGGCTGTCTTCAACCCTTTCCTTACAGCATTCATGATTGCTCGCAACGTCGGCAACGCTCATAGACTCTCGGCCATAGGGGACCTGAAAGCCGTGATAGCTGATGAGAGAACGATCACGCCCCTCCGGGAGAAGCAGTTCGACATCCAGACGAAGTGGCAGGAGAGTAACACGGTGGCACATACGGAGATGATCCTATATCTTGTTGTGATGACTGTTGTGCAGGTTTGTGAGATCATCCGCATGTGGCGTTGTGGAGTCCTCTGATATGTGATTGGGTTTTAGCGTCGTTTACAGAGGTAGCATTCAAGTGCGTCATTCGTCTATTTCTTGAGGCAACGTGGCCTTACCGTTTTACGCTAGCACATCAACTCCCTGGCGCATCCCTCAATCGACCCTAGATATCTCAGTAACGAATTTGGTGTACCTCGACGATTACCTCGGTTGCACTCAAGCTTACAAACGTCCCACTGCAGATCATACAGTACTATTATCCGCAGTCTACCAGATGATGGAGGAGCTCGACGATACTCGGCCTCCGAAAAACATGATAGAGCGCCACGTAGTTCCAAGAATCCCTCTCGCAGATCCTAGTCTGCTAGTCAGGTATGAACCTCTCGCTCTAGCCCCTAGTCACTGATCACCAACCATATATTGTACAGGTGCATTTCGCAAGCATCTACATAGGTACGTCGACGACGGTACTATATTCGCCACAAACTGATATGGACTATGTGCCTATCCCGCAGAGTATATCACACCTCATGGGTACGTCTGGTAGCTCCACATCTCCTCTTGTTGCTGACGCGCTAACGTCTCTTCAGGTACGGCCGTAAAGTCCGCTCGTAAACTGGGGACAAGCTAAGAACTCGCCTTTATCACTAGCTTCTGCCGATCATAACATTTGCGTCATTGATCTACGCCTTAAGGTTTTCGGGATTGTCAATGGTGACGTCTAATGCTGCGGTAGTTCTCCACCTGGGAATTACTTTGTCCTCATTCATTGATTCTTTTCGAAAGGCATTTGTATTGCTCACACTGGATATCAGGCTATGTCGGATTCTCTTTCTGTTGGGGGGTGAGAATCGGAGATGCCCTCTGCCCATAACATCTGTCCTTCCAATCAATGTGACCACAATATCGACCAAACCGGTTTGGCTCGACACCGTCGTGAGTTCCCCGCTGTCATTGACCAGCTCATCCCGTGACCTCCGCAGTCGCAACTGAGGCTCTCATCGCTCGCTGGCTTGCATCGTGCAATACATTCTCTAGCATTTCGGCGATCCTTTAGATGTCGGCGATGGAAACTTCAACGGCACCAATGGAGCTTCCGTCTTGGCCTGCCATGTGTTGTCTTCGCTAGCCGTTTTTGTTGCTTCGATACGTCAAGGCGCTCCCCGCAGTGCGGGCTCATTCTGATTTCTCTGGACAGGGTTGTGTCCAACATGTCGTAGGAAGGATCATTTCCCTCGATAGGATTGAAGATCTATCTACACTACCACAGAGGGCTCTATCTTCGTCACCGTACCGTCATCCTATTCGGAAGCCGAAATTGTGCACCTAAAATCAGCATTTCACTGACCACACTGGATCATGTGGCCGACTTAATTCCCAGTGGCGAGTAATAGCCATGGCGTATCTGTCGACACTTTGTTGTCTCCTGTGTGTTCTTTTCGATCATGGAATTGCGAGCGTTACGTGGACTTTTGGAGAGTGATTCATACCACTTGTGGTCGTACGGGGCGTTAGAGAGCCGTCTGTTTAGGTGCGATATAAAATACCGTGTATCTGCCCGTTGACAGCATCATCGTCTACTCACACCTCCTATCACCAGACAATATCCATGGTCATCGTCAAGATGGATAGTCTTGAGCCCCTTCGTGACACTGCCGATCCACTTCCCATATTGAACGAGCGAGCAGCCCAGATTCAGATCAACATCCAGTGGGCCGCCTCTTCCCGCGGGCCACCCCACCTTCCCTCGTGGACCGTCAGATGTCTTTGTAAGTTATTATCCCTCTGATATGCGCTGTCGTTTGACATTATATTGGATAGTGAACAACGTCGAGAGGGGCGTCGGTAATGGTGCCAGCAAGCAGACTGCCAAAAGAGCCGCGGCTCATCAGGCATTGTACACTATGGGGTGGATTAGAGGTGCGGTTTTATGGACGGACCCTATGTCTCAAATTGCATGCTTACTACTGCATCCAATAGGAGCGACGTCCACCTTTCAGCCAGGGCATGGCTATGTCCAGTCGCCGAATGTTCTCGCCAACGTCGCTGCAGACAAAGGGCTCCGACTCGATTGGTACATCTACAAGGTTGGCCCCGATCATTTGATTTCTTGGAGGGCTCAGTGTACAAGTAAGATCACTTCCACTCTCACTTTGTGGCGTTTCTCAAGGTGACTTTTGGTAGTTGATGGAGGGTTGAAAGGCGAAGGTCGCGGAGGAAGGCTCATCGAGGCTAAACGCCGCGCCGCCCGACAGGCTTTCCTTGCGATGGGTTGGGTAACTGCGGAAGAGGACGCTGTGTCCGAAGCCGGTTCAGAGGCTTCAGAAGGTTCATCTGCTGGAAGTACGACGGTAATTGCCTATCCTAGCTGAGCGGACAACACTTTTCTTGGAGACGCATCGCTTTTTCGTATGCATCAGCATTACGGAAAAACTCTCGGCGACTCAAAACGCTACGAACGTGAACGACCTGCACTGTGGTATTGACTACAGTTGTGGTGTATCTCGTGCATTTCAGGATAATAGGCGGTTCTCTGTTTTACTGGTGCTGCTTCCGTGTTATGAACTTTTTGTGTTACTATAGAATATAATATTATTCTTACCTACGTGTGCATGAGCGAAAGAAAAAACAAAACACCCTCGCCACAAAGGCCGCAGACGATCCAAATCAGCGAAGATTTGAATCGGCTACCGGTCCGGCGTTCTTACTTACGCCACTCCGCTCGGGCCACTTCACTGATCTCTATCGAGATCATCTCCCCCTCGTTCCTGTTTCTCCTCTTCGAGTTATCTTTGCTTTTGTGCTGCTCTGTAATACTCACATGATTATTACTGTACTGCTGACTGAGCTATCTCTTTATCCTTGACTTTCTATTCGTTACTCTTGGATGTTGCTTAGATGGCTCTCAGTTTTATTGGTTGGCCTTCAATATCACGCAATTCTACTGTCATTGTTCTTCTTCATTCGAGTCATTCATGCTTAGGTATTTTTATTAAGTCTGAATGTATAAAAACTCGTAGATACATTGAATAAATTCTCCAGACTTGTTCTGGTCTGTTTCCTCCCTTGGGCACCTCCTCAGCTTTGTCCTAAACAGTCAAGCGCGACCTAGAGAACCCTAATCGAGTCGTTGACATTCCGTTCTTTTATGTCTGTTTGTATGCCTTCGTTTGCCTGAGTTCGGGGCATGTCCATTCCCACTATATATGTTTTTCCCATTCATGAACTGTGCATCTCCTATGACTCTTCTACTCGGTGCCACTTGGGTGGGTGTGCACCATTTGCCTTAGACTCCGAAGTTTACACACTCGCAGTCATCGGATCATATCGTCAAGTTGTGACTATAATTCTTGAGGCGTCGTGAAATGGTGTCTAAGTGCGGCGATTGTCCCCCGGCTGCGCCACAGTAATAGGTATCCTCCCTTCGACCACCGTTTTGTCGACGATACAGCTTGACACTATACTCATCTTCTCCATCATGAACCACAAGGTTGAAGACAGTGAAGCTCCTATGCTGCCGACGAACGATGCATTCGACCCTCTCCCCATCCTGAATGAGCGCGCCGCACAAATGGGTATCTCGATAAAGTGGGAGGAGAATTCCACAGGACCAGCACATACGCCGCGATGGGATGTAAAGTGCCTTGGTAAGTTATTGTTTCCATATTTATACATCTCGATGCGCTGATATCTATCAGTCAATGGGGTGGTCAGAGGCGTAGGCCAGGGTGGCGGGAAGAAGACAGCAAGGCGAACAGCGGCTGCACATGCGTTGAGCGGACTTGGTTGGGTCGGAGGTACCGTATACTTCTTCAATCATGTCTGCGTGAAGTCATTGACGATGATCAACAGGTGCCGCAACGTCCTTCGAGCCAGGCACAGGAGGGGTCAACTCGCCCAGCGTTCTTGAGACATTTGCTCGCCAGAAGGGTCATCGCCTGGAGTGGACTTCTCAGCGCTCAGGCCCTGATCATACGCCTACCTGGCATGTATGCTGCCTCGGTTTGTCCAAGATTTTCGTCCGGCCTATGGCTTCGTGTTGAATATTCTCCCCCCATAGTGGACGGCACAATTATCGGACAAGGTTCCGCGTCGAAAATTCTGGCCGCCAAACGTGAGGCTGCAAGACAAACGTTTATTAGTATGGGGTGGATTAACTCAGGCTAAACAGATGGGAATCCTGCTCACGAGCACTGAGGGATCAGGGGACAGTGTCCAATCTACTCAGAGCACGACGTTAAGTAAGCAATGGTAATACAAATGTTCTTGGAGACCACCCATCGGTGAGATGAGTGGATTTGTTGCAGATGGGGTTCCTTGTTATATTAGGGTCCGTATAAGTACCTACATTATTCCGAGGCCGAAAGCAAAATCGTCGAAGTCTTGGATGTTTTGACTGGGTGGCACTAGGCCGCACTACAACGCCACACGCTCAATTTGCTTTGCCGTCATCGGCGACCTCCGGAATCGCCTGCTTTGCTCGACGACCACCACAATCGCCGGTTACCCTGGACCTCAGGCAGTCTTTCTCCGCTCAGGGCCTTGCCTCCTTCTTTTGACATATCATGGATATGACCTTTCTGGTTTGGCACTTTGTTCTTTGCGTCAAATAGGTCGACGTCCCAACTTAGACTGTCGATGATCCTTCTCGACCTCGATCGCCGCCGCCTACTCCGTGATTTACACTTTCGTCGGGGTTGGGTACTCTTCGGGGCTATGCTTTTCCAGGAGAGATAATCATCAAGAAGTATTCGCTCAAGGACATCTCGTATCCTATCATAACTTAGTGGCGCGAGGATAGCTATTGGTTTACTTGGATGACACGCGTTGAAGTTTCGCAGTGGCAAATTCTGGTTATGCTGTGTCTTCCAAACCTGGGACTCGATACGAAGGGCCAACCCAGGGCCGCTATGTCCTGTACATCTCCTCAAGCTGACGGACTCCCCGAAGATCTGTGTATCCTAGCTCTGTTTGAGGTTTGGAAGACGTATATTGTTTTATGAGTGACCCTATCTGTCCACGGTAGGGTAAGATAACTTCCCAAGGCTTTTTCGATGCCTCACTTGTCCTTTAAGTTTGATGGCTAGCCTCGACTCCTGACTATTGAGACTACGCATTCGATGATAGGAACATGGTATCTGCTTTCGAGATATCTAGTGTCGGCGACTCTGTGATGTTTTCCTCTATTGGGTGGCGAGAAGCTCTCTTACGAGGATCTGCGCGCCACTGTTATTGCATGGCGTCCCCATAGCGTATAAATCTGCGTGATCTTTGGGTCTTTACAGCGTCAGTGCTTCCAGCTCCCATCTTCACAATCGTCTTACTACCTTTCTCCTTATCTGAGCACACTCATGGTCATCGTCCTTATGAACGAGGATAATAATATTCGATCGCTCGGTGGTACCTCCGACCCCCTGTCCGTTCTGAACGAACGGGGATCACAGATCGGAATTACTCTTAATTGGAGCGACAGCTCTACTGGCGAAGCACATCTCAAGACCTGGTACGCAGAAGTCAAAGGTATTTTGTCCTCATCATTTCATCTAGCTTAGCATGCACTCACTGTTGTTCAACAGTGAATAATGTCACCAAAGGAGTCGGGCGAGGCAAGACCAAACAACTCGCTCGGAAGGAGGCGGCTTCTGCCGCATTGAGAGCTCTAGGGTGGTCTGGAGGTATGCATGCTAGTTGCATGCATGACCGTGCTAACTCACACTTACCTATTCTACGCAAGCGTCACCCCACTTCCAAGCCGGACGGGGACAAGTTACATCCCCTAAGGCTCTGGAAACTTTCGCTTTGGAGAAAGGATACACGGTGGCGTGGAAGAAGGAGTCCTCTGGGCCCGGTCACATGCTCTGGTGGTCGGTGTGGTGTCTCGGTGAGTTAGGTCTCCTCTCTACTTTTTAGCATAGTAGGGAGTCTGAAGCATATTGACTTTGGATGTACACAGTCAATGGCGAAGTCAGAGGAACCGGCCATGCCGCAAAGGTAGAACAGGCTAAGAGGGAGGCTTCCAGGGAGGCCTTTGTCAACATGGGATGGGTCGATCCCACCGCCGACATCGGTGACAACCATTCCGACGGCATCGTCGAGTCCGACGACGGTAGCGAGACTATCATGACCTGACCATGACCAGTGATATGCCAACCAAGTCGTTATTATATTCAAATCTTATGCATATTCTATCTACGAGACTTGTTTTATCAATGTATGGAAGTGGTGGGCCTGTAGTATATTTCCCCGCGAGCAGATCCTACACAGCGTCCTTGCCCCGCAGGGCCACCGCCACTCAATTCGAATGTCAGGGCGGCAAGCCGGCAGAGGCCGGCGTAAGTCATTCACCCAGCGACTGACAAGCTCCCCCCAAGTCAGCTCGCTTGTTCCGTCGTCGTTGTCCTCTGCCTTTACTAGGGGTGTCCTACTGATTCCGGCCTGTTATGCTTAACCAGTCCGAAGTAGCTAAGTATTTTGATCAATGTCATAACAATAGCGAGATCGAGGAGGTCCTCAGTGCCTACATCGTTTGGTGCGTCTCACCATAGTTCCCCAGTCGACACAGGTCTTATAATTGTGTGTAGGAAATTCTACCGTGGACATAATCCTGCGCAAGTCTTGCTTAAGATGCACCACCCGTGCTGCTATCTTCGAGTGACGCAAGTCTTACACACCGCCTAAATATCAGAGCAGCTTGGACTCAACCGATCCACGTTTCTGTACCAGCGGTCGCTCTCGAATTCTGACTATTGGCTATGATGCTTTCAAGATCCTCACAGTGGAGGTCGCCCTTGGAGGAGGAAGAATAGGTGTTTTACCATGTGCGTTGCGTTCGTCTGCTTATGCTTGGTGCATCTTAACGGTAGTCTGCAGCTTTCACGAAACCTGGCCTCGCCGTTTGGAATACCCTCCGCCAAGCAGCAAGCCACTCTTCCTCCCGTAAACGCAAGATAGTAACCGATGAGATCTACGGCGGTCCTGGCCCCGTCCTCGCTTTTCTTCACCTCAGCCCGTCACAACCATTTTCACCCTTACCACCACCAACATCATCATCCACACCAATCAGACTAATATAAACGGAGGGCTGAGAACGGCACGGACAGATGAACGTCCGCCATGGGCGGATCGGTATTTCCGCGCGAGACTGCAATTCGGAAATATCGGTGTACCGGACTATACAAGTGAACGTGGGACTCCCCGTTTATATGAGCAGGGAGTTGGCTGTAGGACTGGAATCGATGGCTAGGGTATTGAGTCAGTCGAGGGAAGAGGTAGAGGCGGAAGACGGAATAGCGGCAGCATGAATGACCGAGATATGCGGCGCAACATGTTCGGATATTCATCTTTGCGTTTTGTTTGTATTTATGCAGCACTTGCCGAACCGTGAGTATCTGCCTGGGATATCCAGCGTTCTCGAGCGCTAATTAGTCAAATGGTGTTCTGCCATCTCCAGCGTCAAAGTCGAAGACGACTCCACGACCACCACGTCGTTTCTGATCACCCTTGCCTTCATCAAGCTCCTGATCTTTGACGTTGTCGTCCTCAAAATCAAGCTTATTGATGATCTCCTGCGATGTTGAACCAGTCCGAAATCGCGAAGTACTTTGATCAGTGTTGTAGCAGTAGCGAGATCGAAGAGGTCCTCAGTGCTTATATCGTGTGGTACGTGGAGTGATGTCGCTTCCTCGTCGCTACTAACGATGCAAACGTTTCTAGGAAGTTCTATCGTGGGCATAGCCCAGCTCAGGTCCTGCTTAAGATGCATCACCTCTGTTGCTTTCTCCGGGTGACGCAAGTCTTGAACTCTGTCTTAACGCCCGATCGGCTCGAGCTCATCTAGGCATCATCTCCCTACCAGCGGGCGAGCCCGAATTTTGACCATCGGATATGATGTTCTCAAAATCCTGACAGTAGAGGTCGCTCTGGGCGGAGGACGGATCGGGGTGTCACCGAGTGCGTCCTCTCCAGCCTACCACCCTCGGCATTTCTCAGCTCTTTTCTCGACAGCCTTCACGAAACCCGGCCTTGCTGTCTGGAATGCTCTCCGACAGGATGCAAGCCGATCGCCTTCTCGCAAGCGCAAGATCGTCACCGATGAGATTTATGGTGGTCCTGGCCCAGTGCTCGCTTTCCTGACGGTGGACCAGCGACAATCTTCTGCATCATCCTCCCCTACCACGCGAAGCACGATCTTGGGGATTGCGAGGACGGACGAACGACCTCCGTGGGTGGATCGATACTTCTACGCGAGGCCGCAGTTCGGGAATATCGGTGCGCCAGATTATACTAGTGAACGGGGGACGTTGCCTGTCTATATGAGCAGGGAGTTGGCGGTAGGTTTGGGGTCGATGGCTAGGGTGCTGAGTCAGTCGAGGGAGGAGGCGGAAGCGGAAGAAGAGGCGCTAGGGTAGAATGAGTGATGACGAGACGGTATCCCTCTCCATAGACAAGGCTGGGGCTCCAAGGTTCTATTTTCTTGTAGTACCCGGTTGCGAGATTTTGTACGATAATGAAGTTTTGGCACCGAAGATAACGACTCGTTACGCTGATCAATCCCACTCTCTTGAACGACAGACTTTCAATTATGAGCAACGTTCTTTGTCTATGTCTCATTCTATACCCGCAACGATGTGCACTGATCATCGTGTTGTGTATAATGGCGCATCTTGGTGTAATGTGGGCAGCCCGGCGTGTGCAGACGTAAAGTGCCCAAGGCATGGGCGTGGTGATTGTTGTGCAGATGGTATGTACATTTTATACGAAGACATACTACGAAACGCCAAGAAAATAGTCCACATTGCATAAAAATACACATGAGGGTATTAGACAACAGCTTCAAAAGCCCCCCTTCCGCAATAACGGGTTTCATGAATTACATAGAGGGTGTTCCGCCGAAAAACGAAGGAGGGTAACCCTTCTGCTGATTGAGAGATTCCTCCCAGGTAGCCCGATCGTTTCGTACAACGTACGCGCCCGCAGGGTTAGTGTCCCATGAGTTTTCGCAGAGTATTTCCTGGTCGAAGTCGAAGCAAGTGTGAGGTGTATCGGGCAGTGTAGAGTAAAACTGGAGTGCAGCGGTCGGGAGCGGGGTCGAGATACCAGCGGAGGACGTGAAAGCAGAGAAGTCGAAGAAGTCTTCTGGGGTCGACAGATCTGAGGCCTTGCTCAACTGAGAAGGAGCCTTTTCCTCGACATTTTTGGCGTCCTGGTCAGGATGGCAGCGCGGAACAGGGGGATCTACAGCTGGTGGATCAGTGGAGGTCACGTCAGAGACCGCAAGCACTCCGGGGACGCTGCTCTGAGATCTGTCGGTCGTGGCCGAAGTGAAAAAAGTTGAGACAGACGAAGGAGACAGAGGCGAAGAAGAGGAGGCGCTTGTAGAAACAAAGTGGTCGCAACGAGTCAAGGGCAAAACATTCGATTGCGCGGGCTTGACGTTGGGAGTCCACGGCTCCAAGATTCCAGGTCCGCGCTCGCCTTGAAGATAGCGACGGCGACCGTTGGCTGTTGGCTTCCCGATGAACCAAATCGGATCTCTGCTCAGACCGTATTTTACCTTCGCCTTCTGGTATACGGCGCATTGCTTCATGTGGCGCCTTATCGAGTCCGTCCGAGAAACTCTGAAACATGCCATGAAACGTAATCAGTGGGGGCCCAATGACACGTCTGTTTAAGGACCGACTTACGGGCTGCCAGCGCAGTCCGGCCAAGCAGGACAACAACTGTAAAACATGTGTGCATTGACCAAAGAGGCATCGATTTTCGTAAGATGGATGGCGTTTTGACGATGACGACCTATGTCGCTCGCCTTGACATTCCTACAGCATGGGTACTCCTTGGAATATTGCTTTCTCAGAGCGGGATGCATGTCCTCAAGCTGTACAGGAAAATCGTCAGCGGTCTTCGCCTGACACACAGCGATGGAGAGAGAGGAACATAGCACACCTGAGGTCCAGTGTTTCGAATCGTTCCGTGAGTTTTAAGGCCTGGCATCGGAGGAAAGGGTGAAGCAGTAGAACCAAGAAGCGATGGTGCCACTAGAGAGGTCTGGGAGAAGGCTGGATTGGAGGCTGAGGACTTATTTCCCATGGGCCACAGGCTGTCGCCAGTGTAGAAAGAGGAAGACGGTGACGAAGTGGTGTAAGTGTTGGAGTAGATGTCAAACGCAGACTTAGAGTACACCAGACGAAGCAGATCGTTATGGTTGGGAGAGGAGGGAGCAGGAGGCATGGCTTGAGCAATTCGGAGAGGGGTGATGCTGAGTGGTACAGAGGGCTTACGAGGCTTGATGGGCGGCACTGGGCTGAGGAAAAAGACCCTAATCCCTTTTATATTGGTGCATGAGGCAAAGACTCATGGAAAGTTCGAAGATGACATGTTACCGTATGCGAGCGATTGGCACTGTAATAGAGGTTTTAAGAAACGGGCCCAGAGTTCATATCTGTCTGGCCGGATTTTTGCTCCACCTGGAGCGCCAGCCCCGCATACGACGAAGGCAGAAGCATTCGGACTATTCCGCCTCGATCCCTCGGATGCTGCTGAGGGTAATACAGCATCTATTTCCCTCTAGCAACTTCATGCTATGTTTTGACGGCGCAGGTACACAGTATCCCGGGAGGAATAGAGGAAAAACTGGCACAGAATAAAGAGCGGACAAGGCGCGCTCTATGCAGAGGCGGCGCGAAGTCGCTGATGTGGAGCATGGAACCCAGAGCCACTTTGATCTCTGGGCTCTCCCAAGCTCTGTCCCCAAACCGCTGAAGCGCCCGTATCTTAAAACCTCTAATAAGGGTCGTGGGTGCTGGCACCACTTAGAGCCATGACGACGAAGTGTGGGGCGTTGTCCGAGCGAGATATGCTTAGGAGGCTGTTGGCTTTGAAGGGGGATTGACAAGAACGCTTCCGAAACAGCGAGCCCGTAAGTGACGCCTGATCGCGAGAGGGACAAAGCGAAGGGCTATTCAACCGTGTCGTGCCTCCTCTCATAGCGTTACGACTCCAATCAGTCCGCTTGCCTATTACATGATCGGTGAAAGTGAACAGGTCCACGCCCAGACACGATGAGTGTGAAATGATTGAGAGCCCGATCATAGATCAGTGCGCCCGCGAGTGTGAGGGAACAACTGTAGGAATTCAAGCAAGGAAACAAATTTGGAAATTGGAACAAAGATCCTGCTGAGGTAAGTGAGTGCGCGGCAAATGCCGATGAGGTGGCCCCGCCTCCGTCCTTGCTCGCCACTTTCCTTCCTCTACCTACAAGCAAGACGCCTGTTGTAGTCGAAACTCGCCTCCAATCCTGGAGAAGAAAATAATTACACATAACTGACAGGTAAATGCAGCATCAATCATCGTAAAACGACTGTGTAGAGCTATAGGCTCACTAGCTGAAATTTTCAATCGATTCTTTGTCATCTAGGCGTTCATACACAATGACTATGCCTCCCAGTATCAGCCTCGAATCCTCTTTACTGACAGGCGAATGGGATGATACTGCCGACCTGTCGCTTGATTCCACGCTGTGCAAGTTGGTCAAAGATGTGGTCCACGGTTCTTTCAAGGACGTGCTGACGTCTCCGCTTACCCGGCAACTCTTGTCGACCTCGCCAAACCTGTCCGCGAACGATCCGATATCCTCATGGTTCTCCTTCCAACCAGCGCAAAATTACGGGCAGGAGCTTTCCAGGCTAGCCGTTGCAGTCGCCTTCCTCAATGCTTTCATGCAGGTAAACTGGACAGGTCCTGATTTAGACGTCAAGCCCTTTGACGTCCTCGGCACTTCCGAATCGTTGACCGACGATATCCTGGACCAAAAATCTATAGCGGAGCTCGCATATGGTGGAGAGCCGGCCTACCATCTTGCCCAATCCCCATTCTTCTTCCGATTGGCACAGATCCTGTTTCACCTTGATTACGCTCATGTCGCCACAATTCAGTGGTGGCGTCTACGCACTTGGAATGTCCACGAGCAGCTCCTTGACGAACCAGCATCTGTCCCCCACGATGCTATGATATCTATCGAAAAGCTTGCGCAATCCCTAGCTCCTCATCCGGACCTGGTCGGTCGATTGTGGCTTGAGCGTGGACTACTTGAGCACTACCAAGGGAACGACAAAGCCGCCCTCGATTTCTTCCTCCGGTCCGCGCGCGCCACAGAACTTCAGTATGAGCTCACTGGAGCTCTTGGAAAGCGAACAAAGTTCCAGGAGACCGACCATACGCAGCTCATTCTCCTCGCCGAGAGTCGAGATCGTGATGATAGCGCCCCATCGGCTACGCGCCACACAGTGTCTTCACAATTACCCGAGACGCTGGCACTCAACGACGATACCCTCCTCGAACAGACGGAGTACACCTCTTCTAATCCTTCAGCCCCTGGATCGACTTTAGGCCATCTTGACCCGTCTTCACAGCCTTCTCTTCATCCTCTCGATCAATGTATCCTCCTCTCCCTCTGTCTTAACGTTCGAAATACGTCACCTACCCACGGTCTCACCAACGAGCAGATGTCTCCCTATATCGCTCGTGTCATCTCCCATCCGGAAAACTGGTCCGTTCATACCATGGCCCTCCTTCTTCGTTCGCGCCTTGAAGCCCACCGCACGCGTACCGTCGAACGATCCACCCTCCAGCTTCAGGCTCTACTCGATCAAATGCCCACAGCAGACTCCAGTCCTCGTGAACGACTCCTTTATGTTCATTCCATCCCTCTTCCTTCCAAGTGGGAGATGGAGCGGGAGCTTGCCCTTCGTTTCCTGAGCATCGGTGTTGTCAAATCAGCGCTAGAGATCTTCGAACGCCTGGAGATGTGGGAGGAGGCAGTCAAGTGTTGGCAGGCTCTCGAACAATCGGACAAGGCTATCAATGTCGTCCGCGATCTTCTCGAGGGCCGAAAAGCAGAGGCTGACGCTGTCCTCGTTCGATCGAAATCCCTCTCCACGACCAAACGCTCCTCATTTGACGCCGCCCGCGAAGCCAAACTCTGGTGTTTACTGGGCGATCTTGAACCAGCATTAGCGGAGAAGCACTATACGCATGCATGGGAGTTTTCGAAGAACACCGCCGGACGGGCAATGCGTAGTTTGGGCGGGTGGCACTTCGCCAGGGGAGAGTGGGAGGAGACAGCGGAGTGTTTGAGGAAAGCGGTGGCGATCAATCCGTTGATGTCGAGGAGTTGGTTCATCCTTGGATGCGCGTGTGTGAGATTGCAGGATTGGCCTGGGGCGAGGGACGCGTTTGCGCGGTGTGTGGCGCTCGATGAAGAGGACGGGGAGAGCTGGAACAACCTGGCGACGGTTTATCTAAGAATGAAGGGTTCGGATAAAAAGACTATCGAGGGAGTCGCCGAAAAGGTTCGTCTACTTCACATCACCAAGTGTCTTGACCTGAATTCTTGACGTCTTGCCAGGAGGATTCCGATGAGACAGACCTGACCAGTAGGAAAACGCCATCGACCTTTGATAACAAGATGCTCGCTTTCCGCGCTCTGAAACAAGGCCTCAAATTCTCTTACGATAATTGGCGGATGTGGTCCAACTACATGATCATCGCCATGGACATCGGAGAGCTCTCTGAAGCGTGCAGGGCCCTTGGTCGGATAGTCGAAGAACGTGCAGCAAAAGATGGGGAAGAAGCCGTAGACGAAGACGTTCTCGACCGTCTAGTTGACGCTGTTACGCGTGCTCCCGCGAACCAAAACGACGCTGTCGACGGTGCTACCGGAAGTGTTCCAATGCATAACCCGAACGAGGGACATGGGTTGGCGAGACGCGTGGAGGATTTGTTTGTGCGGATCATTCTTCCTCGCGTTTCTTCGCCGCGTGTATTCCGGGCAAGAGCTCGACTCTTGACCTGGCAATCAAAGTGGGAAGACGCCTTAAAGGCGTATATGGAAGCGTACAGGTTGAGTGTGGCGGGTACGATGGAGAAGGGCGAGACGGATGTAGAGCGATTCAAGGAAGCTGTGAGGGAGGTGGAAGAGATCGTTGAGATGCTGAGGAACTTCGGGCCGAGGGTGGGAGAGGGTGCGGGTAGGAAGTGGGCGGTACAGGCGAGGAGTATATTGAGGACATTCATGGGAAGGGCGAGGGAAAACTTTGAGGATGAAAAAGAGTGGGTGCGGTTGGAGGAGCTGATGGAGGAGATCAAGAGCGAAATTTAGGCTGGAAGTTATGCGTCAGATATAAGATACGGTCAATCGGGAAGAACACGCTATTGTAACATAGACAACATGTAGCGCTATCTTTTGTCTGTACTTCTCTTGTCCACTAGATTGGGTCGACTGTTTCTTCTAATGTTCATCGCAGCGCAGAAACAGTTCAGCGTTGTTACGAACAGGTACAGGCGGTAAATATCCGCCGTCATGGTCATAGTATTGGACACATTCGACCAAGCAGGGACGTCGATTCGAAGACAAAACTCACTCTTGACAACTAACACAACATCAGCAAATCTTCTGCCCGAGATCGTCATACTCATACCCCTCTAACCAATACCTGTCGTCCATCGTCAACGTTCCTGCCTCAAGCTTCGGCCTAACTTCGGCCTCAATCTCCTCGAAATCCTCCATGAATCCTTCCGCTTGACGTATCATCGTGATCTCCCGGTCCCAAATCTGCTTGGACGCTACGATAGAGTCGCGTATCTCAGGGATGAGAGGGAGGGTCTCAGATAATTTGGCATGAGAGCGGCATAAGGAGATCATAGCAACACATTTCCAATCTGTCACGAAGAAAGATAGTTGAGAGCGGGCGGTATGAAGCGGACGATGGTTCAGAATGTAGGCCTACAACAGTGATATTCATCATCTTTGGGATATATATTTGACGCCTCGAGATACTTCCGCCCAGATTGGCCAAATAGATCCAATATTCTCTCCTTCTCTTCGCGAGGGCAGGCTTGAGCAAGTTGATTGAAGACAAATCCCTGGGTTCTGTCGCCCGCATTAGTGGCGTGGGCCGATGTTGGGGACGAAAACGGCTTACTTGAGGGCGACGGCTTTGGGGTACCGATAGAATGCGTTCGTGAAACCAGGACCCATCTTCATTACTTCTGGAAGACTATCCTTCGCAGCCTCCACCTCATTCAAAGCGGCCTGAGCTAAACATTGAAGCCCGTATAGCGTGAATCGAGCGTCTACGCCTTCTGTGGTGCGAAATGCCTGTATAATGATACATTAGTTGGTTATAGCTACTATAAGTTAACCGAACGTGTAATAGAACACCGACCTGGACAAAATGCTCTAGCCGCATGGTCCGTACTCCTCTGATCCAGGTATCTTCCAATACTGAACCCCTTTCATCTCGGCTGGCGGTGGCCCACTCCTGTTGACCCCAAGCGAGAATGTCTAACGCTTTATCGAGTAGACCAGTCGACTTGATATGATCGTTCATGACGGTAGCTCGGGTGAACGCTAACATAACGAGCTTCCTAGCATATTCAGACTACTTCAGTACATGTTCTGCAGCGATAAAAGGAAGGACATGACTCAGTAGAGCGACGCACCGTACAACGGTCCCAAAAGCAGGCCGAGAGAGCTTAAAGCCACCCTCTAGAAAGAGTCGCTTTATCTGGCCCGTAATGGTAGGGATAGACTCAGATGCAGAAGGTGCGCGTGTCTGAGACTCCTCGAAATGTGCTGAAAGTAGCTTTCAGGAGGTTGAAGTACTATCTTGGAGACAAAGTTGAGCGTACCATTCAAATCAAACTTGGCAAACCATTCGCTGCTATCAATATGGAAAATACGACAGTCGTCTAATACAGCATTTGTGAAGTACATGAGGGCCTAAATTAGGTGGTTTGCTGCTGTGAACAATCAGGTTTCTGCGGAACCAAACCGAGGTACATACCCCAGTCGACCCCGCGTACGTTACAAGGCCGCCTTGGCCCGTCATCTTTCTGATGGTCTTCATGCATTTTTCACCCTCTACCCAACACTGAATGGACAGTGAAAGCGTATCTATGGTGAATGGGAAAGGAACGTACTGCGTATGCCTCCTTGATCGCCCAGGCCTTCGTGGCGACGACGACGATGTCAGAAGGCAGGATACGTACTAGAGAGTTTATTTTTACGCACGCTACTCGTGATATCACCAGCATCATACAATGGCATTACCATCGCCAACGCCCTCGTCCAAGGTGCATCCTCGATACGAAACTGAGAAATTGGGGCTCTATCGTCAGGTTCTGGCACGGCGCTGGGCAATCCATCAGTTGTGAGCCTCCGAAGAGATTCAGTGTATTGTTTCTTTTGCGTCAGTTCGGAAGGTGACAAATTCTCTTTGGAGAGCAGAGCTAAGGCTCTTTGCCAACTAGCAATGGCATCGACCGGAAGATGCATAGCCTATGCGCAAATGTCAAAGTGGACACTATTTCCGGATGAAACCGTGGTATCCACCTGTTGTGCAGTCGCCAATCGTGCCCAAGCTTTTGGAAACATAGGGTCAATATCGGTACCCTGCAACGTTTCCGATTGAAGTGAGACGTAAGGCAATAACATAGAAAGTTGGGCTACCTTTTTCGCATCACTTGCAGCCTCCGGGTACCTGGAAGGTCATAAGAGCTTGGAATGCGTGCCTCAGCATTGAAGGGAAAAAGTACAGACTTCTTTAAGGAGGCGTTACAAGCAGATTTATTCGTGTGCATGACAGCTTGAAGCTTCCGGTCCCCGTCGGAAAGATTGATCATGCCCATGGACCGCAGAGCCTCATCATATTTGAGAAGAGCGGTATCATAGTCTTTGCCCACGAAAGCTCGGTTGCCCTCCTCTTTGAGGGTGGCTGCAGAGGTGGCTGAGTCCATCGATACAGATCCGAGTAGACGGTCGTTGTCTGCATAGAACATACAGATTAACAACAAGATAGCCAAGAAATAAAGCTGGCGAAGACGCACAGGACCAGACAGAGAGATACTGTGTCGAGGAGATGTTGCCACGCCAATTGCGATGAGAGTTCTTCGACCACGAGACGCCTCGGCGAAAGCCGGATGCGGACGCCGCGCCTTTTTGCACTCCGCATGGAGGGTCTTTAACATCTTTCATATTTGTTCAGCGATAAATGTCATCCTATGATACCGTGCCATTCTTCACTGTCTTCCCGTTATGTTTACAAACGAGCGACCATGCACGACCTTCCTCCCATTCGCTCGATCAAGGTCTGTCCATCCGCCACCACCGAGCGTCCAACCCGGATGTAAAAAATTCAAAGCGGCGTCTACGAACTTGACGCTGAGCTCTTCTTCACTGGATTGTTGACCGGGTATCGTGGTTTTCCCGTGAGCACGAACTGCTTGACGTTATCCAGCACTTCACGTTCGCCTCTATGAATCGTGCCCTGTAACATATATCCGCATAAGTGTCAAGTCGTCCATAACCGTCCTCGAAAATTTATTGACGACACAAATAACGAAGAAAACGATGAGGGGACCAGTGGAATCGAGCACTCGATGGAGGGATCGAGGGATCAAAAAAAGCGCGCCCCTTAGGGAAAAAAAAGTGAGGGCCAAAAGAGGACTTACGGTCGTGAACGCGCCCCAGTGTGGCAGTACCGTCACCAATGGCGATTTGGTGAACCATTCGTTCGGCTTGGGCTCATTAACGAAAACGTCGAGGCCTGCACGACGGATCTTTCTTGATTCGAGAGCTGAGATCTGTCCAAGCCGAAACGTGGTGTGAATGATGGAAGGCGTTGGTCAGCAAAGAAGTCCCCGTTTAGAGGGACGATGCGGGTGTGTGGGAGCTAGGAAGAAAGATAGCAGGAAAATTTACCAGGGCTTGTTCGTCGACCACGGCTCCACGAGAGGTCTATGGACATGTTGAGATCAGGTTAGGAAATTAGGCTTCGAAAGATAAAGTGAGGATCAGACTCACGTTTACGAGGAAGGAGCCATCCTTCATCTTCGCTATCCGCTCGGCATTGAGCCATCCAGTGGTCTCTTGGGTCAATGGACAATGCAGCGAGAGCACATCGCTCTGTGCTAATAGGTCGTCTTCAGACACATACGTAGCGTTCAGTTCCTTCTCAACTATGCGTAAAAAGATTTTATCAGCATCCAGTCGTCTCAGTAAGAAGTCAAATGGCCAAACCTACCTTCCTCGCCTAACCTCCGCCTATTGAAGTACACCACTCTCATACCCAGCATACCGACTTTCCGCGCCACACTCTTCCCAATTGCGCCCATCCCGAAGATTCCAAATGTCTTCCCGTCTGGGTCTTCCGCCAATTCTAACCCGTCTCGCCAAACTCCTTGGCGGAGGACGGATTCGGCGAAGGAGGTGTTGCGGAGGACGGAGAGGGTGAGGAAGAGGGTGAGGTCGGCGGTGGCGGAGGTCACCGCGGTGGGGGTGTTTGCTGCATCTAGACGGGGAACGTTGAGAGTTGAGTTAAGAAAGTGAAACGAGTTGAAGACAGGAAGGGCGTGGACCAGAATGGGTACGCATGTGAGAGGAGAAAGAGTAAGACGTACATGCTCCGTGTTCAGCGAGCCATTCGGTTGGAACATCATCATAGCCTGCTCCTCCGGACGCGAACAGCCCACATCCAGGAAACAGGGGACCTGCATGCACCACCACAAATCAAATCAGCCCCCATCCGACCTTCACGCGTTCCAACCCGAGTGGAGAAAAGCTCACCCAATACATCCTGCATAAATGGCCCATAATTCGCTGTTCCGAACAACACGTATGCGGCGTCCATAGGCCCATGCTCCTTTACTAGCCTCGCCACTCCATCCACGACCTGCGGGTGCGTCTCCGGTGTGAACCAAAAGACGTCTGCGATCTGTTTGAGGTCTTCGAATTCGGTGTGGGCGAAACGAGGGGAACCAATCCCGAGAACTCTTTTACGGGTTTGAGGTGAGGAGGACATTACTGTTGTGAAGATTGAAGCGATATATCGTCTATGTGTGCTATCCCTTGCGCTTGGAGCTGTGAGACGATGGCAAACGTAAAGACTGGAGATGTGGAAGTAGGATTTGTGCACGGATGGTGACCATGATGACTCAAGCGAAAGATTTCCGCTGAGAGGCCGCGGGCAAAATTCATTGTGCTCGGATATCTTCGTATTGGCCGCGTTGAGCAGCTTCGAGGAACATCCAGAGTACCCTCGCGGTCAGAGAAAAAAGATAGGGGTAATTGAGCGGAAGAGACTTCGGGGCATCCGCGAGTCACGAACGCGTGACGTCACGCGCTTTACGCGTTTCTTTGTCTGGAGTGACACTTGATTGCGGTCAGTCTCCCCCACTAAAAAAGAACCTGCAGCAAATGGGGTCGCCTGTGACCACGACTGTGCGCAATATTTCCTGAGAGTTTGGTAGACGAGTAAGTCGCATATCCTTCCGAAACGCAAGATGGTTGATTGGAAATTGAGGCAATGTTTATCGGCCAATCAGAGGAGCCGGGACGTCGGAGGACAGTACTAGTGGTCTCGGTAGATGCATGGGCAATAACCTGGGCGATACGAAACTGATTGGAGGATTCTGCGGCAGTACATACGAGAACAATGGAATAAGGTCGTATGGCCAGACCATCAGTAGATCTCTCACCACGTGGATTATCGCTCTGCGAACCTTACACGCGGAGATTCGAAGTTGCTTTGCTCCAAGCAACGATCGTCATCGAATCGTCATCTCCGCATATTTTCATACGTCCACGCGATGTGAACCAAACCATCCACATCACACTGTACTGGCACAACGAGAATCGTACGCGATGGGTTGCACACATTCCTCTCGACAAGCTTCACTAGTCGAAATGAACTCCCCCGCTGACGCTGTATCCCGGAGGGCTGCGCTGAAGGCGCAAGAACAACAAGCTATTCAAGAGGAACTATGTCAGTACAAGGCTGAAGCCAAGACTCCGATGAAGAACACGATGGGCAGGCAGTTGGTGACGAGTAGTATGGGTGGAATGGGCCTATAATACCACTTCGACCCGGCGGTCGATTGTAAGTAATAGGAGGGTCTGAGTTTACCGTCAACTGATGAGCTATCGAAACAGACTCACTTATATTACCATCCTACTCGAAAGTTCCCCGAGACCACGCATCCCTGTTCTATGAACGTCAGCAGCTCGGAAAAGGCGTCTAAACATTGAACACATCAATACGATCGCACCAGCAGAACCTGGACTCCTCGATAGATACTCACATAACCGCAGCAGACCACTCTCATCCACAAGGCATCCACCGTCTTCGGTACCCTCTCCCAGCTCGTACCCGCCAACGACTTCCGTCGTACGCTTCGGTTCGTCAAGAACCAGTCTTGATGGAGGTTTGCTTCGGCCTTCGTGGTGTGGCGAGCACATCACGTTAGGCACATATGTAGGCATGTTGGTCGCCTCTGTCAGGAGGACGGGGGGCAGCAGGAGAAAGATGAACAAGGCAACTAATGAGATAAATGATTAGTTTGTGCTCGCATGACTTTGTACTGGACGGAAATGATGGGACACGCTCGCACAAAGATACGATGTAAATGGAAGACCATGAAGCATTCGGTTCGTTTGAATCGCAGAACCAGAACGGAATTCGTCTTCACAGACACGAAACGAAGTTCCACAATACGGCCTGGGTACCATTGCAATGTAGCAAAGGGAGTGCTCGAATGAAACGTACCTTTCTGAACCTCCTCTGGTGACCCATCTTCTATCCTTCCGTACAACACCCAGAGCTCTTCACCACATCAGACGGTTCGATGATCCCATTTGAACTTGTCTTGGTGTCGTGCTGGGAGATGCAAGTACGTTGAACGCGACGAGGAACCTGGGACTAGGTCAGGGCGACGCATGTACCTCTTCGCACTCGCATTGAGAATATTACAAGGAGGTACGCACCTTTCCATGCCTCAATGAGAGACTTTGCATCGACAAGCCAGAAGAATACCTAGTTGGAGGGACAGAAGTCTGCCGACGTAGAACTAGCGAAGAACATGAGTTGGCGGCCGTTCTTGTTCTTGTTCTTCGAATGGACTATGCCCGAACCATTGGTAACTATCTTTTGAGCTCTGTTAGTGACATTATACCGAAACTAAAATCATGTGTTATGAAAACCAAGGCAGTAGCTGTTCTCAGCATGCAGAGGGGAAGAGAGTAAAGTGATAGGCAGGGCGCCACAGCGTGCAGATGTATTGTGGCGATTGTGCACAAATAATGCCAAATATCCTCCATGCTTCACTCGTTCCGAAACTCTCCGATCTATCCTCGTTATGTTCAACATTCAGCTCGGTTTCGATCGCCCTCATTCACGCATACAGGAGGTTACTGCACTGGCCATTCATGCGCTTATAGTAGTCATTCGTTCCCCCTCAGACAGCTCCAACTTGTCCTGGCAGTCTTCGCTGTGGTTCTTATCGCGCCACGTCAGGATCACGTCCCTCGCCAATGTTGAACTCGGGATGTCACCTCACCACCGAAGACTAGGGAGATATCTGTGTGTTACCACCTCAACCGCCACCCTTTTAACATACTGAATTGGCAACCGGAGAAGTATATTTACTATCACGGAAGCCCTGGTCGAATGTATGACTTATCCAAACTTCGACAGTCAACCGTAGCGCTGCTGGCACCGACTACACAACTTTCGGACTTGCTTCGAATCCTGCTTGCTCTATTCTCGCATGATCGGCCTCGTACCATCTCTGAATCTCGATACTACTACACGCGATCTATCTTCACATAAATCTATTGCACCATGATAGAGCGTTTACCAGACCGGTATTGTCCGCTGATGCCTTCGTCGGTGGCTGACAAGCGGTAGGTAAAATCGTATTCTTTCATCGTATGGTTGGTATTTCCTAGCGCTGGGGTACTATATTGGGCATCCCACCATGTGTTGTTGACAGTACATCGACGTACTTCGACACGCTGCCAGAGGCAAGTATCCGTATTACTGGTACATCATTGCGCAGACTCGGCATAGTATCTTCTCCCGAACCTAATCTACGAGCTCTGTACGGTCAGTATTCACTAATATCACGGCAATAGCGTACATATACTTTCTATCTCAGCTTCTGACCACCTCTTTACCGTTCATGGACGGACTTTTCCATCTTCTGTTATTGCTGATATTTATCCTCCATCGCCTTTCCAAATCCCGTCATGTCTCTTTGTGGCTGCTTTCACCACGTCGCCCATGTCATTCATATGCTTGTTCACAATAAATTGAAACCCCTTTCGCATCCCGAAATCCCGCCGTCCACCGATAGAGTTGTCAACTAACATAAGTGAACAAAAAAGAACGTTTCCCCATCGACTTCGTAAAAATGTATTTAATCTCTCATTTCAGTAGGGATCTGTGTCTATTTCAACTCTAACCGACGAGAAAAGGTGAGTAGTTGCTCAGCCAAATCACCCTGTCTGTTCAAGCGAACAAGGTACTGATTGTGAAACATGGCTTACATTGATACTCTTTACAGGCTTACATGCAAATTTCATTATAAGACACTCCTACGTTTCTTTTGAGAAGGGCCTTTGTGAGGTTCGGCTTCGTACGGAATGTTCGGCTGTGACCGCTCGGGGCGATGAGGATGGGAGCGTCCGTGGACGCGACTGGTCACGCGAATTGAACTTCCGCACGACTGTCACACTCGGCCTCACTGACCTCCCTCTTTCTCTAACCTCTCACAACCTCTTCGTTGGCAGACTTCCACTTGTCGTTGTTGCGATTCTACTCCTGGCCATACTCTGCATCCGCGTCGTCGCCTAACACCATCGACACCTCATCATCATCGATCCTCCAGATTGGACGTCCATGTCTGGTCAAACACACTCGGCACCTGGCCCCGCGCGTCGAAATCGGTGGCCTTCGACGATCTCCCAGTCGCCTTCCGCCTCCAGCCAGGCCATTCTGCCTCCACAAGAATCGAGTAGTTCCTATTTTGCCACCCGTATGATATTCCCCGAGAATGCGGGACACTTTGAGACGTCAGGGACTGGGCAGGCAGATTTTCGAGAGTACGCCTCATCCTCTGCATCGTTCCATGTGTCGACACTGAAGAGCCTACCTTTTTTCGTCTTTAGAACTGACACTAGCTCCTACGGGTCATTTTTCTCTCAGATTCAGCGACAGTTCCAAACTTCAGCAGTTCATCTTCCCTTGTCGTCTTCATCATCCTCTCAGCTCGCAGGTCACAACCACAACCCGTCGCATACCCATTCAACTCCTTACGTGCCTACCACCCCTTCCCAACCCTTCGCCCAGTTCACTTCCACCACCGAGTCCTCATTTCGACGCTCGTCTGCTTTCTCTGATGGGCTAATGTCTGCCCGACACGGTCATAGTATTGAGACATTGGGGCAATGGCCCAGTCCTTCTCCGCCTCTAACACAGGGTCCCCTCGCATCCGGCTCGCACATGCCTCATGGCACTCTACCATCGAATGGGACACATCATTCCATAGGGTCTGCGATCCACCCCGCCATTCTTCCGACCACCGATCCATCGAGGACCCTCATGTGTTCCTGCGCATTTGATACTCCGTCAGCATGCTACGTTCACTGTCCGTTGGAAACTCTATACAGTGCTTACAAAGCACTGCCTCACCGAGATCCTCTCGCTCTTCAACTCCTGGCTCGGGTGTTCACGGATCCACAGCGTAATTATCCACCCGAAATTGCACCCACAGAACCGCCTCCGGCGAACAAACTCTGTGTACGTGCCACCATAGTTGTAAATGCCTAATTGCTTTCTGATCGATCCTGCATATTAGCTGGAACGTATAGGGATCCCGAACCCGTGCTGCTGCAATAGCGGCCAACTATCCCAAATGAAGCACCCGACCAGACATTTGCAATCCAACACGCATATTAGGGAATACTCCTTTGAGGTTCAAGACACCTTTGAGTTCGAGTACTGTGGCAATTTCCACCTTTGTCCGAACGGCTATTTGTGAGTCTTTCAACCCCTTCCTTTTATCCGACTCTTATTCTCTTCCCTTTAGCGTGGGCCGACCAGGTCAGGTCGACGCCAGGCACCGAAAGACGAAGAAGGGAGACGAATATTCCACCTGCCGCGCAATGAGACCTGTCGTGATCAAGGGACTCCCAAAAGCGGTGACGTTCCCAGGGTTCGGCACCATACTGTACCTTCCCGGAGAGACCGTTCCAGCCGCATATGCCGACCGATGGCGTTTCTTTACTTTAAGTGATCAAGATGAGAAGGCAAAGTGCAGCGATAAAAAGCACGCGGGAACGTCGTCATACAACGACTGGAAGACGATCAGGGAGGCAGACCTTCCTCCTGAGCTACGCTCGGAGAACATGACCGCGAGACCGTCTTCTCAGGGAACCGCTCCAGCAGAGAATAGCCCAGTGGTATTCTCTCCCTTCACACCACACATTGGCGAAGATCTCGTAGCTCTGTATACCTCTGCATCATCCCCGCCCTTGGTCTTGCCGTCTGCTGACATGCCTAGCGGAGCGTTATCTCATACAGTTCCTGTTCCTCAGGTAAGGTTGCCCACCAAGTACTATCCCGCCCTCTATGGAGACGACGCGATCTCTAGGTCTTTAGCCTACACATCACCCTCTACATCGTCAATGACTCTATCGCCAGCGCTTGGCAGCTCAGCTACCTCCACTGCTCGTGGATCAGAAACGCCGAAATTCCACTTTGAGTCACCTCCAACAAATGTAGCGGTTCCTCACCCCGAAACCGATCGTCGCGGACTCTCCCAAGCACCCCATCCAGTTCATTCGTCCCATGGAAGCTCACTCGTTTCACCTGCCCCACTCACCGACGCGATTATTGGCCCGAGCGAATTCTCGTCTGTTGTGGGCTCTATTCCACCGCAGGATATTGGCCTTCGACCTTCCCTGAAGAGGTCGAGGCTGGAAGAGTCATTTGTGCCACGAAAACGCTCACATCTGTCAGGCAGTGTCAAGATCGCTTCTCTGGAGCGAGTGCTGCCACCACCGTCTCGGCAAGACACACCGCATGACGAGACCAACGACGATTCTCAGACCTCTGAGCGTGGAGATGCTCAGGATGATACCCAGCCCCAGCCCCCCTCCAAGGATCCGAGCCCACCCGTAAACGACTCGACCTCAGTATTACACACCGACAACCAAAAAGACGAAGCTACTGGCTGTGTCCCTTTCGTTGAATCGCTGGATACAACCGTTAATCCTGTCGTACCTCCCTCACCGCCGTCCCCCACACTGTCTTGCTCTGGCATTGGAGCTACTGGCTGTGTCCCTTCCGTTGAATCGCTGGATACAACCGTTAATCCTGTCGTACCTCCCTCACCGCCGTCCCCCACACTGTCTTGCTCTGACATTGAAGCACCAGACAGTGGTACGAGTGCTTCCCGTCGTGCTACGGAAGTGGAAGTAGTTCCACGAAATGACGAGGTTGCCGAGTTTTTCAAGGAACCCGATCTCGTGGTGGAAGCCCAGGAGTTCAGCCATGAACTCACGATGTGGGCCACGTTCATGGCCATTGTCTCAGATCTGAAGCCAGAGTGCCCTGACACGTCTGATGTTGCGTCTGAAGCGACACCAGTATCTGCTTCCGATGCCGTGGCCGCGACATCCAACTCCCACCCTACGGCAGTAGCAGCTCCATCCGCACCAGAGTTTGCATCCGATTCCACTGCAAAGACCTCTGCGCCAGAATCTGCACCTACATCAGTAACTGATTCTACACCTGCATCGACATCTGCGTCTGGGTCTACAATTGCTTCTACTGTGCCCGCGCCGGTTTCCGTACCAGCTGTTTCTGCAAGGGTCGCAAACGACTTGCCCTTGCCTCGTAAGCTAACATACAACGATTTTCTCAAGGACGATTTGTCGAAGGATTAGCTTGGACTGGACATCATGCTTCGCTTGTTGGAGACTAAGAATGTTGTCATCTATGGGGCTTGTACCCATTCATCACACGCGCCATCTTCTTTCGTTTTCTCGTTTAATGTACATTGCTCGCCCGATGTTACCCACCATTACGTTCTATTCGTATTTTTTCGTATGCTTATTTCGTTGTTACTCAGTGTCTCTGCTTCGTCGTCACTGTCTTCGTACTTGCCGTGTTGCCATCCGTTTTGCATGCTCTCAACCGTAGTACAATAGTGTTTTTCGTGTTAGCGTATTGCTTTACTTGTTCATAACCGCCCGGACAAAGGAATACCTGCTTTCGAATCCCTTTATCTAGTCGTATCGGTGTAGTCATCAGAACTCTTGGAAATCCCTGAGAGGCCCTGAGAAGCCCTGAGCGGCCCTGACGATCCGTTCCGCGAAAGTCCGTGAGGTCTCGAGAGCTCGTCAGGGCCTGTCAGGGCTGTCAGGGCGTCTCAGTGCGGTCAGTGCGATTCTGGTCGCTGTGTGGCACCCGAAAAGTAGCAAAAATTCATATATATATTCATATGTACATCGCAATCCTGACTACAAAGGGCAGGACCTTTCTGAGACTACTATACCGTACAGTACATCGATGCGACATAAAAGTTGGATGGGCTATGAGCCGATGAAAGTGGGAGAACGTCTCCTGTACAAACTAGCACAGCAACAACTTAAAGTTCTCGCTCCCTGAAAAGAAGGGATAGACAGCGGGTCGTTCGAAGTACCTACTACTGAGACCCGTGGTCTTCAAGCCTCGAGATGTATATGGAGATATGATATACACAATTCCACGGGACAAGCAGGGAGAATCGGGGTCTCTTCAGGACCGTTTGAATCCATGGCCCGTTGTCCATGGTACAGAACATGGTGGAGGAAGGGGACAGAGAATGGTGACGGGGAGCGAGAAGACATTGCGGTGTCATACGGGAATGCTGCGAATAGATGGAGCGAACGGAAGGTACTTGGAAGGACAGGACAGAGGTACGGAGTGCATATGTAGAGCTGTAGGGATGCCTGCAACTTACCTGAGCAAATGGTCGTGCTCGTGCTCAGAATCGCCACCGTTATCAACAAGCTACAAGCTGCGAGGAAGTGAGCATCCTTGGTGTGCACAGTTAAACTGCAACAGCTTTCGGTGGCTCCGCAAA